AAATTCCAAGCATAATAAACCAACAAATACGAAAATCATACAACCCTAGACAGACATGTAGTAGAAGCTAAGTAAATCCTAACTTGTCAACCTATTCCCAAAACCTGTAACAGATCACAAATCGGAGCGGAGCGACTCTGCTCCCAACCCCAACCCCAACCCCAACCCCAAGTTAGCAGTTACCACAGGTGCAACACCTACGCCAAAATCGAGCGAACCGGCGGGGATGAGCCGGAAGGAGGTGGCGGCGGCGGCTGGAGGGGGCGCGGGTGCGGAATCGGGAGCGGAGGGATCTTCCTCGGCGGGAGACGGCGGCGGCGGCTATACCGGGAGGTGACGCTGGCGCTGCGCGACGCCAAGGCCGACTTCTCCTTCCTCCGCGCGCGGGGGCTCCGCACCGCAGCCTCCTCGGCTCCCTCCTCCGCTCCACCGCCTCCGCCACCGACGACTCGCAGCTGCTCCTCTTCCGGCATTCCCAGCCTATCCCCGAACCACCCCGCGCTAACCCTCCTCGCGTAAACAAGTAAAATCGAAGCGCGAATTCGCTTGCAGCCGGAGGCGATCTCGCCATTACCTCTCTCTTCAGCCCAACAGCGCAGCAGAAGATCGGAGATCCGCCGCGAGGGAGCGCGGATTGGGGGGAAGGCGGAGGAGGAGGAGGAGCGCGGGAGGCGGCGGCGGGGCGGGGGGTATTTATAGGCGCGAGAAGCTACCGCGGCGGCGAGCTCGCCTCTCTTCTCTTCTCTTCTCGGGCGAGCCAATTTCGGAAAGGGAACACCAGCTTTCCGCTTAAATCGCGGTGATATATTTTTTATTTTTTTAAAAAAAAATATATTCCGGAGTGTCCACATCACACGCCACGTGGCGCTCGCTTGTTCCGATCATTGCAGCAGCGGCGGCGGTGGGTAGATCGAGGGGTACGGTTGTGAATATTACGAAAGGTTGAGGGGGTTTTGACGAAATGTTTGCTCTCGGCTTAGCTGGCAGCCGACCGATGCGCGCGTGGGTGGTGGGGATTTTGCGGCGGCCGCACGTTCTCTTGCTCCAGCAGTACTAGGTTGGGGCCCACCCGTAAGAGCAAGTTCAATAGTATAGCCCATTAATGACTCCAATTCACCTATAGTCAATTCATACAACAGCTATTTACTATGCTATTTATATGTGGTCCCATCTATCATACGCACAATGTGTCTTAAAGTCCATACTGCAATTGGCTACAGATCTGTAGCCCGCTGCTTTTTTCTCTCATATTTTATTTTATTAAAATATGTTTATAACTGGCTAATAGTCCGCTATTGTTTTTACTCTAAGTATGCAGTGAACAAGTGGATCATGTTGCATCGTGAGGGGAAAAAATAAATAAATAATCCGATCAAATGTTGGCGCCGGCGGCTCAACAAGTCCACATCATTGCTGGTTGGTGGACAAACATTCCATCTTAAACTAATTGTTTGAGCCATGATTGATAAGTAAAACGAATATTTTATTATAAGTCGAAATTTCTATGTATTTTTTGTTTGCGGTTTATAAAATCAACATTGAAAAATAAACCATGATAAAAAAATTTAGAATTAAATTACAAAACTCAATTTTTAGCAGTGAATAATTAATAATAAGTTGACAAGCATACGACGATGGCCACACACGCAACAGAACTGTTGAACACCATTCCGAAAAGAAAATCTCTGGTGCGGTAATAGCTGCACTTGTATTTTAGGTCTGGTAAGAAACGATATTATTCCTGAGTAATTTATTTCCCTTTCCCCGAAAAAAAAAGAAAAGAAAAAAAAATAAAGTTGAACACCACACCATAAACATGCGGCAAAACGCAAGATGAAAAGAAAAGCAATTATTAAAACCCGTCAAAAATGGCAGTCAGGCGAGTCATTAACCCTGACCACAAGATCGACAGCCAGATTACAAAAGCCAAGTTGGTTTGGCTCTTCTCGCCTTCAAACCGGCTGAAGATTAGCTCGCGTCCGATCGGGACAAAAAAACTTGATTTGGCAGCAAGCTGAAGCCGACATCAAAATAAATACCATGATAATAATAATGCAACACATGGCCATCCTTATCCTAATTATGGAGTATTAATCAACTGAAATATTTACTCCTAGTCACACTACTGGGCCGGATTAGTGCATCATCACGATCTGTCTGTCTATCTATCGAATCAATATAGAATCCAAACCGATTGAGATGGCCGGAATGAATGGAGCTTTCAGTTTCAGGCCAGACCATGACTTATGATCGCCAACCAACGAATTTTTTTTAAACTAAGGCAATTCGATATGTGCCTGCGAGCACTGTAGCATCACTGTAGCGCACTGTTCACGCAACCCTATCGAACTTTGGCTGTTCGATATGTCCCTGCCTAGCATTGTAGTGATACTGTTCATGTAATTTTTTATTTATTTTTGGACCACCTACCCTGTCGAACTCACGCAGTTCGACATGTACCTGTCGAACTGTGGTTGTTCGATAGGTATCCCTGTCGAACCGCGGTTGTTCGACAGGGTGCTAAACTTGCGATTTCGCCTAACTGACCTATAGTTTTGCGATTTTCCATTAAAATCATATTGCTTTTAAAAAAAATTCGCCAACCAACCTCACATTGTTTTCCATGTGACTTGTCGTAGCTAAAATTTAAATTTTAAAAGTTACTATTCTTTAACTAAATTTGATAGATTATATTTTAGAAAATACAACACAGATGTAGATGTTCATAAAACACACACTCATTTGTATAAACGCACGCAATCACATTTTATTTTTATAAGCATCGGCGAAAGACTGAACTGACGTATTTGAGATTGACGAAGAACAAATATATAAATATATAAAAGTTCTACCATATAAGTTTTCTATGACTTATCAACGGTCGATAGAGCAAACGAGATGAGGCTAGAAGGGAAAAAGAAAACAAAAGGCAATGTAATCAATGGTTCAAATCGTGGTAGGCTCTGCTGATGTGGGCTATACTCACTACGACGCTATCTTCGGACAGTGTAGATCAATCATGCTATGAGATGAGATGAGATATGATCGACGGCGACGAGACGCTGCATGTGGATTTGTGCTGGAACGACATTATCTTTTCGATTATACTTATATTTATAAGCTAAAATTTAAATTTTCAATTTTAAATTTGAAGTTGATTGTAAGGTTTTTTCATCGAAGTTTTATTTTTCAGTCTTTGCTTTTAAATCGCTAAAAACACTTATGCAAAAGTTTTATTTATAAATTATTTTTTGTTTGCGAATATGCCGTTTCGGGGACGGAATCAATAAACTGCCGGATGATTATATATGAAGATGATAATTAAAGAAACCTTTTTGGTAGCATGTTGCCGTCACCTGAATATAGGGAAATGATCAGGCCTGTTTGGAAGAGTGTAGGGTTCATATATTATTTCGTTCCATATAGGAATATATATATATATATATATATATATATATATATATATATATATATATATATATATCTCACAATTAATCATTCTTAGTACGAGGCATAGGTCTTCTGCATGTGATAGCACGATCGAGAGCGATCGCTAAATTAAACCAGGAGGATTAGTTGACATTAGCTTCTAAATTCTTATTGAGAATTTAGTAATTGAGACGATGAGCAGTAGCTAGATCTCATCTGCCAGAAAGAAAAAAAAAAGGCAAGTACTTCACGTGGAATTAACGGGCAAGAATTCAGAAATGAATATTGGAGTAGTTCTAGACTTCTGTTTTTTTAATTTCATCATGATAAGGAATCACTCTTGTATTTATTTCAGTATACAGAAGTATCCAAGGATGTACATTTGTACACTAGTTCTGACGAACAATCTCTCAATGTGCACATGGACACGTACAGATCACGACAGCAGATCAGATCACTATGTATTTTCAGTATTGTCCTACGTATTGTCTGTTTCTCTTGAGAACAGTTCTTCGGTTCTTCCATGGCGATTGTCAGTGTGATCTTATACAGTACATGTGTTCAGTTTATATTATGCATTCATGGATCATACTAGTTCATAATTTATAACTTTATGGATGCCAACTTGGTAATAATGTACTACATTTCTTTGATCTGCAATCGCATTTACTTGTCTGCATCATGTGCGAGAGCATGGTAGTGTGTCTAATGACGAGCTTGTGTAATCGCTTTGCTAGCTACTCTTGTCATTTTCCTGGCAGATTTCAGATTCTAATCTTTAGTACTCCCTCCGTTTCATATTATAAGATTTTCTAGCATTACTCACATTTATATAGATGTTAATGAATTAGACATATATATATATATATATATATATATATATATATATATATATATATATATATATATGTCTAGATTCATTAACATATATATAAATATAGAAAATACTATAAAGTCTTATAATATGAAACGGAGGAAGTACTAACCTACCAGTCACTTTCCAGCACTGAACTGCCATGTATTAGGAGCATATATAAACACGAATTTTAAAATTTATCACCATATGGTGTAATGCCACCGTGTTATCCTTATCTCGTTTGATCAACTGTCACTGTTTTCAGTGTTCCAGAAGCTGGTCATGAATCATGATCACATGATCTGATAATTTAACTTGATCACCATGTGACCTTAAGCTTTATAAGATGATGAATCACTGGCACTAAAGAGCAGTCCGTGGATTGGATGAAGTCCCTGAATCCCAAAAGGCAAATTCTGAAGAAGAAACTTTCTCAGTTGCAGTGAGAAAACAAATCAAGCCAAAATTTACAGCCAAATGTGACACTTTGTGCACCAATTCATTAATATTTCAGAGGACATTCAAAGAATTCAGAAAAGGAAATCATTCGGAGGAGCGCGTTTGGATTGGATTTTGGGCGCGGCGAATCTTGACGATATTTTGGACCTCGGCCCAACTCTCGACTTTTTGGGCCTGGGCTTAACTGGGCCGTGCGGAGGTGTGGATTTTTTTTTTCTCCGAGACAGGGGCAAAAATGGAAAAAGAGAAAAAGGAGAGGGAGCTGTAGAGAAGAGAGAGAAGAGAGAGAGAGAGAGGCGACATCGCCGGCGGCGAGAGGCGGCGGGGATGAGCCGGAAGGAGGTGGTGGTGGCGGCGGCTGGAGGGGGCGCGGGTGCGGAATCGGGAGCGGAGGGATCTTCATCTGCGGGAAGCAGCGGCGGCGGCGGGGAGCTCGCGGAGGCGCTGGCGCGGCGGCGGCTGTACCGGGAGGTGACGCTGGCGCTGCGCACGGGGCTGCGCGACGCCAAGGCCGACTTCTCCTTCCTCCGCGCGCGGGGGCTCCGCAGCCTCCTCGGCTTCCTCCGCTCCACCGCCTCCGCCACCGACGACTCGCAGCTGCTCCTCTTCCGGCATTCCCAGTCTATCCCCGATCTCCAAGGTACAAACCGATTTTCCCATCCATTCCGGCGATCCAACGATAGGGCACCGGGTTGTTCTCGTGATTCTCATCCGGCGCCGTAATTGGAGCGACATTTGGTTGGCCTGATCTCTAATGCAATGCAATATCCAGTGGTGGTTAGAATGAAATCGATGAACATAGTTACTGTCTTGCCACAATCGGCACAAATTTAAGATGAGAGCATCGAGTAAACCTATTTGTTATTAGATGTAACATGTCAGTCAGAACACAAGATTCAGTATTAGGTGATAAGCGCTGATTGAGCTGGTTTAGTTTGGTGCTGCACAAAACTTGGTTCATTATAAATGAAACAAGTGCTCTTGGTGGTATGTGTTTATTATATCGATGCTAATGCTTTCTACTTCTCTTCGTGATGCATTTATGGGGAGAGCTAACCTCATAACGGTACCTTGATAATCTCTTTCCGAGTTACGTATGTCAGTAAGCCAAGTAAAAGCTTATATTTGCTTTAGCCCATATTGAGGCTATCAACAAGAACTTGGAAAAATCGCCCTACTAATGAATTGCAAGTTTAAAATGGATTATGTTGGACTTGCTTGTGGTCAAAATATGTATTTTGTATTGGATCTTCCTCAGTTGAATGATTGTTGTAGCATCTAGCATAGTTAGCTGAGTAATTCAGTAGAACAATATTACAGTGAGGTCTTTTTCCCCTGATTACAGTATAATTTTTTCCCTCAGGTTTGTAACTTGATCAAGAACTTGTGATGCTCATGCATTTTGTTGGATATACTTCTTGTATGTATACCTGAGAAAGGAGCAGGAACTGACGAGCTGGTGTTCTGTGACAGTTATTCCTGTTCTCTTTCAGAACTCATTGCATCAACCAAAGGAAGATCCTGTTGTGACCTTGGATCATATATTTGGAGTAGAACCAATGAAGATTACAAGCCCCCCAACAGATAATGAAATTGCTCTCGCTCTTAGAGTCTTGGAAGGATGTTGCCTTTTGTATAGCCGATGCACTGCTCTGGCACACAAGTACAAGGCTGTGAAGGTAATATCCAATTATCTGTAGTGCTTGCTTTGTTCTAAGACATCTGTTTTATGCTTGATGGTTTAATTAGGCCATTCCCAACCCAAGACATTAGACATAGTTTCCATAAACTCCACATCATCAAGAAACTAGTACTAGACACTACTCTTCCAATGCAAACACCACTATTCCATACTTAAATTTAATGATACCTATCTCACTTGATGTCTTGGATGTTGTGTAGAAACCATGTCTCATGCAAGACATGGTTTCCTTCTCTTTCCTCATTTATTTACTTGTCATATTATTTTTCATCCTAGGTGGCAGCTTATTTAATGCTATGGACACCATCCTAGTCATTGGGTTGGGAATGGCCTTATGTTTGTTAAATCATACTGGCTAGAAGTTTTTTTTTTTTTTGGTCTCACTCAGATGGTAATCTGTTGATCATGCAATTTATTTATCGCATAGCCGTAGCGTCAAATCGTTAGTTCTATATTGTATATCACTGTCAAGAAGTTCCTGTTCTCTGTGGTTGCGGATTCTTTCTTCGAGCATAAATCATTGCTCAATATGGTACCATCTGCTCATGTGATTTTTGTCCTGTCCCATATATTCTTCGCTTGATTAGCTAAAACCTTTATTTTCTATAGGTAATCCTGAATATATTAGCTAACCGAGGTCCAGCTGAGCAAGGAGTGTGCTTGGACGCGCTGATATCGTTGATGTTGGATTCACCCCCCAATCAGATGGTGCTGTTACCTCTTTACCTAATTGTTATGATTCTCTTAAAATCTTTTACATGTTAGTTTTTTTTTCTATTACATTACTTAGGGTTAGTGTACAATTACTTGACATAAGAGAAATATAAACATCAGGTTTATTTCAGAACAAAATGAATAAGACTTACTCTTAGTTTGAAAGGACATTGAGCATTAAATAAGTTGACATAGTTTATTGTTTCTGTTTCCTATCATTTTTTGTGCTCTTCAGTTGGTCCAAGGCTCACATTGTATATAACTTCTTCCTTATCTAGGATTTCGAGGAATTCAGTGGACTTGAGAAGGTTGCAGAGCTTTTAAAGGATGTGCAAGTAGAAGAGCACATAAGGCACGTATTATTCCTTTAAGCATTTCTTTAGTCTGAATGCATAATCTGGCAGTTCAAACCAAATTTTACTCTCTCCCTCCCTGTTGAAGAAAACCAAATTTTACTCTTCATGTGTCTGATGGATTGATCTGTCCGTATCTCATCAATCAATTGGAAAAACAGAAAGTTAAACAAACGAGCCATGCAACCTACTAGCTTGGTGACAACATGCCCTCAAAACTATTGATATCTGAAGTTTTTAGCTGTTGACCTCTACTCCTAGTCTTTGTTTTAGCAAGGTTTGTGTGCTAACCTTAATATTACATCCTGACTTACTATGTGATATTAGCTTTACTGTTCTGGGGTCCTAATTTTGATGATCAAAATCTTGAGTCTATAACTCCACTACTAACAGAGTCAATTGCACATTTGTTTCTCCAAATTGTTTGTTCGTTTTTGGATTAACCTACTTTTGTTGAATGATGCTTTGATGCAGATTGAAATGTGGGGAGTTCCTACTATTGCTAATTGGGCATGTTTATGCGAAAGAAAACTCTCCCATACACGAACAAATGAGAATTTTGTTCGGCGAGCAGTGCGCATCACTGATATGGGCAGCAAGTCGGTTTGGCTCCACTCTCGACGTGGAGCAGAGGCAGATGGCCTTGCAAATACAAGCAAGGAGAGTTGTTGAATCCTTGGAGCCCTACTAAGACAAAGCACATCAATGCGTTCTTTTTGTCTTCCTGACAATGGTCTGATATCACTGATCCAAGCAATGTGCTTCATTTGCCTATAGCAAAGCTTTGTTGTCATATTTTCTGTGTAGAGCCATTCTTATGTTTCTGTATGTACAAACTTTGTTGAAAATATTCTATTAGTTCAGCTTTGCAGAAAAGATGTTATTAGTTTCCATTCGAAAACCATGGACTAGGTTACGGTGGTAACTTAGGGCTTGTAGTGGTTCCCCATTTTGTAAACCGTGGGTTTAATACGAAATTTGCCTACAAATTGCCTTTTATGCTTCAACAGCAATATTGGCAACAGTTTCATTGAAACAGAGGAAATCCCCTCCAATTGGGAAATACTTAATATATTTTGTTGTTGTTGTTGGACGTACATACATACATACGCATGTGATTATGACAAGTTTAAATAAAAATGCTATGGCATGAAATTAGTTTCATAAATAAAACCGAATATATAAATATCGTGATAGTATATTTATTTGGTATTATGGATATTAATTATTAGTTTTTTTATAAAATTGGTTAAGTTAGAGAATTTTGACCAAGTACAAAAGCTACAAAACTTTAAGTAACTTGCATTTTGAAATGGAGAGAGAACAAATTTGCCTTAGAGTGGCGAAGTGAGCGTTGCTTAATTGGTTAGGTTTCTTATGGTGGAGCTGCCCACTTAGATTCAAGTCCAAGACTTGACATAGGTGCCCGCATTTAAGACTAATTATTCTTTTAGTAATAGACGACGTACTCGCTACAAAACTTTCAGCAACTTGCATTTTGAAATAGAGGGAGTATAAATTTGCCTCAATAATGGTGAAGTGAGCGTTGCTCAATTGGTTAGGTCTTTTATGGTGGAATCAGTCCACTTAGGTTGAAGTCGTAGACTTACATGGCTGCCCACATTTATGACTAATTATTTTTTCAGTGATAGACGGTGTACCCGCCACCGACAGCGAGACGTTCATGATGACTTCGTCAATCTTAAAATATATCGGTCCAATCTTTGAAAGATATTTATAGAGGTTGGGTGTGCATGTGTGGTGAGCATATTTGTTTGTACTGTTGTATTTTAAAAAAATTGCCTCACAAATGATGTGAAGTTTTTTTTTTTCAGTCCATTAGCCTAGCAGATTGGAGTATTATTCGGGCCATGAACGACCCAAGGCCCCAGAACGAGCCCATATCCATCTCGCCGACCAAATCCCTAACCCTATTCCCCCCACCGAGCACGCGGCAGCTACACGCCCCCACGTCGCCGTCGTCCTCCTCCCTCCGCCGCGCCGTCGATCTCCCTCCCCTCCCGGGCCGCCGCCGCCGCGGCGTCCTCCACGCCGCCTGTTGTTCTTGCCTCCTTCCCCGACCGCCACTCTTCTTCAAGAGGTGGCCGTCCGTCGGCGGAGCAGCACGGGAAGTCGACGCCGCTAGCTCCGCCTCCCGTCGATCAGTCGGAGATGGAGCAGGTCAGTTTCTACCCAAGAAAAACATGAACCACCACTTCGTGAGCCGAGCTAGTAGAGGCTGGATTGATTTCTTTCCCTCGAATTGAATTGTACTGAGCTTGTTTACCAAAAGAAGAAGAAGAATTACCTTTTAGAGCAAGAATGCAAGATGATATGACATTAAAGGGTGTGCTTTCAAAGGATTCCTGAATTTTATGTATTAGTATTACTTACTGCTCCCAAAGTAATCGCTGCAGCGGTGCAGCCACTGTCATAAACAATCACAATCAATTGGTTTAAAACGACTATCTCTGTTCTGATGAAATCATAATCAATTGGTTGTGCAGGTTCGTGGTGTTGTGCTTCAAAGAAACACGCTGGTGATGTCTGCTGCATAGACAACACATGGAACCATCCGATCTAGTTGATGGATACAAGTTCGGTGATCAAACTACAAGCGATGTTCGTGTTTGCTTTAAACGGGCCGATGACCAGGCAGAATGGTTTTGCTGCCATTCATCTGTGCTTTCCGGAAATAGCAAGTATTTTGCAGACTGGCTTAGCAGAAATGACATTGGTTCAAACAACTGCATTGGGGTTGACTGTATAAGTGCTGACTATGAACATTATGTCAAGGTGTTGAAGTTAATATATCTTCCTGCAGAATCAATTATAGATTCTTTTGAATCTGTTAGGTCAGCGGTTGGCGTGCTTCGAGCGTCAACACTTCTCAAATGTGAGTTAATTACCAGAAGCTGCATTGAATACCTTGAAGCAGCTTCATGGGATGAAAAAGAGGAGGAAGAGATTTTGGAAGTAGCTCAGAGCCTTGGCTCAGAGGAAGCAGTAGCTCTGTTAGCCCGTCTTCAAGCCCCAAATGTTTCTGCTGTGAAGAATGTCTTCATCTCTGCCATTCGTTTTGCTACGTCCATGGAAAGTCCATCTCCTCCTTTCTTGGATGATCTCAAGACTTCTGCTCAGGAGCAAATTGACTTCATGCTCCATGAGGACGATGACACTGCTTTGGTTACAATGGATGAGGATGTGAGGTCTGTGGTGCGAGAAGGATTGAAAAAACTGTTCTCCACGCTTAAGATTGGACTAGATCTGTTGACCTCGGAGTATGAGCAATTGCCTGAACAGGCAGAACAAAGGGTTCTCTGTAGTTTAGCTGACATTGACTGGATGGCTAATGTCTTGACAAAGATTGAGATGATGAACGAGTTTGTCTCTGGTTGGTCAGAAATCTCTGGCTATGTTCTTTCAGTTGTTCAGGATAAGAAGTATAGCTCAGGATTGTGGCTTGTAAAAGCAAAACTTATTGAAGTGACTGGAAAGGCCTTTGATGCTGTTGGCTATGGCTCTGTGGTTTTCCCAGCATCATCCAGAGTTCATTTTCTGCGGATGTGGCTTCCATTCATGCAAACAACGAAGCGCTTGCTTGATGAAAAGTCGAAGGATGATGCGATTCCACAGATGGATGCAGACTTGTTTCAGAACATTGAGGGTGCAATAGTCTCATTGGTGTTAGCATTGCCATCAGGTGATCAGGCAGACATTCTTGGAGAGTGGATGAAGAATGCAGAGCAGTTCAGATATCCTGATCTCACTGAGGCATTTGAGGTGTGGTGTTACCGTAGTAAAACGGCAAAGAGGAGGCTAGTAGGAGGGCTAAACGGGAGTGGCAACCCCACAGTCAGCTTGTAACTTTGTAAGGCTACCATTAATTTTAATCTTTTGTTGTAGCCTATACAAGTCAGTGAAATCAGGTGGTTGGTACCAAGCAATATACCAACTAGATTTTCATTGTTGTATGTTGTAAAACAACTGCTCATGTGTAATACACTTGAGCTTTCTTGCAGTATGTTCATTACCCTTGTCCAAGTTCACTACTTCTTCCTGACCTGAGACATTTCGAAGCATAGTCCATGGAGCAACTAGGTTACTATTGGATATTTCGAAGCATAATTCTGATGCATTTTTTACTCTTTTGCATCATAAAACATGATAAGAGTTCATTAACTGACTGTACAATCAGGTCTGGTACACCCTCTGTTCCTGGAATTGTTATGCATGGATCCTGGGGATTCTTAAATTCTTAAACATTCTTTGGTTTAAATTTGCTACTAAAAAAAAGAACTATTTTTTTCCCTTTATCATCCAATTGGTTTCTGTGTTGAATACAAGAAAGGCAGAAAGGTCCTTCTTTAGTATTCTTGTACAGGTTTAATGAAGTGGTCCGTCAGATAGGTTGGAAATTTTAGTTGGTAGAGATCATTGTCTTCATCAAACTGCTTGATTCAAATATTCAGACTAAATTATGATTTATCTCAACCCAGCTGCTCATGCATCATTAGTCACTTCATTCCTAATCAAACGAAACCATTTGGGATTTGGCACTTCTGCAAAAGCATCGCATTAATTAGTTGTCCCGTTGTGGCACAGGAATCTTCAGGGCTTTCTAGCTAATCTTCAACTGATTGCGGCCATCATGAGGATGATCTTCTGCTAATGATATCTTAAATCATTCCAAGCACTTGATTAAGTACATATATTAGGTTTAGCCATGTACTTATTGGTACAAAGTGCTTTCTTTAAGACAGAAGGAATGATTGATAGCAAATGTCCAGCTTAATTCTTCCAATCTCCTGATGTGTTTGGGGTAGCTAAAAGAAGCTTTCTTCATAGTGGAACATAAAGGAGATGATTAACAACTAGTTGGGGGTACCATGAGTCTTCTTAGTCCATCATTATTTAACCCTCTATTCAGAGTTCAGATTAACTGCTGGTTAGGATCATTATGAGGTCTTGTTGGTCAATTTTCTTCTAAGTGATTATTATTACCTAGTAATAGATAACTTGCATAATGTCATAAGTTATGCTTTCCAGCAAACAAACAGGTGAGTGATTCTATGGCTCTCTGTCCCCATTTAGCAAATTGACCTGTAGTGGAGCTTCAGTTGCAAGCATCTTTCACTTCATTTGTTGATTGGTATCTTTTTCCTTTCCTCGTGCATAATGTGATAAACAATTAGCAAACTGCTCCAATTGAGATTGGGAATGAACCTAAGTTCCCCTTTTTTCCTCTTCAATTACAGACAAACAATTTGATCATTTGATGGTAGGGCATGATTAGATGACGTGCAAACAGTGAAGTCCACTAATGCATGGGGCCAAAAGATGAGTATCTAGTACAATGGATCAAATAATTATACCTGGTAGTGGAGTTGAACATTTGCATCTAATCTAGTCTAATCTAGTCCAATCTAGTGTGGTTGATTGACATTGAAGAAGAACATGTGGCATACTGATCTTTGCAGGGCAGCTCAAAACACACTAACACATATTCTTCTTTTTTCAGTGAACACTGCTCTTCTGTTTCACATTATAAGTTTTTAAATAAGTCATTTTTTTAGAAATTGTTGATTAACTATAATAGAAAAATATAGTAATATCTTCAACACAAAATTAGTTTCATTAAGGACATGTTCACTTTGATGACATTTTCAACCTTACCAAATTTTGGTAAAGTTGTCAAAAAAGTGGCTACATTTAGTTTGCTACCAAATTTTGGTAACTAAATAAGAAATCCTACCAAAATTTTGGCAAGTTACCAAAATTTTGCCAAAATTTGATAAGGTTTTTTCTGGCATCAAAGTGAACAGGCCCTAAATCTATCACTGAATATATTTTAATAGTATGTTTGTTTTGTGTTTAAAATTTTGCTATGTTTTTGTATAAACTAAATCAAACTTGAAAGAAGTCAAAACGTTTTATAACATGAAACATGATACAGCATATATCACGATATTATACATATGGTGTAATTGTATGTATATATTTACATCTAGCATATTCTTATACATATCTAACATATTATCTTACATCTAAACTCAGATTACAGTATACATATACCATTATACTCTAGTGTTTTTACTCTCTGTAATTACTCCTCTGGTTTCTGAAACTGACAATCTAACTTGAATTTTCTTCCAGGCTCTGTGATGAATCTCTTTGAATTTGTCGGGCGTCGGCGATCAAAATTGGATTAATTTTTTTTCTTCTTCTGGTGATGATGAACTGAACTGATGATCTTGCTAGCTAGGCGAAAGCCAAGCCACGGTCTGCATTGGAGCTCTGAACCTGGAGCCTGAAGCTGCCGGCATGAACACTCTCCTCCTTCTCCTCCGCAGCGACCTCGTCGGAGAATCTCCACAGCTTGGCGGCCTCGTCGGCGTTGGATCCCAGCCTCGACGGCGACGCCTCGTTGCAGTCGGCGAAGTACTTGCCGGACACTCCGGCCACCGCCGGGTGCACCGCCACGTAGCACGTCGTCGCCGCCGCCTGTTGATTATATATAGCATGAGCAAGACAGGATCAGAATTTAAGAAGAAACCAGGGTTGGAATTTCGGACTGTCCGATACGATATTATTTCGACCAAAATTTTTTATTTTCTTAATATTTTCATAAATTTTGGTAATATTTATTTAAATTCAACTAAAATTTGTTTAAAATTTTGGAAATTTCAGTATTTCGATGATGTCCAATCAAATTGGCTAAACCGAATGGTTTAACCCTGGAAGAAACATGGATCATCGAAGATTCAATTCAAAGCACCATTTTCAGTAAATTCTTGCCTACGAAATCCACTGATGAAACTGACCTGAGGGATCGTCTTGAGCAGCTTGGACGCCAGGAAGAAGACTGTATCTGCAGTTAAAATCATTTCTTGGGTAAATTTCTTACTTGGATGCTGGTAAATTTGTTGAAAAAATTGAAGAGGGATGAGAAGAATTACTGGTGACAAGGCCGTCGCGTTCTCGGATGAGCCGGGTCCTGACGATACCAGGGTGGACGCAGTTTGCCGTCACGTTGGCTTTCATCTCCTGCTCAAGCCATTGATGGCAATTAGCTTAATCTAGAGCTAATTAATTAAGGTTAATTGCTTAATTTAGCACTGGCTATGCTTTGTCGTGTGATTAAGTCATGAGATCAGGGAAACTTTTTTTTTATGGAATGGATATCCCTTCTTTATTTTCTGTATGCGACCTAAATAATTATTATTTTTTTTGAAAACTGATAAGATGTGATAAATATACGTTGTATCGCCACTTCATAAATATCCAACCTAAAATTCAACTTCTACAACTCGTGAAAAAATAACAAATATAACCGAAATACTCTTTCCGTCCAAAAAATAAAATAATAAATCTAGGACTGGATCTGACATATTCTAGTACAACGAATCTGGACAGAGGTATGTTCAGATTTATAGTACTGGAAACACATCCAGTACTAGCTTGATTTTTTATGTGACGCAGGGAGTATGTATGTGTGTATATACTAGTCTTAATTTGATTTATGAGATCAGAGTGAATAATAATTACCTTGAGCCGATCCGCGAGTGCCCTCGTGTGGAGAACGTTGGCCAGCTTGGAGAGCGCGTAGGCTCTCGTCGGATCGTACGGTCTGCACAGGTGCATGATATCCAAAACGTGAATCTTAAAGCACGGATTAATATCTCCATCGTCTTTTTTTTGTCTTATTTTCTTTTGAGAAATTAAATTTAAGTGTGATGTGACAGGGATTTGTAACTAACTCTACGCACATCTTCCTGCGCGTGACGGCGTCGATGTAGCCGACGGCGTCGTCGCCGGCGAACCAGCTGTGGATTGTGGAGGATACGTTGACGATGCGGCCCTCGACGCCGGTCGCCGCCGCCGTCTCCGCCATCTTCTCCATCAGCAGCTTCGTCAGCAGGAAGTGCCCTGAATTAATTATATCCAATCCATTAACGCGATAATTAGTTAGCACCGTAATTAATTAGCATCTTCGATAAACACTTAGCGTAATTATTTAAGCTTTGTTAATCGCATGCAACGTACGTACCCAAGTAGTTTGTGGCGAAGGTCATCTCGACGCCGTCGTCGGACAAGGCGAATCGGTCGGCGAACTTGCCGGCGTTGTTGCTGCATGAATTCATCGTGCATGGTGCCAAATTAATTAAAAAAGTACATACTTTAATTAAATTGTGATAAAACTAAAATTTAAAGTGTTGTATCATAAAAATATATTTCGCATTAATTAATTTTATCCCACAACTACGTATTAGATAGCAAATTTATCATAATAAAACTATAGGTAAACTATTACGTTCATAGTTCCAATATAACGGTAGTAAAAGAGATTTAAACTAAAAAATCAATAGTTTTGTATTAACTTCAACATTGTATTTGTAGATTTGTAATACTTTAGTTTTATGATAGTTTAGTTAAAATATATGTAGTTTTATGAAATTTAGTCTAATTAAAAACACCTCATATATATTTAAACCAAACCAAACCAAACCAACCATGCAAATAATTCCTCTAGCTAGGCAATGTGCAATATTATTTGATGGTACTAATTAGCACCAACAATTAATTAGCATGATCGTGATTAGTGGGAGGAGTTGGTGATAATTAACAGTAGTACACGTACATGAGGAGGTTGAGAGGGAGGCCGAGCGCGAGGAATCGGGCGGCGAAGCGGCGGACGGAGGCGAGCGAGCTGAGGTCCAGCGGCATCACCACCACGTCGCCGGCGGCGGCGGGGCACTCGGCGAGCAGCCGCGCCCGCGCCTCCGCCGCCGCCTTGAGGCTCCTCGCCGGCAGCACCAGCCTCGCCCCTCGCTTCGCCAGCACCCTCGCCGTCTCCGCCCCTATCCCCGACGTCGCCCCGGTGATGATGGCGGTGATGTGGCGGAGGTCGGAGCAGGCCGCGGTGGCGTCCTCCGCGGTGGCGCGCGACCCGAAGCCGCTCGCCCCCGCCGTGCCGGCCAGGTATCTCAGCGAGGTCAGCATGGCTAAGCTAAGCTAGCTTAATTATGGTTAAGCTAAGCTAAGCTATGGCGGTGATGAGTTGGCGCGAGATCGAAGAGAAGTCGTCGCATCTCGTCGGAGAAGAAGATGAGCTGAGCTGGGTATAAATAGTGAGTGAGTGAGTGAGTGAGTACAGTTGCACTGGAAAGCCATGAGCTTTACATAATATAATCATGTTGTTATTAGGAAATAATTAAGCTGATTTAAGCTTTTAATTAATTGGAAGAAGAGGGGGTACAGTTTATTTTCGTTAATTTTTAGCTGATTTTGTGCGTGTCAGTCAGTGTGTGAGTGAGCTGTGAGCATCAGATCGATCGACCCAATTAATTAATTGGTGATACCTTAGTTTTAATCATCTGTAGTATTCATCTTTCCTTTGCTTAACACTAGCTTTCCAGTAGAGACAAAAGTAGTACAAATCTAAGTCATCTTCTTCCTCGGTTCTTCCTCATCATCTCCTCGTTTTTTTTTAAAAAAAATTCCTCTCTTTAATTTGGAACCTTTCCATCGGTCATCACACACATGTCATCACCATTGATGCGCTTGCACACACGAGAGATACTAATTAACAAGGAACATATCATATACACATAAACTTTCCGTACACACTTCGTACACACCAATTAGCAAATATCATAGAAAATTCTAGAAAAAATTAGACACATATTTCTAATAGTATTGTACCCACTGTGAAATCTTATCTCAAATTCATTATATTTTAGCCGTAACAAAATTCTAACAGATTTTTACCCTAAAAATTGTCAGATTTTCCACTTTTTTTATGGCTAAAATATAATGAATTTGAATATGAGATTTTGCAGATATGTGTAATATTATATTAGGAGTATGTGTCTAATTTTTTCTAGAATTTGTGACATTTGTAATTGGTATGTACGGAGTGTGCATGGGAAGCTTGTCTGCATATATATATATATATATATATATATATATATATATATATATATATATATATATATATATATATATATATAGGACACTCATATGGGGCACCATGGTGCCCGGGCACCATGGTTTCAAATGCACAAAATCACTCAAATTTTTCAAAATTTTCAAATTGTGAGTATATACCTAGTTATAAGAATTCGATTCATACCTATACCTATCAACAAAACAACTCAAATTTAACTTTATTTCACAATCCATGATTACATACCTAACTAATTATATGTATGGATGCTATATACCTAGAATCAAAATCTAACAAAAACAAGTTCAAATTCAGTTCAAACTTGCTTTCAACTAGTTAGTAAAGTAGTTAATATTAATACCTAAATAATTGAAAAAGTTTCATGCTCATTTGAATTGGATATATACTCAATTTCAACAATGGTGCCCGGGCACCATGGAGCACCAAACAAATTTACTATATATATATATATATATATATATATATATATATATATATATATATATATATATATATATATATATATATTCCCAATTAACACATTGCAATTTGAAATTAGTACTAATTAATTAGCTCTCCATCGATGCAGGTCGCTCTCATGCTTGTCGCTGAATGCGAAGGCGAGATCATGCAGGAATGGGCGAACGATTCATGGCTGCATGTACATGCCTCTAAACACAAGGTGTTGATAGCTATATGTTCGTCTTGGATCGTGCAGCTTATCTGTAAGCGCTATCGAAGATGACACTATGTATGACTAATACAACAAGGATGTGAAATTGTTCCTTGGCTTCATCTGAAGATTTTCTACCCTGATGCATATGTGAAACTACTTGCATTGACCGGTAGTGGACTTTAATAATGTCTTTCTCCCTCTGTCCTAAAAGTGTAACATTTTTTAAGAGATTGTAGGGTATTAGGGAAAGGGGTAGAAAATTTTGTTTGTCTTATTAAGATATGTAATGTGTAGGCTCGAATTATAATAAAGCCAAAAGAAGCGCGTGGTGGCAAAAATTATCTTTTATATGTCCTACCCCTGTCAAAAAAAAAACCCATTTTTAAGTATGAATGTGCTTTTTTTTTTTTTGAAACAGAGAGGGGTAGGTTGCTATCGATCTAAGACAAAATTTGAACTCTAGACTTTTTATATTTGGAGATGGAAGAAGTAGTATATTGGCTAACACGTAGTCTTTTGTTCTACTAGAAGAACTTTAGCGCAAGTTCTATCTCAGGTTGTTTTGTTGTTTCAATTTTCTTGGCTAGAGCAAAATTTAATTTTAAGGCTTACTCATCGTAGTTTATTTTTTCAATATTAACAATTTAGATATAAGAGTTTTACTTATAATTTCTTTCCGTTTGTTAGTTGATTTTTTTACAGCTTATTAGCTGTAGATCAAACTAGCTAAGTTTTCCTATTAATACTCTGAATGGTAAGTTGGTGATCCCAGCATGAATTATTTCTACTAGCTTGCCATAAAAGCTGGGTCCATCTGGGCCACCTTTCAAAAAAATTTTTTGAATGAACTTAAAAAAACCTTTGATAAGGTCTTATTCTAAACAAAGATTTATAATATTGTAAATTAATATTCAACAGAAGTATAGATATACAGTAAGATTTTTACACTTTCACCGGTCATTTTCCTCCTTCATGGTTCATATATTAATCTGGCAAATTAAAGCTCTAATATATGATATATTTACGTATATTAGTTTGAGAATTAAATTAATCAAGAATTGAAAACCGTTTGAAACTTGAAACAATGTTAACAATTATTGGGAGTTTCTGAATATAAAAAGGAAATACATCCAAACTGAAGGAGCTGTTATCAGTTAGTTAGTAGTGGGAGAAGTGGGCTTGATAATTTGTAAACTTGTATATGAATATAGTGGGTGTTTGCAGATCAAATCAAGCTTGCAATAGGCCAATGGTGGTGGGTGGGGAGCAATTAGCTAAGCTAGCTCCAAGATTGGGAGCAAAGAGGAGTAGGTCACATTTGCCCCAAAAAAACATAATAATAATTTGGCAATTTGGCATTGCTCTAAAACAAAACCAAACAGAGGAGGAAAAGAAGGGGGAAAGGAGGATGTGATGGAGATGGGAGCTAATGAATAGTGGCTATAGTGGTAATCCGTATCCGATGATGGATTTTATGAGCATTACTTTTGTATGTGCGTGGTTTGCACAGCTAACAAAAATAATTAGAGCAAGATGTACCATGCGTAGATGCGTATTAGTTGAATTAGTAGTTTTCTGTGTGGTTCCTCTTTCTCATTTCCCACAAATTATAGGTGACACTAGCATATATAGACATAAAAAAGCTAGATAAGTAAAATAAATAGAAATAACGTATGAGCGACCGTGATTAATTAGCATCATGATCTTATACTGCTTTTCTCTCATGCAAGCCCCTTTTAATTTAGATTATTTAGTTGATTATTACATGAATTATCTACATGATTATAGAAATAAATTAAATATATTCATGATTATTACATGAATTATCTACATGATTATAGAAATAAATAAATTAATTAAATATATTGATAAATAAACTTAACAAATAGTTTAAAATAAGTGATCTAAAATAATACTGTAGAAGAATAAGAGAATGTTTTTTTTAAGTGTGGAGGTTTCAATAATCCAAGTAATCACGAAGTGACTTGTGACAAGTTTCTGTATACATTGCAGGAGATCAGCTTCCCATTTCCCTTTGTCTTGTGAGTCGTGACTACTTTTGGCTGGAAGGTCCCAGGAAGATCCTCGATCTTTGACGCAAAAATATTCTTGGAACACCTATAAGCGATAGATCTTGCAATCATTGTAACAGTATATAAAGAGCTTTGCAAATTGTGCTTATTTTTTAGTGGTCTCCCCTTAAAACAAGTTGGATGTAGCAACAACTTTGAATTGGTTGTGTGAAAGAATTGCATCTATTACATTCATTACAGAGGGCTATATCTGATTACTCTGATAATTAGACACATGCATTTCAGTTATGTTCTTGTTGGGTTCCAAGAAAACAAAAAATCACTACTGATAATCTATGTCAGTATTCAGTAGTGTACACAATTTTGATTTTTGAAGAACACCAGAAAGGTCTGGTAAGGTGTCAACTTGATGGATTCTCTCTGTGTGCAATAATTTGCTTAACTTTTGTTCTCATGTTGTTACTATGCTAAGGCCTTGTTTAGTTCCCAATTTTTTTTCAAAAACGCCACATCGAATCTTTGTACATATATATAGAGAATTAAATATAGATAAAAATAAAAACTAATTGCACAGTTTGCATGGAAATCGCGAGACGATTCTTTTGAGTGTAATTAGATCATGATTAGCCATAAGTGCTATAATAACCTATATGTGCTAATGACGAATTAATTAGATTTAATAAATTCGTCTCATGGTTTCCAGACGAGTTATGAAATTAGTTTTTTCATTCGCGTCCGAAAACCCCTTCCGACATCCAGTCAAACGTTCGATGTGACACCCAAAAAATTTCTTTTCGCGAACTAAACAAACTCTAAAGCCATGAAAGAAACAAAATATACAAAATTTTGCCATGAGCCCATGGGTCATGGGTGGCTGTTAAACAATTCAGCAAGATAGAGCTGCATCAGCTGTGAAGGTGATGCCCATTTTGGCTACAAATGGTTGTTGCAATCATCGCTCAATCCTAGCTCCTTGTTTAGAGTTTAATAATTAAACTTTTCTCTCTTCTTTTTTTTATTTATTGTAGGGAATAGAAAATGATCCTACTATACGAGCACCAACTCAAACATGCTAGATGGAGAAAACTATCCGTATACATGGTACCTAATTTTTGACATGAAATTCTGATAGAATGAAATGCATAGTCATTACTTATTTTTATTTTCTTTACATGGTATCGGCTAATGGTGAGCTAATGATCATGCATAAGTGCATAACTTCTGCCCATCTAGATTCATGCAAATATGCAAACCACAATACGCACCTGAACAATAAATCTAGATGCAACAATAAAAACGGAGTGGACGTCCAAATCTATGCAGAATACTGGTCGGAAGAGTAATATTGGTTTTGGTCAATCAATATTGCCTTGTCACATACTCACATTATTGCCTTGTCACATCCTTTCAGTCTTGTTGCTAAATACAGGCATCCACTCTTGGCTTCTCCGATTACTTAATCTGATCGTATCAGCGAAAAACAATTAAGAAGCACACTTATTGCAACATATAGAGGAAAAAGAAAATTAGTGGGAAAAGAAACATGTACTTTGAAAGGCAAATTGCAATCCCCCAGGATAGGGGATTCCATTAGATTTTCCTTTCCTGGTGTCACCTGCTCTTCCAACATGCACACAGCCCAATGGGCAAATGATCCAGGTGACGATAACTGTATCTTAATCCTGCCCCACAAGCCACTAATTAGCACAGTTCGTTCCAAACCAAATCAGTTCTTGTTTTGCTCAGAGAATAATAGTAATATGCTCACTCTATATCTCCAAGATTCTTCCTTGATGCATGCAGGTTTGTTGTTTGGACCATTGTATCATGTACTCACTTGAACACGCGCGCCACATACTTGTACCTTTCTTGGCACAACAATACAATACTTTGATACCTTTGGCTTGTCTTTTTGGTTAGGATGATCAAGAGCATAGTGTAATGTAATGTAATGAAATGAAAAGAGGGTTTGGCGCGTGCACTGACCGAAAGCACATTCTCTGCCACGAAGAACTACCAATGGATCAGCTCGAATCCTCACCGATAGCAACTGGATAGGTGGCCAAGTCAAACGCACTGATGAACTTATGGGTTCCAACTTTCCAACACCCTGCAAAACCATAGATTAAGCCTTAATGATGAGTGACTATACAAAGGTGATGCTTAATTGTTTTCAAGTGAAAGGCATGGGAAGATGATGAAGGCTATCTTAATTAGACTCTCAGCAAACACTTCACACACTAAAGTTGGTGAAGGCATAGTCAATATAGCAAAGGTGTATGAATGAGAGACTGAAGACATGTGAAGTATCAATTGTTCAAGTACCTGATTGCCTATCTTACTAACTTGCAAATTTGCAATTAGTAACAAATACATATGCTTTTAATTGTTTTTAATGTATTATATCAATCTGAAAGAAACCCAACAAAGATGATAATATGGTGATATTTGCAACCTCATCCCTGATTGGTGATCCACTTTGCAAAATATGATGCCAACATGTATCTTGGATGACAAAAGAAAATAAAGTTATAAAATCATTCAGTATGAACTTGTGAGCATGTGCTCTCTCAATCTCTGTACTTGCAAATGATTGAAGATGACAAAAAAGTTTCCTTGAATTGCTTGTTTACACCACATGAATTCAGATCCTTATCGAAATGCATCCAGAAATCCAGTGATCTACATGTTGATGCATAAGACTGTTGATACTGCTATAAATTGTTTCATGGATATAACCTGAGAAGAAGAAAATCACTTCTTTTACAACAGCAATAATGTTGGCTTACCATCGCAAATTAAATTGTGCCAACTGATAAACAGCTCGTTGATGGATTGAAAAATGAATCGACTGTTCACTCAGATAAGAGCAGGCACCAATTGTTTAGACGCAAACATAGATTTTTTTTTTTATATAAAGGATGGGCAGACCCATGAAGATCATCATGCAAGCAGGTTGAACACTGCAAATTGGATTAGCTGGTTACAAAGTAAGGATAGAAGTGACCATCAATTGGCGCAAAGAGAAAACCCAGGTTGAAAAGGTTGACAATTGTGCAACTGGAAAGTGAGCAGGGTGAAGGGCAAGCATATTTGTCAGGTAAATAAGTTATCCAGGTCACATCCAGATATGATAAGACACTAATAAGATAAAATTCAGAATAGATTAAGCAACAGTTTCATGCAATTTTTATAAGGCAAATAAAATAAGATATGGTAGTTCAAACTGCATCCCATTTACAAGCCATAAGTACTATATAGATTCTCCGAAAACGGATGCTGTAACAAATATGCAGTGTGGTATGGCCCAAAATTGTGACACTTAAGCGAGAAAAGTAAAGTACTTGGCAAAAGAAAGGAACCTATATTACGCAAACAATACAATCAGGTCAGTGGGCTGCCAACAACATTATGCAAGTTGCACATACTGCCATTGCTGTTGTAGTGAGAAAATTTGAATATATTATTGTGCACAAGCATTTGATATGTGCAATAGAGAAGTCATAATAAGGCATAAGCATCTCACAGAATGATGATGCAGCTCATGTAGCATCTGCAAATCTAGACTTCCTCTAAGCTTGTATTGCAGAGTTAACTATTTTTTTCAGTGCGCCTGGCTTTGCAGTTTGCCACATTGACATTCAGTAAGATCAAAGAATAACACTGAAAAAAGAATACATGCAAAGGCATTTTACTTTGTTGAACTGGAAGCAGTAAGTAAGATACTCCTCAAACGACTTACAAATGATATTATATCAAAGATATGCTTTTCAAGCTTCATACCAGGTGAAAAATAATTGATTCATTGATATGCACTAAAGTGGATACAGTGATAGTACAACAGGGTGACTGACCAGTCAGTTTTCTGCTCAACGTGTAGAGAAAAGAACAACCTGAAGTTGCTCCTCTGGTAAAGAACAGACAAGGAAAAAAGAAAAATCAAAGTTTTGATCCAGCAACGTCCTCCAACAAAAGAAATGCAAGCCAAAATCTTGTGCCGTGCTATCAAAACTCCGGCAATCCAGTGTAGAACCTCTCTATCAAATACAACCTCCATCTGAATCAATCACGCAGAATCAAGCTAAAAAAGGGATTGATCACAAGACGAATAACCATCCACGCTTGTAAAACACGAGCGTGCCCACGGTCACCGTCGACCAAACCGCAACGATCCACCGCGCCGCGAGCAATGCAGCCTCCTTCATGGCAACCGACCACCCAACAAGCCAGTTCAGCTCCTCCACGCCCTCAAAGTAATCTTTTCCTTGCACTCGCCACAATGCCAGCAGCGAGAGCACGAGCAGTGGCGGCGCGACGAGCTGCGTGGCCACGGCGCAGAGATGGTGGTTGTGCAGGAACACCTTGGCGCGGCCGTACTCCGTGTCCGGCGAGCGGCTGACGTGCAGCCGCTGGTACCAGCAGAAGACGGCCTCGTTGAGATACATCTGCACGGCCGCCCGCGAGGCCAGCAGCTGCAGCCCCGCCGCGGCGGCGAGCAGCTTCACCTCAAGCTCCGGGCTGTCCAGGAACCCGCAGCATTGGAGGATCGACGCCGCGGAGGAGACGAGGACGGCGAGGTAGAGGAGCAGGCGCGCGGGCGCGGACGACGCGAGCACGGCGAGCCCAGAGCGGGGCTGGTCGGTGCCGAGCCAGAACGAGCGCGCGAACCGCGTGGCGGGGAGCGCGGCGAGCGACGCGAGCGCGCCGGCGAACGGGCTGGACGAGAGCAGCGTAGCGACGAGCAGCGCGCCGAGCGCGGCGGCGAGGTAGGCGGGGCGCGGGGACGGGAGCATCACGAGGCGCAGCAGCGCGACGAAGAGGAACACGACGGGCGGGAGCGGCGCGAGCGGGGCGGCCGCGCCGGCGGCGGAGGCCGGGAGCAGCAGCGCCGGTGGCAGCAGCGCGAGCGGGAGGAGGAGTGCGAGGTGGAAGTCGGCGAAGCGCGGGCGCGTGGCGAGCGTGGCGTGGGAGAGGCGGAGGCGGTAGAGCTGCGCGGAGTTGGACCCCTCGTCGAACGGAGACGCCGCCGCCTTGCCACCACCACCACCACCACCGCGTTGCTGCTTGGGGTTCCCGGATCCAGCGGCGGCGCCGGGCGGGCGGAGGACGGCGCGAGGGGTGGAGGAGGGGACAGCGTCCGGGTGGATGTAGGTGTGGAGGGCGTAGAGGAGGAGGGAGGGGAGGTGGAGGAGGTGGGTGACGGCGGCGAGCGCGAGTGCGGCGACGGCGTAGAGGAGAGACGGCGGGACGGGGACGGGGAGGAGGAGGAGCACGGCCATCGCCGGCGGCGAGTGGGTAGATCGCCGGAGTTGAGGGTGGAGTGGATCTGAAGGAGGCGAGTGGAGGTGGTTGGGAGATGGGCTTTTCTGCTTCGAATCTGGGGGCTTTTAACTATTTGCCACTCTTACGAATGGTCCTTAACGATTTGCCACTAGGCCCACATGTCATAGACACATGAGGGCCCACGTGTCATTGACAGAGCGTGGCAAATCGTTAATTGCCATGTCACAAGAGTGGCAAATAGTTAAATTTCCCTCGAATGTGGGCTGGTTTGGACGGCTTGGATTCTTCCCTGCTTGCCTTGTTTGTATTTTGCATGGGATCTAGTACACTATATTTGTTGGGATTTGCTAGATTTCCTGAAAAAACTGTACACTTTTGGGTCACCTAAAATTGCACATTACTAAATCTAAATTGCAGATAAAATAATATACAAATGTCATTAGAGAATAAATACAAGCGCGATAAATGCGAAAATGAGACATCTACAATAGTAATTTTGTTGTTGCCAAGGCAAGAAGAAGATAGACAAACAGTACGGTATGTCTAGTATACATGGGCTCCATCGGTTGCCTAACGAGTTAAAGTTAAAAGTTAAAATTTAAATTTTCAAACTTAATTTTGAAGTTAATTTTAATTTATTTTCAATATAGTTTCATTTTTAGCATTAGTTTTTAAGTCGCTAAAAACGCATATATAAAAGTTTTATCTCTAAATTAATTTTTATTTTCTAATAAAATATTTTGACTTATTAGGGAATATGTGTAACCGATGAGGCCGTATATTTGTTGGGATTTGCTATATTTCCTTAAAGTTTTTAGATTTTTTTAGTCTCCTAAAATTGTACGTACGTAGATTGATAAATCTAAATTGCTGACGAATGAGATACAAATGTAATTATAGAAGACAAACTTGGCATGTCATTATAGAAGATACTACCCACTTATATATTTTATATAAATATATACAAACGTGATAAATGAAGCGTCTATATATAGGAGAAGTTTTGTTGATGCAAAGGCTAGAAGATAAGAGACAAACAGTACGGGAAGCTATTGAATGTGGATCGAGGACATCTCTAATGTGAGTGGCATGCTTATACTTTAATTAACTTGGTACGGCTAATTATTTAATTATTAGTGGTAGACAAATATACTTGTGGTGGCATCATTAATCTCGGAATAAAACAGCCTAATCTTTTTTAGGTGTAGATGTGCATGTTTTTAAAAAAAAATTAAGAAAAATGTGTGTATTTATATGAGTGTATATATTTGTAGCGCGTTTTGTAAATAAAAAAATCAAACATATATATAAGAACTATATTTTATCTCTCATATTATTGTGTGAGTAATAACAAGTAGTACTAACAACTAACAACCCAATCCGGTCTCTTGGTTCGTGACATGGGCCTGATCTTTTCTTTGAGAAAGAGGACGCTGTGGGCCTGATCTGAGTCCTCGTTATATAGTTTTCTTGGGCCTCGTTTTGATGGCCCATCATGCTAGCCCAATCAAAGTAAGAAAATGGTCTAAAAACTCCCACGTCCCCCAGTACTTTTTGCTTCAACTTGCTCGTTTCCCTTGCATTCCATGAAGATTCCTCCGTAGCAACTCGTTAATAGGATATTAATCCTGCAACTGTATATTAACCTTTCAGATACGAGAGGACAACGGACTGTTCACATATAATAATTTGATAGAAGCTAACCATCCATAATTAATACTACCTCCGTTTTTTAAAATAAATGACACCGTTAATGTTTTAACATTTGATCGTTCATTTTATTTAAAAAATTAGTATAAATATGCTAAAATATAAGTCAATGAGTCATACTTATAGTTTCTTCAATGATAAAAAATCACAGCAAAATAAATAAACATTCAATGAAGGGAGTACTTAGGAAAAAAAATGATGTCTCCTACGTCACTTGTAATACGTAGAGGTTGCAAAAATTCTACTCCTAGTCTCTTATACGCTTAATTTTGACCCGTCACATTTACACAAGTGACTAGAATATCCATATGATATTGAATAGTCCCTGTCAAAAGAAAGAAAGAAAAAAATAAGAAGAAGAGGAGAACTACAAGTACCAGCATATAACAACTACAGTATCGATCAAGTGCCAGGTGTCAACAACAATCGGATCGGAATAGTCATCCTTCAAACTTTCAAAGTATAAGTTCCACGAGGAATCAGGCGTTGTTTAGTTTGGAAAAAAAATTCTCAAAGTTTGATTTTGATCGTCCCACGTAAACTTTTGAATCGATCAATCAATTTGAAAATATACATATCGAATCGAATTGAATTTCCACGTAGGCCGCGCGAAGACGCCAAGAATGCGCGGCAAAAGGGCGAGCAGCGAGCCGAACTAACAGCTGAAAGCGAAACGAAGCTTAGATATAGTAATAGTTAAGATTACTTTCTCTGCGGTTTCGCGCGCAACGAAGCTACTCCTCTTCCTCCTCCCACCTCCCTTCTACTTTCCACCTCTCGCCCGCCATGGCGAATCCTTCAAACCTCCCATGGGTATAAAGCGTACGAACCATTTTTCGATGATCCCTCGCTCATGTCGGAGGCGATGTTCCGGTTCATGTCCAAGAACGGCGCCGGCGATGGGTGCGGCGGCGGCGGAGGCGGAGGAGGAGGAGGGGTGGCGCTGGAGGTGACCGTCTTGTCGGCGGAGTCGCTGCGGCTGCCGCCGCCGTCGTATTATTCGCTGATCCCGAGGCGGCTGCGGCCGTACGTGACGGTGTCGTCGGCGGCGTCGGCGTGCAGCACGGACGTGGCGGCGGCGGCGAGCGGCGAGCACTCGTGGAACGACACGCTCGTCGTCCCCGTGGGCGCGGAGTTCCTCGAGAGCCGCGGCGGCGGCGGCGTGCACGTGGCGGTGTACTCGGAGCCGGCGTGCCGGCTCGTCGGCGGCGCCACGCCGCTGGGGTGGTGCAGGATCCCCGCCGCCGACGTGCTCGACGGCCTCCGCCCGCCGCGCGCGCTCCGCCGGCTCAGCTACTCCCTCCGCTGCCCGCGCACCGGCGGCCCCGCCCGCGGCGTCGTGCACCTCGCCGTCCGCGTCCTCGGCGACCTCGTCCCGCCGCCTCCGCCGCAGCATGCCCCGTCGACGCCGCCGGCGCAGCCAGGGTGGTGCCGCGTGGCGATGGGCATCCCGGTGTCGGGGACATCCGCCGCCGTGGTGGGGATGCCGGCGTGGGCGGCGTGGGGCGGCGAGGCGGCGGCGTCGCGGTGATCGATCGCGACGCGGCGAGGCAACGAGAGAGACTACCCGTGGAAAAACGGTGGAAAAATTCATCGCCGGGTCGGACTTATTTTTATTTATTTTTTGTTCTGATCGAGACGTTGACTAACCCGGTAATGGGTTGGTCAAACGTCTCGTCGGCTCGTCGCGTTGTTCTGCGTGTGTACGTATATACGTACGTACATGCCCGGAAGCTTCCTCTCGCAGCTATACGTATGTACATACAACCCACGTACGTATAGTATCAATCATAAGTGGCTGTACTCGGATTGGTGGTGTATATGTGACTGAACTGTGGGACCAGGGGGTTGCAGGGGTTTTGTAATTGTAACTGTATAAATGATTGCTACCACTTGATTGTGAGATGAATTGATAAGAGAAACCCTAAGTCGAAAAGAACTTATTATTGCTTTTTGCCCCCTTTTGGATTGCTTGATAATGTACACATGTATTGCTAACTTGTTATGATTTTGTGTGTGTGTGTGGGGTGGGGGGGGGTCAAAAGGGGTCCAGGAGCTCCTTCTTTCAGTAGGATGAGGAGAATTTATTCAGTTTATAAGTAAAATCAGGTGTTAAAGAACTTTAGAACCACATGATTAATTTGGGAAAAACAAAGAAAGCGTACGAAAAATAAATGATTAGATCTTACAACGGTACAGAGAGAAACGCTCAGAGGTCTTCCGACTAGCTTCACGAGGTGGTTGGCTAGACAACTTAAATTTGAAGCACCAATCCTTCTAATTATTTAATATTAAATCTTTTCTAATTATTTGATATTAGTTAATTTCCTAGTATCCGCGTCTTACAACGGTACAACTACTGAGATCCATCAGGACCATCACAAGCCATCGTTATCGAGCACATCTTTTTAAAAAGAGAATGCCTTAATTTACCATAGAATGCAAAAAAAATAAAAAAAAGTTTATTCTTTTTCCCTACAGCCCACCCTACATACATTCAGACCAACCCAACACAACACAACCCAATACTCCCCCAGCCAGCATCAAGTCATCAACGCCACCACCAAACCAAACAAAACAGATCAAATCAAATCACCCATGTACACTCCTAACCCCAACTAATTATACATTGCATACAACAAATTTTAATCTTTATCAGTTATCACCTTAATGATCTTTGCTTGACGAATCAAAGAAGAGACACACCTCTCCCAAATTCAGAGCTGCCTTTTTTTTGCGAGACACATCTCTTCAGAAACCGAGAAACATATCTCTCTGCCAAATTCAGAGCTCTTGCAAAGACAAACATTTTTGCTTCAGAACTGAATCTCCAATCTCCGATCAGGTCAGGATGGCAGAAGGCGCGAAGGGCGGCGCGTAGTAGAGGGGGACGACGGCGCCGGCGTCGGGGTCGATGCTGCCGTATCCCTTCTCGCTGCCGCCGGAGTTGGAGGCCTCGTGCTCGCCGCCGCCGCCGCCGGAGTTGTTGCGGCGGCTGCGGCGGGCGGGCGACCCGGCGAGGCTCGGCGGCGGCGGGGCGGCGGTTGTCCGGAAGGAGGCTATCCCGGTCCGGCAGAGCGGGCACGGGATCTCGCCGGCGATCCCCGCCGAGTCGTAGGATTTGATCACCGAGCAGAGATCCATCGCGCATTTCACGCACAGCTCGTGATCGCAACCTGCACAGCACAAGTGATCAAGTACTATATTTAATTCACCAAGCAAAACACTATTACTAGTATTACTAATACAATCATTGCAGGTTAATTTAAATTCACCGCCTAATTACTGTCTAAGTCATGTCAACATTTTTCCTAGTCCAAGTTCAACCAATTTTATAGAAAAGTATAACAATATTTGTAACACAGTGCAAACATATTATCAAAATATAACAATATTACATTTAATGAATTTAATTTAGTGTTGTAGATATTGCTAGTTTTTTTCTCTATAAATTTAGTCAAACCTAAAAAGGTTTTACTAAGAGAAAAGTTAGAGCGACTTATATTATGAAACGGCGGGAGCACTCGATTGCTTCTTTCGCTCACAAATATCTAAAGTTTACAGTAATATTACTTCAACTTTTGAAATTTTGAGCATCATATTTTATTTTACATTCGAGTAAGTTCATAGAATCTAATTAGGTACAATACTATGATAATACCTTTCAAGATAAATCTACGCATGCCATTCTTTTCTTTCTAAAATCAGCATTTGAGAAATTATTGATGATCAAAATGTCTGATTGAATCTTATAAACATCAAATATGTATAACAAGATGGAGTAGTTAGTTCTTTGCCTCGATGTCTGAATGTTTTTGTGCATGGATGGAGATAAACAAGAAAAATGATACCTTCAGCAGCTACAGTGCAGGGCCTCTCAAGACAGACGGCGCAGGCATCTGCTCCTTCATCGAAGCCATCAGAAACCTCCGAAGACAAGTTCAGACCTTGCTCCCTGCAAATCTCACCAAACCAAACAAAACCATAGTACAAAACAACACACAAAACACCACTCCAACTCAGTGCATTTCAAGTTCTGAATATCACTGATCAGATCACATTGAATTTGCAGAATTGCATTGGTGATCAGCGATCAGTTAAAGTACCTTGCAATGGCGATGAGGCTGGGGAGTGGCTGGGAGAGGTAGCCGGAAGGAGGGAACTTGGGGATCGGAAGATGCGACTTGGGGGAGAGGACGTGTTCAAGCCAGTTGCAGCCCCAGATTCTGGCTGCGTCGATTGGGAGCCACCTGACTACCACAATCCTTGCAGCGATGAGCATCAAATTTGTTGATATGCTAGTGACAATTAATCTGGGGGATAATTGAGCTGGCTAATTTACCCATTGCAATTGATGGCTGTTCTGTCTGCTCCTCTTGACACGAGTATCTGAACAAGAACAGCAGGAAAGGTTTTGGAGTTATTCAGAGAGCAATCGATGTTCAAAGAAATGATCAGTCAGCAACTTGAAGAAGTTTGTGTTATTCAGAGAGGAAAATGATGGCCAAGAAATGATCAGTCTGAAACCTGAAGAAGTTTCTGTTATTTCAGAGAGGAAATCGATGGCCAAGAAATGATCAGTCTGAAACTTGAATTCGCTTTTTTAACTGATTCGTTTTAACTCGAGTGAGTTAACATTTCAACTCATCCATCTATTCAATTGATGGGATTGTCGACACTAACCGACTAACAACCAAATCAACAATAAACTAATATTTTTCAAATCGACTAATTGCTCAATTAATGACTGAATCATACCAACCAAACTTTCACTATCACACACTAAATTTGGCTATCATCAAAGAAAGGAAGAAAAAGGGAATCGTATACTACCTGACAGCACTTGACCTCGCCGCCGCACGCGGCGTAGTGCAGCGGCGTGCTGCCGGCGCCGATGGATGCCATGGGCGGCGCGGCGCAGGGCAGCGTCTGCGCGGCGAGGCTGGCGCGCTCGTCGATGAGCAGGTGGACGCACTCGACGTGCCCGTGCAGCGCCGCCAGGTGCAGCGCCGTCACGCCGCCGTTCGCCGCCTTGTTCACGTACCTGTCAATTAACCAACTCGAGATCACCATGGCCGCCACCTCGCTCGAGCTCCTCAACAACAACAATGGCTTACCCGTCTCTGTCGCCGGCGGCGTCCGCCACCAGCAGCCTGACGCACTTGACATGTCCGCCGGCCGCCGCCATGTGCAGCGCCGTCCGCCCACTCAGGTTCTCCACCCTCCACACCTTCAGTAAAAACAAAAGTTAATTTCTAATTTACTGATTAATCGTTGCAATTAACTGAAGTGCAGGAGCTAATCAGTTTACTGTACATTGCATCTGAAAACCAGCAGCGTCTGAACCACCTCCCAGTGACCGAACCGGCAAGCTTGCATCAATGGCGTCTTCAGTTCAATCAATCCCCATGTGCATTCAGAATTCAAGATCCAGGTCAGAAACATGGACTAGCTGGTTGGTCGGTTGGGCGATCGATCAAACGGCTCGATATTAATTCGAGTCAAAAACCGATGGCTTGGCTTAGCTTGTGCAGAGCTAAGCTTGTACAGTTTGAGTTCGCTCACCTGTCCATAGATGTTCCTCGCATTCACATCTGCTCCATTCTCCAGCAGCAATGCAGCAATCTGAGCACACAGTTTGGTTAGTTGAACACTGTCAAAACTGGTAAGAATTCAGAACATATCGATTGTTCAGAGATTGAACAGCAGCTGAATTTTTTTCTCCTTTTAATCGATAATAAGACAATTGATTTGAGCTGATTACCGAAGATTCTGGGCACACAGTTGGTTAGTTGAACAGACTGTCAAAAACTGATAAGAATTCAGAACATATCAGTTGTTCAGAGAATGAACAGCAGATGAAATTTGCTCCTTTTAATCGATAACATCACAGTTGGTTAGTTGAACAGACTGTCAAAACTGTTCAAAATTCAGAACATATCAATTGTTCAGAGATTGAACAGCAGATGAAATTTGCTCTCTCTTTTTTGACAAAATAAACAATGGTTTGAGTTGATTTAGCGAAAGATTTGTCGTCTGAATCGTCAGGGACGTCGGACACGTACGACCACGTCCCTTTTTCGTTGATAGTGTTTCTGAACACGACGGCATTAAATTTTCTGGTGCAACGTACTAGGCTGTACGATTGGGGAACAAATTAGTATGGGTCCATGGCCATACTTTTCATAATGATTTTGCAGCAAATAACTTCACACATTTTTTAGACTAAATTTTTAGTTTATCTCTCTCTCTCTTTCCATGATGAATAATTGTTTTTTTTTGTTTTGTAATTAGTTTTTACCGTTCTACAAAGGAGAAGCATGATAATTGACGAATTCCATTAATAGTGTCACTTTCTTTTATAGTTGCATCGATTCCCAATCAACATGAAAAGGAATTTTAAGTATATAAGTGTTGGTACACAATTACAAATCACACACATCAGCATAACAATAACCCGCAAAATGAATAGAGGCAACTTGCATGCGTAAATGTTACATCTCACTAATGATGACGTTTTCTTCTTCATTTTTGGCACGCAAATCAGATTAAGAGACGAGTGATCAATTGGTCATTTGAAGAATTAATCATCCTGCCGTTAGGTTTTCTGTCACCTCATTCAGCCATCGCGGGATAAAGCTAGCTAGGACTGATTGTGATTTCCATTTTTTGCGCAACACTTAAAAGATTAATAATTAATATGGGATCTACCAGGACAGCAGTAAATTCTTTTTTTTTTACTCTCTCTTTCTTTCGAATTCTTTTTTTTCTTTAATGACATGCATATGTGTGTGTGTGTGTATAAACTTTTTCCAAAAAAAATCAGTTGAATATATTCTTTTGGCAAATTAATTAAAAACGAAAAGATTAAAAAACTTGTTCCTAGGGCAACATCACTCATATGCCTGGTTAATAGTAAAAAACATAGCAAACCAATCTAGCTATTACCTCGTCTGTGATTTGATCATTGAGCATATTATTACAGTAAATTATCTATTTTATTATAGAAATAAACTTAACTAATATCTTAAAACAAGTACTACAAGTGGTTTCTTCAATGCAATATAATGAATATTTTTAAGAAAAGTTTTTTTTTCTAAAAAAATGAGTGCAGCAGGACTGCCAGCAGCCAGCAAGCAATTAATTCATTTCAATGATTCAATGAACAATCTGAAAGAAAAAAAAACAGGAGAAGCTAGCTCATAGCTTAGCTAGCTTGCTGCACCATCAATGGAGATGGTTTTTGTACTAGAGGTGATCAGTTCATTGTGGACGTATGCTTACCTCGTGGTGGCCTTTGGCGGCGGCGACATGGAGCGGCGAGTTGAGGTTGCCGAAGGTGGTGCACCGAGCCAGCCCGGGGTTCGCCGCCAGCAGCCGCTGCGCCTCCGCCGCGTCGCCGTCCTTCGCCGCCGCCGCCAACCTCTCCCCAAGCCCCACGCAGCCAAGCGAATTCCCCATATATACGCACCCCCTTCTTCGCCGGCCGCCGTCTCACCGACGCCGGAGACGACGACGACGACGACAACCACCACCACACCGAGCTAGCTATCCAGCTAATTAACTTAGCTTGATTTGGTAGAGAGATAGTTAATAAGCTCAGCTAGCTCACGCCACAAACGTGAAGAGATCAGCTCAGCTTAGCTGGGTTGTTGGCAAAAGCTAGTAGTACTAGAGCTAAGCTAACCATGTACACAAACTACACATCCATCTCATCTCCTCTCATTTTGTGTCCCTCATATATAGTGAGTGATACATGATCTCTTAATTGGTATGTATGTATGTATATCAAGGGGCTAAGCTGGCTGGAGAGCCTAGAAGCTGGGCATGATTAGTGCATTAATTATTTGTGTGTGGCCTAATTTGCAGAAACATCCCTGTGGATCTGTTGATTATGTGGTGTAGCTAGGCATCTTGGTTGCCTCAGAAATGGGTACAAATTTGGATGTGAGCTTTTTTTTTTTTGTCACAAATGGTAGGGTAGGGTTGAGATCATATTCATGTATGCCGCTGTCACATTTTTGCATTATATGTTTGAAGTGGATTTAGAGGTAGTGCCCATCTGCCAACCCCCTAGCATTAACTACTGTAGAAGCTAGTACAGTCCTGTACTCGTATGAACCTTGAATAGGGAGTTTTTAGATTCCCAAAAGCAGTTCAAAGAAATTTACCTGGTGAGAATTTAGAGAAACTGGAGAAAAACAGCTTCTAGCTTTTAATTTATTTTCTGCAGCTATATATAGCTTCTGGTGATTTAATTTGAAGAGCTTCTAATTCTAGAAAAAGTTATAACCTCTATAAGCTCCTAAAATAGCCCTATATCAAGCTAGAGTACTACTAGTTACTAATCAATCTTGGCAACATATGCCATAACAGTCGATCGGTAATTAGCCTCCTTAATTTGTCTTTAATTTGATCTATCTAGTGCTTCAGGCAATTTTTTTCATCTGATGGGAATTTGTCTTGTAAATAAAAAAACAAGATTAGCCTTGGTTAGTTGTCGCTTGACAGTACACAGAACATGTAAACCTCTTACAGATCTAAAGGAGGAATTTCCCATTGCAAAAATTAAAGGGGGAACGTCCTAATATTAAATTCGAAATGTACCCTGATCAAATAATCTAGTCAAACTAGGCAACCACAGACCTCTAAGCCAGCTAGTAAAAATAATCTAGTGGTAACAAAGATAATGCAATATTACCAGAATACACGTCCATCATGTCTCAACAAATTTGGGCCCACTATATATCTATAATAATTAGAAAGATAACTTATTTAACTAGAGTCCATCGATGAGCCGGAGTAGAAAAATTTGGAGAAGAAATTAACCAGCAAACTCTTTTATATATAGTATCAATGTATTCCATGTTTATCTTATAAAAATAATAGAAGATGTTGTTGTTATTATTATCAAAAAAGATAATAGCGACTTTGAATAAGACCCCTCGAAATGAAGTCAGTGCCTCCAATGGACGTAGAGGATACCAATCAATTAATGTTATAATATCTCAAATTTTGTTCAAGAGCAATGGACTCTCAATCTCTGATTGGTTTCAAGGAATTAGGTAATCGTTAGGAAAGTAGTCCAATGCAAAGGACATGTCATCTCATTACAATTAATATATATATATAACATCATACTAATACCAAACCCCATGCATATATCTATACACTGATGAATTTGCAGGCAACAGAATAAAAGGTAATGATAACAGCATACAACGAAAAAATATATGTTGTTAAGGAAAAGCATTTCAAATGAACAATTGTAATTTAACAATCAAGTAGTAATATTACTATTGGATCAGAAGATTGAGTCTTCTATACGATATGTAGTTTGCATTATATAAGGTATAGCTGCATTTTGGAATGGAGCAAGTATATAGCTGTGCCGTGAAGCAGCAATATTCGATCTCTTGTCAGAAATAGGATGTGAGAATGAGATGGACTGAGTTCAAAATAAATTGTTCCATCCAGGACACCTACGTAAAAAAAAAGCATGAACTTGTCATCGTCACAACATACTTCCTTTGCTAAAAAAACAACCTAAGATAAGAATTTGGCACTACTTAGAATGATGAATCTGGATAATCTTATGTCCAGATTCATTGTCTTTTTTTAACTGATGGAGTAATTATTATCGATTAAACACCTAATAAATATTTTTTGTCTGGGGATATATATATCTATCGTTGATGGAATCTACATCCGTAAGCTGAAAGTAACAGAATCTAGTAGGAATCTGGAAGCGTGGCCACAGCAAACTCATCTCTCTGAGGTGTTCGATTCTTGCAAGAAAACAAGAAATGCTGAAAAATTGCTTCATCCACGCCAAGTCATCAGCCTTGTCAATTTTAGAGAGGCATGTGTTATCCACAAGATGAAACCGTTTCAATTGCCCTCTAAACCCTTTGCATAAAATTGTCATTTCAACTTGATTACTTGCAAAGAGCTACATAATTATTAGTAAGGATGTACATATGCTAATTTGGAGACACCAACATGTTATTTTGGACCGGATGATTGACTAACTTATGATAATTATTCGAGGGTATAAATGATTAAATTTTATAAAGTTAAAACTAGATTTAAAATAGTCCTAAAATTTATATACACAAAGTTTTTTAAAAAGAAAAAAAAGTGTCGCTTTGAAACTCGAGAAGCGTGCGCACTCATCGCTTAAAAAGAAATATTTAATATTAAACTACACTTAAAAATTCCTAGCAAAACCACTAGTTACCAACCACATAGACTTTGCCAAAAAGAAAATCACTGTTTAGAGAACCTACAGAAATCATTAATATTTAATACAAGCTTTTCCCCTAACAATGTTTCAACTTGTTAGATAACTAAAAGACAACATGCCTCTATACTTTATTTACATGCAAGATTCAACACACACAAGTACACAACTACTCAAGGTAGTAGCCAGAAGGCCAACACATCTTACACGTGTAAGAATAGAACAAAACGGGGTGCAGAGCGGTGTGCACGTAGCAGGACGCCCTGCATACGTGTGCGTGATTGGGTGGCGCAACCGAAAACGACCTGATCCAATGCAAACGCAACGTAGCAATCACGATTGCCCCCACGGAATCGCACATCATCACTAGCCGGATAATTACTTTCGTTTACGGCAGTATCAACACTCGCACCCACTTATGTGCCGCTGAATTATACATGGGACCCACTGCTCGTGGGGCCTACACAGTGTGATAATACTCCATCCGTTTCATCGTATTATAAGATGCTTTGAATTTTGAACGCAAAACAAATATAATATCAATACATATTTAATATTAGATTTAATATAAGTACTTTGGGGTTGTAGATGTTGCTGTGTTTTTTAATAGAGTGAATTCATGATAAAATGATAATATGCTTTTGAGAGGAATCTATGCATATGATTTTCTTTTATTGATGACTAAAGTTTTAACAATTTTAAAAGTTTGATGAGTCTTATCGTAAACATTAAATATTCAAAATCAGAGTGAGTATAAGTTAACAATGACCGGTGACTAGTGATACAAGTTCCGTGTGTATTGCGGACTTTTGGGTGATATATCTATCTGCTGGTTAATTGTCAGTTTGTCACTACTTCTAGCTCAACTGTGGTGGACGAAGCGTCAAAGCAAAGCATGGCGAAAAACGCTACAATCAAATAAATGTAGAGGACATCAGAGAATGGCAAACATTCTCCCTTTTTCTAAGAAAGAAGAAGAAGAGAAATGTGTTCCCTAAAAAAAAAAGGAGAGAAATGTGAATGAAGGATATGATAAGGATAGGCAAGAAGGGGTGGTTGGCAGGTGAGCCTGGTTTAGGCAGATAAAACTCCCTTGTTCTGAAGTGCAGATCTCAGATTAATTTAGGCCTATTTTAGAACATAGGATTTATTCAAGGAATTTCGTAGGAATTAAACTGTTTCACATGAAATTCAGTAAAATTCCTGCATTTCAAAGATCCATCCTATATTGCGTCGGATAGCATATGACAAATAGACATTGATTGGGTGTAGGAGTACTGTATTTTCTGACTGTTGATAATGTCGTAGCCTCGTCAACCAAGCAGGCCAGTGCTGTACCTTTAACAGCAGCAATCCCCAATTTCTTCTGAAGACAGCAAAACAAAACACAATTATGATGTTCACTTGCATAATACTTCTACCAAAACACCACCCATAAAAAAAGGTACATATTATTAATTTGACGGCCACATTTTGTCAAAACCGGCGTCGGTACATCATCCGTTCCTCATCAGCGGCGCCAAAAAAAATAATTCAGAATCGTCAGCTGCAGCAACGGGCAGCCTACCAGGCTAGCAGCTGTGCCATCTTTGTTTCAGAAGATACACACACCCATTTGACGCAGCACAAGATCTGCTGCTGACACAAGTCTCACTCATAATCAGTCGTCACATGATATTTTGGCCCTGCAGTCTGCAGACAGCTACCAAATTTCTTGCTTTCAGGCAAAATTGACACCTGAATCTGCATGGCGGTAACCACCGCCAACCACTAGCAAACTATGAGCAATTTTCTCATGGACTTAACAGCAAACTTTTATTGCTGCCAAGTGAGGATCAGAACAGTACAGTGTACTTGAAACTGACAGAGGAACGAATTCGTTTCTAGTGAGGCAGAAACATGGACATGCAAAACACATTGCATGGATTCTAGATGACATCAAAATTATTAGCCCTGGAGCTATTAATGTCAATAGTATAGTAGGATCTTTCAAGCATTCCATGGGTATCAAAAGGATCCAGTCTTGTACCGCTTTCCGAGATAAAGAATAGCATACAACAGAAAAGAAGCAGATATTTCTAAAAATAGCTACTCGTCCTTTCAACCGTTAATCCAACATGAAACATGAAAGCTGATCAAAGGGCGTTGATCATCCGCTTCATTTCTGCGGATCTCCTTGGGTCAGGTTCTGCTATGGCCCTTTCAGTCAAGACATGCTTTATTCGACACATTGACTTCTTCACCTGAAATCATGACAAGAATCAATGATGCAATGTTTCAACTACTGATTGAAGAACAGAAAAGACGCCATGAAATATGTTTGATATGCACCCTGACAAGAAATTCTAAGAAAATGTTATCTTAGGAAGCAAGTCATATCCGTAGTCACAAAATTATCTGTAATTCTGCTATGGAAATTGCTTTCAGGCATTCCACATAACTGTCTATCGACAATATATGGAAGGGATCATTTAGTTTAAGTACAAAAGGACAGTGCTTCTGGAGTCCTAACACACAAATAGTAGGTGTGAAGAATTTCAGTTATATGATTAAATCACTAAAATTAGCATTATTCAAGGACAAAAAAAAATAATGTTCTAAGAGAAACAAAATTGTGTAACTTGGATCAGTTGTGGCATTGGATTAACTAGACATGATTATGAGAGAGGCCAATGTCTGCTCTGTTTCTCAATCAAACAAGAACAAGTTGTAATTGATAAGGATATTCCAATAAGTAAAGTTCAAACGTTAAGAAATGAACAGCCAAACCAAGAAGTCAAGAAACCTTTTGATTTGCAATTAGCATATTACCGTCCACAGAATAAACAAGATAACGTCTAACAAAAAACATGTTGTCGTTAGATTACCATCCACAGAATAAACAAGATAATATCAACAAAAAGCATGATATAGTTATTTGATTAGTCACAATTCTTCCAAATTTTGTCCCGTATTGACCTAGTTACACAAAACTGAGAACTTAAATAGTCTCAGTTACTTGCATGAGGCAGGGTGTTAAGATGGCCGTGCAATACCTTGGAAACACGTTCAGGGTTTGGAAAACGCATATTCTCTGAATGTAGCATCTGGCGCTGACTCATAAGCATGTTCTTTTCCTTCAGAAGGACATACCATAGCTTCTGAAGGTCATCCCAGGATTTTAGGCGTAACTCGGAAGCCTTCCAACTACGGCCTGCCAATTAATAAAAAGAAAAGGCGGCACTGATAAGCTTTCTTGACAAAGATCATTGGATAATTTTATTTGATCATAACAGAGAACTTCATACCTAAACACCTGGATTAAATGCAAAGTGCTAGGGCTATGACATGACCATAAAGAAGCACCGACATGTTAATAACTATGTCCTTGTCAAGCACAGTATCAAAGCAACACTTCAGGCTTCTAGCATTGGCTTAGTGCATCAGAAGAAACCCAAAAACTAGATGTCAACATGCAAGAAAAACATTTGCAAACTAACCATAGTAAATTATTAATTCTGATCGGTAAGCTTTAAAATTCCTAATATATCATTCTTCTGATAGCTGTACCATATGTACGTGTACCTAGGCTTGCTAATGGATTCAATGGGCTGGATTTCAGTGTGGGTTGGCTTTCGGTGGGTGGAAATGGATTGATGCAGCTAATGGATAGGGGTGGATTGGATGGAGATGCAGAACGGTTTTGATTGCATTGGTTTTGGTTAGGAAAGTATTGGATTGGTTTTGGTTAGGAAAGTTCAGATAGAAAGTGGATTCAGCCCATGGGCATCCATTGGATTGTGCCCAAATCCCGTTCGTCTTCCTGCGACACTGGCAGGTGAAAGCCACGGCGCCGCCACCACTGTGCTCAACGCCACCGGTGGCTCAACACATTCCTCTCCACCTCCTGCACCCTTCTGCGCCACCAGTCATTGCCGGCGGCGGCAGGAGTACGACAGGGAGATCACCATGGTTCATCATCATCACTTCGTTGCCGTCCACTTCGCCAGTGCCGCCACAGCACCCCACCGGCTCATCATCATCACCTCGCGCCGCTCCCGCCGGCATCGGTGACCTCTTCCCAGCATGCGGGCCTGCTCGGCTGGCTGTTCGCGCTCGGCGCGGCGCCACTGCTGGTGGGGAGCGCGGCATCGGCTGTCACTGGTGGACCAGTAACAGCAAAGACGTTTTCGCCTCTGCTCTGGCTCACCGGGCTGTTGGACAGCAGCAATAATGTGGTGACATGCAAGCTGACGGTCAGCAGCGGGGCTCCCATGTGGCCGGAGTTCTCAGCAACAGCGACAGCGGCACCGGTGGTCAGCCTGATGCGTGGAGGAGGGTCTCAGCAACCACAGCTTTTGTGATACTGCAGTGGATATATACGCATCCAAGCATGGTGTCCAATGCATGGTGCATGCCACCATGGTTTTCCCAGGGACAGTTGAATCAAGGATTGGACACTGCGGTTCCAGTCCATGGATTTAGAATGGATTGAACCCACTTTACTAGAATGGTATGGACTGGTTTGGTTTGAAAATGTTCATGGATTGGATTGGTTTGGAGCTTGAAGAAGGAGAAGTGGTCTGGGTTGGTTTGGTTGGGGCAATAATGGATTGGATTTCAACCCATTAGCACCCCTATGTGTACCGACAGAAGCACTTAAGAACACATACAATCTACCACTGGCATCAACAGAATGTATCTGGAGATGCCTGGTTTCTGGCTTTACAAAGACCAAGACAGAAGATTCATACACAGATCATCGTAAGCCGTCTATATAGACCCTGGTATACGAAATCATTAATTTTCTTAAAAGGAAAACTCGGCTCTATGCTTGACCAGCAGGTCCAAAAATTGTGCTATTATTTTCGTTAATCTGGATTACAATCATGAGCAATACAATGTAATGGCATGCTCTCTAACAGAACCAGTTGTTCTGTGCTTCCAGAGCCTTTTCCACTAACTATTAACACAATGAAATTCCCAACCATAAGACATTTTAGAGCCGACTCGTTGCGAATTTCGCAAACCACAACGCAAACAAAACAAAACAAAATAAAATATCTAGTGGAGATGTAGAACGTGTGAATGATTATATAGGAAGGAAAAATGGGAGGTATGGATACCGTAGTGCGGAGGGGGCTTGTCTTCCTCGGTGCTCCTCTCGACCTCGAAGAACTCCTCCAGTGGGTTCTGCGCCTTCCTCACCACCGCGGCGGCCGCGGCGGTGGCATCAGATGCGGCGGCGGAGGAGGAGGAGAAGAGCCGCCTCCCCAGCGCCCTCGACAAGGACAGCATCACGACGGCGACGACCGACGGATCCGCAGATTGGGACGCGCGAAAACTTGGTCCGACGAGAGGAAAGGTCAGCGAGATACCGGCGGCGGCGGCGATGATCCACGGGAGGGGAGGGTTTAGATGCGAAAGGGTTTTTGCGTGGATTTGGTCGGGGAAATTTACGGTTGGGTTGGGGATTTTGCTACCTAGGAGGCTGACAGTTCGGGCCCACCTGTCTGTCTATGTGCTGTACAGTTCAGGCCCAAATTTTCTCAAATGAGCAAATTTGTGGTTTGGATTGAAGCTATTTTTTGACTATTTCAATAGTGTACTGTATGGATTTTTTGTTTGGTTCCAAATTTTACCTAGGCTAGTACGAATTCTCAAATTTGATAGTGTCAAAACCGGAACTGGGCTTTGACACAACCAATAATTTTGTTTGATTCCGAAGAGTCATCCTATATATCAAAAACAAAATTCATTTAAATTTCTACTGTTACATCAAAACAAGCCATTGCGATGGATTTGTAGTATGGTACCATGTCATGAAAATTTAGAGATGTGTTCTTTGGAGTGGATTGGGAACTGATCCCATGCACAGAAAACAAAACAGATTAGTTCATGGCTGATTAAGTATTAGTTAAAACAATTTAAGAATGAATTAATATAATTTTTTAAACAACTTTCCTATAACTTAGTTTAGAAAAAAATACAGTTTAACAGTTTGGAAACCGTGCGAACAAAAAACGTAAGTTGGGAACATCCAAAAATGAAATCAGCCTTAGAAAGGCGACTTTGAGGAGCTTTAAATGACAACATTTCAAGTTGCCAACACAAGTTCAACGAGAAGAGCTCCAAAAACTCAGGCCACAAGAGATACATAAACATATGTGATAAATTTCTCACCAACAAAATTGTGAGGCACTTGTCCTCTCATGAATCCTCACTATGCTAGCTGCCTAGCTCTCGCCTAAAACACGTTACATGAAAGGAAACCTTTTAAGGTGACCTTGTAAATTACAATGTGTGTACCAGAACGCTGCCAATTGTAACCTCACTGTCGAAAGAAGACAATGACGATTTCACCGAATGCTAAAATTTGATAACCCCTCCAGGTGAACCCCTATGATATCTCCCCAACTCTGAAGTTAGCAGAAGGTGAGCAATGTAATGGTGAAACAAGTGCTCATCATCCACGGCCTCTGCCCCTCCCTCTGCCTCTGCCTCTGCCTCCTCTCCCACCACCACCACCTCCTCCTCCACCTCTTCCACCACCACCACCTCCTCCTCTCCCACGACCTCCTCCTCCTCCTCTTCCTCTTCCTCTGCCACGGCTTCCACCGAACAAATAGTACTCGGCTTTGCCTTGTTTCAAGCCCAGGGATTGCACACCTCTCCTCTTGAAATCCTTGGGCTCTTCGTCATCAGATTCTTCGTTGCGCCTTCTTGAGCCTCTAGCGATGAATGAGATCTCGCGTGAACCACCAGGTCCATACTTTACCTCATCAAGTGCATTGGAGTTCCGCTGCCTCTCCAGAGCAGCTACCCTATCGCCAATAGGTAGAGCATCCTCATTGGCAAGGGAGGTGCTATTCAAAAATGCCTCAGCGTGACGGTCATCCTTGACTTCATACAACCTGCACGGTGGAGAGCAGTTGGCATAACTCCAATGCGCCACAAGAAAAGCATCCTCGGGAAATAGAACGAATAGCCCCCTCACTAATCTAAAAATGAAATGAATGGATGTGGCCAGAAGCCAGATCCCTCTATAGGATAGATAGAATGCAGCTTAACTCATGTAATTATGCACGTTGGCATTGCTTAAAACCAGTAAGCATGTGCCTATTACTCAATCATCAACCTAACCAACCGAGGCCATTGCAAACGATTTTTTTATAAAAAAAAGAATCAAATAATGGTAAATGCGCAATTTAACCTAACCAACTCACCTTATACGCTTTGAACTTTGCATGCCATTGTCACTGTCAGACTCTGCTGATGCATCAGATGAACTAGCATCTTCTTGTTCCTCATCATCACTAACAGTCTCAAAATGTTCCTCAATTAGACGAGGCTCCTTCAAAGATGTTTGAGGATGAAGTGCAAGATATTCTCTTGATTGTTCATCAATTTCAAAGTCCTGCCCACGTGATTAATGGGATTAGAAAACCAGATTAGCTTAAAAAATATAACATATGGTCAAAAGGCACAGCTGAGACATGACTCTAGCTGGAGAGCAACAGGTTAGCAGCCACTGTATCCAAGTGCTGTGAGACGCAATGTGCTAATTATAGCTCTAGTTATCTCCACACTCAACTTGTAATGAACAGTGGTGGTGGACCATGAAAATAGCATATACAACGTACAAGTTCAAGGGAGATAAGTTATCATTAGCAAGAACGGTGATATTTTTCTAGTACTATAGAGACACTTTTCAAATGCCTTTACAATACTTTCACAATACTATAAAGGTATTTTAAAAAATACCTAATAAGTGTCTTACGGTAAGAGGTATTTTATAAAATATCTATAAGATGGTAGATGTATTTTCTGAAGACATTAAATTGTACCACAATCCTATGAAACCAATGTAAAAAAATAAAATATTTTTCCTTGTTTTTGCCAATCCTTAAACTCATGATTAATTGTACAAATTATTCTCATCTACAAGGCACTAACCAACTCAACCCTAAGTATCACTTGTGTATTTGACTTGAGTTACTTATATTTAGTCATTTAGTTTTTTTTTATTCTAAGAAGTGTCTTTATAGTGTTTAAAGTGTCTCAACTGCAGAAACAGAACCTTTATATAGTAAAAGAAACAGTAATATACTGTTTAGCTGCTTAAGCAGTAAAGCACCAAGAGCTAGCATAGTTGGAAGGGGTCAAGCTTAGAGCATACATACATATATGTATTACATACCATGTGATTAAAATTTCTGTCATGCATCTACAATCTTGTGACCGTTTATTATTATTATTATTTGAAAGGAAATCTTGTAAAAGTATTTTACACTGGGCGGGGACAGGTTGGATTGCATACCTTATTTTCAAACATTTCTTTGAAACGAGGATCAGTCAACAATGCCTTGTTCATTTCCAGTTTCTTTTTCTTCTTCTTGATGCCTGATTTTTCATCATTCTCCAAATCAGCATCCATTTCCTCTTCCTCTTTAAGTATATTATCCATAATTTGCCTGTTAACCTTTGGTATTTTCACAACTTGCTGCATGAGGTAAAAAAGGGTCGACATTCATTAAGGTGATGATCAGGAACCTGTTACATGTTATACAGTCAAGGAACACACTCTCTATGGGCAGACATACCGTTATGCGAGATTTTCTCTGTTCTTCTATTTTCTTTTGCTTAACCTTCTCTTGAATATTCTCAGGATCAACAGCACTAGTAGCTAGTAGCTGAAAAGAAATGAAAATGTTAGTAAAGAGCATGTCCAATGTATTCGTTCCTGCAACCCAACCACACATACAAAAATACAAATATAGCAAGTCCATTTTTATATTCAACTCTAAGGTCAGATGGCTTTAGATGGGATATACATAATGACAAAAAAAAACTGGTCCACAAAAGAGTCTTCATGTTACTAGAGAGGTTGACTGCAACCATCCTACAGCAGCATGAATTCACTTAGATGTCCACGAAAACAGTTTACCTTCTTATATAGCTGAAGTTTCATCACATATCCATGCATATGCGCTCTCACAAGACCCTGATCAATGTACTTAGAGAGATCATATCGATCCATCTCATCTTTTGTTAAAAACTTGAAATCTTCATATACAATATTCTCTGTCTTCTCTTCCATTTCTTCCTGTTCAAGGAGAAATTCATAGTTGGTAGTGTTCAGCCAAGGTTTATTAGAACTAGAAAAATAGTGAAAATTATTCACTCACCGTTAGATTATCAAGATGCGAGCACCACTTTGGAGCAGGGCCCAATGCAGGAATAAAGTGGGCAGGGATCTGGCTATTGTCCAAAGCTAATAACATCAAACCACTGTTCCGGAAAACACAAACATCATTGATAGTACCACCATCTGGTTCAATGCTAGTCATGTTATTTCCCTGTAGAAAAGGGTAAGGCCATCATCCAACAAAGTTAATGCCTTCCAGGAAAAAATGAAGCCTGCACTTTCCAAAGAAAGAAAAATGGAAGAACTCACTGTATTAGGATCCCAAACTCTCACTATATGCTTGTCAGCAGTAATCAGCTTAGGTTCAGTAGAATTAAGTGTCTGGTGCCACTTAATACTTAATATTGGGCTACCATACCTGCAATAACAGCAAGTACATGATAATATATTATCCAATGCAGGAACATTTCAGCTATTGGCTACCACGGCTCAATCCCCCACCAGCAGCACCTTTGCTTTTATAAGATAAGATGATCCTGACTTGGAGCCAAGAGAATAACTTTTTGAAAAACTAGGTGGGGTTCACAATAAGATTTTCATAGAGAATCACATCTAGTAAGAGTATCTCATTTTCTCCAAAAGTCCTTATAGCTTTGACATGTACTAAAGGAATATGGTTTATGATGAAAGCATGAAACCTTTTCTTTTTAAAAGAAAAGATACCGAACTTACATATGATCCTTAACTCGCAAAGGGGAAGACATACGTAGATCATATATTGCTACCTGCAGAAAATCCCAAACATTTAAGACTAAAAAATGATAAACAAAAATCGTCATTTTTACAGATTGGGTTGTCCATGAACATATAAAGTAATATGCCTATCCATCACCGAAGAAAAGGTAATGCTGAAAACGCTAGATATGAAACTGCATATAGCTTGTTACAGAATACAGAAATAAATTAGTTAACTCTGGTAGTACAATGGCAGTAAGTATAATAAAAACTATAAATTCAGGAAAAGAATTTGCAACTTAGGTGGCAGTGAAAATCAAAGGAGAATAATGATGAACCTCACCTTTCCTGTGCTGCTCCCTACTGCCATAAGGTATCCTTGGTTTTCATCGAATTGCAGAGATGTGACCTCCTGCAATTTTAAAGCATGAGAACACCCAGAATAACGTCAAAAATGTAACAATTAGCTACTCCACAATGCAACACCTGATTAAAATCTTCAGGAGAGACAGCTGTGTTAATTCTGCCAACAGAAGATTTTCTCCTCATATCAAAGCACTCAACCACACCATCCTCACCACCACAAGCAATGAGCCCATGTATGTTACTGGGAGTACAACAAATAAAAAGAGAGAATTGAACTACTTGATAAGCTTGGCATTTTCAAAAATATACAAGTCAATAACAAAGAACTACCTCCGAGAAACCACATTTATTGCTGGAGATTGAGATGAAAGAGATGCAAGGAATCGTCCCTGCATTAAGTACATTAAGAAATGATCAAATTCATTCTCTGAAAAGACTGAAAGCAAATGATGAGAAGAAAACACCATTGTAATGTTGCAACTATTAGCAACTTAATACAAGGTATATGAAGAATATTTAGTTAGATTCAGGATAGATGATGAGAAAAATTAATCAGAGGATATGCGATAAAGCTATAGTTAGGCTTACATTCAAACAACCTAATTAAGTATCATCTCTATCTTGGTTCTGTACTAACAGGTGCCAAACAAAGTATAGTATGATTTTTCCTAAGACTAAGGTAACCAGATATTTAAAATACATATCAATGATGAAGAAAGAAAACAGACCTGCTCTAAATTGATTCTATACACATCTGGTGATGAAGCAGCGCAAAGCAAATCACAAGACCAGCAATCATATGCCATATCTCTTCCCATTCTGTCAAAATGGAAATCAGCAACATGCAAAATTAAGGCAAGTTATGTATTGAAACATTCCATTACTATAGTGTTATCAGTTATCATCATCTCAAAGAAGCTTAGTTTAGACCCATGATATAAGAAGAGATACAAAATGTAGAAACTAAAAGAAAAAATCATTATGCAGCAGATAGACAACTATGTTTGCACAGGCAACAGGGAGCTCTTACTACTTTCTAGCATACTAAACATGTAACCAACAATAATTACATAGCTCTGACTGGCCATAAGACACTAAAAGAATGTTGATAATAGGGCAGTCAAAATGTATTGAATTAAGACAGAACAATGAAATGCGAGAAATATCCTTCAGTAAGATTGGTGGAGCCAAAAATGTACCATACCAAATAATTGGTAGTACGAAAACCTAGGCAGGTTTGGGCACTACCAAATTTGATAGGGTATAGTACTGCTAATTAGAACTTAGAACTAGTGTGGCAAAATTTGGCACCAAACCAAACATCAAGATGACACAATTTAAGTTGCCAAAACTTTGGTAGGGCAAAATTTGGTACTAATCCAGACCAGCCCATATAACTAAGTCTGCATCTGGCAACAGGTGGCTGTTTAGTACTACTATACTACATGTGATACTCCATGTATTGCTGCAGGAATTTGCATGTAGAAATCAAGAGGCAGACATGGAGGTGCAAGATGGAGAAAATTAAACAGAATACTGTCAATGCCAGATGAAAATTATTGATTTTATTACCATGCTCACTGTTATCTTCTCTAGACTACTTTGTTTGGAAATCACGGAAAAGAAGAGAAAATGATGTGATCATGTTGTTTTAGTTTTGCTAAAGCTTCATCCTGATCAGACTCCAAAGACTCAAAAAAAAACCTGAGATATATCTCATCCTTGGCAGCGACGAAATGGAAATTATGCAGCCAGTGCCAAGGCCAAAAATGCCCAAATAGTTGGCCTTTTCAGCATGAGCAGCAGGAGGTGGGCTAAAGCAATGCAACCAAGTCGATGACTTAACATGCACCTAATCAGCAGTAGGAGCACAGAAGAGTAGCGTTTAAAATGAGCTGGGTTTAATCAGCATGAGAGGCAGGAGGGAAGTTAGAATGTTAATGGTTCAAATATTAATTCTGACAGTTTATGTGTTCTTGAAGATGTCGCTTCACTTTACCAAAGGGCCAAGTAGTTAGTGCATGAAAAGTATATAAGAAATAGGATGTAGGTGATAAGGACAGACTAACCTTGGAATTCTCAAGCTATAGTGTCTACCGTACTTTGCATGCAGGCATACAGAACGGTCAGCACACAAAAATGCAAGTTTTGAGTAATCATCACCAAGGACCTACAGAAAGATGCAATATGTGTTATTAGATAGAAAATATACAAAAGGAAAGATACAGAGGTTGGCACCTACAAGCATAGTAGACAATTTTGAGCAGTTAATCTCCAATGGTTTGTATCAATGTGGAAATACTTTAAATTACATCCCACGACAAAGCATGAACTCATAGCGGAAAGTATAAAACTCTCATAAGCAAAATAAATTCAACAGAGATGTACTACAGTCTAAGTTAACAATCTAATTTGTTACACAGCTAATGAAAATGCAAGTTTCTGATTTGTGGAAAATTCAAATGTCTTCTCCATAGTAAAAGAGGAATGAGCTTCACTAGAGCCTAGTCCCACCTGGAAATCTACAATTTCTGAAATCATGTGCCTCTCAAACTTCATTGATAACTCCTTCAATTCATAGACTTTAACTTGTGGGGGGTAAATACCTGACATCATAGACAGAAGAATTCCACTTACATACAGAGGTGTAAACAATCTGATGAAAGTGACAATACTGAAACACATTAAAGGTGAAGATTAAACTAACAAGTGATATTACAAACTAAAGAAAAAAGGTGTAGAGCATGAATTACATGGATTGTTTCTGAAGGCATGGGATTATTCAAAGTTGGACTCACAATAAGCAAACATAAACGCAAGCTTCTCCAAGAAACGCCTTAGTGGTTTAAATGTTTTGACTCTGACTTCAAATGAAGCACAAGCCAAGGACATAGTAGGGGGACGATGAAGCGCAAGCCAATGACATAGTAGGGGGACGGCAGCATTCCACGATAATTGTGTGATGCTCCAATGCCAACTCGCACCCAGAACATGAGCTTTCATCTTAACTTCGCTAGACTATGCGAACTCATCTGAGTGAGGCAAGGATGAAAGCTCAATTATAGGTGTGGACATGGACGCAGAAAGACACTACAGACTAAAGATATTGTTGGACACCTATTCCTTCAGCAACTTATGCGAACTGACTCCTGAACCACCATTACGTTATATTGACGCACTGCCTTTTATTCCAGGGTATATGTTAGTTATATGCCTTTCTGAGTATGCACTGTGGAGTTTAACCTGATCAAAGCAACGCCGGTGCAGAAAATGGTGGATTCAGCGAGCTCGCATACCTGAGGCGATCACATACTGCTCATCCGGTGTCACCTTGATCTTGGTGGTGGCGGTCTCGAACCTCAGGTCATGGATCAAATCCAGCCTCCGCTGATACTCTAAAAAGACCCCCAAAAAAAAAGGACAGCAACACGACAATAAATGAGAAAATACATGTCATTTGCACAAGAAAAAAGAACCCAAAATAGAGAGAGCAGATGAGCGTGAGGCGAGTTAGGATGCCTGCGTCCTTGCGGAGGGCGCGCTTCTTCTTCGAGAGGACCCATGGGGCGACGTAGCGGTTGCCGGTGATGGAGTAGAGCTTGACGCCGTTGATGGAGGTTGACCTGAGGGTCCCCGCGCCGTTGTTCGACGCCATGCTCCCCTCCTCCTCTGAAACCCTGTACCGCCGCACTTGCCCTAGCTCTCGTCGGCGACCGACGCCGGCGACTCGTCGTCGAGCGGCGCCGTCGGGGGCGGCGGGTGCTAGGGTTTTAGCAGGTTGGAGGGAAAATTCGGCGGGTGGGGTGGAGCGCTCGCCGGCTATAACCGGAGGGCCGCCTAGAAAGCAGCTGCCGTTGGATTAAGCCTCTGGGTTCTTCACCGTTGGATCTAGTCTGATCAACTCGGTGGGCCACGTTGCCATGGGCTTATCAGCCCATTGGTTTCCCGCGCTGGGCCTTTCGTGAATATCTGGGCCCGTTAAGTATGACTTCTATCTTCTTTTCAGATTCTTGTAGAAAATAATAAGTGAATAAAAATTCACAAAACTATATATATTTTGATCAAACTATCACAAAACTATATATTTAAGGTGTTGTATCGCATAACTACAGATTTAGCACTAAATTTATCCCAAAACTATAGATTTAAGGCTAAATATCACAAAACTAAACAATTAATATTAAAGTTATCACAAACTATAGCTTTAGAGTTTAAATCCTTAGCATAGTTGTTATGTTGGAGCTATATTTTTTTTGACTGGGATAATTTAGTTATTACTAAATATGTAGTTTTATAACACTTTATTTTAAATATATAGTTTGTGATAATTTAATGTTAAATATGTAGTTTTGTGATACACCGAGTTAAATCTGTAGTTTTGTGATAGTTTGATCATAATATTTGTAGTTTTGTGAAATTTACTCAAAATAAATTTTGCAAAATTATCAAGAAAGAAGGAAACATGAGAAGGGAAAAAAACCCACCCTCATCCTACACATACAGGTCTTGTTACAAGAAAATACAACCAAAAGCAATCTCATCCAGTCACCCTACACATCTTTATTGAAAGGGTCACCCTACACATTTGGCTACTTATTCTTGAAAATTAGGTTATTGGGTTGTGTTTTAGTGGGTTCTCTAGCCTGTGTGTACTGGTTATTTAATAGTTGGATTAGCCTTTTTTTACCGATATTTATAACATTTATGTGTGTATTATAATCTTGTAATTATATCATACTAATATATCACAACAACATAGTATAAAACCATATAATCCTAATATAACATTACACCCTCTCCAATGCTAATATAACATTAGAACCAACTCTAATTTTTTTTTCTAATGTAGAAGTATAGTCAGTGTCAAATGCTTTTCTATGAAGATGTGCCAACTTAGCGGCGGCACATGGCCCCAAACCGGAGAGAGAAAAACCCATTAGCACAACTTTATTATAACATTTTTTTTAGCTATTTATGTGCAAAAGTAAGTTGACAAAAATTCGATGATCGGTATCATGTGTCAGGTATGTGCTTTGATGATTCATCTTGTTAGTGCGTCGCATGCCTCATGCCCACGCACATAAAAAAAAAAGAAGTATGCCCAATTCATGTTCCCTTGATTTTTTATTCGACATAGAATGAAGTAAGGATTATACATGTAGTTTTTAAAATTTAACCCTAAATTACATTTACTCTAGACTCTAAATTTCTAAAGACGAAACTAAGACAAGTCCTTATTGCTTAACTTTAGAAACAACTTGTTTTCCCACCGGGAAAAACTTGAAAAGAGTTTGTTTGAAAAAAAAAGGTTGTTTTTCTTTTATCTGTTTTTTTTTGAAATAACAGGAAAAATCGTTTTTCGTGAGGTGGATGGAGTATCCGGGATCCCTGAACAAATTGCTGCTTCACAAAAAAACAAAAAACAAAAAACGTAGCACCAGTAGCCGCCTTTTCCCCATCTCCACTGGCCGCCGCCGGCGACATCGCCGGCGCCGCCGAGCTCCACCGCTCCGATCCCACTCCGAACAGCCGAGCTGCGGTTTCCAAGGAACCGCGGGCGAGCCGAGCCCGACCCGTTATCAGCCCCGTTTTTTTAACGGGGCAGTGTCCAAGTCCAACTCCGCCTCTTCCACGCTTCGGCTTCCATCCAATCATCTGCATCGTCGTCGCCGGCGAGCGCCATGAGGCCGACCTCCCGCATACTGGCCGCGGGCCACCTCCTCCGCGGCTCACGCTCACGCTACGACCCCTCGCCGGTCGCCGCTGCCGCCCCCATATTCCGGCGGCCGCCGACCGTGCCGAGGCCTCTCCCGAGCCCTCTGCTCGGAGGCTTCGGGCCGAATTGTTGGGTTTATCCCGGCGACGGGAAGTATGCCCCCTTTGGTCGCCTCAGCTGCTTCATGTCGGACTCCACCTACCCGCCGCCTCCCCGCGATGTGGTAACTTGTGGTTACTGGCTTACTGCATTGTGCTTATTGCATTTGGTTTAGTTTCGATTTGGGGATGGTTAGAGGCAGTAGTGGTTGATTATGTATTTTGTATTGTATCAATACTTCAGTCAAACAAGCGAGTTTCCTAGCAAAACAGTCGGCTGTAGACTGTAGTAGATGTGATTAGTTACTAGTTTGACCGATACAGGAACTTAAAAAAGGATTATTAAGCATTGTGGATGGCATTGCTGGGCGCATTTGGTTTTGTTTCAGTGTTATTCTCAGTCCTTGCAAAAGGATAAATTTATCAGAAATTTACTATACCCTTGTTTCCTTTGTCATTGCTGACATTCGTGCGTTCAAGTTGATATTTGTTATGCTTCTGATGATTTTTTCAGACTTAATCCATCAGATCACAAAATAAAGTACAAACACGCTTACTCACATTTTTTCATATATATGATTACAAGCAATAATATTTGCTACGCTTGTGATGATTCTGTCAAGCAATTTTTTGGTATTTAAAATGCATTGTTTTCATCTTTATTAAATGTTCTTCAAGTATCTCACGGTTGATTTCAACTCTAGTAATCAATATCCAATACAGAAAATTGAGTCTGAGTTTGGTTACTTGGCTCTGTTGTTTTCCTTTGTACTATGAAAGGACTCATTTGTTGAGTTTGTTTTTTTGTGATTCTTGCCATGTTTGCAGAGAGGACATGCATTTTCCACATCTGCCAATGCTGTGGCAGTTGGGAAATCATCTGATGACAAAGTGAAGAAAGATATCTCCAAAAAGGATGTTGATGATCAGATAGCAGATACACAGATACTGAAAAACCTTGGGAAATACTTATTGTTGAATGATAGCCCGGATTTCCGCTTCAGGCTTATATTGTCATTGGGCCTCTTAGTTGGGGCAAAGGTAATGCTACACCTGAAAGTGGTAACCCATATGAGCAGAGTATTTTGTGGCTAAGATAAACCTGCAGCCTAATTCTGTTGTTAAGATATTTCTTTTGTTATTAATTAGTCATTAATGAATAATAACAAGGTGCACATTATGGCAATTCCTTATAAGCTGCCACTTATCTCATGATAGAGTACCATTGACCATTATGCTGGATTGAGATCAATACTAATCTTCCTGGCTGGAGTTCTATACATATTCACTTCTTATTCTGCAGTGACATTTTTTACTTATAGAAGGAATCATTTTGGCATAATATGATGCAATCTAGTAGCTAGATATGGCCTATCTGTTGGATGTATATCCTCAAAATATTTTTGCCAAGTTCCGCTTGTTAGATACACAACTATTTTCAAGTACTGTTGTCAAATCAAAGGAATAATTATGCACCTTCATTTAGGGCATATAAGAAATGATAACCACAGAAGTTGGCTGTTATTACAGTTTACATGGAACTTTCAACTTATTTATCTGACCGTTTTCATTTATAATGAACACCAGGTTATAAATGTTCAAGTGCCTTTCTTGTTTAAGCTTGCTGTCGATTGGCTTGCAGCCCTTGCTGGTGCTGAAACTTCACTTGCATCATTCACAGAGGCTAATGCTACCCTATTGGCTCTCTTTGCAAGCCCAGCAGCTGTTCTGATTGGATATGGAATTGCACGATCGGGAGTATCAGCCTGTACAGGTAAACTCTTTTTGGTTAGAAAAAAAAGCATGGTTGTTTCTTTCCCTGAAAAAATGAGTTCCTTTCGTGAGCTTGGAGCAACATGCATTGCCAGGCCCCTCTTTGAAATATATACTGATTCTACTGATTTATTCGTCGATTTCTGTTGCCAGAACTGCGAAATGCTGTCTTTTCTAAAGTGACATTGAGAGCCATCCGTTCAGTCTCCAGTACGGTAACTATTGAAATTTCCTTTTTTATTCCAATGTTACCACTCATTTGTCATGTTTTTCCAACCATCTACTAAATTCCTCTATTATCTAGATGTTCCAGCACATTATGATTTATGAATCTTTTGTTTATCTCAAGTTTTATTTCTTTCTACGCATTGATGTACTTGTCTTATTTATGTAGTGTTGCTAGTATTGTAAACAGTACTTTCCACAACATTTATATATTAAAAAAATTAAATTCATGGAAAAAAAAGCTTGAGAAAAAATCATTAAAAAATAGCTATTACTATCTTGACATCTGCATCCTCATCTAGCTGTTCATTGACTGTTGATCATGCTACTGGCCCGATGTGCACTCCCATCTGTAATGACTATGATAATTCTTTATCATTTTCTGTCATTTTTAATCATATGGAACTGTTTATGCTAATAAAGCTACATGCTCCTTTAGGTAGTGTTTGGTTTGGGGACGAAGTGGGATGGGTCAGACCTATCCTAGTTTTGTGGGATGGGATGGTTCCAGTTGTCTGTTTGGTTTATGGTATGGGATGGTTATAGTTTTTTGTTTGGTAGAAGGGATTGAGGTGGGATGGGATGGACGGATTTGTACTCACCGTTAGTGCCGTCTAGGGGCAGAGGCACTCGGCGGCGCCCGGATCTGAGAGGACCGGCGGCGGCGCTTGCGAAGGTGGCGGCGGCGGTCGTAGACGAGGCAGAGGTGGCGGAGTTTGTGGAGATGGCGGTCACGGTGCTCGTGGAGGTGGCGGCAGTCATGGACCAAGCGGAGGAGGCGCCGGGCGCGGAGGCGAGGCGGCGGCTGGATCTGAGTGGAGTGGCGGCGGTGCTAGCGGAGGTGGCGGTCACGGATGAGCGGCGGCACTCGTGGAGGCGGCGGCGGCGGCCGTGGAGGCGAGGCGGCGCTCGTGGACGCGCGGAGGTGGTGGTCGCGGGCAAGCGGCGGCGCTCATGGAGGCGGCGGCGGTCGCGGACGAGGCAGAGGCGGCGGCGCTCAAGGAGGCGGCGGCGGCGGAGAAAGACGTGTGGAGGTGGCGGCGGGTGTGGACGAGGCGGCGACGCTCGTGGGCGCCCGGCGGAGCTCGCGAAGGTGGTGGATGGCGCGGTGACGCCGTCGCTCGTCCCAGGTGGGACGAGTTTGTCCGCCAGTTTTTGGCGGATCGGTTGGTCCCGGATCTGAGAGGAATATTCCTCTCCAGGGACCAACCCATCCCACCCACCCCTAAACCAAACACCCCTAAAAGTGGGTTCGTCCCATCCCATCCCATCCCATCCTTGCAACCAAACACTACCTTACTGGTTAAATTATGGGTTATCTTACCTTCTGAGCTCTTGCTGTTGCAGGTATTTTCGCACTTGCATGAGCTTGATCTTCGTTATCATCTAAGGTACTTCTAGAAAATGCCTCCTATTCATCTTATATGTTTGTTTATCTTAAATTTATCAAATGATATATTTCCGTTAATGCACACATGCACAATACAATATATAGAAAAGCATCACAGTTAATGTAGGTGGCTTACAAGTTGTAGCAAATAATTGCAAGGAATTGCCAAATTAGGTAGCTTGACTGCATGTATATATTTCAGCATTTACGCATGGGAGATGATGAGAAACCTAGTCTAGGGCTGCACTATTTTGGTGGTTATAGCCTATATCCCACTTTGATTCTTCTGAAAATTGGTGTGGAAACAAGTTATAAGAAACAAGCAAATAATCAGATATTTCATGAGTTTTAGAACTGGAAAGTTGAAAATTATCTGAGCTCTTATATGCCTTTACCTGGCTTCTATATTTTCAGCCGGCAAACTGGTGCCCTAAATCGCATAATTGATCGAGGTAGTCGTGCGATAAATTACATCCTTACAGTGATGGTGTTCAATGTTGTTCCCACAATATTGGAGGTACTCAGATTATTGTCATTGACTGTTATATCCCATCAACTATGCATATACGCGCAATGTTGGTGTTTCTAACTTTCCGTAATGTATGCCAGTCACATTTTACATTTTTGTCTGATGTGTGCCTTCTGTTTTTTTTCTTTCCATTTACAGATTGGTATGGTGTCAAGTATACTTGCATACAAATTTGGTTCCACCTTTGCTTGGATTACTTCAGTTTCTGTTGCTACTTATATTGCTTTCACCTTGGCTGTGACGCAGGTGTGAATGATGTGCTCTATCAGACCGTGTCTGTCATCCATGCATAGTCTAACAAGATTTTTTGCTGTTTTTTTGTCACTAATGCCTTGACTCGTAATGCATTATTATGACAGTGGCGGACCAAATTCAGGACAGCCATGAATAAAGCTGATAACGCTTCTAGCACAGTGGCAGTTGACTCCCTTCTGAACTATGAGGTAATACCATGATTTTCAATTGGCCTGGCATCTAGTCTATGTTCTTAAGCTTTCATATTCTAATTGTATTAACCTTTTTTTTTCTAACTTCCTTTATTGGGCCAGACTGTCAAGTACTTCAACAATGAACAATTTGAAGTTGAGAAGTATGACAAATATTTAAAGAGTGAGTACATATATAATGTTCATTCTGGGAAGAAACCTTGTTAACGTGTAGACATGCATATGTTACTCGATACACTTTTTTTTGAAAGATATACTCTATGCATTTAATTCACTGGTTTTAATGTTATTTTCATCTTCTATAAAAACTACCAAAAAAACTTATATTGAGGCATGAAATACATGTGGAAAATGTTTTCCATGAGAAACAGTAGGGTTGATATTGCATCTTGGATTTTTTTTTTCAATCTTCACAAACAATTAGGAGCTTGTACACATTGATTTATCAAGTGCTTAGTTATATGCTATGTAAATCTGATGAATCCTAGCTGACATGTTGCTTTGGCATATATCGTAAATTGGTTTATAAAATTTGATCTATTAATTACTATTTCTTTTTCACAATTTGGTCAGAGTATGAGGATGCTGCACTGAAAACCCAAAGTAGCCTTGCCTACCTGAACTTTGGACAAAATATCATATTTAGCTCGGCTTTATCCACGGCTATGGTTTTGAGTTCATACGGTGTAATGAGTGGTGCTCTGACTGTCGGTGATTTGGTAATTTTTTATGACATCCGCTTATATATTATTTGATGCAAGTATTTCTTATCCCGTTTTGACATGTTCGGTTAGCACCATATCCATTTCATACAGTGGCAAAGCATGTTGTTGCAATATTATGTTTATTTTATAGTCAGGAAGGTTGTTTAAGTGAAAAGGGCTAACTGGAAAGTTTTGATCATATGCTACTCCTTTAGAGTGTCAAATTGATTATTTGCCACTCATGTTTCTATGACATGTAGCCCCAGGGTCCATGTATCAAAGGCAGAGCGGTGGCAAATCATCAAATGCCACTTCGAGGGGTGTCAAATGATCATTGATTATGAACTAATTATGTGGATTTGGAACAATAGTTAATTTTGAACCATGAACCATCAGTTCCAGATGTTGCCAGTTTTCTGCTTTTCTTCTTTATTTTTGACTGATTTTTATTAATTTGATTAAATTTTGATATCTAGGTTATGGTTAATGGTCTTCTATTCCAACTTTCTTTGCCTCTGAACTTCCTTGGAAGTGTCTATCGAGAATCTAGGCAAAGCCTGATTGACATGAAGTCTATGTTTCAATTGCTTGAGGTAAAAACTTCGTGACTATCTGTTGGGGGCCTAAATGGCTTGCAGTTTCAGTTTCATCCTTTCACAACCCCAGAAACTTCATTGCTGTTATTTCACTTTGTTCAGGAAAAACCTGGAATAAAGGATGAACCACATGCACAGCCTTTGCAGTTCAAGGGAGGACGCATTGAATTTGAGAACGTGCATTTTGGGTAAATTTTGCGTTCTGTTTACTTATTACATGCTTGTACCACTTCCTTAAAAAGTCACGTCTCTCAGAGCATCTGAACACCAAAGTGAAATATTGAAGCACTCCTAACATTTATCTCCGTAGAGATGGAATTTCTTTCCTTGTTTTGCTCAAGTTAATTTGTTATAGTGGTTCTCTTTGTTTGTGCTCTCCTGTAATATTTAAATTTTATCTTGACCATCGCCTCAATTCTCAATCAAGTTCAAATAGGTAAAATATTCTCATGTTGTTATTTTTTACCATCTGGCATCTGAGTAAAACAGTATCAGATACTGCTGCCTTAGGGATCTACGTTGCTGTCACGATTTGAATTTGAACAACCTTTAATTACCTCATATGTGGGTCAACAATTTATGTGCATATTGGGATGTAAATGACTGGCAATATATCATTATGGAATCTATCAAAGCACTAAGTACAATTAAGCAAATTTTATGACTATCTATTATGTAGTCTAACTTGTAAAGTAGACTTATCTGAGTTAATGTTGTAGTTTACCTGAAGGAACTGATTTCTTCCAGGTACGTACCAGAAAGGAAGATTCTTAAGGGTGCCACGTTCACTGTACCTGCAGGAAAGAGTGTTGCAATCGTTGGAACTAGTGGCAGCGGTAAAACTTTTTTTTTGTCAAATTGCATCTACCAATTGTTTAACTTGACTCAAAAGTTGAAGGCGTGTATGAGTTCTCCCATGGTCGTATCAGCAAATTGTTTTGTTAAAAAGAGGATGGGCTTTTTGGTGTTTCCCGGGCTCCCCCCTTCTATTAAAGAGTAGCACAAGCCAATACTTCCATATTTTTTTCCATGCCATGGCAAAGAGAGAAAAGTTATTAATGAAGGATATCAAGTTTTCTAGCAATGGATGTTTTCAAATACTAATTAAAGCCTGCTTGGCCTACCTATACTGAACAACAATAAGCTTTGGGTGTATATTGTAATTGTTATTTTCCTAGAAAAATGTTTGCCTTTTTAATATCCAACAGGGGCTGTCTCTTAAGGCTTTAATCTGAATTTTGGGTTAACTAAAAAAAATTAGGGGTTAGGTGTTCTCTTTGGTCTATAATTTGGACAAACATGCTTATGGTCTGATAAGGTCATTTCAAATAACCATCTGGCATGGTTGTACGTTTTGTCTATTTATGTCTGATTCAAGGCTGACTATAGTGATTTTTTTGGGGTTGTATGGAATGAGATATCTTGTTTTATCAATATTAGCAAAATTCAAATTTATGTGATCAACGAACAATTCATTAACTGTATTCCTCTACAGGAAAGTCAACCATACTTAGGCTTCTCTTCAGATTTTTTGACTCCTCTTCAGGATCTGTAAGAACAAAGAACGATCTATTTCCATTTTGATTCCCTGATGATGAAATTGATATCCGTTTTATAGCATGTATATCTTCAGATGTGTATCAAGCTTGCCATTCTTGTGATGCCTTTTGTTTGATCTTTGCAGATTCGAATAGATGGGCAAGATATCCGAGAGGTGACACTGGATAGTCTCCGGAAGTGTATTGGTGTTGTACCGCAAGATACGGTTAGCTATCTACTGCTCTAAATCTGTCAATGCTGCATTACTTTTCTTGTCTTATTGAATTTACTATGCTAAATGGATAAAGCATGTAGACTATACACAATTGGAACATTCTGGTGCCCTTGTGCAACTTTAGTTAGCATATGTAAAGTTGTTGAGTAAATAGAAGTAGCTCTATCAACATGCTTTTCACATATCAGTTAGGAGTTACCACAGTTCACTCCAAGAGCTCAGTAGCTCACACTGTTAATGCATTATCCAATGCAGGTACTTTTTAATGACACAATTAAGCATAATATACAATATGGGCGGTTATCAGCAACAGATGAGGAGGTACTGTGTTCTACCAATACATTTACATTATGAAGTTATAGTACTCCCCCCATAAATCCCTTATATTTTGGGACGGAGGGAGTAGGGTCATTTGACCTTGTTCAAGCTAAAGTTTATTTGCGTACAGGTTTATGACGTTGCCCGCCGGGCTGCTATTCATGATACAATTATGAACTTTCCTGACAAGTACAACACAGTTGTGGGAGAGCGAGGATTAAAGGTGAGATGCAGTGTCTTATGACATGCCAAATCCAGAATAGTCAGAACCTGTTGGTCCTAGCAATAATGTCTCAAAATCTGTGATTTTACTTCCTTTGCAGTTAAGCGGTGGGGAGAAACAACGAGTATCAATTGCTCGTGTATTCTTGAAGGAACCTTCCATTCTGTAATTCCCTCTTTCCATTTTAGCCTTAAAAAGCTTTAGATTCAGCGTTGTCTGACTAGCATTACCATGCTTTAGCAATTGAGCAAGTGGCTGTTTTTTATTGTTCCTATGCAAGCCCTTGTATGAAGTTAACATGTCATGGTGATGGTGTGCCAAATGGTCAGAGTGAACCCTGCTAAATCTGAATTATTTCACACTGTTAACAAACACTAATTTTGCAAAAGATGAGTTTACTGCATTCCTCCCTTTGCTTATTTTTTTTGTTATCTAATTTATACCAGATTGTGTGATGAAGCTACAAGCGCTCTTGATAGCACCACCGAAGCGTCAATTTTAAATTCTCTGAAGACTTTGTCCGTTGACCGTACCTCTATCTTTATTGCACATCGACTGACAACTGCAATGCAATGTGATGAGGTATGCATGTTCATGCAAATACATTAGAACAAAAAAACCTGCAACTTCATTTTGTGAAAGTAATATGATTTATTGAACTAAAAATAGGGATTCAGAGTAATGTATCAGTTAACAGCAACAGATTTTCTTTTGCATCGATTCAAGAAATCGATAGTTACCATCATGGGCTAGATCTCAATTATAGCTGATTTATCATTTGTTCATATGTTTGAGCTACAGAGCTTTCCATTATACTCGATACTGATGAATACTTGTTTGATGACACTTCAATGATTCTTTTATAAATCTTGTTTCAAAATTTGTATTTTCAGATTATTGTTTTGGAGAATGGGGAGGTAGTGGAACAAGGACCACATGATTTTCTGCTGTCAAAGGGTGGCCGATATGCTGAATTGTGGTCACAGCAGAATAACAGTGATGCCATCGATGCTGCCGCGGTTAGCTTAGAGGTTTCATAGACTATATACATAATTCCCTTTTGCAAGGGAAAATGCAAACCATATTTGAATGAAAGAAGGCTTCCCCATATCTGCATTGTAAATTGAATGGTTAGGTTTTTAGATATCGGGGAACAGAAATTTATAGCTTAGGAGCAAATAACTCCGTTTGAAAGAAAGCCAGGAGGCAAAATTTTCCTCTTTGAGGAAACACCCAACAGTTCGACATGTTTCCATGATGTAAGCATTTTTTTTACTAATCCAAGTAAATATTTTTTCCCACTAAATCCTATGACCGTGATCTGATCGAGGACTGTTGTCAAAGCCTTGTGGCTGTGGTGGTGACTGGTGAGGTATCATCTCATGCTACGTTTGATATTTGAGGACTGAGGTGACTACTACAAATACTGCTGATGTGTGAATGTTTATATGCTTAACTTTTTGTTTACCGCAGGTATGTGAGATCAAAACTTATTTTATGTAAATATTTTGGTCGTTGCCAAGGTAAGAATGAATTTATGAATGCTGCCTCCTTTTTGGATGAAAATTAGAAGATGTTGATGTTCCCTCCAGCAGATTGTGTTAGTCTTTGAGCTTTAGCTTTAACATTGTTACTACCTGCAGATATAAAGAAACGGCAAGGTTTTGTGAGATACTAATAAAACACTAAATTTACAAATACGGCCATCCCCATATATTATGCGGCGTGACATCATGCAAATTTATGTGGTGTATGTATTATCAGATAAATTCTTTTATGTTCATTTCCAGCTCGATTTACGGCTGAACAGTGAATATAATACCTGGCTTGGTAGCGAGGAAGTAATACGCATGAGGTAAAGTATCCGCCAAAATTCGAACTTTTACAACACAAGGCATGGTGCTCCGACATGATAATAACTTTTGTAGCGTTCGGCAGCCATCGATGCTGTTAAATATCACGGCAAAGCTGCAGCAAATTGAGCTGCTGCAGCCGTAGCGCTGCGGCAAAATTGCCCTTCGAAGAAGCCCATAGATACTGACTTGTCCTGTCTGAATGTATATTGTTTGAGATTAAGCGAATAGAGTAGTTTAATTAATCCAGGATGCTCATATACTCATTGTTTTGCTTTTTTTTTATTTCCTTGGATATATTGGTGTCTTGCATTTTTTTTAATAATATATGCCTAGCCTATGCTTAAGAGCAGACAAGGAACATTGGACATTCCCCAATGGGAACATTATTCTATGTCATCTGCTAGGTGCCTCCTATGACCTTCGTACTCGTAGCATGTGACAGCCAGATGTATTGTGATTAGCTAGTACTGTGCTACTTAATTTACACAACACAATAGTATTAATTTAGACATCTTAACACGGCATGATTTTCGTATATGGTATTTATGTTTTACCAGCCGATATTGTGGTTTTCAATAGTACAAATTGTTGCCATCTATCGAAGGTAAAAAGGAACCAAGAAAAGCGGGGAAAACATATACTCCGACCTACGTTAATTATAAATCATCAAAACTTGAAACGAAAGTGATTGATGAGTGCCATCACCAGATCTACCAACCAAATGGACCTTTCCCCGGGTCAGCTTCAGCTTCGGTAGTTCCAGACAAGCAATACCACCGGATGAGGCTGAGAAACCCAACCTGCCCGTGCTGCACTGTATGCCTGTGTCGACCCTCCGCTGCCGGTTTCTTTTCATAATTTTTTTTATTGTGAACCTTTATTGTCTTAAAATTTTTAAAACAAATCATCCATAATATTATTTTTCATAGAATAAATTTTTTGACCACACCATTTGAGTTAACATGTTAGGACAATATCATATCAGATAGCAGTATGATGTTTAGTTTATCTACTACCTTGTGTTTTTAGGTTGCTAGTAGCATTTCTTCACCAACCATAGCTAAGGTTAGACTATGAATCTAACGCAACGCTTTGACTAGAAAGCTATGATCTTACCGCACTTTACAAGACAAATAACATATGAGATCAAGATGAGAGAGAAAAAAAATCGTGGTTATGTGTAACAATGAACCGAATACATAGCTAACTTAATTAAAGCTAACTTGATGTGTAGCAAAGTATGGCAACATGTAGTCACGAATCAAACAACCCCTTAAACTGTATTTGATTGTTGATTTTAGAAACTAATCCCTCGCGCATGCAAAATAGAATGAATCATTAATGCATGATTAATTAAGTATTAGCTTTTTCAAAAATAGATTAATAAGATATTTTAAAACAAATTTAGTACATTTAGTTTTGCAAAAAAAATACAATGTTTAGCAAATTGAAAAAGTATGCGCGTAAAACAAACGAACTCAAACTAAGTGCCATTGTTCGTGGCATGGCAACAATTATTTATCTTATACTCCACGATATTTTATGAGCGTGAAAATGTCATCTGATCACACCTATTAAAATGATGCGACAAAATATTTAGTTCAAAATTTTCATAGAGCTCCTTTTGAAATTAAAACTTAAAAGAAAGTTAAAAAAAAACAACAATAACAATAATAATAATAATAAATTGCCTACCAGCAACACTGCAAGTCTGCAACAGCAAGCAAAGCAGAGATCACGTCCTCCCAGGACTGGAGCCTGGAGGGCCAAAACCCCCCAAATTTCCCAAGCCAACCCAACCAAACCGGCCGTCTCGTCTCCTTCGTCGTTGGCAATGCCTCCACTGCCAGCCTAGCCCACGCTGCCCACCGCCCCACCCCCCCAACCCCAACCTCCCTCCACTCCCCCTAGCTTTCCCCCTCCACCTCGTCGTCGTCGTCAACCCACCTCACCCCCAACCCCCAACCCCAACTCCTCCTCCCCCCCAAATCCCCCAGATCCCGCACGCCGCCGGTGGCCGCAGCGCCGCCGCCGCCCAAACCCTAGCCGGCGGGCGGGCGCAGTAGCGGAGATCTGGTACCGTGCCGCGATGGGGGACTTCAACGTGGCGCTGGTGATCGTGGCGGCGGTGGTGAGCGTCCTCGTCCTGCTCGTCAGCGTCTACCTGCTCATCAACTACCAGCACCCCGACGACGCCAACCAGGCCTACTTCCCCAAGCTCGTCGTCGTCCTCGGCATCACCGTCGCCCTCCTCTCCATCCTCATGCTCCCCGCCGACGTCGCCAACCGCCAGGCCTGCCGCCGCGCCATCTACAGCGGCGCCTGCTCCCTCACCCTCCCCATGAAGACCCTCTGGCTCGCCGTCTACATCGCCGACGCCGTCCTCGTCTTCCTCGTCATCCCCTTCGCCATGTTCTACTACGAGGGCGACCAGGACAAGTAAGTAGTATACATATACATTTCCACTCTTTCCTCTATCCCATTGCGCATCTGCTGCTAAACTCTCACTGAATGTTGTTGATTGGATCCGTGTGTTGTTGCTTCCTGCAGGTCAGTGGGGAAGAGGCTCACCTCCGCTCTCCTGTGGGTCGCCGTCTCCGCGGTGGTTTGCGGCCTCATCCTCGGCATCCTATACGGTGCGGATCACTGCTCTCCTTTGCCTATCATGCTAAAATTTCTAGACTAGTAGTAATATTGGAGTGGGATTTTTGAATCTGTTCGAATTTGCTATGTGACCTGTTCTACCTGAATCTTGAGTTGGTTGGTTACTAGTGTTAATTCTTCTGGCTTCACTTGGAGTGACTAGCTCAAGCTTTGAGCTTTTCAATTAGTACTTATTTTCGAGCAATCAATGCTGTACAAACCAGGAAGGCAGCTGCCAGATCTGAATTGTCCTGTTTGAGCTTTGCACTTGTTGTGTAGTATATCTCCCCGGTCCACATTATACCCGCAAATTGTTTTCTTATCGACCAGTAGTCTGTAGCTTCACAATTGGTAGTTTTGTTTTTGCGCTGTTTCTTATATAATCCTTGTTTCTTTCTTCCACCCGATGTATTAAAATGAACTCCTGCTAGGTCCCTTGAATGCCCTCTGCAAAAAAAAGGGTTTTTTTTCAAGGAAAAAAAAAGTGGTCTTGTGAACACCGTGGCTTCTAAGGGTTTGGGATGCTTTCACTTTACATGACCTCACTTTCATTGTTCTGCTGCAGGACTTGTTGGCAAAGTGGACTTCACTGTCAGGCATCTTTCTTCAGCAGTTGAGACATTTCCAAATTCATTCACTAGTTTCTCAACTGGTCAACCTTGCATCAGTACATCGCCCAAGCAGGTTAGTCAATCAATCAAATTATGCTTTCTTATGCCTATAGTAATGATGTTATGTGCTCCCCATCCAATAGCAACATTTGATCGACACCTTTCTTTTGGCATTTTATCTACGACTAAACTGCTTTACGGTTTGTTTTATTCAGTGCGCAGCTTACACTGCACCTGCTAACTCTCAAACAACTTGGACAATGCGCGCTACCTTCCCTGAATATGTGGTTGCTCTTGCTACCATCGTTGGATCTGTTCTCTTCACAGTGAGTTTTACTTCAATCTTCATGTTTTGCTTTATCACCGTTTCTGTATAGCTACATCTATTCACTCTACTGGTCTGCATGTGACCGATAGCTTTATGTCTTTTATTGAGTGTAAGCTGTACTAGAAACAATTTGAAATATGGATCCTTTCCAACATCCAATTCTGCTGCAATCATGCTGGTTTCTTTTTACAACTTTCCTATTCCTGTTTGGTAGATATTTGGTGGTGTTGGAATTGCTTGCCTTCCATTGGGACTTATATTCTCATTTGTCCGGCGCCCAAAAGCTGTCATTACACGCTCACAATATATAAAGGTGCCTATATTCTCACATACTTCTTTTCAATTATGAGCATTCATTAGAACCATATTTTTCTACTACATATAATTATCACTTTGAAATTTTCAATGTGGATTGAGACTGAACATATTTTCTGCAGGAAGCAACTGAACTAGGTAAGAAGGCTCGGGAATTGAAGAAAGCAGCTGAAGCCCTTCACCAAGAAGAGAAAAGTGGGAAGAAGGGCAGAAAATGGCGCAAAAATGTCAAGGCCCTTGGGAAGGTGAGCATTGCCATTCAAACTTTTAGCCTCACTCAGTGAACAAACTTACCTTTTTGAGATTAGTGTGGAGTAAGAAGCATTTGTGTTCCATTTCCTTTCTAATCAGAACACTCGTGTCCATTTGTGTACCACATGCCAATAATTTCTGTAATGCTCTATTAATGCTCTTATTATGTTTTGCCTGCCCTTTTAATCATCAGGAATTAGTACTTTTAGAAGATGACATGAAGGCTCTTGAAGAGATGTACCCTCAAGGAGAACAGGTAACTGAACATGAAATCCTATTTACATTGTTTCTTTTGGTTTATTGCTGGCTTAACATCCATCATGGTGCAGGCTGAGGCTACCTGGGCTTTGACAGTTCTTGGTTACATTGGAAAACTTTTATTTGGTGCTGTCGGGTATGTGTAAATAGTTGTACGGACTTTGCTTCTATTCTAGTCCAACCTATCTGCAATTGTCTTCTAATAGCTACTTATGATCTCAGGTTAATTATATCGATTGCTTGGGTTGCACATATCGTCATATACTTGTTGATTGACCCTCCTTTGTCCTCCTTCCTGAATGAAATCTTCGTAAAATTGGATGGTGTTTGGGGTATATTTCTGTTCATTACATTGTTCTGAACTCGTCCTATTGATGACAGTAGCTTGACCAATATTCTGTTTTCTGTATTAGGTCTGCTTGGGACTGCTGCCTTTGCATTCTTCTGTTTCTATCTCCTCATAGCAGTGATTGCTGGGGAAATGATGCTGGGTTTGAAATTAGTTTTCATCACCATTCACCCAATGAAGTATTTGACATATCCCATGGCATTTCCTTTTCTATGTAGTATCTTTTTTGGAATCATTGATAACGCATTTTTTTTCAGATGGGGAGGAACTTTGATGAACTCGTTCCTGTTTAATGTTGGACTCATCCTACTTTGCTCCATCAGGTGTGCTACTGAGGCTTCTTTTAGATGTAATTGTTTATTGCTATTATTTTTGTAAATTATGATGCCATCTTCCATATTGGAACTTTTTCCATGCTGACAAGGTAGCGTCTATTAATTGTGAATTTGTTGCATATATCTGAAATTGTTTCTATATATAAAATCAGTGTGTCCTTTAACGGTTAGCAGTAGTGTAAATGAAGAACTTTTGTAAAGCAAACATTGAGTTGACGTAGCTTAGCTTGTGCCTAGTGCAGCTGAAAAATCGCTTCAACATGTTGACATGCGACTTTGTTGGTTTCATCAACCTTGCTTCCTCCATAACATATGCATACCTGCTGATTATCTGTTAATTTTCTCCACTAAGAGGCCATCTAAAATCTTTTGCAGTGTGATTCAGTTCTGTGCCACAGCTTTTGCTTATTATGCGCAAGCAACTGCAGCTCAGGAGATCTTTGGCCACACACTGCAATCTCTCCGTGGAATTAAGTATCTCTACAAGTATGTATCTAGCATGCAAATCCATAGTCAGTTTACAGTTGTTTGCTCGAATAAGCTGGATATATCCATGTGGTGGATATTGGAGCATCAAACTTTTGAAAATGTTCTGATTTTAACATCTGAATATGCAGGTACAATGTTTTCCAGTATGGCTTTGTGGCTCTTGCGATACTCACACTCTTTTACTATGCAATATTTGTAAGTGCATTCTTCCAAAGTATTCAGTCAATTCGTATGAAAATCTGGAAAAATGTTGGCTTGCTTATTTGTCCTGAACTGTTTGTTCAGGGATGGCGAAAGAGGAAACCGACAGGAAGATTCCAGCTCTCAAATTGATTTGTGGTTTGTTCTGTAAGGAAGCCTGACGAATTGAACTACAAACATATTTGTTCACGAGTGATAGATTGGTTAGCAATGTATATGATCTTTGAAACCGCTTTCTCAAAGAGCTGGAGAGTTTATCCATGTAAATTAGCAACCATGAAGTATAAGGAGAAAACTGAGATTTCAGTAGGGCACGGACATGGTTGTTAAAAGCAGAACCCAGCTGCCTTTGTAATGTACACATTTCTCATCGCGGCTCTTCTTTTCCTTGTGTATTATTATTTTACACTTGGCTGATGTTATTCTTGACAATACTGGGTCCTTCGAGGCAGAGATGTTTGATGTGATCGGGTGCCACTTTGGGACCCCCTTGTTCTTTTGTTGGGTTTGTATCGAGTTAGGTCAGTTGATTTCTTTCATATGTACCATACTGTGATTACCATACGAACTTCTAGATTGTATTAAGGATGTCTTGATCATCTGTCCTCTGTCAATCTGCATTTGCTTCTCATCTTCAGACTGCTCAACCAATCGAGCTTTTGGGGACAAACTTGGCTGTCCTGTTCCAAATTTCACTCTATTTGTTATGGTCCCTTGTTTAGCGGCATGTTTAATTTTACCAGATGAAAGTCAATTCTGGTTAACCGCATTCTAAACCGTAAAGAAGCTGAACGTAATAAATGTATACTCCGTATCATGTTAATCCGAAATCCAGTGACTGTTCACACCTTAACAAAAATGGTGCCTATTTCTTTAATATCCGTTTACGTCAGATAAATTGACAGATAAAATAATAAGAAAAGACATATATGGAAGGAAAGAGAAAGGAGAAAACGAAAATGTAAATAAAAAAAAGCTACTCCATATGGCATGAAATGGAAAGGATAAAACTAAAACAATATGAGAGAATTTTAAGAAAATAAAGAACCTATATATGGAAAGAAGACAGGAGAAAACTGAAACTATCTGTACTAGAAGAGGGGGGACAACTGAAACTATCTGTTTCTATAAATCTGCCTCCAATGTTCCAATCTATAGCTCAAAATGATCATCAGCATGATGAATGCCATTTTTGCGAACCCTTAGGCTGTCCAGTAAGACTTGACAGACACAAGGATCTTCTCCCTCTGCATCGGCCCATCCTCATGATCAACGATCCTGCTCTCCCATCTCATCCCGTCTGCGATGTTCTTGATCTTCACCAGGACATCAACATCGTCTCTGAATATTACCGTGCCTTCTGGCCTCAGCACACGGTCCATCTCCAGCAAAATGTCCTCCATTTCACATCTGATGACATGCAGAGAACAGCAATAGATTCAGCTAGCTTCATGGCTGGAGCAACTGCAAAGTTGAGCACAAGAAACAGAAGCAAAATCCAGTACCTGTCTTTGTACATTGTGAACAGGGAGTACGCATGGATCAGATCATACGTCCTAGGATAAGTTGACATCGCCTCACACCTGCAAAATTTTCACATACTAATTAAAGACCAATAAACCTGTAAATTTTGGAACATTTTGCAGCAACAAATACACTGACGAAGAAAGCAGTGCTGGAGTGTAAGTGGGCTGACCCACCAACTCACTTATTCGCCAAATAAGTGGGTAACCAGTTGATCGATCCACTTAATTAGCTTATAAGTGAGTTCACGGGTCAATCCGCTTACACGCCTGTGCATATATGATAGTCTGCAATTTTATTTTTTTTTTTGAAGATTTTGCAGCAATGAATACACTGAAGAAGAAAGCAGTGCACATATGCTGGTCTGCAATTGTTTTCTGAAGATTTTGCATTAGCAACGACACTGAACATATTTTGGTCAGAAGAATTTTCAGCTTACCAATCTTGGTACGTTCCGATGAGCCCTCGCTCGTAGATCACGCCGAGCGTGTTGGCAACGGCGGCCGTCGGCACGACGTTCATCACCCAGACAGGATCGTCGACGAGCGCCGCCGCGAAGCCGCCGAGGCCGGCGTTCATGTCCAGCAGATTCCGGTACCGGCCTTTCTCGGCCAGCCCGCCGCTGACGCCCTTGTAGCGATCGACTCGTCTCCTCCACATCTCAGAATCCTTGATAAAGGTGTCCACCGTGACGCTGCTTCCAAGGCTGCCGCCGGCGATCCTCGGCGGCGGCGATGTAAGCCTCTCCGGCCATCTCTTGACCTCCCCTCCGGCGACGTCTCCGGGCCCGGACACCTCCGGTAGGGGAGTGATGCACTCTTCCATGTTCACATACCTTGAAATCATTTTTCAAGAACTTTCAGAAACGAAGCCAACATTTTTTTAAGAGTTTATAAATGTTTTTGAGTATTTTTCGTAAAACTACTGATATTTTGACCAAACTATTGTAAAACTACATATTTACGACGGAGTATAAAAAAACTACAGATTTAATGCCGAGTTTACCACGAAACTACAGATTTAAGGTATAATGTGTAAAACTACATATTGTTAATCAAATCAAATCTTAAATTTTCATTCGAATGGAATCATGTTTGGATCATTTTCAGGTGATAAACATGCATACCAGCCAGCATCAGGATCTTGGTTGGAATTGCAGAAACCAAGACCACCAAGCTCATTTCTGCTAGCCTTGCAGCTGACATGGTTGATTTGTTTCTGCCAAACAGCAATGTCACCCATCTGCTGCACCTTGGTCCAGCAAAGGCTCTTGGCAATGGCCTCAATGGCCGATTGCTCGGAGCTCAAGTCCTCCGGCGTCCTCTTCCACCCCTTGAAATGTCTCTCCCAGTTCACCGGCGGCCCTGACAGGACCCAGTACCCGCCGGGCCGGAGAACCCGGTCCACCTCAATCATGTAGAGCCCGTCTGAAATGCAACAACCATTGTTGATATTGCCATGATCAATCAAAGCTACCCCTCCGATCATAAATATTCGATGTTTAGAACAAGATTTAATCAAACTTCGAAATTCCCGACCAAAAATCTATTATATTATTAAAGGAATAGAATTTCTACGTTCGCTCTCATGGCCTAGAAATTCTCACATTAATCGGAGAAAAAGAAAAAACAGAGTCCATATAGAAATACAATTTAGAAATACCTAAAATTCGGAATTAAAAAATAAGGAATATTAGAAGAGGAGACTAGAGTCCATATAGAAATACAATTAGGAAATAGTTGAAATTCGGAATTAAAAATAAGGAATATTAGAAGAGGAGACTAGAGTCCATATAGAAATACAATTAGGAAATAACTGAAATTCGGAATTAAAAATAAGGAATATTAAAAGTAGAGTATAGAGTCCATATAGAAATACAATTAGGAAATAACAGAAATTCGGAATATTAAAAGTATAGTATAGAGTCCATATAAGAATACAATTAGGAAATAATATAAATTTGGAATTAAAAATAAGGAATATTAGAAGTAGAGTATAGAGTCCATATAGAAATACAATTAAGAAAAAAAAGAAATTCGGAATTAAAAAAAGGAATATTAGAAGTAGAGTATAGAGTCCATATAGGGATTTTAAACTAAATAAAATTTGGAATAAACATAAGAAAATTAAAAGTAAAGTTTAGAGTTCGTATAAAAATATAATTTGCAAATAACTAAAATTCGAAATTAAGAAAAACATGGGAAGAAGAGTTTAAGGTCAATATAGAAATACAATTTAGAAGTAACTGAAATTCAAAACTAAAAATTAAAGAATATTGAAAGATGAGTTTAGAGTCCACATAGAAATACAATTAGAAATAATAAAAATTCAGAAATAAAAATAAATAATATTGGAAGAAGAGCGTAGAGTCTATATAGAAATACAATTTATGGAAAATTCAGAATTAAAAAAAGAAATATTAAAAGACGAGTCTAGAGTCCATATAGGAATATATATATATATATATATATATATATATATATATATATATATATATATATATATATATATATATATATATATATATATATAGTTATTTTTAAATTTTATATATATATATATATATATATATATATATGTATATATATATATATATAATTTACAAATAACTAAAATTTGATATTAAAAATAATTAATAACTAACACGTATATAAAATATAATATGAACATTCAAAAATAAAAATAAATAATATTGGAAGAAGAGCATAGAGCCTATATAGAAATATAATTTACAGAAAATTCGGAATTAGAAAAAATAAATATTAAAAGACAAGTCTAGAGTCCATATAGGAATATATATAATTTACAAATAACTAAAATTTGATATTAAAAATAATTAATAACTAAACATATATAAAATATAATATGAATATTACACATTAGTAGTTTTGTAAAGTTATTGCAAAATTTAAAATTATGTTGTCATTTTAATATATTTGAATAATATAATGAGAAAACATATATGCTATTATATGAGAGAAAATATAATGATACTAGCCGCGCAATCTGCGCGGGCCACCATGCTAGTTTTTTATTATAATAAGTATGATACAATGATACTACTTTAGTACTTTTTCTTCTTTCGTTTTTAAAATAAGCATTTGAGGTATTATCCATGGATGGTTGGAATTTCAAAAGTTTGACCGAATCTCGTCCTTAACTTCGAAAAAGCCTGTCAACTTGGTGGCTTCCAAATCAAATTAAGCACAAGTTTGATTTTGCAGGGGTGAAATTTGAGGTGGTGGAGTTACAAAGCACGTACTGTACTTGCTCCAGGGGATGAGGCAGCGGGAGCAGTGCGCCATGTCGAAGGCGCGAGCCGGGTAAGGAAGGCGCTTGGTGGCCATGATGCCGAGCATGGCCGGGACGCCGCGCTCCAGGGCGAAGAGCACCTGCGCCTCGTGCGTGTCCTTGGGCGCGAACGACATCGTCAGCACGTCGCGCGACAGCAGGTACGCTCCCCAGCTCGCGACCTGCACATGTGGTTCGTTCACACTTCAGAGTTCAGAGTAGTAGACAGTGCACATTAGCATCAGATTGATTTGTCAATTGTCATAGCAAAGAAGACACGGATATTAGGAAATGACCTAATATCAAATAATTAGAAGAGGTGAAGCTCTGAACCCAAGTCGTCTAGCCCACCACCCTGTGGAGCTAGCCGGAAAACCCCTGGGCATTTCTCATCAATTGTCATAGCCAACAGCTTGACTCATGCATGAGTGTTTCCCGAGTAAGGATGATTTGTCTGATGAAAAAACTTTGTTTACGAGAAATCTTATTTGACGCGTTTTATACAACCATCGTTTTATTTATGATGATTAAATTACAGGCCGAAGGGTAAACGATACTAGTGTTAAACTCGTCGTACTCCGGTTGAAGTTAGCCAAGAAACACAAGCCAACAACAAGGGGGAAGAAAATCATGTCTTGGACATTTTGTTCAATAGTGTTGATAGCTGGATATATATGTCGCATCAGACATCTTGTACCATCTTTACAGTGAACACAAAGGTAGCAAGAATGATCAATTAGTAAGGTAAGCTCTTCGTCCTGAAAGAAAACCAATTTCTAATTTAAAAACTTGATTTTTGATTATTTTTTTTAAGAACGGAGGGAGTACGAGCAACCAGATCCAAAGATGCACAGTTGAGTTCAGATAAAGCTATCTGCCGTCTGGTTAGTTGGACTATGATTAGTATTTTCTTATCCAAATAAGCTCTCATCAGTACACAATTCCATGTGCACACTTCTATCGAACTCTCCTACCAAACTAGATATCAATCACCGACTCAGACCTAACATCAATTAATCCATTGTTTCTTTTTTCAATTTCTCACACCGACTCTACACATGGAGAGGGTACTTAGTTAACATAAAACCAGCTTTGATCCACATCCAGAAGCTGATCCAAATATATCTAATTTTGCTGTCTGTCCTCGAAGCATCCATGTACTCTATGTCTAGTACTAGTTGTGAACATTCAACTATCCTAGTGGCATTTTTAATCCAACAATTAACAAACAGATAAGGCAAGGATAACTGGTGAAGGTGTTAATCACAGATGACTACATGGAGATCCACAGGCATTTACCCAGTAGAAAAAAAACCATACTTTTTTCGCAGGGCTAAAAAAAAGGGTTTTTTCCCCTACATTTTGGCAAAAATACGATAGAAAAAAACAAGGGTGTTTAACTCGCTACATCAGGAAATTTTTCACTACAAACAAACCAGCACTAGGAAACACAATCATGGGTGTTTAACTCGCTGGTACACAACACAAGCTCCAAAAAGTGTACACTGATCTACGCGCTGATGATCAAGAAACAGTAAAAAAAAACATGAAAACAACACAACTGTGGTGGAGAAATATTGATAGCAGCCCGAATTTCATAGGGATTGAATTGCAAACAAATTTTGGAAAATAAAATAGGGACTCGATTGTAAAATATCAACCTCAACCAGTCAAACTCTACCACTAGCCGTCAGATCAGAGATGTGCGGTCGAGATTACGTTGACCACCAGTCAACCAACAAGGAAAAACTCCACTCGGGACTGGGCCCACCAGTCAGTGACTATCATCACCAGGTTAATCTGAGAAGTAAACGCGGTAAAAGTAACTAACCCCGCAGCCGGTGTCCAGCGCCGTCCTGACCGCGCCGCCGCCGCCCAGCGTGATGCCGGCCGCCGCGGCGATGTCGTCGATGTACCGGTCGGCGCCGTGCGGGAACATGGTCCCGCCGCCGGGGAAGCGGAGCACGTCGCCGTCCCGCCTGATCCAGTTCTGCACGCCCTTCTCCGTCACCAGCTCCTCGTGCGGCGCGTTCGCGTACCACGCCGCGTCGCGGCTCCGCGGCCACCGGAGCGGCGCGCGGTAGCCCCGCGGCGCCGGGACGAGGCACCGCCGCCGCTCGGCCGGCGGGGGGCAGTGCCTCTCCCTGTACGCGAACCGCCGCCGCGGCTGGCGCAGCGACCACCGCTGCCCCTCGCACGGGGTGTGCTCCGAGTACCCCGCGTCGCACGCCGGGACGCGGCGCGATGGCGGCGCCCCCGCCTCGGCCGCGTCCTCCTCGGACGCGCCGTGGTGGATCGAGAAGTCGAGGGCGGTGTCGTTCTTCGAGGCCGCGGGCGCCGGTGGCTGCCGCGTGTTGCACGGGACGGCGGCGAGGGAGGAGGCGGGGAGCGGCGGGGCAGGGTGCGTCCACACGGCGAGGAGGTAGGAGGCGGCGCAGAGCGCCACGACGGCGGCCATGGCGGGGAGCGGGAGCTTCATGGTACGCAGCAGCATGGCCGCTGACTTCTCCTCCCCTTTGCCAGCTACTGGAAATTTGGGAATAATCACTGAATCAATCACCGATCAAGAACTGAAATTTGCTATCTCCTCGGTCAGATAGTTCAGATTCGTTCACTGTTGTGCAATTCAGATCGTGTGGAGAAGGGAGGAAGAGAGGGGAGGTGGTTGAAAGGTGCTTGCTTGAGATGGAAGGTGGACACCTGTTGCAAACTGCAAGATGTCATACTGTCATAGTGTCATGGATGCTAGTGCTTGGTGAGCTCAATAGCTGATTGCCATTACCATGTGCAACAACACAGTGTCACTGTATCCTGTCAAGTGTCAAGAATGGTTTATTGGCCTGGTTTTGTTGCTCTTATTCACGCAAATCTTTTGTGTTCTCGTTGAAAAATTGCTGCTCATGTTCTTGTTGATTTACAGAATGACAGACCACAGGATTGTACTTGCACGAATGGTGTTTTTTATTGGATGGGTGTGTGCGTTTGTCAAAGCTAATACTTTTTTTTTTCATTCTTTTCAGAGATATCTAACCAGGTCAGTGACAAACAGGGTAGGCAACAACCGGCCAACAAGTTCTGAAACTAACTACTTCTACATGACACCACCAACCATGGTATGTATGTAAGAATCTATCCTTGCAACAACAAAAACAGCTATTTTCCCAATCTGACAAAGGCTGGTTCAGATCTGCAAAAAGTCTGAATATTTTCTTCTATGAATGCACAAGAAGACTCTGGATATCGAAATGTTTCTGGGGATCAGTCCATTGTGATTGTTTAATTTGAGGTTAGGCTGTGTTTAGTTCAGCGCAAAGTTTGGATTTTGATTGAAATTGGAGATGATGTGACTGAAAAGTTGTGTATGTATGACAGGTTGATGTGATGGAAAAGGACTGAAATTTGGATTCAAACTTTGGATCTAAACTCAGCCTTAGTTAAAGAAGAATGCCTTTTCTGGATCTACATCTCCTCTACCTGTGTTTCACAAGTGGACAGGAGGATTACTGTAGTTGTTGTTCAAGCCTAAGCATTTAGCTCCCTGTGACCTGAGCTGATTAGTCCAAACTAAGTCTGGTTAGATTTGTTTGTGCCTTTTCCAGTTGCCTCCATGTGTTTTTTTATACTACCAATGATATTCTGACTTTTCTAATCCTCTCCATCATGATAGTTTTCACTGAGATACGCCAACGAGATACCATACATCATGTGTCATAAAAAAATCAGTCTGCTGAATTGAAGTAAAAAGAAAAAAGAAAAAGTGAGAACTCGAATAACACTTCTTCCCTTTCATATTATTATACAACTATTATAAGAGAGAGAGAGAGAGAGAGAGAGAGAGAGAGAGAGAGAGAGAGAGGGAGTGCTATAATGTTAAGAGCTAAGCAATGGAGTTTATATGCTTAAATCGCTTATTTTTCTTTATATATGGGTACCTAATAACGCGAGGTTAGTGGGTTTATGAGATGGCAAGTGTAAGAAACAATTGGTAACTAGTGACAACACTTGGAAAACGATATATTGTCTCATATACCTTGCTAGTGGAAATAGTAACAATTTTCTTTAAAAAACTCACTTAACTCTAATGGAGAGAAACGTGGAATTTCACTGAAAATTTAGACATACTCTCAGTTTCTTCTAAAATCTCAGCTTCCCTCGCAAAATCTTCACTGAGCCTAGCTAGAGAGATAGCTAGCCGCTTCAATCAAGTGGCCATCACGGTACAAACTAAAGGTTTAGCTTAATCAGTCAGGAGTTAAGTAGCCCAAGATATGCAAATGATTAGTTCAATCAACTGGCCAGCAGTTGAGATGTAATCTCTATATATATATATAGCAGAGACCGAAGTTTAAGTTGAATCAATTCGTTTGTTCTGTTTTTTTTGGTAAATTTTACGCATGATAATGTGATTGCATTTCTTGAGTTGGAACTTAGAACTCATCAGTGATCCACTGGTTGAGAGCTTGTTTCTGTGAAATCATATCAAATTTATTTCTGTAAAGATTTACTTTTCACTCGCGCTGCAGTTAACCCTCAGTGTTGGCTGCTGATCTGAAGTATAAGTCGACGATTTTATCCTGGGAAAAATCAGTGAAATATCCCTTGCCGACGGAGAGGCCCTCGCCGGCGGCGAGCCGCTCCACCATGCCCTGCACCTGCTCGGCCCCGACCCTCGCCGGGTCGAGCAGGTTGCAGGCGACCTCCACGACGCCGCCGCCGTGCGCGAGCCCCATCGCCTGCACGGACGGGAGCCCGCCGCCGCGCTCGCTGACGGCGCGGGCGATCCGCCTCGCCGCCTCCACGTCGCCGGTGTGGACGGGCACGTTGTAGTTGTCGACCCAGCTGGTGGCGCCGACGACCACCACGCCCTTGGATCTCGGCGGCCTCTCCGGCCCGGCGTCAGGGGCGACGGGCAGGGCGTCCGTCTCCGGCGCTCCCCGCCATTGGTCGCCGGAGGAGTTGGGCTTGAAGTAGCCGAGCTGCCTCCTGATGGAGGCCAGCGTCCTCCCCTCCCGGTGCGCCGCGCCGTACAGAAACGTCGGCACTGCGGCCTCGGCAGCGGCGAGCTCGCCATTAGATTGTTTCTTGAAGTGAAAATTGAGGAGAAGAGGAGTGGAGAGCAGCACCAACCTTGGAGCTCGTCTCCGATGTCGGCGGCCACGGCTCCGGCGAGGTCGGCGACGTGGCGGAGGGAGGCATGGGCGAGGGGGTGGAAGCAGATGTGGTCGACGGCGCCGAGGCGCGGGTGCGTGCCGGCGTGGGCGCCGAAGTCGATGGCCTCCAGCGCCGCCCTGACCATGCCGAGCACGGCGTGCCGGAGCGGCGGCGGCGCCGGTGAGGGGGTGAGCGGCGCGACGAGCGTGTAGCCCACCCGGTTGTAGGCGTCGTCGGTGAAGCGGTTGACGACGACGGCGCCGCCGCCGCCGCCGCGCGCCGCCTGCTCGATGGCGCGCAGGGCGGCGTCGTTGCGGCTCTCGGAGATGTAGAGCTTGCAGCACGCCAGCAACGTCGTGGGCCTCGCCATCGTCGTCGACGTCATCATCGTCTTCTTCTCCGGCGATGTGGAGATGACACGAGACCAGCGTTTGTTGTGTGGACAGAATTCAGCAAGGCATGCAGCCTTTGGACTTGACGAATTTCGGAGAAATTTTACGAAGATTGAGGCCGTGTTTAGTTCCAAAGGTTTTTCTTCAAACTTCCAATTTTTTTATCACATCAAAACTTTTCTACACACACAAATTTCTAACTTTTCCGTCACATCGTTCCAATTTCAACCAAACTTCTAATTTTGATGTGAACTAAACACAGCCTGAAGTAATTAGTGAGAAAATAGTTTAAGATTTCACAGGATCATCATCGAAATTAGTTCGATTCTCACAAAACAAACACTGAAAATTCATCCATTCATTCCAATGAAGGTTTTATTCAGGGCCAGTCCTAACTTCTTGGAAGCCCTTGGGTGAAATAAAGATAGAGGCCCTCATAACTTTTTTTTTTGCAATAGTGAATATAATAATTCATTATATTATTGAACAAAAACATCCGTAAGTCATACTAACTGTCATTCCAATTTCCAATCGCCTAATAATACTTTTCATAAGTTGAACACAACAAAAAAAACAATATTTTCTTCTCTTGTAGGCCCCATTTCCACTAAAACTAGAAAATCATGCGCACCTGGCGCGCATGATTTATAGCCCGTATATATTATTTTTGTGTTATTAATTAGCACATTGTTCATAAAAGTTTAAAAAAATCTTAGTTGAATGGAATTTTTTGAGTTCCAGTTTAACGTAATAGATCATATTGTTGAGAAAATCATCAAATTTTCTCCCTTTTTCCATCCATGCCATTAGTTATTCCTTTGTTTTTTTTAAATTACAATTAAGTTATTAACTCATGATAGATTTTTTTAGTAGTGTCCATTGAATTGGTTCGAAGAGATAAAATAGTTTTTTTTTTCATTTAAGATATGCAGCTCAATATTTCGAAAATACTTATAGAGATATATATGAATATGAGTAGTTGTATATGCATTCTAACATTTTTTGCAAATGTACTATAGAATACTCTATCTTTGAACATGTACATGTAGAGCAAGTGAGCTCCATTGACAGAGGCATTTGCTCCTTCCCCTGATATATAGATACTTCCAGATTATCCTTCCTCTGCGTGAGAGGACTGGAGCTGCCACAGCCATGCTCTTCCCTCGTACTCCTAGACACACAGCGAACGTATACATTTTGAGCAGGTGGCCACCATTGGCTCCATTGACAGAGGCATTTGCTGATTGCCTAATCGATCCTTTTAGATTATCCTTTCATCTGCAAGGGAGGATTGGAGCCAGCGGCGAATCTAGAATAAAAATTACCCGGGGTCCACTACATTACTCGAGGTCCACTACATAGTAGTTATCTAATTATTCACTAGTATACTAATCAAAATAGCATAAATTAGTTAGAATTTAACAATTTTACCCGGTGTCCTGTGACACCGGTAAGTTATATGTGGGCACGCCATTGATTGGACCCACAACCCTGTTTTTTCCTTCGCACTCGACGCACAACTGCCCAACTCTTGGTATCATTTTTTCCCCTTTTGGTGTTCTCCAGATTTATCTACCATGTGAGAGAGGACACGTGGCCCAATCACTACAGATAAAAGCAATATTTATATATTTAAACTCATGCTAGCGTATAACATCATCTATAATTTATTTAATTCTACAAATCAACATGTAAGTATATCTAATCATCATCGCTCACATTATTTTAATAATATTTTAACAAATATACCTATTATTTTTATAATATTTAACATATACTTATCAATATTACGGTTATCATTTGTTTGTTTTATGATAAGTGTTGATAAAACCTCATGTTTTAATATTTTCTTTTCTTTTTACCTCTCAGCTCGACAACCTTTGGGGAAGACGACACTTGCGAGAACAAGGATTGGCACGTCGGTGCTGGGAGAAAGGCGACAACCGTTGGGGAAGATGTCGCTTGCGAGAACAAGGCCGGATTGCCGCGTCGGTGCTGGGAGAAAGGCATGAGCAATTGAGGAAGATGACGCTTGCGAGAATAAGGAGAAAAAGAGGAAGATGATGGTAGCAGAGGCAACATCGCCCTCGTCCCTTGATCCTCCAAATCTGGGTATCCTCATTGGGCCCTTCTTCATCCCTCTCTCTTTCTCCTGGATGTGGTCGAGCTCGAGGTCGTGGTCGTTGCTACCGTGGATGGCGTGGACGTGTTCGACCTCGACGCTCACCGGCTGGTTGATGCGTCCACACTCGCGGACCATCACAGCTGGTACGGCTCGACGCCCTTCGCTTGATCCGTTGAGTGAGTGGATCTTGCTCGTTGGAAATAGCTTCCGTGGATCCGGAAAATACTGTTGTAGATGTCTTCCTCGTCGCCGGTTTACGACAGCTAACATCGGCTCGCTGTTTATATTTTTTGGAAAAAAAAACTTTCAAATATTACTATAGTATAGTTGCAGTGTAACTACAATATATAGTATAGTATAGTTGTAGTTTCCAGCGAGTTATGAAATTAGTTTTCTCATTCGTGTCCGAAAACCCTTTCCGACATCCGGTCAAACGTCCGATGTGATACCCAAAAATTTTCATTTCACCAACTAAAAAGGACCTTATATACAAGTTATAATATTGTTATAGTATAGTTATAGTGGAATTATATTACAATTATATTATAGTTAGATTTAAAAAAAATTCCTTTAAAAAACTTGGGGCACTTTTTTAGACACTTTTTTTTCTTCTCCATTGTTTCCTCGGTATGCAATCTTTTTCACCAGTTCTTTCCGTGTTTTGGTGTGATTTTCAACCGAGTTTGGAATGCTCTGGATTTTTCCTTTGTTTTATCTAGAGTCTTCACAGTCGTGCGGAATGGAACGTGCTCTTCTGGACACATGGCACATTTTAACGAGATGTGAGCTTGCTTTTAGCTTTGGCCACGTGGCCCAATGATTCGGTAGAGATTGCACCCTGAAATCGGTATTTAGATATCTCCTGCTTTATTATCAAGATTACCCCAATTTCTTGGATCAAAAATTCAATAGCAAAAGTTGGTTGTTCATCAACACCCACAGAATTTGTATCAGCCGAATCATGTTAGGTTTCATGCTCACTCAAGTTATTGACATCTTCATTCTGATTGATGCTATTGCCTTATTGGTATTCTCTAGAACTGTCATTAATTTGCTCGTTGAAAACAACTAAAGCCAATTCATCGGGATTTCTAAAGGAATCAGTATTATTCCTAAAGAACTTCTCGATTGCTCCCATTAAGATTCAGTTAACTCATCTACTCGTTTCCTTTTTTTTTTCCTTTTTCACTTCTAGATAAATACTTCCTGACTGACATAATACCAAGAACAGTAGTACAAATGTACAATATAGTAGTACCTTGATTTGCAAATTGCAAATCGGCTGGAATCTGAAAACGTGTCAACGAAACATGAAGAAGGCAAGCTCTAATCTCTTAAAAAAACACCTAAAAATATATTATATAGTCTTTAGAACCTTGCAAGGCAGCAAAAAAATATATTAGGCCGAGTTTAGTTCCAAACTTTTTGTTCAAACTTTAAACTTTTTCATCACATCATTCCAATTTCAATCAAACTTTCAATTTTGGCGTGAAATAAACACACCCTTAGTTGTATTGTACTCCTATGTAATAATCAAGAAAATCATACCATGGTTGTCTGCAAGAATCGCCGATCTGAACCCTTTCTCTTAAACTCTCTCCTAGCTCTAAAACAGATGTGTTCATGTGTAGGAGAGGCCAACAGGGGAAAACGAATGCTAAAGTCAGCTGTCAGCAAGTCTCCAACTCTTGGTTCTGTTGGACGGTTGGTTGGAGTCGCCGGCGCGGCGCTCGTTTCGTCTTTCGGGAAGGATTGAAGGGAAGGGGATTGGTGAACAGAAACGGAACAGGCGACGCGCGTGCGGCTGGAGCCAAGCGATCCATAATCCATTTCCCCAACACAATCTCCTTCGCTTGGAACATCTTATGCTCAGAGACATTTCATCGAACGCCCTGGTTGCGCCCCCAGAATGGCATGAGTTCTAATAAGCATTTCGTCGAACACACCGCATACAGGCAATGACCAGTTGATGTATTGAGAAACTTTTTACTTGATTCATTACAGGAGTACATGTCAAACCAGAACAAATAAAACAAGAAACCATACGAACACTTTGGGAGAACATGTATTTCTACTTTAATACTACTATGGCAGTCGATGTGATCAGAAGTCCTCGTCGATGCTGAAGACATGGTTGCAAGAAGCGCCGCCGTTGAGGCTGGACATTACGGACGCCTTCTGGTAGTCGCCGACGCGCTTCTCGAAGAAGTTGGTCTTGCCCTGCAGGGAGATGAGCTCCATCCAGTCGAACGGGTTGGCGACGTTGTACATCTTCTTGCACCCGAGCGCCATGAGCAGCCGGTCGGCGACGAACTCGATGTACTGGCTCATGAGCTCGCCGTTCATCCCGACGAGCGCGACGGGGAGCGCGTCGCAGACGAACTCCCTCTCGATGTCCACGGCGTCGGCGACGATCTCCTGGACGCGTGACTCGTCGAGCTTGCCGCGGAGGAGGTCGTAGAGGAGGCAGGCGAAGTCGCAGTGGAGACCCTCGTCGCGGGAGATGAGCTCGTTGGAGAAGGTGAGGCCCGGCATGAGTCCGCGCTTCTTGAGCCAGAAGATGGCGCAGAATGAACCCGAGAAGAAGATCCCCTCGACGCAGGCGAAGGCGACGAGCCGCTCGGCGAAGCGCTCGCCGCCGTCGATCCATCGCATGGCCCAGTCGGCCTTGCGGCGCACGGCGGGGACGGTGTCGATGGCGCGGAAGAGGCGGTCCTTCTCGACGTCGTCGCGGATGTACGTCTCGAGCAGAAGCGAGTACATCTCCGAGTGGATGTTCTCGATGGCGATCTGGAAGCCGTAGAAGGCGCGAGCCTCGGCGACCTGCACGTCGGACATGAACCTGGAGGCGAGGTTCTCGAGCACGATGCCATCGGAGGCCGCGAAGAAGGCGAGCACGTGGGAGACGAAGTGGCGCTCGTCGGGCGACAGCGCGGCGTCCCAGTGGCGCGCGTCGGCGGAGAGGTCCACCTCCTCCGCCGTCCAGAACGACGCCACCGCCTTCTTGTAGAACTCCCAGATCTGCGGGTACCTGATCGGGAACATCGAGAAGCGATCCGACGACTCCGCCAGCAGCGGCTCCTCCATGTCGCCGCCGCCGCGGGCTGGCACCAGCGTCTTCGCCGCCGCCGCCGCCGGCATCCTCGTCTTCCTCCTCGCCTCCGCCGCGGCAACCGCGATTCGATCTGGTGGTTTGGGGATTGGAGTTGGCTCGGCGAGTGGGTGTGGAGGAGGAGGCATCCCCTCCTCGCCTTTATAGCGGCGGGCGCGCGCGAATTTTGGATTTCGCGCCTTGGTGGCGGCGGCGGCGGGGGTGGCTTGCGAGGGAAGGAGCAGGAGGGCGCCGTGCCGGGAAAGATTTGGGGGGAAATTTTGGATTTCTCCTCGGCTGCTTTGAAATTTTCGCGGGGAAGATGACGCGTCAAGCCAGCCGCCCCGTGAATTGGGGAAAAGGAGGTTAAATGCGCCGCGATCCACTCTATATGGGCCGGCACCTGTCGCAGATCAGGCCCAACATCCAGTTGTGTAGTGGGCCCAAATTCCAGGTTGGGCCGCGTGGTTAGAGCTAAGATTTGAGCGGGCCGGGATTGTGGGCCAACGTACGACCGGCGATAAGAAGACCTGTAATAAAGCCTGTAACGGAATAACGGCTATTGCTTTGGACCTCACACTTTCTCCGGTTAGCTAGGGGTGTGTTTAGTTCACGCCAAAATTGAAAGTCTGGTTAAAATTGGAACGATGTGACGAAAATGTTAAAAATTTGTGTGTGTAGAAAAATTTTGATAGGATAGAAAAGTTGGAAGTTTGAAAAAAAAATTGGAACTAAACACGGCCTAGGTAAAGCAAATTAGGGTGTGCTCGGTAAAATGGTTGGAAACTTCTCGCTGCGCATGTCAAACAGAACCATTCATTAATGCATAATAAATTAAGTATTATATAAAAAACTTAAAACTAAATTAATTTTGTTTTTTAATATTTTTCTATAGAAAACCTTTATAAAAACATATCGTTCAATAATTGAGGAAATGCGTACATATGAAACGAGAGAGGAGAAGTTAAATTCTTATTAGTATAAAACACACATTTAGGAAATGTGCCTTTAAGATTTCGATTTGAAGATTTCAAGCTCGCGCCAGGAATAACATCCGATTGAAACTTCATTTATTGTTACCATAATGTTCCTGGATGGTACTGCTACTATACGTCCTGTTAGAGAGGTGCTGTGTGTATGAAATACAAATGGCTCTTTGGATATGAATTTATGAGTAACTCCAGTAGTTAGACGTGGACCCTATGAACTGCAGTTGTGGATTTAATCTCATGTTTTCTTGCCGGTTCACATACATTGTTTGAAAAAAAAACTTGAAATAAACTACTCTGTTAATAAGCAAACCAACGTTTGTTTATAGCGCGAACTACAGTGTGAAATATTACATGTAGTTAACCTGGTAATTGAATTTACGTCCCCGACGTCTAATGTTAACATTTAGACAGCAAAATATCATGCAAATCAACCATTACAGGCGTATATGTACGAGTGGTTCATAGATAGGCAATACTAATGTTGCCATTTAGGAGTAGAAGCTAGGGCAACGCATAACGGTTGTACTAAACAGTCATTTCAATTGTAACGGTTATTGTACAGCTTGATCCGATGCTACTCATCACCGTCGCATTTCTTGTAATTTCCCACAAAATTTCAAGTAAGAGGAAGAAACAAATTAAGACTCAAAAGTGGTGGCACAACACAATGATGCATTTCAAGATCAAAACAAACCCAAAACTCGAGCTTACTTAGTAGCCAAAACAAATATACCAGCAGCTAACCCAGCTAATGACAATAGCTGTCTGCAAGTAAAACACCCGGTATTTTGTCACGTACCAAAATGACACTTTTTTTTCTGACAGCAATGGCACATCATTAACTGAGCCCCGCATTGACGCCAAAACACGGGACACGCATGCGTGCGTACGTGTCCCGATCCGACGGTGGCAAACACACAAACATCATCATCACCAGACACGCAGGATACAGCCACGTAGTACGTCGTACAGCACACCGTACCCCACCCTGTACACTAGCCTGTACGTACAGCTCAGCGTCCGTTGCCGCGCTGACGTGGCCGCACCGCGTGGCGTCCGGCTCACGCGATCTGGGCCGTCGGTTCGGCGCGGGGGCCCACGCGTCAGACACGCGTGTCAGGTGGTGGGAGCCCAACGGTAACAAAAGAACGGGGGCGTGCTGCGTGACCGCGTCCACGCGTGCGTGACAGCGTTAGGGGGGGTGGTCACGTGCGTCGCACCTGACCGCAACGGTCACATTGACCAGAGAGGGGGGGAGGCAATCAGGCAACGGTCACATCCCGGACCACCCCATCTCGCACCGTCCGGTCGCGATCCGACGGCGTGGGAGCCGCCTCGAGATTCGCGCCTCCCGCACTCTTTTCCTCCCCTTGGGTTGCCCCTCCCGGCCTCTTCTTCCCTTCCCTTCCACCACACCGGAGAGGTGAGTGAGAGTGAGAGAGTGAGAGCAGAGACCACCACCACCGGAGAGGTTAGTGAGAGAGGAGTGGTAATGGTGAGGCAACAAGAGTAGGTTCCATTTCATATCATCACTAGGATAGCGTAGTTTGTAGGCTGCATCTCCATCTCCATCGCCATTGATTCGCATTGCATCCATCATTTTAGGATGTTCTACTAGGGTTCTTGATTTTTCTTTTGGTTTGTTGTTTTGACGAATGGAGGTATTGTTGGGATTCGCCGCCTGCTGCTCGTCGTCGTCGTCGCCGATGAGGAGGCCGTGCGGGCTCTGCCCCGGCATGTCCGATCGTTCGTGATTTGTTTTTTCTACATGTTTTAGGGCCCATTTGTTCTTGATCCTATTCTTTGATTCTTTTGTACTAAGCATTCTAAGGCGAAGCCACCCATTCTTTCCTGCATATATACTTACAAACACATAGCCCCCATCTGATCTCACAAACATTATTTCTCTCTCTTTTTTTCTCAGTTTTTTCTTTGTTGATTTACTGACCAAATTCTTTGGAAGAACAACAAGATCATCTGGTTTTTATCTGCTCATTCTTTTGTACATCGAATCATATACATTTCCATTCCACCAAAGCCTTAGCCAGATACCACAGAGAGAGTGTGAGAGAAATCAGAGTGAGAAACAGAGGAGGAAGAAGAAGAAGAAGACGAGGAGGAGGAGGAGGAGGAGCAGGAGGAGGAGGAGGTCTCTTCTTGGCACGTCGCGTTCCGGCGAGTGACGTGTCTCCGGGATGTTGGCGGGTTGCTCGTTCTCGTCGTCGAGGCATCAGATGAGCACCGCGCAGCGTTTCGACATCCTCCCCTGCGGCTTCTCCAAGCGCGGCAGCCGCGGCGACGGCGCCGCCCCGCGGGTCGCCGGCGACGCCAGGAGCGGCGCCACCACCTGCTCCTTCCGGACGCACCCCGCGCCGCCGGTCACCCAGTCCGTGTCCTGGGGCGCCAAGCCGGAGCCCGGCGGCAATGGCAATGGCGCCCACCGCGCCGTTAAGCGGGCGCATGACGAGGACGCGGTCGAGGAGTATGGCCCCATTGTTCGCGCCAAGCGGACGCGGATGGGCGGCGACGGCGATGAGGTATGGTTCCATCAATCCATTGCAGGGACGATGCAAGCGACGGCGGCGGGAGAAGGAGAGGAGGCGGAGGAGGAGAAGGTCTTCTTGGTGCCGAGCGCGGCGGCGTTCCCGCACGGCATGGCCGCCGCGGGGCCATCGCTGGCCGCGGCCAAGAAGGAGGAGTACAGCAAGTCGCCGTCCGACTCGTCGTCCTCGTCGGGCACGGACGGCGGCTCGTCGGCGATGATGCCGCCGCCGCAGCCGCCCGAGTTCGACGCGAGGAACGGCGTGCCGGCGCCGGGGCAGGCGGAGCGGGAGGCGCTGGAGCTGGTGCGCGCGCTCACCGCGTGCGCCGACTCCCTCTCCGCCGGCAACCACGAGGCCGCCAACTACTACCTGGCCCGGCTCGGCGAGATGGCCTCGCCGGCGGGGCCCACGCCGATGCACCGCGTGGCCGCCTACTTCACCGAGGCGCTCGCGCTCCGCGTCGTGCGCATGTGGCCGCACATGTTCGACATCGGCCCGCCGCGGGAGCTCACCGACGACGCCTTCGGCGGCGGCGACGACGACGCCATGGCGCTGCGGATACTCAACGCCATCACGCCCATCCCGAGGTTCCTGCACTTCACGCTCAACGAGCGCCTCCTCCGCGAGTTCGAGGGGCACGAGCGCGTCCACGTCATCGACTTCGACATCAAGCAGGGGCTCCAATGGCCGGGCTTGCTCCAGAGCCTGGCCGCGCGGGCGGTGCCTCCGGCGCACGTGCGGATCACCGGAGTCGGCGAGTCGAGGCAGGAGCTGCAGGAGACGGGAGCGCGGCTGGCGCGCGTCGCCGCCGCGCTCGGCCTGGCGTTCGAGTTCCACGCCGTGGTCGACCGGCTCGAGGACGTCCGCCTGTGGATGCTCCACGTCAAGCGCGGCGAGTGCGTGGCCGTGAACTGCGTCCTCGCCATGCACCGCCTGCTCCGCGACGACGCCGCGCTGACCGACTTCCTGGGGCTAGCGCGCAGCACGGGCGCCACCATCCTCCTCCTCGGCGAGCACGAGGGCGGCGGCCTCAACTCGGGGAGGTGGGAGGCGCGGTTCGCGCGCGCGCTGCGGTACTACGCCGCGGCGTTCGACGCGGTGGACGCGGCGGGGCTGCCGGAGGCGAGCCCCGCGAGGGCCAAGGCGGAGGAGATGTTCGCGCGGGAGATCCGCAACGCGGTGGCGTTCGAGGGCCCCGAGCGGTTCGAGCGCCACGAGAGCTTCGCCGGGTGGCGGCGGCGCATGGAGGACGGCGGCGGGTTCAAGAACGCCGGCATCGGCGAGCGCGAGGCGATGCAGGGGCGCATGATCGCGAGGATGTTCGGGCCGGACAAGTACACCGTGCAGGCGCACGGCGGCGGCGGCAGCGGCGGCGGCGAGGCGCTCACGCTCCGGTGGCTGGACCAGCCGCTGTACACCGTGACGGCGTGGACGCCGGCGGGCGACGGCGCGGGAGGCAGCACCGTGTCGGCGTCCACAACAGCATCACATTCTCAGCAAAGCTAAGCTGACGATGAATGGTGATTAGGTGAAGAGAAAGAAAGAACAAAGCCTTTTTTTACAGTGCTTCTTTTGTTAATGATGATTAGTTCATACAGTATGACAATTCTTTTATACATTCAGAGAAAAGAAAGAAGAAAGAAAGGTGTAGTTTTTTGTTTTATAGATTGATAGGTGGAAAGATTCAATTAAATCAAATTCAATTCAATTTTTAGATTGTAATTCTTTATAAATATTCTTTTGGCTGTTGAGAGAGAGTCCCCTGCAAAATGTAGCTGCATGTAGAAGAAAGAAAGCAAAGAAGCAGTAGATAGATTAGCAGGGGCAGCATCTCTCACAGTCACTATTAGTGTCTCCGGCTGTTATTATACAACATTATTATTACAATCAAATTCTTTCATCATTCATTCTACATGTAATCTCTGTTCAGAATCAGAATGAAATGAAACATGTGTTATATTTCTCCATGGATGGTGAAGTTTGTGTCATCTGAAAGTTATACTTCCATCTTTCATCTGTTATTTTGCTCTTGTTTTGATGGTATCCAATTCAAAACTGAATTGCATTGGTTGATGTGTCGTCCAAAAGAGATGTTATAGTTTGCTTCTTCTTCTTCTTCTTTTTTTGGCTCTCTCTGAAGAGCTTCAGTTTTGGCGTCCGCTAATCTGAATTGTATTCCACGGTGCTATTAGGCCTCACGAAATGCAGCCCATCCAGCCCACCCACATCTCTAAAAGGCCGGCCCGGTCAGGCCCATCTTCAAGGACACGCGGCAAGCCGCGTCAGGCGCCGGCGACCTCGTCGGTCGCCGCCGCGCTCCACACGCCCCCGGCCGGCGCGGTCACCATCCGCTTCTTCTCCAAACGCCCACGCGCTTCTCACCTCTCCAGCTCCTGCGCCGCGCGCACCCCTTGCCCTCCGCCGGCAGCCGCCTCTGGTTCCTAAACCCTAGGCGAAGACCTTCCTCCGCTAACCGGCTCTGGCTCCTGTTCGTCCCCGGCGGCGTGCGGCCTCGCTCGCTCGAGGTGCTCCCAATTCCCAAAGTTACACTGGTGGCGCGGCGTCGGTTTCGCTCACACGGTGCTCGTCCAAATGCCTACCCGGCTTGCTGGCGCGTAGCACGCCCTGGATGATGCCATCACGCACTCCAAATCTCCAGTATTCCACCAGGTGTTGCTCAAGGCCTCAGAGTACACCTATTGTTGCGGGAGATGGCAAGTGGTAAGTATATTCGGGCAACAGCTCCATGATTTCCCCCTTGCTGTATTTGTTCCTCTCTCCGTTCCAAAATAAACCAACCTCGTACCGGATGTCACACATGATGAATCTGAATATCTTTGTATCTAGACTTATTGTACTAGGATGTGTCACATCCAGCACTAAGTTTATTTTGGATCGGAAAGAGTACGTTTGTAGATTCACCCGTCCATTCACATTCTCTGTTATTTTCCTAGCGAGAACCGTAAGAGTAGTCATACTGCACTGAAGCTGGTGCAATCGTGGTGTGTGTGTGTGTGTGTGTATTATAGAGTTGAGAAATCATGGAATGCCGATAGTAGGTGAACAGCACCGCACTTCCCACCATATTCTAGTAGCATATGCTAGCTCATGACGATGAATCAGAACTGTTTATACTTCCAATGAAACAATATATAATGCAGTTTATATTATCCATGTTTCATACAGGATTACATGCTGACCGTATTGTTTCATTTTCCCTCAAAGCAAAAGTAACATCTGAATTTCTTACTTTTTCCTGCAAGGTTCTTGTGATGATTAAAGGCTAAGGTGATCCTGATGTTACCTTTACAGGTAAGTGGAATCATGTTCAGACTTTAACTATTTCTATGGACGATGGCTACTGTCTTTCAATTCAGTGTTGGTTTCAGAAATTCAGTTCATCTATTATCATAATCTGTTTTCTGTCACCGGCAACAATTTAGCATGCACCAAATAACTTTACTTATTTTTGTATTCGGTACACCTTGTAGTATCATCTTCCTTGTAACATATGGACATTTTCTTTTTGGTCTTCATTTTGAGTTGTTTAAAGCCTCTCTGCATGGTTCTTTGATCTTTGCATCCTCCTTAAGATGATTGAGATACCATTGCCGGCGGTACTGTGGATGAGAAGAAACTTGGCTATGCACTTGCCACTGGACACCCCTGTACAGTTATACCTTCCGCAATGGGGCAAGAAGCTAATGGACAACCATCCAAATCATTACCCCACCAGTTCAAACTGATTTTCTCTAGTCCTAGGCATAAATATAGCAAGACAGCCATGAATGCCAAACCAGCATCAAGGGCACCTGAAAGTAGATAATTGTGTCTCTCCCACCAGTCACGACGGTACTTATAGACCACATAACCTGACAAAAATGCTACAAATATCCATGCCGTGTAGTTGACTGAAGTGGCAGGAGGCATCTGGCTGATTCCGGCGATCAGCACAGGCATGTTGACAAGTAGGATCCATTTCTGACCTGGGAATGCCTTGTGTGCAAACCAGACGAGGAGGGGAGCAATGGCACCCCCCAAGAAGAACCAGTTGACAGCAGAATAAGTGCCTAAATCACCAAATATTCTGCGTGGGCCAATAAGGCCCCATATGACTGATGCATCATAGAATAAATGATCATAAGGGCAGGTCCAAGGGCTGCCTGGGGGGAGGAGCTCGGTGTTGCATATGTTAGGGATTGTATCCATGAGCCACCATGCTGTTCCAAGGTACACAAATGCTGCTATCAAAGTGCCCACCACCTGCTATTTTTGAATTGCTATTAGGGACATAATCAACACTGAATAAAATGATAATCTGCTTATCCTCCTTTTTTACAAGCAATACACCCATTTATTCATGTGACTAGTGAAGCTGACCTGAGCCATAAACATGGTCCTTGGTGGAATCTTCATGTAGTGTCCCAGCTTAAAATCTTGTAGGAATGCTAGGGCTTGCTGTGGGCCAATGTAACCATATACCTTGAAGCACATGTTTGCGACAGGTCGTCCAGGATACAAGTACCCCATGATGTATTCCGTGATGATATTCAAGCCTGGAGTCTGTCACATACAGTATAATAAGCTGAAGTGCTACACTTGGATGTGTGCATTAGCATTTGCCTTTATGCTTTTACTTCTTACCTGGTTTGTCGTTGCTGTGACGATTCCAATTGGAAGGGTGAAGAAAATTGCAAGGGCACATGCAAGTAGTACCCCCCACCAGGGTAACTGCAATTGTTCTATGTAATACTCACAAGTGAACATGGTGATTGCAACACTGGCTATAAGGATGGAGATGAACCACCATTCAGGAACCTGTTTGTACCTCTTCATAAGCTTTGTATGTATGTCCATCTTTTTATCTTGAAAAGCTGATCTGCTTAGCTGCCAAATTTCACTGGACACAGGTGTCACAAATTTATCTGTGTATCTAATTTTACATAATAGACCTAGAGGGAGAAGGAAGGGGAGGATACCTTCCATGGAAAAGAAGAACGTGGACAACTGTTGCAGTAAGACATGCAAAACCAAGACCATAGCTGATAGAAAAGAAGGTGCTGATGTATAATGGTCCATTCTTCTCATAGGCTTTTGTATCAAAATGAAACTGTGAGTCTATAATGGTAGAGATGTTGTACTTCTGTCCAGTCACTGTGAAAAGGCCATCTGAAAAGATAGGGAAGTTTTGTGCCTTGTAGAGATTAATCCAGTAGGCGATTGGTGTGATTACATAAATGTAGATGAAGAAGCCGGCAGCAATGTTGGCAGTGGCAAACCATGGGCTAGCCAGTGGGCTTCCGAGATATGACGAGATGGATGACCAGTCGAGTCCAATTGCACCAATGCCAAGGCCATGGAGACCTGATCCAAGCTGTTGTGCGAGCACAGATTTGGGAAAGATCCAACAAATCCAGGAGAGGGAAGTGAGCATCTGGAATAGGTAGCCTGGGAAAATGTAGTAGGCAAAGCTGCACACAAATGCTACCAAGAAGAACTGGGTGCGTGTCATGCCGCCTTTGCTCCTCCGTTCCTTTTCATGAAGTGCCCTGATGAACATGTGCAGCAAATCTGTTATTCACTTTTCTATGGTAGTTTTTTTTTAGCCATCCTTTGACTACGGAGAAAGTTATTATTTTACTGCTAATTTGATTCTGCATTTGCAAGTGTGTCCAGTATGGCTATTAAGCTCACTTTTCAGATTGCCACTGAAAGTTTTAGATGAATTCACTCATTGGCAGAGCAACACAGATTTATGCCTTATTATGATTTATAAGTGTCATCTCAACAAAATGCTGAACCTTTTTTTTTATTTGCAGACAAATTGTATCCATGTTTTTCTGACAAATCATTGAAGCCTCTAGGGAAGTAAACATCTTGTTTTAAAATGTCTAGTCGGGTTTACTCAAATGAATCTTGATATTGTATAAGGTTTAGTTGATGCTTGTTGCTGGTTGTAACTGATCTTGTTTCCTTGGTCGTAAATGGAAAATTGTTATGCCTTGGTTTGGGACGAAAAATCTTGTTATAGTTTTAATAGCTGCTCTTCGTCTATAATTGAAGTGATATGATATTTTATATATCTTGTTTTCTTTCTTTGAATTTTATCTGTCAAAATTGATTGACTGCTTCTTTTATTACTCAGGATATCTCCAAATACACGGAATTCTGGTTTTCTGCAGCAGCATGCACTTGCATAGCTGAGTGTCCAAGTCGCCTAAATCTCCTAATTGTTGCGTAGAATTCAGATGAAGATGATGCTGGGTGGGTTTTATTATTGAATTGACTGGTAAATGATTCCTGTTCGCTTGAGTCATTATGTCAATATCTACTTTTTAGACAATTCATGATGTGCCAATATATCTCTGCTTATTATGAATGAAAATGACAAAACCATGATATAGGACAGATAATATTTTTTATATAATTAGCATATTGCTGAATAGCAGTGCCATCGTATTCAGTGCTGTTCACACAACATACGACTTGAACACCAGCTTAATAAAAACCCTTATTTGTCCTTCAAAGTTCAAAGTATCTTTTTTTTTGTTGACGTTGGTTTTGAGATTTGGGAAGGTGGTTGGTTGGTTATCTTTGGGTAGTCTAGCACTTAGCTGTACCTTATTAACACATCAATTGCAAGCAACTGGCTGCACACATCATGCGACGCAAAAAAAATGTATTCTACTGGTGGAAAGATTACTTTACAAGTGGCAATTCAACTCCTTTTAACCAATCATAGGCAAGCTATATCTGAATAATCAGATTTATAGCACATGTGGAGAGTAAATTATTGTGAATTACTATTTGCTTATTACCTGAAGAGGGAGACCTGCACGAGGTTGGACGGCCACCACATCGCCGCCGGCTCCACCAGATACCGCCGGAATATTCCCGCCCACCCGAATCCCAGCACCTACAAAATGAAGCTCAAGTTCATGAACATGAGTGTACATGACACCTTGTACTGTTATTACTGCAGCACGTTGATGTCACCTCTACCTGGCTGGTGAGGACGACGAGGAGGGAGACGAAGAAGGAGATGCGCTTCCCGTAGAAGACTCGGACGGCGGTGATGACGTTAATGGCGAAGACGGAACCGGCACCGGCGTTGGCGAAGATGGTGATGAGCACGTGCTCCTTGACGTTGAACGGGCCAGGGTTGAGGGTGAATTCCCACGGCCGGCCACGGAAGAAGACGCGCTCCGGCAGCGCGGCGGCCATGAGGCGGCCGAGCGGCACGACGGCGATCTGCGCCGAGATGGCCGTGACGGTGAGCGGCTCCTTGCGGTACCAGAAGAAGGTGTTGAGGAAGGACAGCACGACGCAGGACGCCGTGCCCAGCACCCATATCCGGAACGTCAGCACCGGCGTCGCCGGGTCGTCCCCCACCGGCACCGTCAGCGCCACCTGCTCCACCGGCGAGTTCTCCTCCGGCGAGCCGAGCCGCATTGAGGATCGCACTGCACGAGAAGAACTCATCAGGCAACAGAACAGTTTGCTTTCTTCTAGTGGTGTTCCATGGCGGGAAAAAGAAAACAGCTGAGACGACTAGGCTTTGCCGTGCTTACACAGTGGAGAGGTGATTTGGCTATTATCTTGTTCCTCTTCCTCTCCATCTCCATGGCCTTGCTCTTGTACTTCTTGGTGATGGGAGGACGCCATGGATGGATAATGGGAGGAGTTGGGAGCTGTGCCAGTGTGCCAGAGAGCCAGAGTGCCTGCCTTTGTAGCTAGTAGCCGTGGAGTAGCTTATGTGGACTCTTGACTTTTTGTGCAAAAATCTGCCTGCATCTGCAAAGTTTTGGTTCAGTCCATGTCCAAGGTGCGGCAAATTTTACTCCGGACCTGTAGGCATCAGTGAGAAAATTGAGACACAGGTACCTAACCTTCTGTTTATAGATAGATTGTAGAGTTTCTTTTTCAGCTAATGGACGAATGAAACGGCAGATTTGGGAGAATTGCGTCGCTGTGAGGAGGACAATTCGTTCGATCCAATGCTACAAGCCTTACAATAGAGGCAAGCGGGCCGTCTCTTTCAGCATTTTTTATGGCTCGATGGTATCTTTTATTTATTTATTATGTACAGGATAACACGGTTGATTGATGCGATCGTCCTGCTCCATGCTGTTAGGCCCTGTTTAGATTCTGGCAAAATTTTACCTTCCGTCACATTGGCAAAATTTTACCTTCTGTCACGTCAAATGTTTGGACTTATGCATGAAGTATTAATATAAACGAAAAAAATCACTACTTACACAGATTGCGTGTAAATTGCGAGATAAATCTTTTAAGCTTAATTGCGCCGTGATTTGACAATGTGGTGCTACAGTAAACATTTGCTAATGATGAATTAATTAGGCTTAATAAATCCATCTCGCGGTTTACATGCGGATTTTGTAATTTGTTTTGTTATTAGACTGCGTTTAATACTTCAAATGTGTGTCCGTACATCCGATGTGACACGCCAAAACTTTATACCCCTGAATCTAAACAGGCCTAGGCCACATAGCCCACATCAAGCAAAATAGTTCAAAGGTATTCATATCTAAATTTACCACATAATTTTGGAGGGGTTTTGTGGGAATTAAACTAGTTTCAGCAAAAAACATGTGAAATTTCTGAGTCATGGAAGCAGCTGTAAAATTTCTACCTTTCGCTCCAGAGGAGGCATTTTAGAATCTCCGAGAGGATTACAAGTAGCAAAACAATGTAAGCATGCCGAGTCGTGCAAATCAGAAACCAGAACAGACTACTAAATATAACACCACGCGGAAGGGAGATAATATGTTGTACACAAATATGTGATGTGCACCAAAATTCTCCCAACACGCATTAATCGGCAAAATTGTCTCCAGAAGTATATATATATATCCCAATATAACCGGCCATAAGCATCACATCTGCACGATGCCACGAATTGTTTTCAGCTTTGATGTTTAATAACTAGTTAATGTCAGAAAGCATCTCACAAAGCCAAGGCACCAAAGTTGGAACTTGGAACAACAGAAGGTTACCAATCCTAGCACTATGGAGTAATATATCTAGAGCGACCAACGAACTATCATCATTTCACTTGAACATTCGATGTGATCATGCCTACAAGGTAGGAAAAGCGATTGACTCATGTTATCTGGTCCACCGAAGAACTTGAGGTCAAGTTGTTTCTAAAAAAACATTGAGCAGCCAGAGTTGTCAAATCACCTGATAAAAGGACGAACAACTTAACGCCTAACACGACCACCACCAGGTCCTGAACCTCCCCTGGGGCCAGTAAAACGAGCAAACTGGAGCCGTAAATGGGGTGAATTGCGATCATGTTCATCGAATTTGTAGCCTGCAAAATTAACCATGAATTTTCATGATTTAAAACATGGAAATTAAGCAATCAAACGAACGGTTCAATGACCAGTCAACTACCATGTAATTTCTCACTCCCAAGACACCACAGAGAACTAACTCATTGCAGGTGCGAATTACTCTATTTTCGTACATGACCTTGAAAAGTTTTAGATGGCCACTGACAGGATTACTTTGATCATGCTACAAAAAATAGGCAATAGATGCCTGACATGATCATGGAACAGCTATTCCTTTTTACAAACAAGATCTAACAGCTACCTATTAGGAATCACAGTAATTAGAATACATTGACAAGCATCATAAGTGGATCATAACCGTACTGGGAATTAATATAGCTTGCTAAAGTTGTTGTCAAGTGAAGGGGAAATTACCATTTGAGAAGCACCAGCGAGCTACTAGTAATATAGATAGATGGTGATATCTATGCCATTTTCTGCCAGAGTGTTTCCACAGGCCTAGTCCCCAGACAACGCAATAACATCTTGTGTGTGTGTGTGTGTGGGGGGGGGGGGGGGGGGCGCATTATAAAGGCAGTCACAGCTATGGTAACAATGTGAAGCAAAATGTTCAGGTGATAAATTAGGAACAGACAAGATTTTCACAGCCCACTTTTAGCTGCTTGGCCAATAACTCCACACCAATTTTAAGGACAAATACTTCAGTCGAATGAGTTCTATTCAACCATAAAGAAACTGACTGTCGGCTTTTAGCAAAATACCCCAAATTACCAACCATCACAAGCATCTATCAGATCTTGGTAAACAAAGCATCCAAATTATAAGCATGCATGACAATGAGATAACTAAAAACAGGGAAAAAGATAGAGAAGAAAACACACAAGTTCAATATCATGACTCATAAGACACTGATAGGAGAGATGGATCAACAGCTTCACATGGTGTACCCACAGCTGTCAGATTTAATTGGGCATTACGCAGCCAAAAGAAATTTGAGATCAAAAGGTGATAAATGGCTCAGTGTCAACAAACTATAGTTCACTGACTCACCTTGCAAAGCATCCATAGCAATAGCAGCTTGACTAGCAGTTTCAAAATCAACAAAACAGAGTAGAATTGGATCCCCACCAGGCTGTTAACAGCAAAGCACTTAGATGGATGAACAAGAACGAAACAAGAGACCAGGCGTGACAGCACCAAAAAGCTCACTTACATGTCTTGCTTCTTTGCTTACAAGTCTCACCTCACGAAAACCAACAAATGGTCGGAAGATATCTTGGGGGAAGGTGAAGGACCAGCAGCTAAGAGATGGAGGCATATTATGAATAATTTACACCCACAATTTGTGCAAATGAAAGATTAAAGATAGACAGAAAAAGGCATGGGATTTAAGGATACGAGAAACTTCTCGACGTGCACAATCAGTAGGAATTCCTTCAATGAATAATGTATTTGATGCATCTGGTGGAAGGGGAGGCTCTGGCATCCCACCACCAAAGCCAATATTTCTGGCTTCCATGCCCCCACCAGCCATCATTGGACGATCCTCAACTGGGTATCCAGCATTGCCACCTGCCGCAGGCCTAATAGATTCAGCACCAGGTCCAGCTCCAGCTCCAGCTCCATAGGATTGAATTTGCTGTAGTACAAAAAGAAGAAAAAAGTGTCAGCTGACAATGTGTTTAAGGAATTGAATATAGTATGTGTTAAGAACAGGTTTTGATACCCCAGTGCGCAGAAAACGTTCATAGGAAGCGTTAAGAGCCTCAGTGTCTCTTGCAGGACGATACCCTGGCCTTTCTTCATCACGAGAGTAATAGCCAGCCATTTCAGGAGCACCAGGTACATCTATGCAAGGGAAAAAAGTGGTAGTAGTAAATATGGGCCTCAGTCCTCGAGACACTACTGCATCCTAAATCATTGCACAACTAGCTAGTACTAAAATATAACTGAAACAGCATAGGACAAGCAGAATTGTTGATAGGTGTCATCCTAAATCGACTAAATCATTCCACAACTAGTACTAAATTATAAGTGAAAAATGGTATAGGACAAGCAGGATTGTTGATAGGTGTCATCCTAAATCGAAATCAAGCACACGCAAAATCCAACAGTGTCCTCAGAGCGACAGTGCTACCAAAACCGAGAGAGCGTGCAATTTTCATGGACAGCTTCAGTGATAGCGAACAAATGCCACTGCATCGTCGGGAGATCCACTACAGTCTAGCGAAGAAACAGTAAGTACGAAATGCATGATACGATATGCACACGCGATATCACGCAAGTGAGACAACCCAGAGACGACCGAAGAAGAACAGCCGAGCATTGCAACTGCGAGACCCTAAAACCCTATAAACAGTGAACACCCGCGCCGGCTTCAGAGCCGAGACGAGCAGCTGCCAGCGAGGAGAGGGAGTGAGGTGTGGCGAGGCGAACCGGAGAAGTCGGCGGGGCGGGGCCGCTTGAGCGGCTGCCCGGCGGCGGCGACCTGAGAAGCAGCAGGCGGCGGGGCGGGCATCCCGGCGGCGGGGGCGGCGGAGAGGGGCAGCTGGTGGTGGTGGTGGTGGCGCGCGGCGTCGGCGGCGGCGGCGTACCTCCAGTACGCGTCGGCCATGGCGACCCGTGGGGGCGGGGGCCCTCCTCTCCTCTCCCTCTCCTTCTAGAAGGTTCTGGATTCGCGCCGAGAAGAGAGAGAGAGAGGAAGTTTGCGTGGCGGTTGCGGATGGCGGAGTGGAGAAGGAAAGGAAAGGAAGGAATGACGTGTTGGGGGAGAAAGCCAAAGGAGGAAGGGGGGAATCTCCGCTTTTCGGGACCCTGGTGGTGCTGCACTCAGCGCTCCTCTGCACGCACCACGCATGAACGGTCCAGATTGCATCTGTCTTAGGGCCCTTTGATTTGTATGAAAAGTAGAAAAGTTGGAGGATTTGAATCATATGAAAAATATTTCTATGGAAGCATTTGAAATAAATGATTGAATCCTATCTTATCTTTTTAAATTCGTATGTAATGGGTAATCCTCAGAGATTTTGGAGGAAAGTTAGCAAGATGTTTAACCTCTTAAAAAAATTTCTTTGAGTCTATGTTTCTCATCTCATTCCTGTGTTTTTCCTGTGGTGCAATCAAACGATCATTCCTGTGTTTTTTCTGTATTTTTCAATCATCTACTCCCTCCGTCCCAAAATATAAACATTATTAGCATAGTGACAAGTCAAACATTTTTAACTTTAACAATTAATAGCAAAAAAGAAGATCAACCATATTTATCATTAAATAAACTATCATAATATGCAACTCTTTTTATTTAAAACATCTTACTTTTATAGATATTGTTGGTCAAAGAAGCATCTCGAAGACCGTGTCAGGTCCAAAAATTCTTATATTTTGGGACGGAGAGAGTATTTTACACTTGTTTTTTCTTATTTTTTTTAGAGAAGGGTATTTTTTACCCGGCCTCTACATCCAACCGGATATATACGGCCATTGAAATAGGGAACTTAGCCCCGCAAACAACCCAATCTGAAATTCGCTCCATAGGAGATTTGAACTCAGGACCTTAGGGTACTACGCAGGTCCCTGCACACTTGTATTTTTGTCAAAATCCTATGTTTTCTCTATTCCTCCGTTTTTCTATTGCTAAGATGCAAATGGACCCTTTACCTTACCACGACATCCGTGAACAATTGGATATAACCAGGAGTAAATTTTATAAAAATATATTTTATTTTTTTAGAATGCTTGATATAGTTTTCGGGCACTTGTAGTTACCGTTCTGCAGCGGCAAGACCAGTAAACGCGCAAGGGAAATCCTGGATCGTCTCCTAAGGCTGCGTTCTATACCACCAATGGTTCACAACTTTCCTCCTTTTCAAACTGCTAAATAATACTTTTTTAAAAAAATTCTATACGAAAGTTATTAAAAAAATCATATTAATCCATTTTTTTAAAAAATAGCAAATAATAAATTAATCACGTGCTAATCGCTGCTCCGTTAGTTCACAACCCTAAGAGCCCAAGTACCTTTTGGAACGTATCAAACTCATTTTAATTCCACAAATTTCCTGTGAATTTTAATAACTGTGTGCAGAAAATCCCGACTAGTCGCGCGCCACCGCCCCGCCCCCCCCCCCCCCCCCCCCGGCGCGCGACCACCACCACTAGTACTACAGTACTACTATATTAGCTAGTAGTCTACTACTATAGTACTATAACTACTACTTATACTACTATTACTAGTACTACTACTAGTATACTACTATAAAAAAATATATAATTTTATATGTATATTTTTTATGTATAAAAAAATACACACATACAAACTTTATATATGATGTGTACAAACTTTGTATACAACGTGTATAAACTTTATATATGATATATACAGACTTTATATAACGTGTACAAACTTTGTATACGTACATATTAAAAAAATCAAAAAAACTAAAAAAAACATCACGTATATTCGTATACACATATACAAACTTTATGTACACGTATACAAACTTTGTATACCTGTGTATAAACTTTATATATGTGTATACAAACTTTGTATACGTACATATAAAAATAAAAAAATACACGTATATAAAGTTTATATACATGCATATAAACTTTATGTACACGTATACAAACTTTATATACACGTATATAAACTTTATAAAAACCGAAAAAAACTGAAAACGATAAAAAAGAAAAAGAAACCAAAAGAAACCAAAAATACGGAAGAAAACAAAAAACGAAAACAAAGAAAAAGAAACCAAAAATACGGAAGAAAACAGAAAAAACGAAAACCAAGAAACCGTACACGCGCTGGAAGAAAACAGAAAAAAACAAAAAAAAAAGAGTACCGTACACGCGCCGTCCGCCGCTCCGCGCGACTTGTCGCGGATTAGCGTTTTCGTAAGATGTGACGGTGGTTCTCGTTTCACAAACGGGCCAAAATCTCTAGTTAGAAGCTTCCAATCGTTGGGCCTGCAAAGTGAAGAAAAATGAAGTGGCCGAAGAATTTCAGCCCATGATAAGCAGGCCTAATTTCAAACAGCAAAGAAGGGGTGATATGACTTTGGGCTTCACATCTCAACTCCAGATAGGCCTTGCCGCCTGGGCCGAGCTGTATGCATGCATGTTGATGACATAAGCATGACCTACTAAGCACAAGGCACGTACTCCCTCTGTTTCAAAATAGAGAAATTGTATAATCCTTTAAAAATTATCTCGAGATACCTATATTTTATATTTTTTTTACCTCAAAGTACATAGTAGCTGTAGTACCTGGATGCATCAAATTTTACATTAGAAAGTATGATACTTCCTGACACATTCTCAATGATAGTAAAATTGTCCTTCAAAATAAATCAATCATGATGGTAATGGGATAAAACTTAATACAGCAAATCTGGATAGATTGATTTGTTTAGAACGGGAGTATAAAACCTTCCAAAAACAAAAGTAAACATGTGAAAAAAAATAAAAAAAATGAGTGATAGGAAAGTCAGATGCAGTAGGTCAACGGCCCAAAGGCCAAGGCCAACGGATCCATTCCACAACTTACGGTGTGTTTTTTTTTTTTCAAAAAGTGATGAACAAACTAATCCTACCCACTAATCACACACATCAGCATCTCAGCTCCATCTAATCACATCACGTGGCAGCCACAACCGACCGTGATCATCTACTTACTCCCCACCGTTGACATTCCAGCGAAGATCATTCATTACACACTTACTCCGAGGATCTGACAGGTGGGGCCCACTGCGTGTTCACAGACAGCTAGACCAGCTAAGCGCCAGGTGGCGACAGATGAGTGGTCAACGTACGGTGTGGTTTCGTGGCTAGCGGAGCTGATGATTGTACGGATACCTCTGAGCTGTTGTCGTCTACTCTACCAAACGAGAAATGGTTTGTTTAGAGTACAAGGTACAAACTCTTTAGTTAGAGCATTGCATTCACATATCATTTGCCAAAGTTAAACCTAGGACAAACTAGTGTCATGAGGTTTTGGACAGAGAATTTATAGAAGGAGAATAATCTTGGGTGTGTTTAGTTTCTGAAAAAAGTTGGAAGTTTGAAGAAAGTTAGGAGTTTGGAAAAAAAGTTGGAATTTTATGTGTGTAGGAAAGTTTTTGTTGTGATATGATGTGATGGAAAGTTGAGAATATGGGGAAAACTAAACAATGCCCTTATCAAATACGCTCGATCCACACACCAACAAAGTGTATTAAAAAAGAAAACATGTTACCTGCTGAAATATATCCTGCACGAGATCGACATAGTATTTGCAAAGTAAAGCATATGATAAGTTAGCATGAATGTCGTCCTAGGTATCCCAAACGGTATATTTCATTTTCCATTGATGAAACAATGTGTGGTAAATTTTGTGGTGAAATTCTCTTTTTTTTCACACTTCAATACTAAGGATCTATTCGGTTTGTAGGATTTTCATAGAAATTTTGGAGGAATTAAACTGTTTTCTCTGAAAATCCTATAAAATTCCCGTATTCCGAAGAAGCCCTAAGTTGAGTTATGAGTTTTTTTTTATGCAACAAGTTTCTAAAAAGAGCATAATCCCATTGAATACGCCAAATCGATACGGCTTTAACGGAATGTTATCAACAAAACACATGTTACCGCTCAAATATATTATCCGTTGATTTCAAACGGATGGTTTAGATAGAAATAATGTCACGTAGTGACATTGCTACGTCAAGCCAGAGGATACGAATCCATCCATGAGAGCACGAAGAAAGATACACACATTATCCGATGGAGTAGCTTTAACAAACGGGCATAAACAATAACTCTCTCTCACACACACGCGTACCCATTACTAGCTTTTTTTTTTTTCCGTGCACACGGAAAGCCTCCTTGATTTGGAGCAACAAAGAATCCGGGCTAACCTTTTGGGCAAAGCTAGCTACCAGCTCGTGTGGGAAGCTTCGGCTAGTGGTTCACCTAGTGCAAAATGCAATGCAAATTGCAACCACACTGGCCATATAATTCCAGGGTCCAGATTCCTTGCATTGCATTGAGCCTCTCTATCTTTAATTTCTTAATCAAAAAACGGTTTAGGAGATAATGATGGTGTTGCTCCACTTTGGACCCCGACCAACACTCACCAACGTCCAGGATCTTAGAGACACCATCATCCTGCAGCCCACCACCAGAATTGTTCTCCGGCTTGAAAACACTAGTGCTACGTTGAAACTTTGCATGATTCCTCTCCTTTTTGAGTATGCTATATATGCCGTTTCTTTCATGAATAAGACCTAGTGTTGTCGCTATCATTTGTTTGTTCCATATATGTTCTCTTCTTGCTTGTATTAGTAGCCATGTTGTGGAGTTAATTTGGCTAACGGCTCATATCCCATCCATAAACGACACATTCATCAAATTCAACTTTTCATGGTTCTTCCTTTGAACTGTCGTATATACTCACGCATATGTAGATGCACTTCAACATTATCCTTGTTAGGTTACTCTATCCTTGATCTTAATTGCCTTGTGTTGGGTTTTGTCGCGGTAGCTTAAGTTAGCTATATATTGGTGTGGTGTTGCAGTTGTGGTTTTTGCTCACTTTCTCTAATTAACTGAGCACTAGGTTAGTCCCACTTACCTCTTAAAATGGGGCACCTTCTTCTTTATATAAAATATCAGCAACGGGTCTGACCGTTAAAAAAAATCTTAATTGGTTAAGCATGATTAGCAACAAAAATAATTTATGCGTAAATCTTTAAGATATGTGTACTTAGCAACTTTTAAGAATCAACTCAAATTTAAGTTTCAAATTTTAATTTTTGGCTACGGCTAGCTGGTCTGACTAGGGAATGTGCTAATTCATTTTTCCACCTCCGAAATGGACGCAAGCAAACGAACCCGTTGAAACCAGAAGGAAGCAAATTAAATGCAGTGCATCTCTCTTTCGCCCTCCTGTCGCTTTCCCACTCTGGTAGGCCAGCCAACCACACAACATTGCATTAGATCTTTCTTTCCCCTGATCAATCACTTGCAAAACAGAAAGAACAAGGACAAAAAATAATAAGCAAAAAAAAAAATAAAGGCATGCAAATGGCATTGCTTAAGAACAATTATTTGTAGCCCCACTAGAGGCACAACTTGTAGTGCTCCTTAAACCAATCCAGCAAAGAGGGCAACCATCACACATCGGCATGATCACCACATTAACTAAACAACAAATTTTTAGGAGATTGGGCCCTTTTTGTGTTTACTTTCTTTCTGGTTTTTCTTTTGCTTCTGTCCTACTTTGCATTTGCAGTTTTTTGGGACTCCTTTTGCGACATATAATTGGGTCGACATTGGAAAAAACAGAAGGAATTTTTTATAAACATAAGATTATTTTTTTTATAGAATGAATAACTTTGAGTGATTTGTACCAGGATGCGCTAGCTGCTTGCATATCCTTACTGATTTGTGAAGGTTCACCTATGTTTTTGCGTGAGTTGTAGAAAGAGTGTCACTACACTTGAGTGTATCTCAAACTACCGGGTCAAATTGCACATCTCATTTTCTTCAGTCTTTAACAACTTTACATGCATTGACATACTAGTACCTTATACTACTCCTATGTGCTAATACGGTCGCAGGGAAAAAAAATACTCGAAGTACAGACTGCATCTGTATTGGTGTCTAACGGTCTGTACCCCCCCCCCCCCAAAAAAAAAAAAAACAAATCCCGAAACGCATAATTTGTACTTCGAAAAAAAGACAAGACCTTACCACAACTGCTGCACCTAATTCAAACCAACCAAACACATTAGAACAATTCAAAGTCTCATACATCATCGTTCATACCTCTTCCTAACTAACCAGTCTGGCGAAAATCATTTTTTTCTTCTAGAGTCAACAACAAATACTATTCACTCTGTTAGAACAATCATTTAACCAACCAACATAAAATTGATGTTATTATATCTACATTTAAAAGTATTTGCTTATGATCGTAATTTGTTACTATATAAACAACCAACATATTAGTAGAACAATTGTTTATCAAAATCTTATCCTAATAAATCGTCTTACTCCATCCTAAGATTATTATGTCCAGATTCGTAGTCTACAATTTTTATGCGGAGGGATGAGTAGAGTACTACTGCTCAGGGTTCGACTTACCGCCGGTAACCGCGCGGTTACCGGGCTTACCGCGAGGGTACGGTAATATAAATACTGCGGTAACCTCCTTAAATTCAAATAAATTTAAAAAATAAATTAAAATTTTGATAAATTTTGCATGGTTTTGTACGGTTTTTCACGGTTACCGCGGTAACCGTTGGGAAACCCTGCTACTGCTCCAGTTAGTAACAAAAGCAAACAAGAGCAACAAGTCTCTAAGGTAAACTCCAAAGCCAAACCTAGAGCAATTTAAAATAAAACCTAGGGTTAAGATGAACAATGATTTAATTAATTAATTAATGGCCTTGTTATTGGATGCTCATTTCTTTCTCCTACCACCTATCAAAAAGCAAAGGCTTCCCCCTCCCCCCACCAACGAATACCCTCACCCCTCTCTCTCTCTCTCTCGCCCCACCCGGATGCCTCGCGCTGCCGGAGGCTGACCTCGCCGCCGGCGACTCCGCTCGGCCGCCGGAGCAGCCAGCGCGCGCGGGTAAGTCGACTCTCCCCCCTCCGCTACGTGCTGTCGGACGTTTTGTCGGGCGGTTTTGGTTTTGGCTTCTGCGTCGAGCAGCAAGGGTGGGTGGGTGCTCGATCTGCGCGGGCTCGAGTCGCGGGGAGACTTGCTCGTGGGGAGCGCTCTCTCACCGGAGGAGGAGGAGGAGGAGGAGGGGTTCCTCCTCCGGTGCGGCGGCCGCGTGGTCTGCGGGTTCTCTCCCTGGTGGGAATTTTGAATTTCGCGGCGCTCCCCCCATCTCCTGAATCCACGCGGTTTTATTCGTTTTGTTTTTTTTTCCGGGGAATGATCTCGGTGGGGATTTGTATGGAAAAGCCCGCGATTTTGGGGTTTCGAGAGCGCTAAAAAGCTTTGGATTTTCTCTGCTCGGTTTGTGTTCGTGCCCAGATTCAGTGGCCGAAGAAGCAAGGATGATGCACTGAGGTGGGGGGGGGGGGGGGGGGAGTCGGTGAGAGATTTCAGCGGAGAATCTCGTCTGATTCCAGCGTGTGGGACCTCCGGGCGATGGCCGCCGCTGGCGGCGGCGGCGACGCCAAGTACAACTCGTACAAGGCGGCGGGGCTACGCGGCGCCATACTGGAGGCGGCGCACGTGTCGTGCCTCGAGGATCGCTACGCGCTGGGGCCCCAGCTCGGGTGGGGCCAGTTCGGCGTGATCCGGTCGTGCTCCGACATGGTCACCGGCGAGGCGCTCGCCTGCAAGTCCATCGCCAAGGACCGCCTCGTGTCCCCCGACGACGTGAGGGGGGTCAAGCTCGAGATCGAGGTCATGGCGCGCCTCTCGGGCCACCCCAACGTCGTTGACCTCAAGGCCGTGTACGAGGACGAGGCGTCCGTGCACCTGGTCATGGAGCTCTGCGCCGGCGGGGAGCTCTTCCACCGCCTCGAGGAGCGCGGCTGCTTCTCCGAGCACGAGGCCGCCGCGCTCTTCCGCTACCTCATGGAGGTCGTGGCGCATTGCCATAGCAAGGGGATCGTGCACCGGGACCTCAAGCCCGAGAACATCCTCCTTGTCAGCAAATCGCCTTCTTCGCCGATCAAGCTCGCCGATTTCGGCCTCGCAACCTACATCCAGCCTGGTATAATTGGGAATTCTTGAGCAATTTCGTGGCTGCTCTCTGTCAAGGCTGGTGTTTCGAAGCTGAATTGGGTTTCGGTTTTGTCAGGTCGGAGCTTGAGTGGCATGGTGGGTAGTCCATTTTACATTGCGCCCGAGGTGCTCGCCGGTGGGTACAATGAGGCTGCCGATGTATGGAGCGCGGGTGTGATACTTTACATCCTCCTGAGTGGCATCCCCCCATTTTGGGGGAAAACCAAATCAAAGATTTTCGAATGTATCAGGTCGACTGAGCTGCGGTTTCCTTCTGATCCCTGGGACAAGGTTTCCGATTCAGCGAAGGAGCTAATAACCGAGATGCTGCGGCGCGATCCTCGACAGAGGCTCACAGCCAAGCAGGTCCTAGGTGAGACACGGCCTCAATCTTTTCAGAAACCACACACTTTCAATTTCCTGTCCTTGTTCTACATCACTAGCATCATATTGAGAACTTGGAACTGCCTTTTTTTTTTTAAGATGGAAAATGCTCACTGACTATTAATACATGCATGTAACTGGAATTGTAAATCGAAATTGATCAAAATTTTCCTGATGAGGTTAGCCTTGTTTACTTTACATATTGAATAAATTAACAAAACTTGGCTGCTAAGTACTGAGTTAGTGCCAGCTTAAGTTGGTGGTCTAATTTAAACTTGCACGGCTGGGGGAAAAAGCTGGGTTGCATCACAGTTTGTTGTAGGGTCATGTTCTGGTAGATCCACTGTGGTACAGATGAACTTTAAAATTTCTTGGCACTTCATCACCTTTTGTCTATTGTAGCCATTCCTTTAGTTGTGCTGGTTCATTCTGTCATCCTTCGTGGAATCTTTTGTTTGGTTGTCATTGCATCATTCCCGGACCTTACTGTACAGATCAGCTGCTAATGATTCCTTTCCCCATTTTTTTGTAATGCTTGCCATGTGGAGTAATCTAAACAACTGTTGTTACACAGAGCATTCCTGGATACAAGATCATGCCGACCAATCCCAAGATTCTTGTGGACATTGCCATGAGATCAATCTCAGAGGAGAGGACGCCGGCTCATGTTCGTTCTCGACGCCGCTGGCGTCATGCAGCCGCGATGTGAGCTTCAACACCGGTGGCCCGGTCGCCTGCCAAAGCATGTCTGAAGAAGCGTGCTCCCCCACATTCGCCTGCAGATCATCGTTCTCTGCATTTGTCGCTGAGAATGCTCCGTCGTGCGCGCTCTCGGGGTTCTCCTTCGGTGGCGTCTGCGAACCCTGCAACGCCGTGTTCCCGTCCCCGGTCGCTTCCATGCCGAGCTTCTCCTTCTTCTGCGGCCAAGAACCCGGCGAGCCTGAGTCGTCGCCTGATGGTGACGCCTTGGGCGAGAAAGCTCACTGCGACGCGACGGTGGTGGCCCTCGTCTCGTCCTCGGCTCCGAGGACAGCGGAGGTCCTGAGGGCCGCCGTAAGGGCGAACCCGTCGCGCGCCATCGGCATGAACAGCAGGAGGAACCACACCATCGGCGCCGGCGAGCGCGAGCACCTGGATGTGGCGGTCGCCGAGTCGGTGATACGGTGGGCGTCCTGCACCAACCTGTCGACGACGCACTCGCTCCGGGCTTCGCTGGTGTGCTAGCATTTTGTTTATCTGTGCAATTCACCATGTGTCCTGTGGCTGTGAGAGTGCTTCGCTAGTCTCTTGCCTTCCTCCTTGCACCTGCGATGCAAGCTGAAAGATAAGAGTGAGATGAGTGATGAGATGAGATGAGAGTGTGAGTGGTAGAATGTAACGTGGACCTGATGATATATAATGCTATAGTAGATTACCGAGTAGTGTGCTTGCTTTCTGTTTGTTGAATGTGTTCCTTATTTTTGGTCTCCTTTGTGCACTTGTCACTACTTATCACTAATACCATCCATCAACATCAGCTTGGTGCCATGCTCTCTCTTGAATGCTTGCAGACAAACTTAAACCGAAGTTGACCCCCATGTAATTAGCTCAAGAAACATTTCAAATACCTCATTATGAAAAGATGATCGAATAATATAGTGATTATTGGATAGAGATGACGTATTTGCTACTATAAAGCAAAGAAAAAATATGGCTCAAGAGATGATATATTTGGATCAAGTGATTACCAATTTATGATCAAGTCCCCTCTTCCAGTCTTCCAGTATCTACAAATTTGTGATCCTATGGGCCTTTGGGCCTGGTCGCTGACCCAGCCCACGGCCCAGCCAAGTCGTCGTCTTCCTCGATGCCGCTCCACCGCTTCTTCCACTTCGCCCGCGCCGGCGCCGCCCGTCGAACACCATGGCTGCCGCCGCCGCCGCAGCAGCAGTACCCGGCGACGCCAAGCTAGACTCCTTCCTCCAATGGCTCCAGGTTGCTCCTCGTCCCTCCTGCACATCCCCTTCTACTCGCGTGCACGCCAAATCCCTAAACCCCTGGCTCCTCTCCGCAGGCCAACGGCGCCGACCTCCGCGGCTGCACGATCCGCCGCTGCGGCCGCGAGGGCTACGGCGTCTTCTCCACCGCCGCCGAGGCCGGCGCCACCGACGGTAACATTTGCTATTCCACCTCTTCTCTCGGAGGTTTTAGGAGCTCGTCCTCCGCGCTGACTCGCGCGTTGGCTGTGTCTCGTTGCAGAGGTGGTGATGGTGGTGCCGCTCGATCTCGCCATCACTCCGATGCGGGTGCTGCAGGACCCGCTCGTCGGGCCGCGGTGCCGCGCGCTCTTCGAGGAAGGTGGCGTCGACGACCGCCTCCTCGTCATGCTCTTCCTCATGGTCGAGCGACTCCGCCCTAGCTCCCTCTGGAAGCCGTATGGTCGCAATCCACATCTCTCCATGTTAAACAACTTGATCAGTGATTGAATTTTGGTAATTTCTCTAGGTATTTGGATATGCTTCCAAGCACCTTCGGAAGCTCCATTTGGTTCACCGAAGATGAGCTTGCTGAGTTGGAAGGGACCACACTTCACCGGGCAACCGTGATGCAGGTTCATCAGTAGTGCAAACCTTTTCTTTCAGTTCCTTGGGGATATTTTGGGGAGCCAAGAGCAAATTCGTTTAAACGAACATGCTGCAATTTTGTTTCAGAGGAAGTCATTGCAAACCTTATTCGATAATAAGGTTAAAGGTCTGGTTGGGGAGCTCTTAAACGTCGATGAATCAGGAAGGTTTGTACTGATTTCGCATCATTTTCCAGCGCTGCTGCAACTTTATCACTATATTTCTGTATCAAGCACACATGCATAGTTTCTTTTACATTTTAGTATACACTTCTGTACTGGGGTTCTGCGATACATGGGGATTGCACCCCAAAGTATGATATGAAGAATAGCTTCTCATATAAAGTGATTTGGGGTAACGCATGTTCCATATCTTCATGTGTATGAGTGCACCATTTGTTGTCATCTGGGATAGCGCCTATGTTTTTATTTAATTTTATAGAAATGAGAATCACCAAGATGGCAATGCTGCACTATGAGATAAATTGCTACTTTTATTTTACAGAACATTTATGAATTTTGTTGACATGGCATAGGTTTAACTTATAAATACGTTAGAAATCATTTTAATGCACTGTATACTGGGCTTTGTGTACCTTTGAAATATTTTGATCTGAATATTCTTTTCAGCCAACCCTATTAAATGAATATTTTCTTGTGAAGGCTTCTAGTGCTAAGTAGAGTGTATCCAGCATGATTTTTGTTTATTGATTCTGTGCGTACTTAAAACCCATGAATCCACAAGCAATATCACTCAAATATTGTTCTGTTATACATCTGTATGCCCACCTACCGAGTTTGTGATTTTTACTGTCTAGTATGGCAATGATATACCAATATGGCTAATTCTCATGACTCCCTATCATATGTTTACTGACAAAGAAATTCGTTTTATTTAACAGTAATACTATCAAAATATTGTTTGCAGCTCAATTGAAGTGCGGTTCGAAGACTTCCTTTGGTATGTATAATTATGCTTTGCATTTGCAGTGATAATGTCATATTATAAGGCTTACATTTTTTTGGGGGGAATAATATAAGCCTTACTGATACTGTAGTTTCATAGTATTGACATGGCATATCATGTTAATTTCGTGTGCAAAAGATTCAGTGTGCTAATTTTTTTTTGGACAAATTAGGCATTAGTTTACAAAATGGTGGGGATGTTTTTGTACCTAGCATCAACTAACCTTTGCTACTATTACAATTTTCAAGCCATCAAGGTGGAAATTAGCTCATTCATAAGAAAATTGTACTTAATTGGGTGATGGCTTTGATTTGCAGCTCCTTCAATAAATATCTTGGAACAACAGTTTTATGTCAACAAATGAAAAATGCAATATACACATATGATGCAGGGTCCTTCACATAGTTGCTGGTTCAGTTCCCTGCTTTCTTTGTTTTATGTAACTCAGCAGCACGACTCTATGGCAGGGCAAACTCAATATTCTGGACTCGAGCATTGAATATACCATTGCCTCGTTTTTATGTTTTTCCGGAATCACTAGACGAAAAGCGGGCCAACATTGGTGATGATTGTGGTGATTCTAGTCTCAGTGCCCCTCAGGTTAATTGCATTTTTTCTGACCGCAGATCCTAGCTTCAGAGGTTCTTCTCAATTGTTTTATTTACTTATTGTGTGTGGCTTAATTTTTTCCCCTCGATTATATGTGGTCATTTAGGTTTCTTTTTTGCTCATGTACAACCTATCTGAAAAGTGAAAAAGAGGTTAAACATTGGTTACATGACTTTTTCTTGTCATGAAAGAGTAGCATAGGACCTTGAATGGAATTTTGTTGTCAAGAGAGAGGAACATCGCATAGGACCTTTCTTGGCCCTGAAAATTTTTCATACCAACAGAGAAATTCTGTTACTGAAGGCATATAGTGGTCTCAAGGTATGTGCCACAAAAAAAAAAAAAGAAACTGAATGGGGGCAAGAATATGTTTCTGTTGAACAAACTAGTTGCATAACTGGATATTATAACACGGAAACAGGGAAATGACTTTTATATTATAAGTTGTGGTTTTGTTAATTACAGCAGTAATCTACAATTATCTTAAACAAAATATACTTGTGACATGCTACAATTTGTCCTCAAGGAAACGCCATATACTTTTGAGGACTCATCATATACTTTGCCAATCTCGTGAATATAGATCCAACTTATCTGACAAATCATTGTTTATAATTATGCCAAATTGTATTTGTTTTTAACATCTCAATACTTCAATTAATTTGTTCACCCATATCTTCTTGTTCCAAATTTTAACATGCTAACTGTTTGTTTCCAGGGAACTGGGACTGCCATTACAGCTAAGAATATCAGTGGCAATGATAATCCTAAATCAAGTAATACAGAGTCAATTTGGGTTGAGGGCCTTGTCCCTGGAATCGACTTTTGTAATCATAGTAAGAGTTCTAATAAAAGTTTATGAATTATGTAGTATAGACGAAATATCTAGTTGGCAGATCATTCTATATTCAACTTTTGACAAAAAAAAAACTGTAGGCGAATTTGCAAGGATTTACATAAAAAAAATTGTTGTACTGAAAATAAATACTCATTGAAAAAACATGTTATTTTCAGTCTTACATAGGTATATCATATTTTTCAGATGTAAAGGCGCTGGCAACATGGGAAGTTGATTCCATGGGACATGTTACTGGATGTCCTTCTTCAATGTACCTTGTACTAGGTACATAAGTAGCTCCAGTTTCCTTTTGATAAGAGAACCTCATGATCTTTCCTTTAATCAAATATTTTGATATAAGATTATAGTTCCAATTTATGACTGTTTATTTTTGTATCTCCCTCTAGCTGATAAAAGCTTTGTGAAGGCTGAAACAGAGATCTGCATAAATTATGGCAACAAAGGAAATGAGGTATTACTCACATAGTTACATATGTGCAGATCTAGTCTGACTAGTTTATAAGCAAGTGTGTTATTTTTCTCAAGTTGTTGCTCTTAGTTTTATCGTACTTGTTATTGTGTGACTTGGATTGATGTCACTGTTTCATATTTTCGTGTATACTCATTCTGACTTCTCTGTCACGATTTCTCTATATACTGATACGGGCATTATTGATATATAGCCAAAATAGAACTACCCACAAGAAGATTCTTTTGATTTGTGCATTTAGATATTGGTTGCACTTCAGACAAACAATCCAGGAAAGCTTCATTAGTGCCGTCACCCTGGCCATTCTTTTTTTTTAAAAAAAAAAGAAAAGAAGAGGAAGGACATATGACGGTGATGAACTTCTTGGAGCTCTATGGCCCCCTTTGTTTCATCACTGGGCCTGGTTTGATTTGATTTCTTCATGGATTCACATATCCTTTAGTTCCTTATGGATTTGCATTAAACACACTTGCTAATGTTCTGAAGTATAAAATAATCTTACTTTGGGGCTTCTAACTGATAGATGACTTTGAGACTCAATAGTCAACGAAAAGAAGCTGCAGCGCTGCAGTCTTTTGTTCCGAGAAACTACAAAATGATTAAATGTCATCAAATATTCATACCGTTTATGATTACTGAAATATAGTTGCTGATGAAATGACATAGTTTTGTTTACTTGCAGGAACTACTATACCTCTATGGATTTGTAATTGACAACAATCCTGACGATTATCTCATGGTAACACTCAGTAAGAGATTACTTTTAGCAACAGGTGTTTGTCAACTCAGTTTTCTTTGTTTAGCATATTCCCTGCCAGATATTCTCTTTCTGTCAAACATTATAGTGGCAAAGCACTTGTCTGTCTTGAAACATTGTAGGTAGCCATTACTTAATTGTTCTCCAGCTAAATATTGTAAGTGTAACTCTATCGGTGTTCTGGGATACATAAAGGACCAAACTTTTAGTTAACATTTTAAAAGATAAGAAAACCATTATTCACTGAGAATATCTCCTTTCTTTTAGTTCAAATTATGAAATCGTATGTACCCACCCTTTTTCATTATCAAAGTTGCTGATTGTTTGAAGTGCTCCACATGTTCATAGTGATAAGATGGCTTATACTTGATATTTCCTCCGTTTGGCGTACTTCCTTAAGAAAGTAGCTACTTGTTTGAAATAAAAACTAGAGCTAACAAACGTTCCAAATGCAGATTCATTATCCAGTAGAAGCTCTTCGACAGGTTCAATCTGCTGATATTAAGATGAAGCTACTGGAGATACAGGTAGCAACATTTCTTAGCTCTAGTTTTTATTTACGATATGAAGAATGTTGTGAAAAATTTAGGCCCAACAAGTATCCTTGGACATCACGGGTCTCACTTTCCATATCTTCTGTGTTTACAGAATGCCGAATTGCGATGTCTTTTACCTCGTAGTTTGCTTGAAAATGGATTTTTTGGTAGCTGTTCTGGTGAAAACAAGGAGAACAAAAATAATACAAGTCCTTTTTCTAGTTATAGCTGGAGTGGTCAACGCAAGGTTCCATCATATATCGAGAAAATTGTTTTCTCTCAGGAATTTATAAGTACCCTGCGTACAATTGCTCTGCAAGAACATGAGCTTGAGCATACCGCTTCATTGCTTGGAGAGGTTAGTGTTTTTCACACTCTGTACCATGTGTTCAAAGGCATCAGTTGCATATGTGACATTGCCTTGCCCTGTCCTTTTTTTTTTTCCTTTTTCCTTTGGGACATTTTAGTACCCCAAATTTTACATGACATTGTTCGTAACCATCTAATCTGTTGAGAAGTGGTTAATATCTTTTTCATAAAGGGGACTAATGCCTGGGGATACTGGTTAATAAGATATTAACCACTTCTCAACAGACCATAGAGTTGTCTTATTAACCAGTATCCTCCTGTACTTGTACTGTAAGCTGGCAAACAGTATTTATGAAAATTAGCGCATTTGCTTTCAAACTAAAATATTATCCATGAGTCCAAAATTTTATCACACATGGTACTAATTTTGGCAGCATCATCAATCATAATTTCTTGGTGATATAAAAAAGGTTGTTTTACTCATCTAAAAGGATTAAGAAAGCTTCTCAAGAAGCATTTAGGCTATCTAGTTTCACATTTTCTGATATGACCTTAATATTCACATATTATTTATTTTCCCTAGTTTTCAGCATTATTCTGTATGAGCATATTTATTTCATGGTAAATTGATTGTAGAAATCCTTTGAATCTGTTCGTGTAGATTGGATCTAATGAAGATAGAGATGATGAGCTCCGGAGTGCTATATGGGAGGTCAGTGGTGATAATGGAGCACTGAGTTTGCTTGTGGATCTTCTTAGAGTCAAGTAACACACCCACAACTTGAGAAATTCGATGTCAGTGTACCTGTATTTTTTCTATGGCGTTGTCAATAATTTATTGATCAAGCCCTTCTCTTTTGCAAGAATGACTGAACTTGAAGAGGGCACTGGAACTGAAGCATCTGACAGCCAACTACTTGAGAAATTCGATCTCAGTGATTCAGAAGACGCAACGAGGTAGGGACGTAGGGCCTTTTGACGTTGCTTAATGGATACTTTTTTCTGCATATTAGCACTATCATGCTTGACATTTCCATCTGTACACCTCTTGTTTTTGTGTTTCACCATTACTCTCATTGTCTTTTTCACAGAAGTGACGAGAGCAACGAGACCAAGTCAAAAGTAAATATTAGGACGTGCATAGTGTACCGCAGAGGCCAAAAGCAGCTGACAAAGTTGTTCTTGAGGGAGGCAGAACATCTTCTGGAGCTGTCGTCAAAAGAAGAGAACTAAAGAAAGCAAGGAATGAAGGATCTCATCGGGTGCGCATTTCCCTTTCATGCTCTCTAAATTACAGCCGTTAGCCATAGCCAATAGTTATGCTACCAATTCAGCTGTTTTCTTCTGTAGTAGTAGCGTAACCCTTTTCAGTGATTTTACTGAAAAGAAAAGGCGTGTGTTACTGTAGCCATTATTTCTTGGTTTTCAGAAGCTAATTCAATTAAGAAACAGAAAATTGCTACTACTAATAAAATGCTTCATGTCTTCTGATGAACTAATTCAGAATGTATGGCTGTACATTGAAGTACAAAGCATAGACTTTCAGAGGTGAACCTCACTATAAAATACTACTACCTCCGTTTTTCAATAGATGACGCCGTTGACTTTTTTTCACATGTTTGACCATTCGTCTTATTTAAAAATTTTATGCAAATGTATAAGATATAAATCACACTTAAAGTACTATAAGTGATAAAACAACTCATAACAAAATAAATTATAATTACATAAATTTTTTTGAATAAGATGAATGGTCAAATATGTGAGAAAAAGTCAACGGCGTCATATATTAAAAAACGGAGGGAGTACTAAGGTTGTGTTTAGTTCCCTTCAAACTTTCAACTTTTCGGTCACATCAAATGTTTGGACACATGCATGGAGCATTAAATATGGACGAAAAAAACAATTGCACAGTTTGCATGTAAATTGCGAGACAAATCTTTTGAGCCTAATTACGCCATGATTTAATAATGTGGTGCTACATTAAACATTTGCTAATGACGGATTAATTAGGTTTAGTAGATTCGTCTCGTAGTTTACATGCGGAATCTGTAATTTGTTTTGTTATTAGTTTACATTTAATACTTCAAATGTGTGTCTGTATACGCCAACGTTTTTTTGCCAAAACAACTAAGGGTGTGTTTGCAAGAGCAAGTTCTCAACACTCCCCTCTCGTTTTCCGCGTGCACGCTTTTCAAACTGCTAAACGGTGCGTTTTTTTTTTGCAAAAAGTTTATATACAAAAGTTACTTAAAAAATCATATTGATCTATTTTTTAAAAAAAGGCTAATGGTTAATAATCACGCGTTAATGGGCCGCTCCGTTTTCCGTGTATGGGAATGGGTTCCCAGCACCCACCTCCAAACACAGCGTAAGTCCTTTTCTCTTAATAACTATGCTGCTGAAGACTAAAATTTCGCTACTAACTCTATTCTAAACTATAATAATCTCTGTTTTAAAATATACTAACCTATTAGGGCAGTCCCAACCCATAGTGTCCATAAGCGGTATCTATGGTGTTATGTCAATAAGACATCACAATAGAAACTACACTCTACAACCTATGGTTTCTTAAAGTGGGCCATTAATAAATACATCATCTCTCTTCTCTACCAACCATATTAATTCTTCATCTATTATGAAGACAATATTCTCTTCCAATACAAAAAACTTGATAGTGTCTGGTACATAGGTTCTCGTGTTGAAGCTGTGTCTTGCATGAGACCCAGTTTCTTCCTCTCTTCACTCTCTCTCTTAATTAATATAGTGCCACATAAGCTAAAAGTCCCACATGTCAATGTAGTTAATGTCATAGACATCATCCTAGGTGGAGGGTTGGGACTGCCCTTACAGACACATCATTTGTCCCTTGTATGCCTTGTTTAAATTCATAGTGCTAATACTGGGTTGTTTGAGACGGATTGAAAATACCACTGTTAAGAGTATTCTCCGGAGTGACGTGGCAAAGTTGACATGGTCGCTGCCATTTGGCCGTGACGGTGACTCAACATGAGCGCTAGCTGGCTGGCTGGACCATATCCGTATCCAGCCGTCCAGCGACGTGCACAAGATTCACAGAATCCTACTCCTCCTAACTAGCTAGCGCCAGCGCCGACCCCCCTAAGACCTTAACCTTTACTCTACTGTCTAATCTATTACAATTAGGATTACCACCTAAACAACAATTCTGGTGTCAATCGTGCAGAGTTGCTTCCTGCTTCGTGACATCTTGTCGTCGTCGTCCGCTGCGCCGCCCGCGGAAACGCGTCTTAATTCAGCGATCGATTAGGGCCGGTGTGTGTGTGCGTGTGTGACCACTAATCTAATCGATGGATTACCTACTATAATTGATAATTAATTAGACCGTGCAATCATCCGTCGTCACATGATGTAATCACTCGCACGGCTCCCCGTAATGAGTATCTTAAGCTCTCGGCAACATGTGCCCTTTACTATTAGGGTTACATTAGTACTCAGCACGTGCCATTGCCGAGTACTCGATCGTATGCACGGACGTATATATACAGCCATATATATAAGCACGGACGTATAGATACGAGGTGTTTTTGCAAAGTACTCGTATGATACTAGTACGAGGAAAATATCATATACAGTATATAGTACTTATTCTCGTAGGCGTAGGCATCGAACCACCATCAATCTGGTGCAACTATCTCTGCTTCTCCAGCTAGTGCGAACTGATCCGAAGCTTAAAAAAAAGGACGAAGTGACCTTCCCAACGTCCTGAATTTAAATATATATAGAAGCGAATTTTAGATTGGGTTATTTAAGAAATAAGTTTTCTGATTGATAGGCTAATTTGCTAATTTAAAAAGGTTGCATATATGAGGCCGAGTAAAAACACCCTTATCTCAAAAAATAAAAAAAAAGGACGAAGTTTTGATCCAGTAATAACTGAGCTGCGAACTACAGTTTCTAACTAATTGTAGACCGATGATAGCATGATAAACAAGTGCTCAATCTCACTTAAAATAAAGTGAAACCAAATTCTAGTACTTACAAGTACTGCTAAATTTTGTCTGCCAATAGCATATATGGTACACCCATTTTCTTAATTATTCTTTTATAGGATGATGAATGATCTCATTTATTCAGATAAGCAGTAGCACTCACTAATTTATCTGGAGCTTTCATTTGTCTTAACACTCCAAAAAAAAGTGAAAATCTGACCATAAGCAGAGCTGGCATTTTATTCCACTCCACACAAAAGAGAGAGAGAGAGAGAGAGAGCATAGCAATTATACTTCTTTTTTGCATGCTGTCCCTCGTAGTAGTATTACAAATCTCGTAATCTTTATTTCCTCCTTCTAGAACTCCCTACCAGCTCAGCCATTTTATCTTGGAAAAAATATAAAAAAAATAAAGAAGGAAAAAATCTCCATTAATTTCTCCTACAGTATTTAGCTGTATAGGAGGAGCAAAGCTGGTTGAGCTCAAAACTGCTAGCTCCAACTCGCGATCATCAGTAGCTCCAGAGTGTGACGTCGCCGCCGCCGTAGCCGCCGGCGCCACCATCGTCGTCGCCGTCCATCTGCCAGCTCTGGTACTCGCCGCCGCCGCCCATCCCGTCGTAGTAGTAGGACGGCTGGTCGAAGTCCATGTTGCCGTAGTACGCGTAGTCGTAGCTGGACGGCGTCGCCGCCATGTCGTCCTGGTACTGCATCATCATGGCGGGCGCGGCGGCGGCGGAGGCCTCGACGGCGGCGGCGGAGCTGGAGGCGGCGGCGGCGGCGGCGTCGTGCGGGCATGACTCGGCGAGCTCGATGGCGGCGCGGCGGATGTCGTCGGGGGTGGCGAGGGTGGCCGGGTCGACGCGGAGGAGGCGGGCCGAGTCGGCGAAGTTGAGGCACGCGCCGCGGCCGCGGAGGGCGAGCGCGGCGACGTCGTGGGCGCGCGCGGCGGCCTCGGCGGTGGCGAAGGTGCCGAGCCAGATGCGGGACTTCTTGTTGGGCTCCCTGACCTCGCACACCCACCGCCCCGCGGGCCCCCGCCGCCGCACGCCGCGGTACACCGGGTGCCTCGTCTCCCTGAACTTGGTCCTCCCCGCCGGCCGCTTCGGCGGCGCCGACGTCACCGTCGCGTACTCCTCCTGCTCGTAGTACTCCATGTCAGTAGTGTGTGTTGCTGCTGCTGGAAGAAGAAGAAGAGGAAGAAGGTGTTGGTGTTTGAGTTTGAGCGGGAAGGGGATGGAGAGGAAGAAGTTTATATAGGATTTGGTGTGTGAATTTTGATTTATTTATAGAAAAGGAAAAGAAAAGGAGATTTGGAGGAGGGGCGGCGCGCACGTGGCGGGAGAGGGGAGGGCGGCGAGAGCTGAGCTGGAATTGGCTGGAGATGTCGGAGGGGGAGATGGAGGTGGAAGAAGAGGCGTAGTACTACGGCAATAACGCGTTTTGGCGGGGTTGACGTCACGTGAGCTGAGAGCCGAGAGCGTGGCGTCCGCGACGGATGGAACGGTGGGATTCGGATTACTACGAGTACTTCGCTAGGTGTCGGGGTGGAACCGTGGAAGTGGAAAACTCAAACCGCGAGAGGGTGAGGTGACAGCGTTAAGCAATAGTATATGGGGGTGGCCACGTGGAGATGGCGACAAAGGCAAGCTTTTGGGCGGCGGCTGACCACTTCTGTGTGTGTATGAGATGCGGATATTTCTACCCCTTCGTTCCGTATTTATGAGTTACTTCCTCTGTTTTATAATGTAAGTCTTTCTAGTATTGTCCATATTCATATAGATGTTAATGAATCTAGATATATATGTGTGTCTAGATTCATTAACACATATATGAATATAACCAATGTTTGAAGTCTTACATTATGAAACGGAGGGAGTACTAGAAAAAATATCGTGCGTTGCAACGGGTGAAATCTATTTTAATTATATAGTTTAGTTAAGATAAAATTCACTGTGGGAGTTCACTTGGATATATATATTTTTAGAAAATCATGAGCTAAAGTTTGGAATCCGATCGTCTCAATTTAGCATGTGAGTTATTTTAAACAGATTTCTTATATGATTCCTTTTGTATCATACAAAAGTGAACGATCTTACAAACCAACTCAAATACGGATATATATTTTCAAAAGCAAACAAACTTAAAAACCGACTCATACACAGATGATGTACTAGAATACCGGCAAAAACATCTTCAATTTTATAATAGTAGAGATTTTTTTAAGTCAAACTTTAAGCAAAATATAGTAATGTTTTTTAATATAAAATAAACATTATATTAAAATATATACAATGTTAAATTTAATGAAATTTGATGTTGTACATGTTTCTTTTTTTCTATATATTTGATCAAACCTAATAAATTTTGACTAAGAAAAATATCAAACGATTTATAATATAAAACGGAAGGAGCACTATTTTCTATTTTTTTTTAAAAAAAAGAAAAACTATTTTCCATTTCCTCCCAATGGAGACGTGGAGTGTGCGGCTGCAGTGCTACAGTACTTATGCCTTCTTCCTTAATTGGCAAGTGGCAACTGATTGTCTCTATAATTAATTAATTGATTAATGTTTATTTAATCCAGCCGCACGTGAGGGAGTAGCTGGTTGGTCTCTGGCAAGTTCAATAGTATAGCCAACTAATAACTACCATTCATCTATAGCCAATATAATAGCTCATTCATATAATAGTTACATATTACACTATTAATATATGGTCCCATCTGTCATACACACTGTGTCTTGAAGTCCGTGCTACAGCTGGCTATAAATCTGTAGCCTGCTACCATTCTCTCTCCTTATTTATTTTTTTAAAATATGTTTGTAGCTGGTTTGTAGCCTGCTATGCTATGGTACCTGCTCTCAGGCAGCAGCAGTAGCAGAGGCAGACACAGGCAGTACGGACTACGGAGACGGAGGCAGCGACGGTTGGGTTGGGCGGCCGCGGCGCCGCCCGCGCAAACGCGTCGCCTCTCTACGGAGTAGGAGTAGTGGAGTACGTGGGCCGGTGGCCTTGCGCTTGCGCCCCGGATCGGAGCCGCGCGGCGATTCGCCGATGGATTCCTTCCCAAGTCCCAACGAACCCATCAAACAGCGGTGGATCTCTCGCGGTTTTGGGCATAAAATCCCATCGACTCCTTTCCACTCGCTGCTGTGCCTTTTTTTGTTTTTTTTTTTTGGTGATTGACACGCGCTCCTACTTCAAACCCTAGCACGTACTACTACTGTACAAGTTCTTTCCTGCCACGTGACCATCCAGATGCCAAGGGAAGCGGACAAGCGGGATTTTTTTTCCCTTTTACCTGTTCTAGTTAATTTTTTTTCTTTTAAAGTTTTGAGAAAGTAATTGGCAAGTGAGGCTTTATATGGGTAGTGAGATTGTCCACTTACATCCCTACAAGACAATATCTTATGGTCTACGTGACACAATATACCTTGTTGAGTACTAATCAACTGAAAATAATTTTACATGGAGATTTTTATACTACTATTCTTATTAATGAATTATACATTGGGCTATATTTTATTCCAGAGCTTCATTTTGGACCATCTATTCTAGAAAATGTAACATTCCCTAGTTTTAAAGTAAAAACCATGAATTAAGAGGTGATCTAAAGTAAAACTACGATAACAAAAAAAAAGATACTCAGATCAAGGTGCAATTCACTCTTAACACAATTTAACTAAAGCAACAAATTAACTGAGGATATATGCGGGCTACTAGCGAAAATATCAAAGCTGTTTAGTACTGGTATTACTTCTTCTAGTATGATACTGATGCAGTACTCTCTTCGTATTTTAATATATAACGCCGTTAACTTTACAACGCTTGACCATTCGTCTTATTTTATCATTTATTTTATTATGACTTGATTTATCTTCAAATGTTTTTAAAGCATGACATAAATACTTTTATATTTACACATAAATTTTGAATAAGACGATTGATCAAATGTTAATAAAAAGTCGACGGCATTTTTTTGTTCCTAGTAAATAATATGAATAGAGTACTACTTTAGGTAAACACATACTCCCTCCATCCCATAATATAAGTGATTTTGACTTTTTTTACACTGTTTGACCACTCTTCTTATTCAAAAAATTTGTGCAAATATAAAAAATAAAAAATTATGCTTAAAGTACTTTGGATAATAAAGTAAGATATAAATAAAATAAATAATAATTTCAAAGTTTCTTGATTAAGACGAATGGTCAAACAACATAAGAAAAAATCAAAATCAATATTACGGGGCAGAGGGAGTACTTAAACACATGGAGTGCTGAAAGTAGTAGTAGTACGTGGGGCGGTGGCCGGTGTGCCCACGCGCCGCCGCTCGTCGCTCCTCCGGACGGCCTCTCCATTTCCTTTTGTGTTTGTTTCTGCTGACGGCGGCAGCGGCAGCTCACAGGTGTACAACGCCACTGACACGTGTCCGTGGTCCAGGTGAGACGCCGTCGCCTGCCGGTGGCCACGTGGCGTATGCTACGGCCGTCGGTCTCTGACGACTCTTGTTGTCCTTGTGATTGGTTTTGCGAGAGCACCAGCCAAGCGGTCGCCGTATCTGTCACGCCCGGAATTTCTATCCAAAATTCCAAACGCTTACATGTGTGTGAACCCTCGTCTAGGAATCAGCCGAGGCACACAATAACAAATTGATAATAGAGTACAATTATTACTTTAATTAATAAGCGAATAAAATGTCATTACAGAGGTAGATAGTTCCTCTCAAACAATAAAGATCTAAGCAGCGGAAAAATAAGATAAACGGCGCAGACGGCTCCACTCCACAGGCAGCTTGACCAAGGTTACACCTAATCCTCCACACCATCAGCCTTATTGTAGAACTCTTCCTCTGATGAATGATTGCAAGGTGAGTATATGACATACTCAGCAAGCCACGCAGCAAATATGCAAGTGCACAGGATAACAAAGGATGGCATAGTAGGGTTTCATTTGCAAAAGCAGCATTTAGCAAACATTTGAGAATTTAATAAAACAGTTAAGTATTAAACAATATTAATCCAACGCTATACAACATACCTTGTTGTATAGGCCCAACCATTCTGAACAACCATCCCGGCTGCACAGTTCTATCTCCAAACCAGGAATGTACCATTCCAAACCAGGAGTTAATCAAATTATTACCAATTATAGCATCATTTACTATGGTGAGAAGTGTGAGACTAATCACGAAAGACATTGTTAGACCCGCCCATAACCGCGGGCACGGCTATTCGAATAGTTTTACTCTGATCAGAGGTGTACCACTGTACCCACAAGACACAACCCCACATCATGTCACCATGTGCCTCAATACCACCACGGTACCTCGGAAAGGAGTTGTGACAATACCCCTTACATAACACAATCCACCGCAGCGCACCTTCCTGAATCATAATCACCCCCTTATAAACAATGCATGGACTCCCCAGCGACCCCCGTGGGCTTATCTCCGCCACTTCTCAGTCTGGTGCCCCGCAATGAACCATGCTATACAAAAGATAAAGCCGTTGCCCACGCTGGCTTGTGGTTGGCACGGTTAATGTTTCACAACCGAAACTCGTGAACCGGTCCTTAATTGTCATGAGCACGACCATCAAAACCATGTGCTCACAACCCACCATTACCAGGTTTTAGTTGGCACATTAATTAATTAACCAATCACGATTGACCATCGTGAACTATCATTAAGCCATCATTAAGTAATAGTGAGTCATAAGTTATCCCGAAAGTGTGCTAATGTTTCTAAGCATGGCTAAGCAATCATACCTAATATCTAGTTGAACCAATATATATAAAGCTCAACTAGTCCAATTATAATAACCCAAGGTATCAAGGAATAAAGTAATCAAGAACAAAAGGGCTATAACAAACAATAGGTTAATTCCACCCAATGACATTCGAAAATAAATGCAATAGTTGAATAGAAACCATAGCTTTAAATGGGATCAACATGCTCAAAGGGTTGTTTGGGATCTGTGTGACTTGCCTTGCTGGCCTTGGAACTCTTCAAACTCTTCTCCGGTGAAAACGGACTCTCCGGAAACGACGGAATCTAAACAGAAAAGAGCAAAATCACCAAAACAGCACATAAACAAGCATGAACAGTACATGTGGATATTTTTAACATGTAGATCTCAATTTTAGAAAAATTTAGAGACTTGAACCAACTAAATCCGAGCTAAGATGAATTAGTTATGAATTTTTGAAGATTAAATCGGATTAAAACACTTAAATTGATTTTAATTGAATTATGACGCAATAATAAATTATTTTTGAAAAGGAAAAAGGGATTTATTGCGTCAGCGGGCTAGGGTTTCGGTGGACCGGGCGCACGGCGACGGTTCACGCGAACGGACGGCCGAGATCGACTTGATCCAAAACGGATGGCCGAGATCGAACGGTCCACGACCGGTTCACGGGAGAGGGCGATGATGGCGTCAGCGGTGACGTCACCACCGGCGGCGGCGGCTCGGCGGCTCGGGCTTGCATGCTCGCCGGCGAACGACGGCACGGCGGCGCGAACGGAAGGCACCAACGGGTAGAGCGCGACGCGGCGAACTCACCGGTGACCAAAAGAGCGGCGGAAGATCAACGGACGGCGACGACGACGAGGAAGAAGCGGCGACGCTCTTCGGGTTGACGGCGGCGACGGTGCTCCGGCGATCTTCGGCGACGGCGAAGGGGCGGACGAGGACGGAGACGCGACGGCGACCACGATGACGACCTTCCCGAGCGACGGCGACGACTGGAACGGCGGCGGCGCACGGCTGGAGCGACGGCGGCGCTAGGTCCCATGATGCTAGAGCGTTTCCGACGACGAGAGGCGAAGGCGAGGGTGGCGACGGGTAGAGGAGAGCTCGGGGAACCTTTTAAAGGGGCTCGGAGGCGACGGCGAAGGCCCACGGCGGCTGGCGACGAGAAGGAAGGTTTAGGGTTCGGAGGAAAGAGACGAATCCGATTCGAACTCGAATCCAACGATTTCCAAAAAGAATTAGCCGATGATTCCAAAAGAGAAAAGGTAGAGAAGATCCCGGAGATTGTTTCCCCTCTATCAATTCGGCCGGAGAAGGAAAGGATCGACCGAATTTGGAAAGGAACGGCGGCGGCGCGAAACTAGGGTTTCGGGCGGCGGCGGCCGGAGGTAGACGACGACCCTGACAGGTGGGCCCCACCTGTCAGCGGGCGGACGCGTGGGCGCGGCGGCTGCGGACTGGGCCGAACTGGGCCGAGGAGAGAGAGAAGGGTTTTGGGCCGACTTTCGGCCCAAAGCCAAAAGAAGACTTTTAAAACCTTTTTCAATTTAAATTATTCCTTAAATGCAATTCCATTTATTAAAAATACTTCCTTAGCTCAAATAAATCCCAGAAAAATCTAGGAATTAAAGGATTAAGCAAAGTATTTAATGAAATTTTATCTGGCCCCATTTTATATTGGAATTTATTAATTAAAAAATTAGATCTTCTCTTCTAGGCTTTTAAAATTATTTCTAAAAATTCCAATTAAACAACAATTTATATATTTTGAATTTTTAGGGTGTGACAGTATCGCTTCATAACATGTGGACATATCCCCTAAAAAAGAACATGTGGACATACAATAATGATAATATAATACTCTCTCCGTCTCTAAAATTTAACGCGCGTTGATTCTTTTTAACATGTTTAATTGTTCATCTTATTTAAAAAATTTAAGTAATTATTAATTTTTTTCTAATCATTTGATTCATGGTAAAATACTGTACAGTGCTTACATTACATATCAAAGTGGCTGTTTGCTTGCTTCGATCGGCCATGGCTTAACTCTCGCTAGCCCGACCAGCTGACGCGCACTCCTCCCCCACATAAAGGTTATCGATCTATTTGATCTATGGATGGATTCGTGAGTCGATACACTTAAGGGCGAAGACAGGGAGGGGCGAAGGGAGGCACAGAAATATTATTTTGTATGGTCAAAATATATTATATTTGCTATCCATGTCAAATACTTTAATTTTACTTAAAAAAATGCCCGTGTGTTGCAACGGGTGAATGCTATTTTAATCTTATTATAGTTCACTGTGAGAATTCGCTTGGATATATATGTCTAGAAAATCATGTTAAGTTTACGTGTGAGTTTTTTTAAATAGATTTCTTATATGTTATGTATTTCCAAAAATAAATGAACTTAAAACCCGATTCAAATACGGATCTGTATTTCTAAAAGCAAACGAGCTTAGAAACCGACTCATACACGGATGACGTACTAAATGTGCCGGCAAAAACATCTTCAATTTTTATAATAGTAGAGACATGTATTGCGATGCTTTTTTTTTTTATGGTTAGATCTTTTTTTCACTCAATAAATAGCTTGTCGGCGACGACAGTGGACAAGGAACGCAAACGGAGGCCCACGAGCTAGCTATGCCGGCCCACACAAACTACGGCCCACAGAAAAAGCCTTCCTCCACGATGCACCGAAACCGGACATCCATTGCTTTCACGCTACACACGCAGGAAGCAAGCACAGCATATTTAACCACTCATCAGTCTCGAACAAGGCACACAAACAGATGTTGATATAATGGCAATGTTCTTATTAGCTAGTCCCAACACTAAACCATTGGCAAACAATGCAACATTTTTCCCATGCTAAGTTTCTTATTTTTTGTCACAAGTACTGCACCTTAAAATTACAGCTGCAGCAATCCACTAGATCATCATATTAACCATAACCCACAAAGGATTTTCAAGTCCACATGAGTCAATCAAGCAGCTCCACTTTTATTTCTTACTGGTTGCAACATTGGAACTGCCCACTGACACCCCTTCAGGTGGATCACTTGGATTTGGCTGGGGCTGGGAGCAACTGCAGAGGAAATAAGCAGATCAAAATGAAAGTTTCAGGTTTTGCAGTTGCTAACTCTAAACAGACGATAGTCCACATGACAATATGTGAGAGTTAAGGTACCTGATAGCAAGCAATGAGTGAGCTAGCAAATCCAAACGCCCCTGTCACACGCGGAGTCACTTTCTTGGGAGCCAGTTGAAGCAGCCCTATAGCAACAACTATGTCGAGGCTCGATTTGATGAGAGCGAGACGCCTCTCGTTGCACTTCTGCAGTTTCATCTGGTATTGCTCGTTCTGCCAATACCATCACACGCCATTATGTCATCAAAAGCAAGATGTGAAAATTGTGGTTACATTGAGCTATGATCATATAAGACGGTACCTTTAACAGCTCCTGGTGTTTAAGCTCCTTCTCTAGTTTCTTCATCGACTTGGATAGCCGCTGAAGCTCGGCTACCTATAATGAAATACTAGTCAGATGGTATTCTCTTGATTGTAATAATATCAGGGGCAGGATTAAATAGATTCTACAGTCTGAAGTCTCATACCTCAATAATACTAGTACATGTGTTAGAACCCAGGAAGCAATAAAATGCTATCTTGCTGAGGAATTCTGCTCGCTCCTTGTTCTGTACAAACAATTAGATTACCTACCATTAATTTCTACTGTCAACATCTAGGTATGATAAAACCATATGCTGTATGGTGCTTATGTATATCAGTAATGATGTGAAGAGAAAATCAAACCTTGTATATTCCTGTCCTTCCAGCCCATACAATTTGGTCCAGAAAGAGGAAAGTTGATAGCAGTGCATTCTTCGACTGTGGATGGCACAAAGCAAAAAGATACAATGAGAAGTGAAAAAACGTATCTTTAGGTTCTCAGAGTTCCTACAAGGCAATACAAGCTTCAACATACCTTTCCAAGTAAGATCAGGGGTAGTGGAGTTCCTTTGGCAGGAGGACTAATCAAAGCATGCAGATCATTAACAAACTGCAAAATAATGTGGTGCCACAGATCATGTCAAGGTATGAAAAAATAGCTTCTCATTTGCAATATCTACTGCGGACAAGGATTAAAACTTTACCTTAAAAAGTCGGAAAACTTTACGAGCTAGACTAGTCGACTTGTCAACATTCTGTGCAGGCCCTGGTTGTCCATTACTCACAAATTTCGAGCCATATTGTATAGCTCTACAGATCTTATCTCTTGCTTCAGCCTTGTTTAGGTATAAAATAAGCAGAGCAAGATCTGCTCTTGCACTCTCCAGTGAACTCATACTGTATAGCTGGTGACTGCATCGGTGATAAGATGTTGGGTCACAATTATAGCAGTGAATAGATGAGCATTACCGTGACAGAATCAGGGACACAATTGAAGCAGGAAAAGAAACAAATTAATTCCAAAAATAATATAGGCTCAGTCGTGATCTCTGTTGCATAGTGATAACGAAGAAATTGCCAAAACCGAAAGCAATGTAACAGGGCTAACAGCTAAAGGTTTAAAGAATCTCGGAAAAATTGGCAGTAGCAGAATAAGGTTTGTCATCACTCATCAGGCTACCTATAAGACTATAATTTAAACAGCAGGCTCTGCTAAAAAAAAAGGAGCTCATATAACCTTTAGCACATATTCACAATTTCATAAACTCGGTAAAATTTACAGTGGCCTGTAAAGTAGCATAAAGGTTAACTCAATGACATGTGATTTAAATTTGATTGCATGGATACAGTTTAAGAGGCGTGCCACTATAAAAGGTGGTGATTTTGAGAACACCTAGACAGTGAACTACACCCCGACAACTCGACAAGTCACTTGACTAAGTTGATGATAGCTAATCCATGGCTGGGAGCTCGGCCCCTTCCAAAAGCTAGACTGGAAAAGGTCACCGTAGCTGATGAACGGCGGCATGGACGCACAAGAAGAAGACCAAAAGGGTAAAATCGAATCTGTACCAAATTTCTCCACCTAAACAACCCCCGAACTCGTACAAAATTAGGCCGCAGAAGAGGAACAAGCCGGGCGCATCAACCGGCGATCAATTCGAGAGGAATTCCTCTCCTCCTCCCCATCCTCGCTGCTCGCGAGACCAAGGTTGGCAAGAACGCGCGTGGCGTGGCGTGGCCGACGAAGCGAAGAGAAATTAGCAGGGGAGGAGGAAGAGGGCGGGTCGTACCTGACAGAGGCGATCCGCTCCGCGCGCAGGAGATCGGCTTCGACGGCGGCGGCGGCGTGGTGCTTGGATGAAATCGCTGCTGCCAACCGAGAAGCGAAGTTGTGATTTATTAGGAGAGGAGATCGGGACAGCGACTCCACCCTCTGCACGTCTAATAATTTGCTACGCGCACTTGGGAACGTACCCGCACCTGTTTTGCAAGTCCGTATGATTTGTGTACTCCATGCAAGTTCACCGAACCTAGGTGGGTTACCGTCACCCCACGCTTTAGCGGTTACTGTGATAATCGTACGATTACCGTGAAAACCGTACGGTTACCATGAGGTATATTGTGGTTTCAAAAACTGAGAAGGTTTATCTTATATGACAACTGCACGATTTTGAAAACCCCGAGTCTCCCTATCCAAATAATTATTTTTGTTAGTAATGTCACGTCTCACAATAGTAAAGGTACATTATCTTATTTTGCGGGATTGTAACCATTATGTTTAATCAATAAAGCCTAACCCTTTCTTTAAAAGGTAACTAAAATATTGTGAGACCATTATGTTTAATCAATAAAACCACTCTACACGCACTCGCTTGGCAAGCAAGACTCGGTTACCGAGGTCCTTTCTATGGATTTGAGAGATCACTTTGCTCTCCGCCTGTCGTCGATTATGGCTGAACAATTTAACTACCTTCGTGTTCTCTTGACTGAGCATACCACGGCAAATGACAGACCTGATGTGAGAAACTCGAAATATTCTAGTGACATTCTGAAGACGAGCCACCTCTATCTTGTCCAACGCAGTGAACTGCCTCCTTGCCTCAATTGGAAGTTTATCTGGAACAACAAAGCACCGCTCAAGGTCCAGTTCTTCGCCTGGCTCCTTGCTAAAGATCGGCTCCCAATGAAGAAAAACCTTTGTAAGAAGAACATTGTGTCCACCCCCGCCTGTGATCTTTGCAACTCGGCTAAAGAAACGGCTTCGTATCTGTGCCTACACTGCCCCTTTGCTGCTGCTTTTTAGGACAACCTTAATATTCAGGTCAACATTGCGTCAATGTGTGAGCTGGCTTCTCTTCTTCTGCCACATCAAATTCCCAACAAACATTCCAGGGTGTTCTACCTACTTTGTTTCTGGTGTCTTTGGAATCATCGTCATGGTGTGGTCTTCCGGCATGAGGAAGCTTCCCTGTGTCGGGTATGCATTATGTGTGTTTCGGAAGCCTCTCTATGGGCTGAGCGGTTAAAATTATATGATCGTCATGTAATCTCGGCGTGGAAGTCTCTATTTTCTTCCACTATTCGCTCTTTTGATGTATAATTGGATAAACTGAACTTTCAACTCCTTATATCAATGAATTCAGGTGGGAAAGCTCTCCCTCCCGGTAAATTTTCTAAAAAAAAGTAACTAAAATTTTAACTTCAAATCATATTATGATCAAATTTAGATGTTTTTTTCTAAGGACATGCACAAATCCACAAGCGCAAATCCTCGTGTTATGAAACATTAAGTATCATCAAATTTTGTTTCTTAATGGAATAAAACACTACTCAAAAGTGTACATAGTTAGAATTTCTTTTAGAAGTAAAACCATGATACTAATTAAGAACACAAAGCACCACATGCATCTATCAACCATCTCCATGCACATATATCAACATTTTTACGTGCGCCTATAAGAAAAATTAAAAATAAGATTATCCATTTGTTTGATTATAATAGTCAGTTGCTTGGATTTGGCAAAAAATTGTCAAAAAAAAAATAAGAACGTGTATCTTCATGAGCTACAGGTGGTTCACATTGGATCAAGGTTTGGCACCCGATGTTGGCTCTTCGTCACCGAGAGTTGCAGGTGCTTTCACGGATTAGAATGTTATTAATGTGGTGTATGAGATGGGTTCAAAATATCGTGAGACAGTTTGACTCATATCTCAAGTTTTAGTGTTACAATATTGAGAGAAATTTATAGTAGTTATCAGTGTCTTGTAAGTTGTAAATAGCCAAACGTGGAGGATAAGTGCCGAAAATCCGTGTAAGTTGTGGATGTGCCCGGATCAAAACGGGGCAAATTGGGATATGTTTAATAAATAATCGTTACAGTCCCGGAAGGAAGCTCTTTGTGGGTCCCAGCTGACCAAGACGAGAACGAACTCGTGCCTGAGTTGAGACTAGAGAAGTAGAGAGTAGTTGAGACGGCAGACGGCGTCGTTGGAAGCATGTTACGGTTCAAGCCTTGTTTCATGGGCCAAGGCATTACTGCTATTATGGGCCTCACCCTGTTTCGCAGCAGATGGGCCCTAACCCGACCCAAATCTCCTACCCGTTACTTCTCTTTTCTATTTTTGTCAAAGCAATTTTGCTATATGTGCTACAGCTACTTAGGCCCCTTTTAAACGTGGGATAGGGAAAAAAAAAAAAGGAGAAATAGAGAAACTGTTGGAATTGAAATAACGTGTTGCTTCAATCCTACAGAAATTGAAAATACAGAAAAACAGAAAGGTATGACCTTTGATTACACCACAGTAAAAAAATGGAAAGTTTCCAAGAGGTGTAACCTCTTACTTATTTTCTTACAAATTTGACCATAGAAATGCAATTTTGTTTAAAAAATATATACCTTTATATGAATAAAGAGTTCTATAGGAGAAAATCCCAAAGGAATTGAATCCTCTAGAAAAATTATTTGCCAATCCTACAATACAAAAGGCCCCTTAATGGTATTTACTATTTAGTCATGCAACAAGTTCAACGAGGTACAGGACACACTGACCCGTAGAGCATCTCCAACAGCCTCTCCAAGTATTCTCTAAGCTAAATTTTAGCCGTTCCAGTCAAAAAACGTCCTTCAATAGCCTCTCCAACCCGGCTGGCCAAAACCCTCCTTCCACTGGCCAAACTTGGCCAACCAAAAATCACTGGCCAACTGTGGCCCCACACACATTATCCTCCCATCTCCTTGCCGACTATTCTCTCTTGCATTGCCCCAGCGCCGCCGTCGTCGCTAGCCGCGACCATCGCCACCATCTGCGCCGTCACCGAGCGACTTCCGCCGCCTCCACGCGACTGGTGCGGGGTGCCGAGGTCAGCGCACCTAGAGGAGATGAGGAGTCGGTCGGCGAGGATGGTCCACCCACCAATGGCGGCTGCTTTGCCCCCCCCCCCCCCCACCTCCCTTTTCCCGCAATGGCTCCTTCTCCTCCTTGATCTGCCTGCCCACGCCGTCGTCGTCGCCCTCCATGTGCGGCAAGGGAGGGAGGGAGCGGCAGCGGGGCGGCTCGATGCCTTTGCCACCGCCTCCGCAGCGTCGCCGCCGCTGACCCCGCTAGCACGAGCAGGGGATTGGAGAGTGGAGGAAGAAGAAAGAGGAGGAGAAGAATGACAGGTGGGGTACATTGGTTAATAGAGAGTGAAATGTGTAGAGGCTGTTGGAATAGAAGATAAGTTTGACTCTCTAAATTTTTGTTAGGCTGGCCAAATAGTTATTTTGAGAGTCAAAAATGGTCGCTCTGTGTTGAAGATGTTCTAAGTGACTCATCAATATGCCCAACAGCTCAAGTTCTGTAGTAGTGAGTACGGCTATTTTCACTTTAGGCATGATCTCTCCCTCTTGCTCGCCTCTCACCATCTGAATTCTGATGATCAATAAGAAGAGATTTGAGAAACAAACAAAGCAAGAGAAGATCCTGGTATGTTCTTCCTACAGTTTCAAGGCATTATCAGTACTTACTCTTGTGTCATCCTCACCAGTGATGACAGTTTTAACTTTTTCACCACACGGTACAACTGGAATGAGATTGAAGAATCTAATCTAGCCATACTAAAAGGCAGGCAGCATATATAACAGTATCATGGTCAGGGCAAGTGCTGTCTGAAACCTGAGGAGGTACCCGTCGTACGCCAATAATTCTATGGCACTGTCAGATCTGTGGATTCAGCATCAAACAAGCACATATACAGTTTCAGCCATTCTCGATCTTCACCTGATGATCAGAACGAGACACGCACTTATGCATCGCATTGTCTGCAGATCGATCGATCAGCATCTTCTGGTCCCCGAGAACACTTTCGATCTCTACATAACTAAGATACGCACAGCCGAACTCGCACACCGGCAAAATTCAGAAGAAGAAAGAATACAGCAAATATCAAGCACCAGCATCTGAAACTCGTGGTCTCAGCAATTCAGCATCTTTGGTCGATGCAAAGAGAGCAGCTGCTCCTGTGTCTGTAGCTATGTGAGCACTGTTCAGCTTGTGCTCTGTCCCCCTGCTCCGATCCCTGCAGGCTGCAGCTTGCTTGTCACTGGATCATTTGGCAATTGGGCATGGCCTTCTTGATCGCGCTAGCTATCATATCGTGGTATGTAATGTACAGTACATATGCTTGATCGATCTGTCATTGGATTTGTGATGCTTCGCCTTTGTTCATCAATCCGAGCGGCCGGGAATCTTTGCTTCATACTCCGGATTATTAGATAGACATGATTAGCTTGTGCAATCAGTACCGGGACTTGTCACTGTTGCTGTATCATTATTAGTCGGTGATAATGTAAGGCATAAATTTGGTACTTTGGTTCAGCATGGACAGATAGATGAATCGATGGGGTAATGGATCTGTGTGAAGAAATCAAACTTTATTTTCATCGTTTTAATGTTTGCTTGGTTGGTTAATTTTTCCATCATGGGCTGAATTAAGGTTTGAAATCCGAGAGTTAAATTAAACGTGGAGACATATTAATTAGCCGAGAAGACGAGAATTAAGACCCCAAGATCTAATTGAGCATAGCTACTTCTCGTTTCCGTTAACATGTTTTTCAAACCGCTAAATGGTATGTTTTGTATGAAATTTTTTTAGTTAATACTAAAAAGCCAAACTAAATTTATTTTTCATGTTTCTAATAATTATTCCCTTCGTTCCAAAATATAGGGTATTTTGGTTGCATAGAATACATTCTAATACTATGAATTATGGACAATGTATTTCATCCAATCAAAATCTCATATATTTTAGGGCATATAAAGTATTTTTTTTAATTAATTATATGCTAATCTATTATATTATTAAAACAGCTTTGAAAGGAGGCACCACATTCGCTGTGGGAGCTAGAAATTCCCACATTAATCGGAGAAAAAGGAAAAAAAGAAAAGGAGAGTCCAAGTAGAAGTACAATTTAAAAATAGCTGAAATTCGGAATTAAAAATAAGCAATATTGAAAGAAGTTTCCACATAAGAACCCAATACGAGATTAATCAAAATTCAAAATAAAAATAAAATAAAATCCAAAATTAGAAAAAGGAAAGGAGAGTCCAAGTAGAAATACAATTTAAAAATAGCTGAATTCGGAATTAAAAATAAGGAATATTGAAATAAGTTTCCATATAAGAACCCAATACGAGATTAATCAAAATTCAAAATAAAAATAAAATGAAATAAAATTCAAAATTAGAAAAGAAAACGAGAGTCCAAGTAGGAATACAATTAGAAAATAGCTAAAATTCGGAATTAAAAATTAGGAATAATAAAAGAAGAGTCCATATAAGAATCTAATACAAGATTAATTGAAATTCGAAATAAAAATAAATAAATTTGAAATTAGGAAAATAAAATAAAATAAGAGTTCATGTAGGAATACAATTTAAAATTAGCTAAAATTTGGAATTAAAAATAAGCAACATTGAAAGAAGAATCCATATAAGAACCCAATACGAGATTAATTAAAATTTAGAATAAAAATAAAATAATATCTAAAATTAGAAAAATTAAAAGAGAGTTCAAGTAGGAATAAAATTTTAAAACAACTGAAATTGAAAATAAAAAATAAAAACATTAAAAATAACACAATACGATATTAACTTTTTTTTAAGAAAATCTGAAATTAGAAAAAGAAAAATAAGATTTCAATTAGGAATACAATTTAAAAATAACTAAAATTTGTGATAAAAATATAGATTATTAAAAGAAAAGACCATCTAAACACATGACGAGATAAATTAAGTAACAAGCCTATAAAGAAGTAGAGTGGTGGCGGTTGATACGAGATATAAAATTGTTAATAAAACACCAAATTGAATCCTAATGACGATTAAAAGGAGGGACGTCAGGCAGGCCGTGAAGCAAACGAGTAAGGCGGTTGCCGGGGCTTCTAGAAAGTAAAAAAAACAAATCCCATTGATAATCATATTGAATTTTTAAAATCTTAATGACAATAAAAAGAAGAAGCAGCGGGCGGGGTGTATAAGAGTATAATTGCATAGTCGCCGACGGTTGACGGGACTTCTAGAAAATAAAAAATGAATTCCGATGATAGTTATGTTCGATTATTAGAATCACAATGACAATAAAGAGTTTGGCGGCGGACAGGCTGTAGAGGGGCATAGTGGCATCGTTTGATGGGACTTCTAAAAATTATAAAAAATAAAACTACAAGTCCAGTTTTTAAAGGTTTGAAACTTCTAAAAAGTAAAAAAAAAACCAATGATAATCATGTTTGATTTTAAAATCTCAATGACAATAAAAAAAGATAGGCAGCGGACGAGCCGTAGAGGAGTACAATGGCAAAACCGCTGACGGTTGGCGGGACTTCTAGAAAGTAAAAATGAACCCAAACGATAATTATGTTCGATTTTTAAAATCTCAATGATAATAAAGAGAGGAGACAGTGGACGGGCCGCAGAGGAGTATAGTGGCAACGTTTGACGGGACATCTAGAAATTATAAAAATGAAGAGATGACATAAGGGGTAGCAACTGGTGTGACTTTTACAAACTATATATTAGAAACACGAGGATGATAAGGTTTGGTCTTTCAAAGTCTTAAGACAATGAGATAGCTATTTAATAAATTTTAAGTAAAATCATAAAAAAATATAAGATTTTGTTTGGGTGCTAGCCGCGCAATTGCGTGGGCCACCACCCAGCTAGTTAATAATTATGTTTCGGAGTTGCTAGAAATATGGCGTCATATGCTACAGTCGATTTTTTTTCAGCCACTTACACAGTAGTTACACCTCATTTACACCCCACTTACATATGTAATTAGTATGTAATTTTCGAATTTACATATGTAATTTTATTACTTACATATGTAATTTTGAGACTTACATTGTAAATACACTAAAATTACATATGTAATTTAAGGACTTACAATGTAAATACATGCCGACTATTTTTTAATAAAAAATATGACGCCATAAATATAACTACACCCTTATGTTTCTCATGTTTTAGCGTGCAGGTAGCTAATCAGCCAAACCGATCAGCCGAAAAGAAACGCGCGTTGCCCTGCATTGCCGGCGGCGTCGGTGTAGGCGAAGAGGAAGCGTGTTCATCCATGTGTCCGTCGTCGAAGTTCGCCGGGAGTGGTCGCTTTCAAGAACGCCGACCATCTCCTTTGTTCTCACCCCTCGACGGCGACCACGTAACCAACATCCCCCCATTTCTAGACTCACCTACAGCACCAGTTGCCACCTTAATTTCAGTTCAAACTTTACTATTATCACCTTCAAAAACACTTTATTTTTAAGCTATGTATTTGGCCAAGTATGACTAGTTTATCTATGGAATTTTCAGGATTTTTATTCTGCCTGACGAGCTTATGATTAGTTAGTTGAGGACTGTAAATCGATGATGACGATTGGCTGATGAACAACTCTGACGAGACATACATGATAAAGATCCTTCTGCCGTTAGACTCGTTACCTGCCCTTTTTGTTTCTTCTCTTGTTGTTTTTCTTAGTTATTTAAACATGAATAAATCAGTGTTTAACAAGCTGGTTCCACGCCATCTCGTGGAGTATGATCTCTCACCAAATTAAAGAAAAGGAAAGATTGGCCATCATCACTCGAGAAACATGTGACTCAAAACTCTCTCTCTATTCAGCACCAACCATGCAATGTTGCTAATTGGCAGATGGTACCATGTCATTACCTTCAGAAATAAATAGCCCAACTTTAAAAGAAACAACAAAAGAAGGAAGGAAGGATACTATCATGTAATTTGGTGTCATTAGCTTGGAGGAGAGGAGAGGAAGGAAGGCAACATCTCTCTCTAGCCAGCAATGCAATTGCAAATGTGACAGGCACAAGAGGAGAAGCTCAGCTCAACCACCAGGCAATGACTAGTCCACTACTAATACATCACTAATACACACATGATGCTTCACTCTCTCAATACTGACACTGCAACGGCAACCAGCTAGTAATTAATTGAATCAATCAATCAATCAATCAACGCTTGATCTCTCATTTCATCAGACATCCAAGCTGAATCAACAAGGAGGAAAAGAAAGAAAATTCATTCATTAGAGCTGATTAGTTTGTTGTAATAATCGCCAAATAGGCCAAAGCAACTCGCAAGTTTTCTTCTTCTTTTTACCTAAAACAAAACAGCTCGGACTCTGATGGCTTGATGCAACACCTAAATGTGGCACAGCAATAAAGTATTTAGATGCACACCAACCCCTGCACTATTCATTTCTGAAAGGAATCAAGCCTGACAGATAGGCGCCAACTAACTCAAGAACACAGACAACACCAACACCAACAACAACAAGGAGAAGAAAGAAACAATTTTTTTAATCATAACAACTAACAGGAAATAATAATAAAAAGATTTAAGAATTCATCATCCACAGTCCAAGTCCATGGCCTCTCCCCTTATCAAGAACGGTATGTATTGGTATCTGTATCCATATGGGTACAACATTTTCTTTGCCTTTTCTTCAAACGCCAATTGGAGAACAATAATAACCCTTTTTGACTTATTCCCAATCTGAATACACTTCAATTTCTCTCTTCCCCCCTAATTTCCTCTCTCTCTCTCTCTCTCTCTCTCTTTCTCAGAATATATGCACACAAAAGAATATCAAACATTTGATGGTGAAGAAGAAGAAGAAAGAAAGAAAGAAAGAAAAAACAAAATTAAAAAAAAATTACTCTCACATGATGAACTGAACTCATCTAGAAGTGGTAGTAGTACCATGTAATGTGGCCAACCAAATTGCTAGAGCAGCAGCAAATAATCCAGGGCAATTCAATCATCATCTTCATCATCATCTCATCAGGGACAGGACACCTCGGATTTTCCGGACATGGGTGCAATTCTTGCCAACCAAGCACCACCATTGCATCTGCCGATTCTGTGATGTGTGTGCTCAGAATAGCATCCAGTCGAGCCGGTTCGCCGGCGGCGGCAGCGGCGGCGGCGCGCCGGAGGAGGCCGTTGAGCTGACGGTGGTCGTTGAGGAGGCCGACGACGTCGACGGCAGCGAGGACAGCAGGTCGAACATCTCCCACCGCGTCTGCCCCGCCGCCGGCTGCTGATGGTGTTGGTGAGCTTGCTGCTGCTGCTGCCTCGCCGGCGGGTGATGGTGTTGTTTGGAGGTGAGCTTCTCGCCGGACTTGCGCACGATGGCGGCGTTCTTGGCCATGACGGCGTCGAGCGTCTCCACGTACTTCTGCACGCGCTTCACCTGCAGAGTCATGGGACGAACAGGTTGAGCTCATTAACCATGGCGGTCAAGCTAGTCGGTGGAGATTGGAGGAGGCGGCGAGGTAGCTCGTCAGCTCACCTGTAGCCGCCTCTGCGCCTTGACGTCGCCGTCGGCGACCACCGCGTCGAGCTTGAGCAGCTCGTTCATGAGCAGCTCGGTCACCTGCACCACGTCGTTCTCCGCCACCTTCTCCCCCTTCCTCACCGACGCGTCCAGCGCCGCCACCTGCCGAACCAACCAACCAACCAACCAACCAATCGGAGGTGAGCCTACTACCTCGGCGTCGGCGTCGCCATGGATGGCGGGCAATGTGGGTGGGTGCCTACCTTGGGGGCGAGCTTGTCGACCTCGGCGGTGACGGCGGCGACGGCCTTGGCGGCCTTCTCGAGGTGGCCATTGCGGCGCTCCTCGATGAGGCGGCGGGCGCGTGCCTCGGGGTCCTCGACGACCACCAGCTTGGACCTGTCCTTGACGCCGGCCATGTCCAGGAACGCCTTGGAGTCCCTCTCCTTGTCCTTGTACATCACCTTCTGGTCGTCCGGATGCAGCCCCGTTCGCGCCGCCACCATCTTCTTCAGCTCCCCTGCACCACCCACAACGAAATCAGACATGGCCCCCATCCATCGAGTTCGCCGTCGACGACGACGACGACGGCGGCGGCGGGCACTGACCGAAGGACGCCTGCGAGTTGATGTAGATCTCGTGGGTGATGCCGGCGTGCTTGACCTTGACGCGGATGGTGGGCACCGGCTTCACGTTGACGGGCTCCTCGTCGGCGCCGCCGCCCCTCTTCTGCACCAGCATCCCGCCTGGCCGCACCTCCCACACCTCCTCCGCCGGCACCTTCCCACCCGCCGCCGCCGCCGCTGCTCCGGCGGCGGCGCCAACCACCGGGGGAGGAGGAGGATTCTTCATCGACCCGAACTTCACCGTCGCGCCTTTCTTGGCCTTAGGGCTCGCTCCCAGCATCCTCCTCTCCTCCTCTTCTTCTCCCCAGCTATCACAGAGCTCGTCGGATCTTTGAAGCCAAGAAAGCGAAGCACACCAATGGCGGGAAAGGCGAGCGAGCAAAGCACAGAGCAGAGCTTGTGGCGGGAAGAATGGGGGTTTGGAGAAGCTGAAATCTCGAAGCTGAGGAGGAGGAAGAAGAAGACGAGATGGATGGAGAGCGAGGAGAGGAGAGGAGAGGAGGAAGAAGAGAAGAGGAGAGAAGAAAATAATGGTGGTGAGGTTGATGAGGGAACAAACCGCAACGCCATGGACAAGGGGAATATATACGCCAATTAGATTACTTGCCACTGGCCACATGACATTTTCCATTATCAAATTCCAAAGAGATTTATATAAATAAATGTTTCTGGAAAACTATATTTAATTAACATGATAATATATATATTCCTGTTCGATTTAGATTATTGGCGGACTATGCACTCAGATATAAATATAAAGTAGGAGTACATGTTTTGATGAATAAACTTAATAATAGTGTTTGAAACTCATAAGATTAAGATTAAGTTGACGCACGGTTAAACGATAAAGCTATTAGCACATTATTAGTTAAATTTTAATATTTATAAACTTAACAAATGAATATATTTGATATTTTAAATCAACTTTCATATTTAGAGTTTTCGCATACAGTTTAGTAGTTTTAAAAGCGTGCTTACGAAAATCGAAGTAAAATCTTTATATTAATGAGAAAATAACACTAGCGATAAGAAATGCAATAGAGGAGTGTAAATTATTTATAAAGAAAATATAGTTTTTAAAGTGTACGATAAATAATATGTTTCAATAATCTGGTAAATAAACTGAAAAGATCAGGGTCAGAGTTGCGTTGGTTCATGACAAAATTGATTTGATTCTACTGTGGAATGTGAGAGAAAGGAAGGGTGGATGCTCCACATTGTGCTAGATGCTTGATCATGGCGCCATCAGAAATGAATACACTTCATTTATTTGTTTATTTGCTGAATTTTTTGGTGTTTCCTCCTTGTCGTCTCTACTAGTATTCCACATGCCTGAGAAATTATTATTTTCTTGGCTTTTAAAACCAGGAAATTTGCAGCAAGCTAGTCCAAGTTTTGATTCGTTTTCGTTTGGTTAGATGGTGATTCGTATTGTGTCGGCTGATGCTGCTGCAAACCTTTTCCTTCCTGTTTGATTTGCTTGTCGATATAACGTCCCAACCATCGCCTAATAGATTTTTTAAATACTATATATTTTAGCACCGAGTACTTGTAATCAAAACAAAAAAAAATTAACGATGTAACTACCCGCTTTAAAAACAGTTACAAAGTAGCTAGCGTAGTAGATTAGCAGTGCTGGTACAGTTCAGCAGCTGATCATCAGTGGAGAATACGCAGCACATGCAGATGAAATAATCGCGGGAGCATTATTCGCGCCAAGGTGCGAAAATAATTTGTTTGTGATTAGTTAGCTAGATCCAACTACCGGAAAAAAATTGCTCTTGATTAATTTGAACTGTCCAACATAACAGGATATTTTTTTCCAAGTTTTTATTTAAAAAACAACTAAAAATAAACTTGCCTATATGATCAAAACCTTTTGGCAAGGCCATTGAGGTTGGCATTGGCATGGTCTTATTTGGAACAGAGGAATTTTGTGGAAATCTTGAAGGAAATGAATTGTTTCCTATGAAAATCTTGTGAAATTCTAGGTCAGCAGGCAGCATGACAATGCCAAATAATAATGTTGAAAAATGTAAGAGTTTGTTTTTTTAATTTATTTAGAGGTGTTTAAAATCTAGTAATACAATAGTAGTGGTCATAGGAAGGCTTTGTGTGCCAGGAGGGAGAGGAATAATAAATAAAGAGATCACATGATCCTAGAAAAAAGAAAAGGCACAAGTTAAGGGACATGAATCATGCTTGTGGAATTCATCTTCTATGATTCAAAAGTGAAGTGCAATGGTTCAGATATCAGAATTTATCACAGCTAGATTTGCTGTTGCAGGTTTGCAGGACAGCTACAGTAGTGCTGGCAATCAGCTTTTCGATGCATGAATTGAAGTGGCTCTTGAATTATGGTTTTAGAAACAAGCTACTCCCTCAGTTTTAAACTACTCGTCATTCTAGTAAGTCAATTTTTTTTCTTAATAAATTTGTATGGTTTAACATAATAAATTTCAAGTATATTTTTAGATTCAGCATGAGACTTTCATAACATATATATAATTCATATGTTATTAGACTATACGAACCTATTAAAAATTAATGGTTAAAGATAGACGTGTTTGACTTAAAAGAAAGCTAAAATGTTCAGTAATTTCAAATGTAGAGAGTACTATCTCTTTTGGTTAATAGTTCAAAAACAAAAGAAACTATAAAACTATAGTTCCAAATTGAGATGCACTTCATAGTACAATGACAAGGGGTATGTAGTTTTAACCCCAAGGTCTCGTGTTCAATTCCCGATACACTCATAATTTTTTCTTAAAAAAATATTTGGAGGGACGTCACTCCCTCTAAATGTCGTTTTTGGTTTATAGTTCAAAAACTACAGAAGAGTTATTGTAACCTGGTGTACATTTGTTACCAACCAGCTGAGTAAACTGCTGCTGTCTGTATGAGATTCATACACAAACACAGCTGACAGTATCAGCCAGTATGCAGTCTCTGTCTGGATGTGAGCTGATCAGCCTGACAATTACTAGTTTGTATTCCATTTATTAAGAAAAAAATATCATCATTGAATCATACAAGTCTGATGACAAAAGAAAGCAAAGCATCATGCTAATGATCCCCATAATTAACCATTGATTCCCAAACAGTGGAGCACGGAAAGTAAACAGTTGAATCCAATCAGGAACACAAGGCATTCAGCGATACGAGTCAATCTTTAATGAATGGCCGCCACCCTAACAGTGCTACTTTGTTGTGCCTTATTAGTGTGTTTTTGTGCACTGTCAAAAATATAATCCAATGAATAAAACATACAGGATCAGTTGCATTGTGTTCTTGTAATCACAACTGATACTGAATTGTTTTTTAGTTTTCAGAAACTGTTACTGAATTTTTAAATGACACTGCTACATGTGCGTGGTGCTGTGCATTAGTCGTTGGAGGGTGAGCTTAGTTTAACTGAAACTGAAGTAGTAACTACTATATGCTCATGTGCACAGCAATCAAGTCAGCTTGAGAGATTGGATTAGTAAACCAAAGCCACTGAATTCTCCTCAAAATACTACTACAAAAAAGATCAACAAGTTGCTAATAACAAGAGATCAACTTTTCCTTTTTTTTCTTTTTGTCTAACAACTCTTCATCAACAGTCTGAAACACGCAGGCCGGCGGCACAAGGTGACAGACAGTCTGAGCTCCACCGACAGTCAGGAGTGTCGCGCGTGTGGGGCCCACCTGGGGATGCCACGCTGGCACTGTCAACGCTCTCCTCTCGCCTGCGTTGACCGAGGAAAGAGACGCTGTAACCCACCTCCTCGTCTCTGCTTCCTTTCTTCCTCCTCTCTTCTCCTCCTTCTCAAGTTCTTCTTCTCCTTAATCAGCTTTGCTTTCTGATGAAAAAAAGACAGGTATCTGATTCGAAATGCAGCCAACCACGTTTTGATTTGCACAATGTTTTTTATTTCCTTTTCTTTGGCGATTGCTTTCTGTGGTTCTCCTCTTATTCCTTTCTTTGTCCGATTCCTTTCCTTTTCGTTTTGTTGTTTTTATTCGTTGCAGAGATTAGTTAATGTCGGTCTATGAGTTCTTAACTACTAAATGTGGTTTTATGTGTGTTGTGTTCGGACGCTTGCATTGCCGTATTTTACAGAAACAAAAACGCACGCCTGATTATTCTGTACTTAATCTTGGTTTGAGATCGCTTAATTGTTCTGCTCTGAATTTTCCATTCAGATCATTTGACACGTTTTAGTTAGTTGGTTTTTCAAATATGCAGTAGTTGTTGTTTTGAATTGTCAGCACCGTGCATTTTTATGGCACTTCTATTTCCATCTAGGCAATGCTATATTTAACCAGGCAATATGGATAGGATCAAGACTGAGCCAATTTTGATTACCAGAAATCCAGGCCCGGTTTAGTTTCCAAAACAAAAAAATTCACGCTGTCATATCGAATATTTGGACACATGCATAGAATATTAAATGTAGGCAAAAAAAATTACACATATTGCGTGTAAATTGCGAGACGAACTTTTTAAGCCTATTACGCCATGATTTGACAATGTGGTGCTACAGTAAATATTTACTAATGACGGATTAATTATGCTTAGTAAATTTGTCTCGTAGTTTTCTGGCGGAATCTATAATTTGTTTTGTTATTAGACTATGTTTAATACTTTAAACGTGCGTCCGTATATCCGATGTGACAATCAATCCTAAAAATTTTTCCCAGATAAAAAAGGCCTCAGAACTACACAAGGAAAAAATATCCAATTTTGAAGCATGTTTTTCGAAACACTTTTTGAAATATGTAAAGCATTGCTCTCTTATTCTTCCTCTTCCCAACAACTGTTCTTCACGAAACCTCACTATTCTTTTTGAACGACTCGCACGAGACGGTGCGAAGTTCTATTGATAGAGCAGGAAAAAAATTACAAGATTACAACCCTGGAGGGTCGTAACCAGGAAAAAGGAAAAAATATACAACCACCCACACACCGACATCGCCAACACATAATCCCAGGAGAAGGCTAGCACCGGATCGACCGCCGTTAAGCGTGACCGACCGCCGCTAGACCAACAAAGAGACACAGACGAGATCGCCCCCTAGGGATGCCAGAACGAAGCCTCACTATTCATTTCATCACTGATGAACCTTCCTATTAGTCGCAACAAGGCTCATGATCAAAAGCTAAGCTTACGATATCTTGTAGCTATACCGACACCGATGCTAAATCATGTAGATTTAAATTAAGCTAAACATATGGGAATATATATAGAGGCGTATGTACATTGCCAGTATGACATAAATCATAATAGCATATGGTTAGGGAGTCATATCAATCAGAGAGGCTAAAGACAATAATAGAGCCCTCCAAAGCTGCTTCCAAGCACACAGAAAATACAGATTAGCTATATATTGAGATGGATGGATGGATGAATGGATGGATGGATGGATGAATGGATGAATGGATGACCTGAGTGATCGGAAGGTGCCGCTTCCCTGTCATTGGTCATGCTGCCCATAGCCTCTACTTCCGTCCAAACACGGACCAACTCGCTCACTCACTTCGTATAATTTTCCTTTTTAAATGTATGATTCCCACGAGAATAATATAGAAAAATAGAAAAAATCTCATGAAATCTATATGGAGTTCTTTTGTTCGGCGAGGGTTTTCTTTTCCCTTTTCTTGTAACCCGTCTAGGTTTTTACTTTTGTTTATTGAAATGTAACTGACTATTGTTATGCGGTCATACCGGTTTCTTTTCTTTTCGTTTTTTTGAAAAAGAAATTATTTTGTTCGAGATGGAGTCCATAGTTTATGAGAGTTTGAATCATGGGCCTAGAGAAAATGTTTGTGTGAAAAAGACAGTTATTGTATTTATGTTAGAAAATACTTTTCAGAAAGTGTTTTAATCGCCTTTGGATTGCAGGGATTTGTTAAAAGGCAGAAGTTTCACATGCTGTCCATGCCTATATTTGTGGCCCATGGAATCCAAATGGCTTCCAAGACAGCCTGGGTGCCTGAATACGACACAAAAGGTTCAGAGCAACCAAAAATCATTTCATATATAATACTTTCTTAGCACGAACTAATTAAAATTAGAGAGATCTTGCGTGATCCTGGGCAGGTTTGAATTGACCACAAGTGTCGGTTTAAATCATTGCGAGTGTTCGTCCTACAGTATAGCCACACTGCACGTAAACCTGAAACCTGAATGGCCCATACTTCCATCATCATGCATGATAGTACTAGTTTAATACTGGTTTATAATACCAGTACTAGCAGTTGGTATGCGATCGTTGGAGTGTTAAACATAAGTGATCAAATAATTAAATCATTTGGCACAGTTTGCCTTGAGTATTCAGTTAGCAATTAATGGCCAAAAAAATAATAATAGAGAGAGAAGGAGCAATTGCCAGGTAGTTCGATCGTCTGGTGGCTTGTGCCATCTCTTTAATATAAAAGCAGATGGATCGATCAGGATCGGTTTAGCGAGGCATTACCATGTGCTCGATCTGCTGCTCATTAGCTCGCCTTGCTTAATTAGTCTGGTTACAACAACTGATCATGTGGAGTGGAGTCCTGTACTGCAGTCCTGCAGGCTAATTTCTCTCCCGAGTTTTGATTATATATTCCGGTGGGATGTAGAGCTTAATACAGTGGACATTGTTGTACTCATGTAATTTTAACAATTGTCAAGCTCTACATTTCACGACAGTTGCTTCTGCAATTTTCGCTTTGAAAAAAAAGGTGTACAAGCAACTGGCGTGAAATGTGGAGCTTAAGGGGTGCAATTTCTTCGTAACATTCTGATGGTCAAAGCAAGAGGCGATGCAGTAGTGCAGGAGTTTGGTAGAGAGCAGTTCAGTGCTTGAAGCATTTTCAAAATGTTTAGGCAATTCCAGACACAGCTGAATATGAGTTGCTACCACTTAGAAAACATGTATGGATGCAGAAAAACGGTAAAGAGAGAAGGGCAAGCAATGGGTGTACATTGTGAAGTGGGGTTGTGGAAATTTGCAGTGGATCTCCCAGAACAAGAAGCATGATGATCATGGTTTGCTACCACAGAAATTGCTTTTGGCAACAGAGAGAGAGATGCCTCCGGACCAATCATCTGATTCTGACTTTTTCTTATGTTCCAGACCACACCATCCAACCATCATCAACTCTTCTCTGCTCTGCTCTCTCTCTCTCTTTTTCTTTTTGAGGGATGACATTTGGAACGTTTAATAAGAAGCCAGGGGTTGAACCTAGTTAAAAAAAATTGATTAAATTAAAAACATGTCTAGCTAATTTACGTGCTACGCAATTTATCTTCCAATTACAATACCCAATAGAGACATTCTCTAAACCAAATCCTCGACTGTGTGTTCGCTCGGCAGGTCAGGTTCCGTGTGTTGTCGCCTCCTGGCTAGACCGCTCTCTCTTCCTCTTGTGGCAGTCGGCTTCAGGATTGGTGGCCAACCTCTAGGGCCTGCTTTATCTGAGCATCTCCGTGCCGGTTTCGACTCTCTGATACTTCTGGTCTCTTGGCACTATGGAAGGAACGGAACTCCAGAGTTTTCGATTCTACGCTCTCTTCGGTCTCAGTGGTTCTAGAGTATATCTGCTTGGAAGATCATCTGTGGTCTTTAGCGTGCATTGCTACTTTTGGAGATTTATTGAAAATGTAACGTGGCTCTACCCCTTCCCACCAATCGGAGTTTCATAGCCGCCGTAGTAGTTTTTTTTCCTTCCTAGCTACAATTTTTGTTTTGCTTTTCTTCATTCCCCTAGCATAAGCCGATCTGGCTGATTGCGTTGTGTATCAAAAACTATTTTTCCTCTAATATATTAACGTGCAATTATTTTACGCGTTCGTGAAAAAAAATAGACCAAATCTCAGGACATGACATTCATCAACTCTGCTCTCTTTCTTCAAAGAGATACGGAGTATCATGTTTTGTTGGTCTCCTGTTAATTACGACTACTCGGTGGGCCTCAAATTGGGCCTGGCATGTAGGCCTGCCACGAGGGCCATACAAAGCCCAACCCCAACAAATCCAGGCCCAGTATGACAGTGTCCAAGTCAAAGGTGCGCGCGCGAGGAGCGCGGGCCAGATTGCGGAGCCGAGTCCACGACCCGATCTTGGCTCCGCCCTCGCCGCCGCGCGCGGCCTTCTATATAAACCGTACCTGCCGCTGCGTGCTCCGGCGTGCAACCGCCATGGCCGACGTGCTCCTCGGCTCGGAGCGCCGCGTCCTCATCAGCGCCTCCGCCCTCCCTCCGCCGGAGACCCTCCTCGGCCGCCTCGACCAGCTCGACCTCCGGGTGAGCGCGAGAGAGCGTCGCCGTCGCGTGTCGATCGATCCATTCGTCGATTGATCAGTGATCACCATGTCGTTGTTTGATCTTTGTTTCAGTTGCGGCAGCTGGAGGAGCAGCGGCGGGCGAATGCCGGCGACGGCGACGGCGGGCCGGCGGCGCACCACCAGCACAGCAAGTCGCTGCCGGCGGCGGCGCTGCAGCATGTGCAGGCGAAGGGCAGCCTGATGGACCGCCTCAACCTGCTCGAGTCACGCATCAGGCAGCTCAGCTGCGAGCTGGACGTCGCGGCGGCGGCCGGCGGCTCGAGCGTGCCGGCGGTGGCGCGGCCGGCCGAGGACCGCGCGTGGTCGGAGCCGCCGCTGCCGGAGCCGTGCAAACACCAGGCGCCGGTTTGCGCCGCCGCCGCGGCCGGCGGCGGGAGCTGGAGCGGCGCGCATTTCCTGTACAAGGGCGCGCGGCAGCTTCATCGCACCAAACCGAACACATCCACGGTGACATGATTATTACAGATTAATTAATCGCATTCATTAGCAACACACACATTAAGCTCGCTAGATTAGTACTAATAATAATTGCAGAAATGTACAAAGAAAGAAAAGTCTGGAAACTGTGCATTATCAATACACATTTTATCGATCTGATATAAATCTGAATCTCTTGTTCGAAAAATATATAAATCTGAATTAATTTGATGGATATTTTTTTTATCTGAAGATGAAGAATCTGAAGGAAGCGAAATGTGCGTGCGAGAAGGAGAAGAGGAAGGCGGAGGAGCGGTGGAAGCCAGCAAGGAGGAGGTGGTTCAATGTCGGATGCTAATAATCAAACAAGATATCATGCGTGGATTAACTTATCTATCCTTATTCTCTAAGTGCTTATTACTCCTATTAGGAGCTAGCTACTATATACCGTACGTATACACAGTACTATTATGTACTCTCTCCGTTTCACAATGTAAATCATTCTAATATTCCCCACATTCATAGTGATATTAATGAATCTAGACATATATATTTATCTAGATTCATTAATATTAATATGAATATAGAAAATGCTAGAATGACTTATATTGTGAAACGGAGGAAGTAAGCGTTTTTGTTCTATACGTATTGTTTTAATTCTTCTGTTCGATGTTAGTGTCTGTTGTGTTATTGGTTGTAACGTGCAAGACGTATAAAATATAAACGGGAATTTTTAGCTACTTCGGTGTTTTGATCGTTAATGCACAAGAAATTAATATCTCCAGTTTCCCTGATCACTAATGACCATTGATTCGAGCCTGTTTGGGCCAAACAACCGCAGAATTTGCAGCAGGTGATCGATCGACTCCGTCATTGCAATTCAGCTGTGTAATTATTGGAGGCAAACAAGATAATAGTCAGTCACCCCTACTGAACAATAGTAACGTTACTGCAAACATAGGATTTTGGACCACTGCAAACACAAAACATAAACACGGGTTCCTAATTAATCGAACTTATTATGCATCCATGTGATGTGTTCGGTGCTTGCTCCATCAACCAGTGTTGTCTGCTGTCCAAGTTCATGCATTATTAGAAGAAGAAGAAATAACTGATGAAATCTCTGAATACAACCGATCCAAATTTGCAGCGCCATTTCTACCTCCCATTTGCCCAATTCCATTCTTCAACTCCAAAATTTTCAACTTCTTCATTTTCCGTTAGCACACTATTCACACTATTCAAACTATTAAATGATGTGTTTTTTAAAATTTTCTAAATAGAATTTTTTAAAATACAAATAAATCTATTTTTTAATTTTTATAATTATTAATATTTTATTAATTATATGCTAATTAGATTTCGTGCGCGGTACAAATCTTGCTCCTCCACCTGCAATCGAACGAAGCCGTCGCGTGCTAAGAATAGGCGGCCGACGCGGCGCGCGTATGCGAGAATTTGCGAGCGGTGGAGCGCACGAGGCGGGCCCAACCGTAGGGGCGGCCTGCTTAAACTAAACTTGGCGCTCTCGCTGGCCCACATAACCTCGAAAATACTTGAGATCATAAGTCCGACGAAAAGAAAAGATCGGATGAACAAACTACTAATAGTACCCTATGTCTCCACACATTCATACGATGGTCTTCAAAATGTTTTATCTTTTGAACTATTTATCCAATTTATGATATGATCACATCATTATATTTGTTACAATTAAATCTTTATAACAAGATATCATATAATTGCATTCCGATGAAAGAAAAATATATGTTTCAATCCATTAAATTTAATGTTTCAGACGCAGTAGCAATATGTTTCAATGTGTGTTTTTGTTATGTTTCATAAAAAAAATTAAATGTTTCAATAACTGAATTTTTTTTTGTTTCACTATGTGCAACTCAATGTTTCACCAATCACTGAAAAAATATGAGACGCTATTGCCCCTAGTCTCTCTTATGCTATTCTATTAGCTTTCTCCCCCACACCATGCATGATGCAAGTATTTAGTGATCTTAAAAAAAAATTTTCTTCTAAACTACTTATCCGTTGAACGATTCGATCACACCGTTGAAATCGTTATAATTAAATCTTTACAACAAGATATCGCATGATTATATTCTGATGAAAAAAAACATATGTTTCAGACAATAAAAACTCAATGTTTCATATGTGATAGAAATATGTTACACCATGTATTCTTATTGTTATGTTTCACAAAAGTTCTATATGTTTCATAGGCTGACTTTTTTGTTTCACTATGTATAACTTAATGTTGCACCAACAGTCAACCGAAACATTTGACTGTCCGATTTTTTTTACAACGTCGGACGTTCGATTTGTAGCTCTCTCCGTTTACTCCTTCTCTATTTAATAAAAATTGGCAGCTTGTCTTTTCTTAAAAAAACAAAATTTAAAGAAGAAAAATAAACCTTGGATTGGCTATGTCAATATGTTATGACCTCACCGCTCACCACTAGTCCACGGCCCAACGAAAAACAACGGGCTAAACCGGCGTGTCTCCTCGACCGCCACTGCGATGGGCTTAGAGTGCTGCACGCCGGCGCCCGACGGCAGAGGAAAAATTGGACGCCTCGGGCGCCCGCGCCTCCTATCGCTCCTTTTAAAACGATTTTTCTCTAAAACTAGTTATCCAATCTACGATCCGATCACACCGTTGTATTCGTTGCAATTAAATCTTTATAACAAGACCACACATGATTATATTTCGATAAAAAATATTTTAGCTTTTCTATTGATATTTTTTTGAATATTGCATATGATCTCTTTTGATGTTTCAGCTAGTAGTTTTACGATGTTTCAGCTAGTACTTGCGATGTTTCACTATGTACGGATCAAATATTGTAGTGTATTTTGACATTATGGAACGCGCCGTTACAACAAATCACCCACATATTTTGGAAACCCCCTATTAAGGGAATTTGGTTTATTTTTATTTCACAAAAAATATTTCATCTAGTGTACTCACAATATTTCACTATGTATAGATCCAATGTTGCAGTGAACTGAAATATTTCATTGCAACAAAAAACCCATATATTTTGGAAACCCCCTATTAAGGGAATTCATTTCATTTCTTATTCCACCAAAAAATATTTCACCTAGTGTACTTATAATGTTTCATTATGTATGGATCAAATATTGCAGTGAACTGAAACATTCTTTCGCTATTTGCTGAAACATTATTTTTAGGGACAATTGCTTATTTGACCCCGTTTTGAAGTCTAACTACCAATTTGACCCTACTTTTTTTAGTTTGCTTATTTGACCCTGCTTTTCAAAAATGAATCTTCCGTCTGACCCTATTTCCACTACACCGTTAAGATTTGATTTTAAAAAAAGAAAAAAATATAATTAAAATTCATAATGCCCAAAATACCCTTGAGGAAACCATATCCATCTCTAGCCCTATCCACATGTCTCTGAGTCTCCATGTCTCTCTCTTCTGCTAGCGATTTGCGGCGGCGGTGACAGCACGCGGCGAAGGGAGGGAGGGGAGCCGGGCCTAGCGGCGGCGGCGTCAACGCGCGCAGTGGGGATGGAGGCGGAGGCTGGCATGCGGCGCGGGGAGGGAGAGGAGCCGGGCCTGGCGGCGGCGGCGGTGTCTGCATCGGCGCGCGGGGAGGGAGGCGGAGGCCGGCGCCGGCGAAGGGAGGGGAGCCGGGCCTGCGGCAGAGGCGGCGCTGGCGGCATCTGCATCGGCGCGCGGGGAGGGAGGCGGAGGCCTGCGCCGGCGAAGGGAGGAGAGGAGCCGGGCCTAGCGGCGGGATGCGCGCGGAGGGGAGGCGGATCCGCGCCGGCGTCAGCTTGTGGAGGTAGGGGCGGCGGCGGCGGCGGCGGGATTCGCGCGGAGGGGAGGCGGATCCGCGCCGGCGTCAGCTTGTGGATGTAGGGGGCGGCGGCGGCGGCGGTATGCGCGCGGAGGGGACATGCGCCAGTGCCTGCTCGCCAAGGCCCCCACCGCCGCCGATGACGATGGCCTCGCCGCCGGCCCCGCCGATGTCCCTGGCCTCGTCGCCCGCTGACTCGTCGGCCGCGGCGCCGAGCCCCGCCGACACAAGCGCCGGGATGGCCCCGTGCAGCGAGCTCACGCCCGCACTCGCGCCCGCCGTGGCCGGGAAGAGCATCGTCGTCGCCGTCTCCGCCTCCGTCAGCTTCGTTGCCATCGCCGGTCGTCAGCTTCGTTGCAAGGGCAAAATAGACTATTTACCCCTAACTTAACACCGTCAACTCACCTTAACAGAACAGGGTCAGACCGATCGTTCGTTTTCGAAAAGCAGGGTCAAATAAGCAAACTCAAAAAAAGAGGGTCAAATTGGTAGTTAGCCTTCAAAACAGGGTCAAATAAGCAAATGGCCCTTATTTTTATATAAGGTGAAACAACACCCGATTTAAACGAGTGAAACATTTTCGATCTATTTAGTGAAACAATTCTGATATACCTGGTGGAACATCGTGCAACATTTAAAAATAATTCAACAGTAAGCTAAAAAAAATCGTCGGAATATATCCATGTGTGGTCTTATTTTGAAGATTTAATTGCAACGAATTTAATGGTGAAATCGAATCATGATTTAGATAAGTAATTTAAGAGAAAAATTAATTTAAAGTAGTTTTTGCACGTAAATCGGGCGCTGACATCAGCGCCCGATTTTTCCCCAAACGTCGGACGTCCGAGCCGGAGTTGCCTCCACCTGCAAATTAGATTTCGTGTGCGGTACAAATCTTGCTCCTCCACCTGCAATCGAACGAAGCCGTCGCGTGCTAAGAATAGGCGGCCGACGCGGCGCGCGTATGCGAGAATTTGCGAGCGGTGGAGCGCGCGAGGCGGGCCCAACCGTAGGGGCGGCCTGCTTAAACTAAACTTGGCGCGCTCATTGGCCCACATAACCCGCCCACCTCTCCGCCACCCTCTTCTAGACTCCCTGGCCCCACGCCCCCTCCTCCCTCTCCTCCGATTGGCCCCACCAACCAGAGAGAGAGGGCGAGAGGGCGCCGCGCGCCTCCTCCAATAATACACTGCCACGTCTTGCGTGCCACGTAGGCCACCCCACCACCATGCGCCGCCGCGGGAGGATGATCCCGCCGGCGCTGCTGCTGGCCGCCGCGGTGGCGGCGGCGCTCGCGACGGCCGTGTCGGGGCAGGGGCGGCCGGTCACCGAGAGCGGCGCGCAGACGGCGCCGACGCCGTCGACGTTCACGCCCAAGGACAACTTCCTCATCGACTGCGGCAGCACGAGCCCCGTCACCACCGGCGGCAAGGTGTACAAGACGGACGCGCAGTCGAACAGCCTTCTCTCCGCCAAGGACGCCATCAAGGTCGCCACCACCGACGCCGACGTGCCCTCGCCGCTCTACCTCACCGCCCGGATCTTCCGCGACGAGGCCGTCTACAGCTTCCCGCTCACCGTCCCGGGCTGGCACTTCGTCCGCCTCTACCTCTTCCCGCTCAAGAACTCCGACTTCGACCTCACCACCGCCACCTTCACCGTCTCCACCGACACCAACGTCCTCCTCCACAGCTTCACCGCCGAGAACAAGCCGGTCATGAAGGAGTTCCTCGTGAACGCCACCGAGAACCACCTCGCCGTCAAGTTCTACCCGCTCAAGGGCTCCGCCGCGTTCATCAACGCCATCGAGGTCGTGAACGCCCCCGACGAGCTCATCACAGACATGGCCATGGGGATCGCTCCCGTCGGAGAGATGACCGGGCTCGCCGAGGCGGCGTACCAGGTGGTGTACCGGATCAACGTCGGCGGCCCGGCCATCGCGCCCGACAAGGATACGCTGGGGCGGCAGTGGGACGTGGACGCGCCGTACGTGCAGTCGAAGGAGGCGGTGAAGGACGTGTCGGTGCCGGTGGGGAACATCAAGTTCCCCGACGGGACGTCGAAGCTGGTGGCGCCGGCGCAGGTGTACGCGAGCTGCGCGAAGATGGCGGACGCCGGCGTGGGGAGCCCGAGCTTCAACATGTCGTGGAAGATGGAGGTGGACCCGGCGTTCGGCTACCTGGTCCGGCTCTTCTTCGCGGACATCGTGAGCAAGAGCATGAACGACCTCTACTTCAACGTGTTCGTCAACGGGCGCAAGGCCATCTCCGGGCTGGACCTGTCGACGGTGACCGGCGAGCTGTCGGCGGCGTACTACAAGGACATCGTCGTCAACTCGTCGATCGCGACGGACAAGCTGAGCATCCAGGTGGGGCCGATGGGGGAGGACACGGGGCGCGTGGACGCGCTGCTCAGCGGCGTGGAGGTGCTCAAGATGAGCAACTCGGTGGGGAGCCTCGACGGCGAGTTCGGCGTGGACGGGAAGAAGGCCGACGACGGCAGCGGCAGCCGCAAGGCCGTGGCGGCGGTGGGGTTCGCGATGATGTTCGGCGCGTTCGCCGGCCTGGGAGCCATGGCCGTCAAGTGGTACAAGCGGCCCCAGGACTGGGAGCGCCGGAACAGCTTCTCGTCGTGGCTGCTCCCCATCCACACCGGCCAATCCTTCACCACCAGCAAGGGCGGGTCCAGCAAGAGCGGCTACACCTTCTCCTCCACCCTCGGCCTCGGCCGCTTCTTCTCCTTCGCCGAGATCCAGGCCGCGACCAAGAACTTCGAGGAGAGCGCCATCATCGGCGTCGGCGGCTTCGGCAACGTCTACATCGGCGAGATCGACGACGGCACCAAGGTCGCCGTGAAGCGCGGGAACCCGCAGTCGGAGCAAGGGATCAACGAGTTCAACACCGAGATCCAGATGCTGTCCAAGCTCCGCCACCGCCACCTCGTCTCCCTCATCGGCTACTGCGACGAGAACGCCGAGATGATCCTCGTCTACGAGTACATGCACAATGGCCCCTTCCGCGACCACATCTACGGCAAGGACCTGCCGGCGTTGACGTGGAAGCAGCGGCTGGAGATCTGCATCGGCGCCGCCCGCGGCCTCCACTACCTGCACACCGGCACGGCGCAGGGGATCATCCACCGCGACGTCAAGACCACCAACATCCTCCTCGACGACAACTTCGTCGCAAAGGTATCCGACTTTGGGCTGTCCAAGGACGGCCCCGGGATGAACCAGCTGCACGTCAGCACCGCCGTCAAGGGCAGCTTCGGCTACCTCGACCCGGAGTACTTCCGGTGCCAGCAGCTGACGGACAAGTCCGACGTCTACTCCTTCGGCGTCGTGCTCCTCGAGACGCTGTGCGCGCGGCCGCCCATCGACCCGCAGCTGCCGCGCGAGCAGGTCAGCCTCGCCGAGTGGGGGATGCAGTGGAAGCGGAAGGGCCTCATCGAGAAGATCATGGACCCCAAGCTCGCCGGGACGGTGAACCAGGAGTCGCTCAACAAGTTCGCCGAGGCCGCCGAGAAGTGCCTCGCCGAGTTCGGCAGCGACAGGATCTCCATGGGCGACGTGCTCTGGAACCTCGAGTACGCGCTCCAGCTGCAGGACGCCAACCCGCCCGAGGGGGCCGACAAGCCAGCCGACCACGACGGCGCCGGCGCGGCCCCGGCGACCTCCTCCGGCTCCGGCGTCTCCACCGTGCCCGACGTGTCCACCACCGCCGCCGGCGAGATGTTCGCGCAGCTCGCCGACATGAAGGGGAGGTGATCTCCGATTATTGATTGGACTCAGCAGCATGCATGATGCAGTGATCGATCGAGATTATTTCATCATCAATCCATCGATCGTCGCGGTGGAACGTAAACTGAAAGCTATCAAAATCGAATTACTTGTCGATTTCCTGCCCGATTTAAGATGGCCGGTCGCAGTGTCTTGGATTGGCGATGGCGAGAAACCAAATTGAAAATTCCGTAAATATATACAGAACGCAAATGTACCTACGTGTTCATGGTGTGTTACTGTTACTCTTCTCTCTGCTGCGTTTTGTTAGCTAGGAGACGTGTCGCTTCAAATTGGATTCTTTTTGACTTTTTTTTGGGTGGTCAAGGTTGATTGTACAATATCAGAAATCATACATGCTACTCGACGCGGCTCGTGTTAATTGATCCGTGTGAATGCATCGTTCAGGGCTTGTATATGAAGATAGTTAATTAGTTTCACATGTACTGCGTACTTACTAAATTAAAGCAAATCATCATGTGAGTTTTCTTTTAAATGTTTGAGTAAACTTGATCAAACATATTTCGGGCAACTTTCTCGTTTAACGTCAGCACGCTTACTAAACAATTAATCGTGTTTTCCTTTCTAAAAAAATATACATAAAAATTCTTTTAAAATTAGATTAATATTTTTTAAGTTTGTAATAGCTAGTATTAATACTTAATTAATTTAATCATGCTAATGATTTTTTTTAATTTTGCGTACGGTTGATAATTAAGCTCACTCCATACTCTATTTCGAAGGAAGCCTTAGTTCATCGGGGCTGCTGTCGGGAAAAAAAAAGATGAGTTGACATTGAGTTCTCTTTCTTTGAAAAAACCAGTCAAATTACAAGAAATATAATCAAGATATCGCGGTAGATCACGATAAGAACCTCGTATATGCACATGATGGAAAATTATATAGTGGCCGCTGACTTGTATCCTCGTCATGTATTCTTCCATGCGAAGGATGCAACCGCTACACGTCACACAGACTAATCAAGTAACCAGGGATGGCTTGGCTTGGCTTGGCTGGTTTAGCAACGCGGTTAACCTGGAATGCACTCCATCACAACGCTAGAAACCATCAGCTGAAGCGATTAATATGCTGGTTTGGAATATGTACATTAACTTTTAAAGCTGGTCAAAAACAGGCTAAACAGGTTCAAAATTCATCCCAGTTCGATTTGAAAAGAATTATCTGCATAGCATAGTCATGTACTCCCTATGTCCCAAAATATCTGGACAAAGCATTTGTCAAGATTCGTTGTCCTAAGATGGCCCATCTTAAGTTGAGTTATTTTGGGACGGAGGGAGTACAAGATAATAATATAATAATTTTATATTATTATTGGTAGAAATAATAATATAAAATTATTGGAATGCCACTCCAAGCATGATTATCTGATTTCTTTCAAAAATAGTATACTAAATATTTTACTAGATCCGACGTGCTAGACAAGTCTACTAATATCTTATAGATATAAAAGCATATAATAACCGTTTCATGTATTTTGGATAGGTTTCTATCCAGTTATTCCGCCGTATATTTCTCACTATCCGAAGTTGTGCTCTAGACAAGATATCACTTTTCTGTCTATGCTGAATCACGTTTTTAGGACAACCTACACTCCATAATTGTATTCCATTTATCACAAAATACATGTTCTATAACCACAACAACCATTGATCATCTTCAATCTTCATCCTTTTGTATTTCCCACATAAAAAAAATCCCTTATGCCCCCATTACAATGATTTAGGCTATGTAAGCTGCAATAATCAAGCTAAAGGAAAGCCTATTATGATAGTCTTCCAGCCTTGCATAGACAATGCAAAACCAGTCAAACTCAGCACAGCCTCTGCTGGCCCCCACCCTTTGTACAGCCACAAAAGGAAGCTCCCCCCACCCTTGTGTGTAGCCTTTTGTGTGCATGGAGCAATTCCACTTCCTAGGCAAAGCAGTGAGCAGTCGGTCCTTGAAAATTAAAGGGCAGAAACTTCACCGTTAATCCGAACACGCATAGCCATACCCACACACATGTTAGATCTGACTTACAGGTGGGCCATACATCAATGGACCCACCGTTCAGTGACGATAAAGTCAGTGTTACCAAGTCATTCCTGTCCTGGAAAAGACCCCTCCTATTTCTTCAAGCGACCAACGCAGCCACCCGCCCTGCATAAACCCTCACTTACATGTGGGCCCCACGAACCGTAGGTGTGGGCCCCACGAAGAGCTACCCGCGTGCTCGGCCAAAAAGATCACCCGAGCCTTCCACCGCAAAGCACCGAGGTTTCCACACCCGCCAAGCCACACGGTCGCTGACAAGATGGCCCCACCACCGCGTGTGTACGCGCGCGCGCGCGAGCGGGGTGCGCGTAGCGAGGAGCCGACCTGCCCGTCTCCCGGTTTCCCCCGCCCCCACCGGGAGCCAATCACGCGCGGCCGCGTGTACACACCCGCCTCGCGATGCGGCTCCGCGGCCGATCCGACGGCCCGGAGGCCTCCCGTGGGCCCCACGGAGACCGGTCAATGGCGGTCAATGTGGGCCCGGCCCACCGGCTGCAGCCGGTCGCCACCGTCCCGGGCGCCGCGAATCTATTTAACCGGTTTGCTCGTCGGCGAGGACGCCGCCTACAGGCGCAGGAAGAGGAGGAGAAGAAGCGGAAGAGGAGAGAAAAAAAAAATTCGCAGCAAAAAAGAAAAAAAAATCGCAGCTGCAAGGTAGAGGAGGAGAAGTTGGGGTTTGGGAGGGCCAGCGATTGAGCCGACGAACTCAAGGTGAGAGAGATGGTTTGGTAGTGGGGGGGGGGGGGTTGATGGCTCGGACCGCGGGAAGTGACCTAAGTATTTCTTGTTTTTGCTCCCCTTTTTGGGGGGCGATTTGTGGTTGGGTTGTGAGAGGAGGGGTTGGGTGATTTTTTTTTTGGGTTGATGGGTGCCGATTCCTGCAATGTAGCGTGGTAATTTTGGGGGTGTAGAGGTGGAATTTCTGTTCTTGGTCGAGTGTTAGCTTAATCTTTGTAGCTCGGTTTTTCGATTGGTTTTTGGGGGGCGAGTTTGGGCTAGGGTTTTTATCCATCTGCTACGGAGCAAAGATTAGGGGGGAATTTTTCTCCTTGTTTCGTCTCCTGCTCCTCTACTTTGCTAGGGTTGGCGATCCGGCTGCGGGCACATCTCCGGCCTTCGTTGTCCTCTCTCTCCATCCTCCCCGGACGTGGCAGTTTCCCCTCCCCTCCTCTCTCGATTCGTTGCCCTGGAGCCTTTTGTTGTGAAGTTAGTTCAGTATTCTATTTTGTCTGATGTGAACTTGATTTCTATTTCATTTCTTTCGTTGTTTGATCTGACCTGGAAGACATTTTGGTATATGCTCCATTCTTGTACTTGTATGAGAGGAACCTGGGAAAAATATTTTTTTTTGTGTGGTGGAAAGAATGCTAAAGCTCGGCTAATTTCAACCAAAAGAGTAAATTTCAGCTCACACCCTGCATAACCAGCATCAACTGTTTTGCAATTTGTGTTTCATGCTATATTTTCTGTCCCTTATTTTCTTTTCAAAGACGATTTTTTTATTTATTTACCATTTGTTGGATTCTAGTTTCATTTTCTGGTTATGCTATTGCAGTAGCGTAGTATGGTTAGAGAATTGAAAAATGGCCTTCTTCTGTTTTCTGTTTTTTCAACCATTGAATCGAGAAATTTCATGATGCTAAAATCTCATTACTACTTGCATCTGTTTGGCTTCAGTTACTGCTGACCATTTCTCAGTTCTCACGCATTAGGCTGTTAACAGTTCTTATCCAGTAAGATATTTGATGATTTATTTCCTAATAATTCATGTTCACCTTTTGCAGGTTCTTCAAAGTGATGATTGGGATCGAACCCTGGTAACCTCCATGTCTGGGGCGCCATGCTCCAACCTTGGACTTGTTCCCAGGGATATGCATGGTAGTATCCCTATTAGCACTACAAATTCCTCTGGGCCAAGCATTGGTGTTAGCTCTTTGGTGACGGATGCTAACTCATCGCTCTCCGGAGGTGCCCAGTTGCAGCCAAGTACGAGCATGAATGCTGATTCATTCATGCGCCTTCCTGCTTCCCCAATGTCGTTTTCATCCAATAACATCTCTGGATCTTCAGTTATTGATGGTCCCATTGTGCAACAAAGTCCTCCCCAAGAGCAGATGCAGAAGCGAAGGTCTTCTAGTGTAACATCACAACCTGTTATTGATGCTGCTGGTGCATTGCATGCTCAGAAGAAGTCAAGGGTTGATATTAGGCAAGATGATATCCTGCAACACAATTTAATCCAGCAACTGCTCCAAGGCCAGAGTTCTCTTCATCTGCAGGGTCAACAGAACCCTCAGATTCAAGCCTTGATCCATCAGCATAAACTGGCACAGATTCAGCAGCAACAGCAGCATCAGATGTTGCAACCATTTTCACAGATCCAACAATCTCAAGTTGGCATACCTCGGCAGCCACAGTTGAGGCCTCCACTAGCGCAGCCTGGAATGCAGCTAGCTGGACCTGTTAGGACTCCTGTCGAGAATGGGCTTTGTTCTCGAAGGTTAAAGCAATACTTATACCATAAGCGTCACCGACCAGAGGTGAGGTTCTGCGTTGTAAACATTTATTGCAAGACACATGTTCTTGGCTATAAGATTTACTATTTACTGGAGTACCTGCTTGTAGAATAATCCAATAACATACTGGAGGAAGCTTATTGATGAATATTTTGCACCACGAGCAAGAGAAAGATGGTGTGTATCCTCGTATGAGAAAAGAGGAAATCCTTCAGGTGCTGTTCCACACACAGCTCCGGTCAGTTCACGGTTCACACTTAAATCTTTATATCTGCATTGTACATTGACGCCCTTTACTTTCCTGTTTCAACAGAATACTTCTCAGTGTGATGTTCACAACAATATTGATTAGCATCTCTTTTAAACTTTGCTTGGATATTGAACACTATATTTTGACAGTCAAGTATCTTGTGATTGTAGTGAGAAACAAAATCCATATGAGCGTGTTCTATAGATGAATATTTTGAAATAGTTAGCATTGCATTTTCATTTTTTAATGATCGTTCTACTGAGAGCTGAGATAGCTGATGCTGTTGAGATTTTAGTAAACTGTGAAGCATAAATTCGTAGTTGCACCTTTTAAATTACTATTTTCTCCATGTTTCAGGATTCATGGCGCTGTGACATTTGTAATACACATGGGGGCAAAGGATATGGTTAGTTGACTACTTTTTTGGAACCTTATCCAGCTTCATTATCATAACAATGAACCTTGCAATTTGCTCTGTTCCCACTCCTGTCTTTTTTTATGGAAGATCAATTACTGCACTGTTTTGTGCCTATAGTACTTTTGGTAGATAAACTCAATATTCCTACATGTCTTGTGCTATAGAGATTGCCTCCTCATCTCAAGACAGAAAATGCAAATATATAAAACTGTATTATCTTGAGTGTATCTTTCATATGAGAAATTAGCCATCACGAGCAAAAAAGAAAGTATCCTATGAAGTTTATATCTCAAGAGGCTTTGTCTGTCTTGAATATACTTGGAATGATTGGTCAGACTGGCAGAAAATATTTTTCTTGAAACTACATGGTGATATCCTAGTATTGTTATGTAGTTCTGGTTCTGCATTTCTGCATAGTATATGTTACCATATATTGTGCAGTTTGCACCTGCCATTTCTTCAAAATGTACCTCACAACATATTTTTCCCTGGACTACTTTGTATTTTGCTCCTTTTTTAAAGTACTAGTGTGTTCTTCTCATAAGAAGTCATGATCTTTTTTGCTTTTTTCATTAGTTCAGTTCCATTGTATGATGTTGATCTCACTTTGTTATTATTGTTTCAATCTTATCTGGCAGAGGCTACCTATGAAATACTTCCTAGACTCTGTCAAATTAGATTTGACCATGGTGTTATAGATGAATACTTATTCCTTGACATGGCCAATGAATTCCGGTTGCCCAATGGACTAATGCTGCTGGAACATACTAAAGTTGTTCAGAAAAGCATTTATGAACATATGCATGTGATACACGAGGGGCAGTTGAGAATCATATTCACACCAGAACTGAAGGTAAAGGCTTATTTGTAATAGCTTGCATTTGTGAATATCTAGATGTTGCAAATGATTGGACAGTTTAGGATCATTCTTATCTGCTGTTTTCATGTGAAAATATGCAGATAATGTCCTGGGAGTTCTGTTCACGGCGACATGATGAGTATATCACTCGCAGGTTTCTTTCACCCCAGGTAGATTTATGCTGTTCTGTTTTATTTGATTAAACTTTGATCAATAGAGAGCAGATAGTAGATTAGCTGCTGTAATATACCCAATACACCTCTTATGTGATAGTTGTCAACACGTATGTAAGCAATTTTAATAAAGTGGTTTAGTTGGATGAATATTGCGAATCTTGGTAGGCTGGGTTGTAAAAAGCCCCTTCTTTTTCCTGCTAGACTGCTCCAACATCTATTTAGATTCTTGTTTAATTTTCCAATTTATGTACTGGCTTCCTGAGGGCTGCACATGCAAAAACACAAGATAATTTCGAATTTTAAGCCATCTTGACCGTCCTTGTCTAGTTTTTATTTTGGTAGTGCTGTCCTGATGGTAAACATCCCTGTTTTTTCTGCACATTTTGATCTCTGCCATTCTTTGGTGTACTCCAATTTTGGTGACTTGGTATCTCATTGTTCATATGTGCTTTTTCCAGGTTGCTCATCTGCTGCAAGTTGCCCAGAAATATCAAACTGTTGCCACTGAAAGTGGTCCAGCTGGGGTCTCAAACAGTGATGCACAGAACATTTGCAACATGTTAGTGAGCCAACTATGCCACTAGTTCCTTGACATGCAATTTTAATTCCTCTTCTGGCATGACAAATCATGATTTTTTAAAAATTCCATCTAGAGTTTTTTTTATTTATGATCTAATTGATCTCAGCACCCCATTACGCTCTTTAGGTTTGTGACGGCGTCACGACAGCTAGCGAAAAATATAGACCACCACACCTTAAATGAGCATGGTCTATCTAAAAGATATGTTCGCTGCTTGCAGGTAAGCATAGCATTTGTAGGTTATTTAATTATTTTTGTGATATTATCCATAAAGAAGCTCCTGAATTTTCTTTAGTTATTAATATCTCGCTGCTAACAGTATCCATATTTTCACGAGTTCTCCTTGTGTTATTTAACATTTGCTATAATATTATCCAGAATTTCCTGTAATATACTTCTGCACACAGCATCTTCATTGAATTTGTGTCCTCTTCAGATATCAGAGGTGGTGAATCACATGAAAGACCTGATTGAATTCAGCCACAAGAACAAGCTTGGTCCTATAGGTATGGTTTATGCAAATTCACCACTCAGTTCTCTATTGTTTGACTAGGCGCTCAATATTATATAATGAAGTTCTCCAGGCAGTTTTGCCTGACCAATGTTTTGCATGAAAATGGTAATAAGCATAAGCCTAGAAGTTCTTTTGGTCTGAAGTGTTGAGAGATATTCTATTGTTTGGGGAAAATGCTTACAGGGCTAGATAGTAAAAGCATATCCATGGCAAACCAAATCCAACATCATATACTTGTTGTTATGATATCACTTGGTAAACATGGTTTTTGAACTAGCTATGGTGGTGTGTGGTTGCCGTATGGAAGGATTACCTGGTAAATTATTATTATTGTTGCTGGATACTAGATTATAACAGCATACCAATTTAGATAATACAGTGATAACAGCGAAGCAGCTGTTTTTCCCCCTTTTTCCCTGTAAAATTCAGCAATTTTTTTATGCTTTGAAATGTTTAATGTTTTCCCTGTTCATCTGCAGAGGGTCTGAAGAGCTATCCCAAGCAAACTGCAGCAAAACTTCCAGTACAAAACATGCACGAGCCAAAGCAACTAATGGCAGCTGCTGGCCTTCCTAATGACCAGACTAACCTCAAAGCCATGGGTGTCAAAACAGAAATGAACACCCATGCGAATGAGACGCACGGTATTGGACCAATTGGAAATGGTCCGCAGAATGCTGCTGCACTTAACAATTACCAGAATCCCATTGGAAATGGTCTGCAGAATGCTGCTGCACTTAACAATTACCAGAATATCCTTAGAAGTTCAGTCGCAAACCAGAGTTTGCTTCAGCAGGAGGCATCAAGCATGTTTAAAGGTCCCACAGCAATGCACAATGGCATTCAGCTGGAAGCATCTAGATCCTTCCGTGGACCAAACCAGGTGCATCTCGCGCAGTTCCAACATCCGGCCTCATTTCAGCAGCCTATGCCTCAGCAGAGCAGCCTCCAGGGCTTGGGTGTGAGCCCACAATATCAGCAGCATGTGCTCCATCAGTTGCTGCAAGAGGCCAAGAACACTAACAACCGTGTCTTGGCGCAGCAGCAGCAGCAACAACAACTTCAACATGCTCCTGCTAACAGTGGTCTTGCATCAGGAGGAACGGCTATCACCGGCAGCGCCGCTAGCGGGGATCATATGAATAACAACGGCGCGGTGAAGGGTGGGACTCCAATGGTTACAACAGGTCCTAGCAGTGTGATCAACAATACAGCCAGCATCCTCCCCAGCAGAAGTAACAGCTTCAAGTCAGTGAGCAGCAACCCCCAAGTTGCAGCTGCTGCGGGCGGCGGCATTGGCAGCGGCGGCCATGCGGCTACCCCCAAGGCTGATGCTCTGCATGAGTTGGATGATCTTGACAATCTTGGGAATCTGATCAGTACTGAACTGGAGGAGAGTGGGCTGTTCCTGGGTGACCAGGCAGGTGGTGGCTACTCATGGAACATGTGACAAATGCTTGCCTGCTTGGCTTCTTGGTGATGATGGAAACTGCCGTAGATTCTAGCTTCTCGTCTTGTTCTTTTTTGTTTTGGGTATGTGGAGTTTTTGTTTGGGGTGTCTGAAACAGTTTCTGATGATGATGATACACTGATGTAATTTAAGCGTTATGTGCGCTGGTAAGTGAGTTGGCTTGGAATGCTGAGATCGAACCAGAGCTGCTTCTGCTAGCACACATCGAGGCCCATCATACTGCTGAATGACAACGTCTGGCGATTACTATTATTTACTTTAGTGGTAGTACTATTATTTTAATTTTTGTATCTTTATAATGCCATATGATTGTCGATTCAGCGAAGAAATTTTTATAGTAGGATTTACTCCAAAATCCTGGAATGGAAGGATTTTGCACGAGTTTTCTGGGATTTGAAATAGTTCCTGAAAGAAAAAACCCGCCTGTAATCTGCTGTATACAGAGTTTTTGATTTTCGACTATGTTTAATTCAGGTCAGGTTGGAAGGGTTTTATTCCACATGTTGTAGAGTTGGAATCAAATGGTTTTAGCTTAGAAAAAACAGAGCTTATTAAATTTAAATTTAGAAATTGAAGCACTACCAATTTTAATAGTATTAGAGCTAACATGTACTTCCTCCATTGTAGATTATTAATCGGCGTAAGTAAAACCCAAACATTTGAAATTAATCAAAATATAACGCTGGATTGATCAAAATATAACGCTGGGAGACCGCTTTTTCCACATGTAGGATTCAATGCGTGATTTTAGTCCACTAATAAAATCGGGATGCATACACAATCACAGTTTGTGGACGCCCGACGCAATATGTTGATCAATCTAAAATAGACTAGCTATTGGATTGCCTCCAATTTTTTTCGTCTCTTTCTTTCTCTCACTTAAGATTCGAGATAGTGATAGTAGGGCACGGATTAATGATCCAAACAATATATTGTTAGGCTGTTAGCTTAATACATCAGATTATCCATCAAATTATTCAAACGGATTATTTGCTACACATTTTAAAAAACATTTTCTAGAAGAAAATTTTCTACTGTATTGCTTATACGACTTATTTCAAACTGTTTGTTAAATTTAGTTATACAAAAAATTTAACTTCTCACTATATAAATTAATATTCGCATTAACAACCCGCTCTCTAATTCGCATTAGCATCTGGGTCCCTCTGCTGTTTGTGCAGCTCCTAACGCCGCCGCCGTCCCCGCCGCGCCCACCTTGCCCGCCGCTGCCACCGTCGCCTCCGCGCCCACCGGCCCCGCCGCTGCCACCGTCCCCGCCGCGCCCGCCTTTCCTGCCTTTCCCGCCGCCACCACCACCACCGCCACCGGCGCCGCCGTGCCCACCGGCCCCGCCTTTCCTGCCTTTCCCGCCGCCACCACCACCACCGCCACCGGCGCCGCCGTGCCCACCGGCCCCGCCTTTCCCTCCTTTCCCGCCGGCTCCGCCGCCACCGCCACCGCCACCACCACCGCCCCCGCCCCCGCCGCCGCCGCTAGCGCCTCCTCGGCCACCACGGCCGCCGCGGCCACCGCGACCGCGCCCTCCCGGTTGGCCGGGCTCACCGTCCACCGGAAGCTCTCCGAAGTTGTTGTCGGCCATGGCTGCGGTTGCTCTTGAGTTGGGTGAGAGATTCCGATGTGGAGGGGACAGCAAGGGGGTTGTCGTATTTATCAATTTATGGGATTTGCTTGCTTTGGTAATCACTCCGATCTTTCCTGATTCAGTGATAACGAGATGTGATATGTTTGAAATCCAAATCACCAGCTGATTGAAAATTTTCCTTTCCAAACAGAAAGGGGGAAGAAGAGCACATGCTGCTATTGGAATGTATTATAATTTCTCAGGTATTTTGATATCTCCTGTCTTTCCAAATTTTCTCTTTAGGGGGCCAACTGCCAAGGGCATGCAAAGTTTGTGACTGAATCTCATGATTCGTTTGTTCTCTGAGCATAATTGACTTCATGTTGGATTATCTGTGAGCGCAAAAATTGTTTTTCTGATCACATCCTATTCCTAACTGCAATGTTCATCCGTTCAATTTCGTCTATTCCTTTTGTTCCACCAAACGAAACTTTCAATAACTAGTGTTTCCATAAAGCCTTTGCTTGTGATGTTGGCCTGGTTTGTTTCGAACTTGGAGTACATGAAAAATATAGTTTCTTTATTATCCAATTTTAACTTATATTAATGGGATGCGTTAGAGCAAGCCAGCGTTCATGCAATTGCATATGCCACACTAACCATGAAGTAGGTAATTTTTGGTAATAGCATGTTGATCTGGGTGAGGTGATTACTTAGGCAGTATATTAAAATTGTGATAGCATTGATTCTTCTTCAGAAAAAAGTTTGTTACTGTTTATGTAACTATGCAAACCTAATAACTTAACATTGTTCTGAAAGACGTCTTCTGGTATTAGGCTTTATTCCACCACCTTGTCTGTCTAGCTGATCTGTGGTGCCTACGCATTGGTCTGCTTAGCCTGGTGCCTATTGAACACCAGAGTTTCCCTTACCACCTAGTGCCTAGTGAACACCAGGGTTTCCCTTACCGTCAGGGGAGGGGTATCCTTCACCGCTGTAACAGCGGTTACGGTGCAAAACAGAAGAAAGCCAGACAAATTTAACCAAAAATATATATTTTTTTATTCTTTTTAACTAAGTCGATATACTGGGCAGTTCCTATTACCGCTCCCTTGCGGTAAGCACAGACCACGATAACCGTGCAGTAACTGATCGGATGGGAAACCTTGGTTAACACATCCAAGGTTGCTGCATTTACCACATCCATGGCTATAGCGGCTGCCTCTAGCTACCGATCTCGTTGGCTAGGGTTCGCTGGGTCGACGGCAAGAGAGAAGTGGGAAATAAGAGGAGGCTTTAGAGTTCCGAAATGAGAGGAGGCAGCGGCGGCTTCTTCTGGACGTTGGGGATGTGAGCCCATGTTTTTGCTTTGTCTCGTTCGACTCCACGTGTCTCTTCTCGGGCACGCCACCCATGCCCGCTGCCTCGCTGGCGTCACACGTAAGGCAGCTGCCAGCCTGCCACTACCAGATGGGCCCACTATAAACGAGAGATATCATAGCTGGACTGCCTGTCAGGTAGTAAGTGAAGTGGCATAGCATACTTGTTGCTGCCTTGCTGGTACCAAGCCAAGCAAAGCACAAATTATTTAGGACGAGTACTCCTAGAGTAATATGTTCTTTTTTGTGATTTTGGAGTAATATGTTCTGGTTTGTACAAGTTGAACAAGAAGATTTTGACATGTACAAAAGTTGATTTATTTTGGACAGAGGGAGTATATATCAGTACATGTATTGATGTACACATGGCCTTCTTTTAGATGGGTGGTCGGCAGGAGAGAGATCTTTGACTCCGTTTCAAACAGAAAACATGTACTATACTACTATAGGCACACAATTGCACACTCATGCATATGAAGCTTTACGAAATTAAAGGCCTCGAGCGACTGCCTTGAGTCGATCAGGTCAAAATTACGCTTGTACACAGCCAAAAAAAAACATGAAAAAAATGCACAATCTTGACGAAGCATCTCTGTTTTCAAATTTCTTTTCTCCTTGTCTTTTCTTTTTCTTTTTCCTTTTTCCTTTTTGCTTTCTTTTTCTTCCCTTCTCTGTTTTTTTTGGGAGTTAAGGTTTCCCTTTTTAATTAATACTGCAGAGCAGATGCTGCAACCACTATATGCCGTCTCATCGAGTCATAGTTGGTCAGCCTTGTTGATCGCCTCCTCACACGCTAGGAAGGTCCAAACACTTCATATTTGCAAACTGGGCAGGCCTGTTTCATAAACAAAAATGTCAGGAATTCCACTGCACAAGCCCATGAAGTTCTTTTAATTTGGAAGAAGCTCAAGGAAACTGAAAGACAAAGACCATCTTGTTATATGAAATGGACAGTGCATATCAGTGCTCATGTAAACTTTGACAAATGGTATAATCTAAGATAGGTACACAATTCAGATAGCAAATCTAGTGTCCCAAGAAGGTGTTTACCTTGTCAATCTTGAGCCATCTAGCAATACAACCTTCATGGTAACTATGCTTGCAAGCCAATGTAATGAGTGTTTCTCGGCGTCTGAAAGCGGATAGACATATAGGACAGCTGCAATTTTGGGAGAAAAAAGAGGAGGAAATCATCAGTTGCATGCCATGATGAAGATTTTAATCAGAGTGTCATCAGTTACATGCTTGGATTATCTTCTGCAAGAAATCAGTATGTGATTGATTGAAAACTGAAATGGTAGACATACTTATCATGGTTTGCCTTCCTTGGGAAAAAGCCTGATTTGTACTTCCATGTCTCCAAGTAGGAGATAAGCAGATCAGATAAACCTCTGTTCTCATTTCCTACAGATTCCACAAGTGCCTGCCTTTGCTGGATTACAGAAAGAATAAGAATCAGCAACTTTTTCATAGATGGTGTAAACCTCTTTTACAGAAGAAATGTGATACAAGTGAATATAACACTAACCTCGTATGTCATGTTGTCTGGATCATCGTTATCATCCTGTGTGGCAGCCTGCAAACAAATGATAGGAATCTCAACTTTTCGTAGTACATGTTTATACATTATCCATTTGGAAAGGCTTTATTCTGAAACAGCTCATCTTTTTAGTGAATACGCAATTGTGTATCTTTGCATCAAGAAGTCTGAAACGAACAATGCTGAATAATTGCAATTCTGAAACAGCTCATATAATCACCTCTTCGTTGTTGCCTTCTGCCGGTTCATCGGTTTCAGAGTCAGATGGAGAGGGTACGCAGCTTATATCTGAATCAAACCAACATGGGCAACAAAATTTCAGAGGTGAAAAGATTAAGATTGCCACGACTGAAAATCATTATGCACATCAAGTGCTTACAAAAACTGAACGAGAATGAATGCATACCATCATCTTCATCTGCAGGTGTCTCAATTGTCAGATTATCCATTGCCTGCAGCTGCCTAGCGAACACCAAGTCATACTCAATCTGTTGGTCGATTTCTGAATTTCTCGAGGTTGTTGCTTCACCACTGCTGTTCTCTCCGTGATAGTAGTAATGTAAACCATCAGATTGGGCAAGAGCAGTGTTTCTTGCCCCTCTCATGTCATCCCCGTATTTGCCATACAATATCGATTGATACAGACCCTCCTAGAAAAAAGTTCAGAAAAACAAATAAGTTTATTCTCAAAAAAGTTTCAGAGAAACAGTGGAAAGTTTACTAAACAATGTTGAACTAAAGTAAAGAGGCCATATCAAAGGCTTAGAAACATATGTTTGATGCTAAAGCTCATCATTCTGCAAGCCTGTAAGAGCAGTATGCTAATAATGATGGAAAGGTTGGATCAAATGCATACCTGATCCTGAAGAACATCACCAATCACATAATCAAGAACCTCGTCGTCGAGGCCATCGACGTGTGCTTCTCCGGCGCCGGCGATCGGCGGCGGATTCACGTAGTGAACGGTGATCCTTCTCATGGCATCAGGCTGCCCCACGGTGGCCATGAATGGCCACCCGGACAAGACAAATGTCAGGCAAGAACCCGTTTACCTGCAGATCATGGCACACCAATTAATCAGTCAAGAACAAGATGCAACCTTCCTTGATTTAACCTCTTCTTTACAACTAATCCAAGAACTCTTTTTGGATAAAAAAACTGAAGAAAATTATCTATAAATTGCAGAGGGCACTCAAGAACAAGCAGCGGCAATAGAAGCTTCCAAGAACCAAAAAAAAAAAGGAATCCAGGCAATATAACAAGAGCAGAATTGAGGTGAAGAACAGGTCTCTGCAGGAGTTTGTGATGAGGAAAACAAGAGGAGAATCAATGAAGGGAAAGGGGAAGAAGAAAGAACATGCCAAGATCGAGATGCTTACTCAGTTACTCTATCTCTGTCTGTCTGTCTCTTGTTTCTCTCCTCTTCTCTGCTTCTCAAGGCTGGACGGATTCTTTGTTAATGAGGGTGGGTGGCTCCATGAGTATTTATATATCTGCAAGTCGTTCTCTCTCTCTCTCTCTCTCTCTGTGTGCAAGTGTTTTACTGTCCAGTAGTTGTCTTGACTGAAAGGGACTAGGCTAGGTAGGGGTCCAACTGTTACATATACTGTAATATTGTTTGTTTTGTAAAACATATGCAATTAATGTAATGCTATGGTAAATTTTATTTCTTCTACATGAATCACTCCGGATAACTTCTTGTCATGGAGAGGGCATCTTGTCTCTTGATTTCTGAAAAATGATATGTTAAATGTAAATCCTGGTCTCTAACTGTATCACAGGTGTTACAAACTTATTCACCATGTGCATTCTTTGCTCCATGCTTTTAGAAATACATTTTCCTAAAAAAAAAATCTTCTATTGTATTGCTAAGTGTCAAACATTGCTTAGACTACTTGTTCTAAACTATTTTGTTAAATTTACTTATCAAAATATTTAATTTATTCCAATAATGAAGTAGATAATCAGCAACAATAATCCAACAAGTAAATCTATTTCAAACGCTACCTACTTGTGCAGAGTGCCTTTTCTTACTTACAAGCTGTAATATTTTTACCCATGTTTATCTCTATACTTCCAGCGCATCACATCTAGTCCTTTTCTTTTCTTTTTCTTTTTCTTTTTATTTTCCTGAAACCAGGTCGTGTAGTCATTTTCTTGTTTATGACTGCACTGCATCCCAACTAGGAAGAGAAGCAATAAAAGACTGGATCACCTTGTGAAGTGTGAACCATTACTTTGATTTTAATTTAGTATCTGTTTATTTTGCAATTACCATTATTCCCTTTTTATTACTAAGTCAAGGTCTTCTTTGATGATGACATCTAAACATTAAGATTTGATCAAAGGGCTACCATATGCGACCGAAGACCTGACCTCAGCTTAGCGTCTCCACGGTTGCATCATCAGAAAAAAAATAAATCATTTTTTTTCAGCCATTGGCAACGACCTGCAGTCTTCCAACGATAATGATCAGCATAATAATGCTGGTCTAATTATCTGTTGCAGGATAGCTCCGTATCTCGAAATATTAGGTCAGCAAATACATGGATTCATCTATTGAAGTAGGTCAGTCAATTTGCTTACAAAGGAAAGGCTTTTGGACATGAAAACTTGTAATATCTCCCTTCAAACAGAAAAAAAATTCCCTTCAAGAAAAAAAGCTGTAATATCATCTGCTCAGTTCTTGGAAGTGTCCATGTTTGGAATTTTCGTTCATCTCTTCTCCAAACTCCAAAGGTAAAGCGTGTGGATTTTGTGCGTCCAATTGAACTCTTCTTGAAAAGAGGTTGAAGTTAAAGCCAAGTCTTAGCATCTGAAACCTGCAACCGAGAGCATTTTCTGGGTCACACAACTGACAGAAGAATATCCTAGTTGTTTCTCAACAAAATTTAGGAAAGATACATACAACATCCCAGTGATGATTGGCCTCATGCCATGTGCCCATCCACAAGAAAAATTAGTCACTGATTACCACTGATGATCTGCTGAAGATTGTGTTCTGGTGGTATAAAATGTGGGAATCTGCAGGTTCCAACCAGACACTGAATATTTTTTCACATCATTAGGTGGCAATCGTTTTCATGGCCATTAACATCTTAACACACACACACACACACACACACACACACACACACACACACACACACTCACACTCTTATCCAATTAGCAATTGTCTGGTAGTTTCTCATGTGGTTAAGCCACCGACCATGATAGTATGATACTGCTTTCGTCAAAGAAATCTTTGTGTCATTTTCATACGACGAAGTTTCCAAGTAAATCGATATTGTGTCGGCATATGAACAGATTGGGTGGCAAGCAAGAGAAGGCCAAAGACTTTGTTCAGGTCAACCATTAAGTAATACAGGCCGTTGGAGTTGGCAAATTGATTCAGCTTCTTGTTCTTTATTTATGTGTTTATTTAACCTGAAAGAAACAAGACGATCCATTTTCCCCCTGTTAGCTGATGGAGATAAGGATCAGAGATATTCTATGTGCACTGTAAATCCAGAGCTGGTTTTAACTGTACTTTGTTTCTTACAACTCTTGCCAAACATTTAATAGATGTTACTAACCCAGTGGCCCAGTATAAATGTACATAAATAATTTTCATAATATATGACAAGGTAATGACATCAAGAACCAATCCAACATAATGTCCTTATCTTTCTTTTTGTACGATCGTTCAGAAAGAACAACCACCCAACTGAGAACTCTTCAATGCAATAAGCTAGTATCAATGATCATGAACCACATGTTTATTTTTAATTTCACAGAAGAAATCAAGAAGGCTAGGGACTCTTCCAAACACTGTAGAAGGAAGCGAAGGGAGAGCAATGTCCAGGATACAAAAACCTGGAAGGAAATAACTAAAGGTTGGTGCAAATAAAGGGACCACTCTCAAGAAGAAAACAAAATGGTACTACTACAGCTCTAATGCCTTGTCTGCTCAACATTCTCCCCAGTGGACTGAAAATCTGCTGTACAATGCACACATTTCTTGAACCAACCAATTCTCTATCTGTTCAAATGCTCAGCAATGACCCAACTGTGAATTGTTCCAGTAAAAGAAACAAGGAAATGAGAACTTCTGCATCATTGTCCAGTATCAGTGCTTCCAAGTCATGTTGAGTGTCTTTTTCTTCAATAGCTATTAGCTAAGCCCCTAATTTTGTAATTGGCCCAAATGGAAGTGTTTTTCGCAACTGTGGACCCATCTGAGTGCAGACCGATGTCTTGGAGTGTGTCCTATCTGATCCTACTTTTCAGCATCTTTGTGCCTTTATGATCACAACTTAGCAGGTAATCACTTTCAGCATCTAGATTGATGCACGCAGGAGGAGCACATAAAAAAAATCTGCATATTGTCCCACACACACCAATTGATGACTTCATGTTATAATAACAAGAGAACCAAGTAATCCACACTAATTCCAAGCATGTGCAACAAAAATATAAAGTTAGAGCACAAAGGGCTAAAGGAGGCTTCTGATGTCTGTTATTTGCCCCTGCGCACAGCCGAGACGAGCGATTTCCAGGTCACTGGTGAAAATGATGGCAAAGGGGAGCCATGAGAGCACTGTGGCCACAAGGATATTAACATCTGTTCCTCATCATACATCTGAGATTCTGAACAATCATAAGCACCAAGTTCTATAGCCTGAGAATTCTAAATAACCATTTCCATGAAACTGGGGAGCTTCTATACAAAAAAGCTTTATCATGTTTTCTGTAACTGTAATGCCTATATAATGCCTTCCAGTTAGTAAGAACAGCATATCAGACTACTTTTCTAGCATCAAGTCATTTTCTAAAAAAGTTGTAAAAAAAAATCAAGGCAAATAGAAACAAACTGCAATGAAGCTTATAATACTGTATGGTTCAGTCTGCTGACTGTAAAGGGTACTTCCTCCGTTTCACAATGTAAGTCATTCTAGCATTTCCCACATTCATATTGATGTTAATGAATCTAGACATATATATCTATCTAGATTCATTAACATCAATATGAATGTGGGAAATGCTAGAATGACTTACATTGTGAAATGGAGGGAGTAACTAATATGACTAAAATACTCCAGAGAACCCTCCCAAAAAAAAAAAAGGTTAAGGCCACTGTTCCTAGTTTTTCTTGGGTATATAGTGTCAGGGTTATTGCAGTTCCATGGTTCAAACATATAATAGCAGGCATAAAAAAAAACATGATCTCAACCACAGCAAGTCAACAAGCATGCAAAGAAAATTTAAAATCACAAGTTAAGGTTTTTGAAATAACCATCACATGTCTGAAGCATAATATAGGGCACCAAATACACAACCATTGGAATTGGACGATTCATGCCATGCAATAAAACATAAGGAAAATCACTAAAGCAGTATTGTCAGTTCTAAATTTCACTATTAATAAGAAGAGATTTACCTTGTGGTATATCTGCCATTGACATGCTTTAGCTGCAATATGCCTAGTAGTCTTATACCAATGAATAACAAGCACAACAGAGAACCATTTTGTTATATTGAAATATGTGCTAGAGACTCAACATCCAGGCCATTATGTCTTTTGTCTGATTGTCTCCTTGGTGCATCCCTTTGCATGCCAATTCAACATGAAAGATCAGACAAATAGTTCACAAGAAATCTTGTACTACTTGGTCACGTTTTATTCCCATTGCTTGGTGTCTTACAGGCTACACCAAAGACTGACAGAGAACCTAGCCTTTCAATTCTTCCAGGTTTTCCAAGCCAACCAGCTTCATGGTCATTGTGACACTATTAAGGGTATTGTATACTTCCTCAAATCTTGGATGTGACTTATCCTCAACAAGGAACTTATGCATCGTACCATCTAACTCAATGAAGCTGTACCCAGCTGATTTCTTGTGGTCTTTCTCCTTTAGTAACTTCCATACTTGGGCAACACCATCCCATTTGCCAGATGACGCATATATGTTTGAAAGGATCACTAGGTTTGCCGTGTTTTGTGGCTCAAGGTGGATGAGCTTGTCCATTGCTAATTCTGCTAGTTCTACATTGCCATGGAAGCTGCAAGCACCAAGCAAGGCCCCCCAGATGACAGCGTCAGGCTCCACTGGCATGCTCGCAATCAGACTGTATGATTCAATCAGGAGACCAGCACGCCCGAGAAGGTCAACCATGCAGCCATAGTGCTCAATTCTCGGTTTCAGACTAAACTCTGCTTCCATCGAGTCAAAGAATAGCTTGCCTTCATTCACCAAACCTCCATGGGTACAAGCCAAGATGACCCCAACAAAAGTAATACCATCTGGTTTGACCCCTGCCATCTAAACACACGAAATCAGTTTCTAGCTTCAACATAAAAAAATGTGGATGGCTCTTGAACTGTTATAGTTGGCTATATGGTCTGCTAATTCTACGCTAAAACAAGTTTGCTTTTCACCTGCCAAGTGCCAAGTGAAGTCATGGCAACCAAATTTCATGTAAATGCTCTGAATTAGTGTGACTACTAAGAACACAAGACTATTCAAGCAAGAAATCCTCACCCGCAACTTATAGAACAAGGCAAGGGCCTCCCTCCACAGGCCATGCACAGCAAATGCCATGATCATAGAGTTCCAAGAACAGAGATCCTGCTGACGACCGATACCCTGAAACACCTGCCAAGCTTGTCGAATGCTGCCACACTTGGAATACATCTCCAGTAGTGCATTAGCCACGTACACATTCCTCAGGAGGCCTTTTCCCCTCGCATACTCCTCCACCTTCCTCCCAAGCTCCATCGCCCCAACTGCTGCGCATGCAGGCAGCACACTGCTCACTGTCAATTCATTCGGTTGTACCCCTGCCCTCTCCCACATCTCCAAGAACGTCTCCACCGCTTCCTCATGCCGACCGTTCTGCGCGTACCCAGACACCATCGCAGTCCAGGAAACCACATTCCTATCTGGCATTTCCTCGAACAGCTTCTCTGCCGAATCGACGAGGCCGCCTTTCGCGTAGGCCGAAAGAAGCGCATTGTACACGGCCGTGTCCCTGCACGTCAATTCGTCGAACACCTTCCTGGCTTCAACCAGGAGCTTGCTCTTGGCGTAGAATGAGACAAGCGCGGAGGAGAGGAAGGGATCGCTTGATGCGAAGTGGCCTAATTTGATAAGCAGGGAGTGGGAGCAGAGGAAGAAGGGGGTGGAGGAGGAGGCGGACGAGGAGGAGGAGGAGAAGAGGAGAGTGAATGACAGCGGAGTGAGGAGGCGAAGGCGATGGAGGCGGGAGAAGAAGGGGAGGAGGAGGGGGTGGGGGCGGTGGAGGGAGGCGAGAGCATGGAGGAGGCGGTTGTGGAGCGGCGCCGAAGGAGGCGCCGGGTAGGATTCGAGGAGGCGCGCGGCGTAGCGGTGGTCGCCGGCGGCGAGGACGCGGAGGAGCAGCGGCTGCAGCAGGCGCACCCCGCGGCGGAGCGCGCGCGCGTGCAGCTGCTTCGCCTCCTCCATGGAACATGGGAAACACAAGGCACCGTGCTAGTCGTTTCAGACACGACGACGCCGGCGGCTCGAGAGGATGCTGAGCTCACTGACGGTAGTGGACCGGAGAAGAGCGCGGCCGCGCCGTCGGCGGCGGGCGGCGAGCGGCGGCGGGTGGCGGGTGGCTGGTGGCGGCGAGAGATCGTCGCTGGAGAAGGTCCAAAGAGTAGGAGCCGAAAAAAGAGGCCCATCTAGCAGATTAGTACTAGAATTCTTTTTTTTTTCTCTCTCGAAGTTTCAAAAAAGCATGAAAATTTTTACGTGGTCCCCTTACATAACATGGAAGTTTATATCTAAGTTTCAAGTTTTTTTATATTTATTTTCTAGAAAAAAATATATTTGTATGGTATATTTGAGAGAATTTACTTACACAAAAGATAATAACACAAAAATATCTTATGTGGCATATGAAAGGTGATTTATATTAAAAACACCAAAAATTATTTTGTATAGCATAACACAAATAAGTTATATATTAAAAAAAATTGAAATGCAAAAAATTTGAAACTTATATACACCATATTGTATAAGGAAGCCATATGAAAATTTTCATAGTTTTTTTAAAACTTCTAGATAAATCGATTGTTAATCTTATATATCCATAGGGTATTTTCAAACAAAGGTTCGGTCCAATAGCATATTATATAACAATAGATAAAATTATTGGTATATTGTAAAAAGAGATAATATCAGTGATAAATTATAGAATAGATTCTCTCAATTAAATATGCGACGGAAGCGTCCCTTTCACCACCTTCTTCTAAAGTGGCAAGGCAAAATCCAATGAAATATCTGAACCAAAGCGACCACGTGAGACGGCTCGCAGCACACACAACCATGATGTCCCACCACGAAGCAAGTGTGCCAAGTTGGCAGGAAACCTGCTAGTCTATTGAGCCACTTGGCACCTCCAAATTGCTAGAACATTAGAATCATCTAAAAAAAAAGAATAAAAATCTTTAGGAGCATAAACTTCCGGAAACTTCCATGTTGCATATTTTCCAAATACTCTTTTCCCCTTTTGCACTATTTCCTTTGCAACAGTTTAACAATAACGACAAATTTCCATCAAGTCCCCAACTGAAGTCAACAAAAGAATATCAAAATGGAAAAAAAATAGCCCTTCTATTTCCTTTTGAATTGCTTGAGTAATATGTCTAGAAAACTACTGATAACTTGGAATGATCATATCTAGTAAATCACATGCATATAGCGAGTACTTTTACCTACTTCTCTATGCTTGAGAGAATGTAAGAAACAAAATGAGTCTAATACTAAATATATTTAAAAAAGAAATTATATTCTCTACCTTCTGTACACCACTAATAAATCAATATGAAAAATTTAGAATATGTTTCATATGAAAATATTAGGAATTCTGATTCTTAGGGATAATAGGAAAATCTCGATATGTCATAGGTTAAATAGAAAACTAAATGGCATTCACTAATTATTTTATATTATGCAAAATTGTTGTATTCTAAAGGAGAATATGAATTGTGGAAGAATGCCAATAAGTCCAATAGGAATACGAAAGGTGCCCCAATCGATCCAACCCCGAGGTTAGACTCATGAGAGCTAGCTAAGGGAATTTTGAGGTTTTTCAGTTAAAGAAATATATTACATGTTAAGTTAGAAATTAATAACCCATCAAGTGGTCCTTCTAGGTGTTGATAGAAATTCAATGGGATATGAACTAACTCCATAAAAAAAAGTTCTTAACTTTTGTGTGTTCTAAACATGACATAAACAATATAGAAGTACATTGACTTATTAAAAAAGTACTTACCAACCGCCTTATTTGATATTTATAGTTTGAAAGAAAAAATGAATATAACTTTTTAACAAAAAAATGACACATAAATATTTATGAGCTATTTGCTGAAATAAATTAAAACATATATTATTTTAGATTTTTTATAAGGATGGCAGTAATTTAGATAATAAAACTCATAATATAACAACTCTAAATAATACAGCAAATAGTGAATATCTAGAATATAATAAATGCAGTGGCTAAATCCAGTGGGTGCACCAACAGGGGCATCGATTATCTAGTATAGAATAAATGCTCTCAATTAAATATGCGACGCAAGCATCTCTTTCGCCACTTTTTTCTAAAGTGGCAAGGCAAAATCCAATTAAATATTGACGAACCGGAGGAACCAAAACGACCACGCGTGAGAACTGAGAAGGCTCGCAGCACACACAACCATGATGCTCCACCACGAAGCAAGTGTGCAACAAGCGCGAGAGGAAGAAGAAGAGCTTGATCACCATGGCGATCCGATGATCACCTCCCCTCTCTGTGAGCACCCAGAACCCAGAAGCAAGATCATATATTGTTATTTCATTTTCCTTTTTTTAACGAATAAGATCAACGAGATTATATATATATATATATGGCCTTCATCGTATATATGTTGCTGACTGATGATGCTCGTGCACAGTGCGACCATCGACGTCGGGCAGCTCGCCGGAGAATGGAGAGGAGGAGAACTCACCGGTGGAGCTGGTGGCGCTGACGGTGCCAGTGAGCGACGAGCCGGAGACGCCGGTGCTGACGTTCAGGATGTGGGTGCTGGGGACGGCGTCGTGCGCGGTGCTCTCCTTCCTTAACCAGTTCTTCTGGTACCGCAAGGAGCCGCTCACCATCACCGCCATCTCCGCGCAGATCGCCGTCGTGCCGCTCGGCCGCCTCATGGCGGCGACGCTGCCGGAGCACGCCTTCTTCCGTGGCCGGCCGTGGGAGTTCACGCTTAATCCGGGGCCGTTCAATGTCAAGGAGCACGTGCTCATCACCATCTTCGCCAACTCCGGCGCCGGCACCGTCTATGCCATCCACGTCATCACCGGCGTCCGTGTCTTCTACGGGAAAACCCTCTCCTTCTTCATCTCCCTCCTTGTCGTCCTCACAACACAGGTGCATGCAAACTAGCTTCTGCCTAAACATTTAATAAATTAAGTTGTCAACGCCCTGATGCTAGATTAGCTTAATTACCTGGCAATCAAAAATAGAAAAAAATATTTCTTCCTTCTCATGCGTGTACGATACAGTACCATCAGATGCTGGGGTTCGGCTGGGCGGGAATATTCCGGCGTTATCTTGTTGAGCCGGCGTCTATGTGGTGGCCATCCAACCTAGTGCAGGTCTCTCTGTTCAGGTACACTGCTTGAAAACCAGAGTAGATAGTATGACAAAAAATCTTCTCACCAGAGTTGAATTCTTGCAAAATTTTGATCCACTCAAACCTCCACACCGGCAATGCAAGAGTCTGAACCACCACATATGTTCCACTTGGAAGTTGGAACCGCTGCAGTGCTGCACCGAACTACAACAAAAATGGAAGAAGAAAAGTGACATAGTTAGGAGCTGAGGGACCTCTTATATATTTTCTCTATTATTTTTTCAAGAAGCTTCCCTAGCTAAGAATGACAGGACAAACACAAACCAAATTCTGTTTGAGTATAGTAAGAAATCCAAGATTTAAACATATGTAAAACTAAAACTAAAATGGAGTTGTGCATATACACATTCTTAGCTCTGAAACGACAAAGAAGTTTGCATTTGCATTCCGTAAGAAAATAACTTACATATTTCTTATACTAGCGCACTTCATGAGAAGGAAGCACGGAGAAAAGGTGGCTTGACGCGGAACCAGTTCTTCCTGGTGGCATTCGTCTGCAGCTTTGCATACTACATCTTCCCAGGCTACCTATTCCAGATGCTCACCTCCCTCTCCTGGATCTGCTGGGTCTTCCCCAGCTCTGTCCTTGCCCAACAGCTTGGTTCAGGTCTCCGAGGCCTCGGCGTTGGTGCAATCGGTCTCGACTGGTCATCTATCTCCTCCTACCTTGGGAGCCCTCTTGCTAGCCCATGGTTTGCCACTGTAAATGTTGGTGTTGGCTTCTTCATCGTCATGTACATAATCACACCAATTGCATACTGGTTTAATTTCTACAAGGCACAAAATTTCCCCATATTTTCTGATGGCCTCTTCACCTCGACTGGGCAAAAATACAATGTATCAAGCATTGTTGACTCCCATTTCCATTTTGACACCAAGGCCTATGAGAAGAATGGGCCACTATACCTCAGTACTTCCCTTCTTGTCACATACGGTGTTGGTTTTGCAACCCTTGCTGCAACAATTGTTCATGCTCTCCTCTTCCATGGAAGGTATTTTTTTTTCTTAGATTCGCCACTCCACTGTCTACAATATTAAAATAATGTGGTTAAGAACCATGATACTTGTCTCCAGTGAAATTTGGCTATTAAGTAAATCAGCTTTTCAAGAAAAAAGGATGGACATACACACGAAACTTATGAGGAGATATAAACAGGTCCCTGAGTGGTGGTTCATATGCATCCTTATTGCTAACATCGGAACGACCATATTTGCTTGTGAATACTACAATGAGGAACTCCAATTGCCCTGGTGGGGTGTTTTGTTTGCATGCTCCATTGCCTTTTTCTTCACCCTCCCAATAGGGATAATCAAAGCAACAACAAATCAGGTATGTGGATTTAACACATTGTGCATATTATGTCATACAGATCTAACCAGTTCAGCCTTTTTCATTATATACAGACTCCAGGCCTGAATGTCATCACGGAGTACATTATTGGGTATCTGTACCCTGGACGACCCGTTGCAAATATGTGCTTCAAGGTATATGGTTACATCAGCATGAAACAAGCTTTGGCATTTCTTGAAGATTTTAAGCTGGGTCACTACATGAAGATTCCACCGAGGACAATGTTTATGGCTCAGGTAAGTTCTATTAGCCCTATAATGACTTATGTATCATTTCTCCTAAAGAGTAGACATTTGGTTCTATTGTATCGTGTGATTTACAAACTTCTCCAAACATGACAGGTGGTGGGAACTTCAATTGCAGCATTTGTGTATATTGGCACAGCATGGTGGCTAATGGAGACAATCCCCAACATCTGCAACACTGAGCTCCTCCCGTCAGATAGCCCTTGGACCTGCCCAGGTGACCATGTATTCTATGATGCATCAGTCACATGGGGACTTATTAGCCCGCGCAGGATATTTGGGGACTTAGGCACTTATTCAGCTCTAAATTGGTTCTTTTTGTGTGGAGCTATTGCCCCTCTACTTGTCTGGTTTGCACACAAGACATTCCCAGGCCAGAACTGGATCTTACTCATCAAGACGCCTGTACTAATTGGTGCCACCTTCCAGATGCCTCCTGCTACTGCCGTCAACTACACGACTTGGATACTTGTTGGGTTCTTGTCAGGTTATGTGGTCTATAGATATCGACGTGATTGGTGGGAGAGACACAATTATCTGCTTTCAGGTGCACTGGATGCTGGTTTGGCTTTCATGGCGGTCTTAATTTACTTGTGCTTAGGCTTGGAGGACATCAGTCTGAACTGGTGGGGAAATGACTTGGATGGGTGTCCTTTGGCTTCTTGTCCCACTGCTAAAGGTATAGTTGTCAAGGGATGTGCAGTCTATACTTGAGGATCTCCTATTGCTTCTTGTCCCACTGCTACAGTGTTACCCAGACCTCCATGGGTGCAAGCCAATATGATTAGATCTAATTTGACCCTTGTCATCTATAAACATCAGTAGAACCAGCTTTGATTCATAGCTGGAAATTAGCAATGTAGTTTCAGGGTTAGTGGTCATAACTTGTATCCTATCAGTATTCTCGAAAAAACTTGTATCCTACCAAACAAGTTAAATTTTGATCTCTGAACTGTCCATTCTTTGCAAGTTGCAACCAAATTGATTGTAATGCTAAAATTCAAACATAAACATAAAAAATTGGGCAAGAAACACATACCATAAACGGTCAAGAAGAGGGTCTCCATCCGCTGACCATGCAAGAGAGAAATGTCATTCAGAAGAACACAGTTTTCGCCGACGTCCAATCCCCTGAAAACACCAAGACATAGGTGTGTCTCCCCTCACATACTCATCCCCCTCACTCCACAGCTCCATCGCCCCCAACTGTTGCGCATGAAGGCAGTGAACTGCTCACTGTCTCTCCTCTCTAGCATTTCCTCGAACAGCTTTGCGGTCCTCACCGCCTTTCCTCTATAGCATTTCGTCGAACAGCTTGTCCGCCTAGCCGACGAGGCGGACCTTTGCACACGCCGAAAGAAAGGCGTTGCACACGGGCCACGGCCGTGTGCCTGCATCACATGCCATCGAAGACCTTCCTGGCTTCAGCCTACCAGGAGTCAGTTCTCGGTATGGAATGAGAGTATTTTTTTTTTTGAACGGAAAAAACAGCACAGTAGTGCTTTTTCATTGAATATGAGAGTATGAGACAAGCGCGGATGCGAGGAAAAGGGTCGCCGGGTGCGAAGTGGCCGGATTTAATAGGTAGGGGGTGGTAGGAGGAGGAGGAGGAGGCGTAGCGGAGGTCGCCGGCGGCGAGGTTTGCGGTGGAGCAGCGGCTGCAGGGCGGCGCACGCCATGGCTGAAGAGCGCGTGCGTCGTGCGGTTGCTTCCCTTCCGCGAAGCAAACTGTTTTTTTTTCTTTTATAAAGAAAAATCCAACTAATGTCCTAGGAGTATTTGGAAAATGCGTGATTCCGCAGGGATCATTCTGCAATTTCACCACCCAAACGGCGTCCTCTTCTCTTCCCCAAACGGCTTACATGTTTGATCTCTTCAAGAGGCAGAAAATTTTCATATAATTTTTCTTCCTTTTTTTTGCGGGGATATATTTTTTCTTCATGAAACAGTTAACAGCACGTTTTCCTTTCCATTTGGTCTTTTGATATTGATCAACGGATTACAGTCCATGAAATGATGCAAAATAACCTAAGAAGGAACGGAACAACCGAATCTTCAATCAACAACAAATTCAATCAACAACAAATGTCTTGGACCGAAGTGGCGAAAGCAATGGCGGAGGAGGCCATGCTTTGGAAGTCGGCTAATCACGGGATCCCCGCTGTTTGGCCTTTACGAGGTCGTGGTAGCCAAATTTAGCGCGAGATATTTCTATAGTTTTCCATAGTGTCCTGTATTGATCCCCTGCTTGTTTTCCTTTTATCCTTGTAAATAACTTTTATTTCTCTTAATGGAAAAAATGCGCTCCTTGCGTATTCCAAAAAAAAAATAACCCAAGAATCAACTGAAGCTGAAGACGAGATCACTCACCCTTGGTTTCTTGGAGTCAGAACAGTTAAACGACAGGATCAATGTCCCTGTCCCAGATCCAGCATCCCATGAGCACTCTGTTTCTTGGGGGCTCATTGTATGATTTTTACTCGTTTGTATTTGCATCTTGTTGATCCTGGCACAAGAGTAGATGTTGTTGCTGCCTGTTGCTGGGTTTGGACCATCTAAAGATGTTGATTGGTACTGTGAGACTGAGAGGCTGCTTTCACTGGTTCAATGCTGCACCTTCATGTGCTGGTTGAGATTCTCTTTCGCTCTGCTGTCAACAAGGAAACAGCCAAAAATGCATATTCATCTGATTCTTACCTACACTGATGAGAGAGGTTTATTTTCTCTTCTTTCTTTTCTTGAGCAGGAGTGTGTGATTTTTTTTTCTTTCATTGGTCAAAGCTTGAAGTGTATTGAATCTATAGAACAAGTAGTAACTGTTTTTTTATACCCAAGAAAATGTTTATATGAACTGAATACACTATCAACAAGTACCTGAAAATCCTCACAGAAAACATATGAATCACTCTGGATTTCTAGATATTGAATTATTATTTTCTCCACCTAGATTACTACTGTTTCTAATCTTCGACATTTTGTCAGAGAGAGAGAGAGAGAGAGAGGCAGAAATCAATTTTAGTAATTTTTAGAACCAACGAACCTTTTGATTTTTCATATTAGCTTTCCGTGAAAGAAAGAGACAGGAAGAGAAGAACAAGACGCTGCTTAAATGTTTTGGATTACAATTTACACCTGTACGCAGTTGTGCATCAGGTTCTTCACTCCATATTCTCATCGCCTAATGACAAAAAATCAGAGGCTTCTAGCGTTGGTTCATTGAACCTGGACAGAAAAAATCCATCGAAAAGCTTGCCGGAATTTTGTCAGTGATGGAACGGATGTATGTTCTGCAGAGAAGGGACAAATGATGAGAGCACATGACAACATGCTTTGCTAAATGCATGCTAACAACAAAAAAGCAGGCAAAATTGCTTGTCATTTTTCATCATTTCTCAGACCTCATCGATCTGGCATGAAGCACGCACGTTAGACACTTTGATTAACAAAGAAAAACATTCCAGCTAAGCAAGCACGTTAATTAGTATAGTAATGTCTTCCATCTCACGCAGTTGCATCAAGTCAACCGTTTGAGTTTTCAGAGCTAGCGTGAACAGCATCAGCAGCAGTAGACTTAGACTGGTAGTTAATCACAATGGAGTACATTACTCTTCTAATTAGCAACAGGCATGCAAATAATATGTTCAGATCTCATGATCTCATCATCACAAATCAAGTCCAAAACAACCAACTCGATCGATTGATAGCTTATCAGTAATGGCACGCATCGTACGTTGCAGTTGCAGCAACGTCGTTTTCCTGCTAAAGATGAAGAGTAAAAGGCTCAGCTAGCCACACGCCTCCACACACACATGGCAGCCATGGCGTCCTCCCACCAAGAAGACCGCGAGGAGGAGGAGGAGCACAGCCATGGCGACGACGAGATCACCGCCCCGTTCTGTAAGCTCAGCAAGATCGTCGTCATCGAAGCTTAGCTCATAGCTTTTTCCGGTTGGTTGCTGCTCTGATCGGATCATGTGTATATGCAGTGCGGCCATCGACGTCGAGGGGGTCGCCGGAGTTGGAGGAGGAGGAGAACTCGCCGATCGAGCAGGTGGCGCTGACGGTGCCGGTGAGCGACGAGCCGGAGACGCCGGTGCTGACGTTCAGGATGTGGGTGCTGGGGACGGCGTCGTGCGCGGTGCTCTCCTTCCTCAACCAGTTCTTCTGGTACCGCAAGGAGCCGCTCACCATCACCGCCATCTCGGCGCAGATCGCCGTCGTGCCGCTCGGCCGCCTCATGGCGGCGGCGCTGCCGGAGCGCGCCTTCTTCCGTGGGCGGCCGTGGGAGTTCACGCTCAACCCGGGGCCGTTCAATGTCAAGGAGCACGTGCTCATCACCATCTTCGCCAACTCCGGCGCCGGCACGGTGTACGCCATCCACGTCATCACCGCCGTCCGCGTCTTCTACGGCAAGCACATCTCCTTCTTCGTCTCCCTCCTCGTCGTCCTCACCACCCAGGTACCGTACGTCACCTTGCTAGTTGCTACCATCCATGGCAGATCGAAAGTGACTTTGTTTTTTCTTTAGATTTCTTGTCGTCTTCAACCATCGATCATTCGATCGATCAGGTTATATGCATGATTGTTTTTGCGTTTGGTGTTCGTGTCGTGTAATGCGATCGAGGTTGTGGATGATCAGGTGCTTGGATTCGGGTGGGCGGGAATATTCCGGCGGTATCTGGTGGAGCCGGCGGCGATGTGGTGGCCGTCCAACCTCGTGCAGGTCTCCCTCTTCAGGTACCTACCATTCCTCTCTTCAACCAGCACATCTAGCTAGTATTTCTTTTTTAAGAAAATCATTTTTTTCTTTTGTTTAAGAATGAAGAGCAAATTTAAAATCGGTTCATGTGTATCTCATCTTGATTGATTAGAGATATTTTTGGCATTGATTATATACCTTAATTAATCAGCTGGAACATAGAGGTTGGACTTTGAATTAGTACTCCAAAATTTAGTGGTTGGACAGAGCTTGCTTTCTGCTGGTAAAACTATGAAAATTAAATTAAATGTAAATATGTGTGAGATGCGTATGCTTGCACGTAGGTGTTTAATTTGACGTTTCAGTTGTAAGACTCTCGCGCGTTTTGATAAGCGATTGATCGATCGATGAATCAAATGCCAAGTTAGCCAGCTGTCACTAATCATGACACGTCAGACTGGTCCTGCTTGCATTCAAGAGCATCAAAGAGGCTGGAATAGTTTGGGTCCTACAAGAAAATGAAACGGTTCAAACAAAAGAAGAGAAAAATATATGCATTCACATCACACAACATTTAGCAAATATAGTTAATGCAAACAGCAAAACCGTATAAACTGCCCATCATTGAGCTGGACAAGATGTGACCATTAATTAACTCGTGCTGTCTAAATTAATTTTTTTACGGTAAATTAAATTTGTTAGAGATTCGTAAGTTCAATGAATTGGTGGCCTCCCCAGGTCCCAGCCATGTAGGGTAGGAGGGCATATGATCCGGCCCAATAACAAGGCCCAGTTCGGGCTAATTTGTGGCCCAACACAGCTACATCCACCAGTTCTTCCCCAGATCATCAGCAAGGATCAAATGACCTTTTAAAGCCAAAGAACTTGGTACAAATGTTTGCAAGGATCAAATGACCTTTTAAAGCCAAAGAACTTGGTACTAAATGCAACTTACACATTTGCAAATGTATTTTGCTCATCAGGGCGCTTCACGAGAAGGAAGCAAGGAGCAAAGGTGGGCTGACGCGCAACCAGTTCTTCCTTGTGGCATTCATCTGCAGCTTCGCATACTACATCTTCCCAGGCTACCTGTTCCAGATGCTCACCTCCCTCTCCTGGATCTGCTGGGTCTTCCCCCACTCTGTGCTTGCACAGCAGCTCGGCTCAGGTCTCAGTGGCCTTGGCATTGGCGCGATCGGTCTCGACTGGTCCACCGTCTCCTCCTACCTCGGGAGTCCTCTTGCTAGCCCATGGTTTGCCACTGCAAATGTTGCTGCTGGCTTCTTCTTCATCATGTACATAATCACACCGATTGCTTACTGGTTCAATTTCTACAAGGCACAAAACTTCCCCATATTTTCTGATGGTCTCTTCACCTCAACTGGCCAAAAGTACAATATCTCAAGCATTGTTGATTCTCATTTCCATTTCGACACAAAGGCCTACGAGAAGAATGGTCCACTATACCTCAGCACTTTCTTTGCTGTCACATATGGCGTTGGTTTTGCATCCCTTACCGCAACAATTGTTCATGTTCTCCTCTTCCACGGAAGGTAAGTTTCATCTGGAATTGGACAGTCTATTGCCTGCGATATAAAATGAAGTAGGTAAGAATCATAATGTTTGCTTTCAGTGAAATATGGCAATTAAGTAAATCAGCTTTCCAAGAAAAAAGGATGGACATACATACAAAACTTATGAGGAGATATAAGCAGGTTCCTGAGTGGTGGTTTGTCTGCATCCTCATTGCTAACATTGCCGTCACCATATTTGCTTGTGAATACTACATTGAGCAACTCCAGTTGCCCTGGTGGGGTGTTTTACTTGCATGTGCCATTGCCTTCTTCTTCACCCTCCCAATTGGGATAATTACAGCAACAACGAACCAGGTACAAATTAAATTTTAATACCTTGTGCATATTATGTCATATAGCTCTAGAGCAAACAGTTCAGCACTTCATCATTTCCCATCGTGTGCAGACTCCAGGCTTGAACATCATCACAGAGTATATCATGGGGTACTTGTACCCTGGACGACCGGTAGCAAATATGTGTTTCAAGGTATATGGTTACATCAGCATGAGCCAGGCCCTGACATTTCTTCAAGATTTTAAGTTGGGTCACTACATGAAGATTCCACCAAGGACCATGTTTATGGCTCAGGTTAGCTTTACTAGCCATTTAGTTTATCTGCCATTTCTCCTAAAAGAAGTAAAAACATGATCCTGCTGCATTGTGCCACTAATGAACTTCTTGGAACATGGCAGGTGGTGGGAACTTTGATTGCAGCATTTGTGTACATTGGAACGGCATGGTGGCTGATGGAGACAATTCCCAACATCTGTAACACTGAGCTCCTCCCATCAGATAGCCCTTGGACCTGCCCAGGAGATCATGTGTTCTATGATGCATCAGTCATATGGGGTCTTATTAGCCCACGCAGAATATTTGGGGACTTAGGCACCTACTCGGCGGTAAACTGGTTCTTTTTGGGTGGAGCTATTGCCCCTGTCCTTGTCTGGTTTGCACACAAGGCATTCCCAAACCAGAACTGGATCTTGCTCATAAACATGCCTGTGCTGATTGGTGCCACTGGCCAGATGCCGCCTGCCACTGCCGTCAACTACACAACATGGATACTTGTTGGTTTCTTGTCAGGTTATGTGGTCTATAGATATCGACGTGACTGGTGGGAGCGGCACAATTATCTGCTTTCAGGTGCATTGGATGCTGGTTTGGCATTCATGGCTGTTTTGATTTACTTGTGCCTAGGCTTGGAGAACATCAGTTTGAACTGGTGGGGCAATGACTTGGATGGATGTCCTCTGGCTTCTTGCCCCACTGCTAAAGGTGTAGTTGTTGACGGATGCCCAGTCTATACTTGAGGATCTCCTATTGTATGTCAGTCCTGGGGAGAATTTGGACAATCTTAAGGAGCATGTAGGGGCCAACGTAAATAGGATAAACACTGTTTTTTTCCCAGACCATGTAAAGATGAGAAATTGGTGTTGTATTATTGTATTCCTTGAGTTTTCAGAATTGTAATGGAAGTTTTGAAAGGTACTTATTTGGGTCACCAAACCCATTGTTATTCAACACTGGAAACAAAATGTAGCATACTTGCGCGAAAGGAATATGCAGTTATATTGCCAAGTACAAATAAATAAACAAAGAATACTGATGCTTTGACATCAAAAGGCATGCCCTAGAGACTGATTAGTGCTTACCGGTGTGATGGTGTCAATATAGCTCACATTCTTTGATTTATCCAGTGTATCCCTATACCAATCTGCACATCCCAGGAATAGCAAGCCCAGAGAACCACAATATCCTGATATCTCTGTAGAAGGACACTGCTATTGAATTTGATGATTACATTTCTCAGCACCACATGATCACATATCTAATACTAAATCGAGATGCTTGTTCGAAGTATCAGTTGCATTTACCACCTTCCTGACAAAAATTTCCCAAGAATCACCATCCAGGAAATACCGACCATATAAAGCTGCAGTTTCAAGAATTTTTCTAATGGTATCCTCATGTCTTGGCTCCGAAAGACTATCAACCAAAACTTGGAAAAGAAGGCTGCTTGGCTTGCAACCTCTAGACACCATTTCCTCAAAGACTGTAGCCCCTTCATTTGGCTTCCCTGTTTTGCATAATCCCTTGATCAAGGCCTCATAAGTCATGGCATTTGGTTCATACCCTCGTTCAACCATGTCATCCCACACCCGCCCAGCCTCCTGTAGCTCTTCATTTTCACATAATCCTGAAATAAGTGAGTTGTACGTCAGCAAGCTTGGTTTGAAACCCCTCTCAAGCTCATCAAACAGGTTCCTCGCCTCTCGGACCATTCCATTCTTGCACAACCAATAGATCAATGTGCTTGTGACCATGTTATCAGGTGGCACGTTCTTCTTCTCCATCCATCTCCACAATTGATACGCCTCCTCTGATTTTCCATCCTGGCATAGCACATCAACCACCTTAGCACCTAGCGCTGTGTCTGGCACATATCCTGCCCCCAGCATCTCTCGCATAAAATCGCGTGCCTCAATAGGTTTTTCCTCCTTGCAGCATGCTTCTATCACCACGGAATATGTGACCTCATTTGGTTGCACTCTAGCAGCCTCCATCTCATCCATAATTCTGGCTGCATCCTGGAGGTTCCCGCACTGGCAGTAACCGTCGATGAGCACGGTGTACATCGTAACATCTGGTCTACGTCCACTAGCGATTATATCATCGAAGAGCTTCTGAGCACCTTCAATATCCCCCTTCCCACAGTAGGCAGAGAGAACCGTGGTGTAGGTGACGACATCCGGGGTGATTCCCAGGCCAGGCATTTCGTCGAGTACCTTGAGTGCGGCATCGAGGTCACCGATGCCAACAAGCCCCTTGAGCAGGATGTTGCAGGAGACGAGGTTGGGTGTGATGTAGAGCTTGGTGGGCGCGGCGCGGAAGAGCGCGGCGGCGAGACGGAGGCGGCGGGCGGAGACGAGAGAGTGGAGGAGGGCGTTGAAGGAGCGGACGGAGGGGTGGGAGTTGAAGGAGGGGAGGGAGAGGAAGAGGCGGAGGGAAGGGAGGGGCGGGAGCGAGCGGAGCAGGGGAAGGAAGGGGCGGTCGGAGAAGGCGGGGAGGTTGGCGGCGCGGAGGGCGGAGAGGACGGGGGGGAGGAGGGCGGGGTCGGCGGCGGGGAGGCGGGAGAGGACGGCGGCGAAGACGGGGAGCGAGGGGGGAAGCGGCGGGGCGGCGTGGAAGAGCGCGTGGCGGAAGGCGAGCACGGCGAGGTGCGGCGTCGGGAGGCGGAGCAGGAGGCGCGCGAGGCTGCGCGCGGTGAGGCGGCGCGGCCATGGCTGGACGGGCGGGGTGACGGTGTAGCGGGAGGTCGGGAGCGACGTGGGGAGTTCGGCCAGGTGGGCGAGCGGCACGGTGGCCTTCGCGGTGATGGTGGAGAAGGCGCGGGCTGGAGGTCCCCAAGCCCAGCGGCGCGCAGCCATGGCGGTGGCGGACACGGGCGGCGCTCGCCGGCGGCGTGGAGGAAGAGGGAGAACGCGGCGCGGCGCGGGAGGCTCGAAGGAGAGACGAGAGAGAGAAATACAGGGGCCAATCTGTAAAATTTCCGATCGCTACCAATCTGCAAATATGGGCCGCACACGTAAACTGAAATCCGTTTGTGGGCCGTGAGAAATCGAAATCCTGTTCAGGCCCAATTAGTCAGAATCCCATCATGGCCCAATTAGTATGGGCTAATCACTTCCCCATTCTTGGGCCGCAGGTAATCGTCCGTGCTGGGCCTCCAGATTAATCGGGAAGTTCGTCGTCGTCGTCGTCGTCTTCTTGCTCGGTCTCGACCGTGCAACGACTCATCGCCGGCGGAGCTCCGGCGATCTATGTTCCATCATTACGTAATGGATTAATTTATTTTGATATTTCTGTAGTCTTCATTCGGAAGGAAATTAAGGAATGAGCTGATCTCTTGGTCACGACCTCATCAACTTACACCTCCAGCATAGCTAATTATGGCGGAGATGGATCAAACCATCGGCAGAAGAAACTAATTCGTTTGCAGTACCTCAAGAGTACGGAATTCATAAATTTTTGCAGAAGGCTTAATTAATTAGCTGAAATCAAGCTCAAACCAAACCAGTACCAGTACTAGTTAATTCTACATGCATGATCGATCCTTCAACTTAGTACAGGCTCCAGCATGATGGAGAAAGCATGAACACTTATGTTACATGTCTCGATTTGGAATCTAATATCATCATGATCTCGATTGATTTCTCTTAATTTCAACACCTTTCTCTCTCCATAACCAGGAGATTACTACTATACTATATATAGATAGACTAGTGTTCGCATGGCCTCATCGTCTTCACCTCATGCATCTTGATTCTTGACATGGGCTAATAGCAGCTGAGCACAACGATGAACCATCTTGGAAGATGGCAAAAACATTCAGAGACAAACCACCGCTCGTCGATCGATCACACAGTGCCAGACACGGCGGGAGCAGCGTGGGTGGTGAGGTCAGCGACGGTGGGGCGGCGGGGGATCACCGCGAAGAGGCCCGCCTCGTTGGCGGCGCACTGTGCCGCAGCCGGCGCCGGCGAGGAGGAGGACGACATGTCCCTGCTGCGTTGCAGCGTGCGGTGGCGGCGCTTGACGGCGGCGAGCGCGGAGTCCATGTCCATCTGGTCCTGCCTGCAGTCGTCGCTGCAGAACGCCGCGTTCCCCCTGCACAAACAACACATATATACGCAATCAATCAATAAATGAATCACTGAATAATCGAAGAACCAATCAATCAATCAAATATGCATGAGATTGAACGAGAGAAAAAAAAAATCAAGATGGTGGTCGTGGTACGTACTTGTACATGAAGATGTGGCGGTTGAAGGTGATGTCCCGCTTGCAGAGGAAGCAGGCGTCGAGGTAGTGGTAATCGCCGTCGCCGCCACCGCCGCCGGCGGCGGCGCAGGAGGAGGAGGAGGAGGAGGAGTTGTCGTCGACGAGGAAGAAGCGCGAATCCACCTTGACGTACCTCGACTCCATCATATCTAACGGCAGGTTGGTTCTCTTAATGTAGATTTTTGCTCTCAAGAGAGTGCATGAGCAAGTTCATCAGTGTCGTTACTTCAACCATGTGAGCTAAGTAGAAAGCGTAGTAGACGACCGTGGCCACTCCTGTGTAATGTGCTCGACGATGGCCTTGAGGGAGGGAGAGATGGTCTGGGACGACTTGGCTTCGTTCAATTATATAGCTAGCTAGCTCATCTCTGCATGCATGTTGGTTGTTGTAAAAGGGTGGGTTTCTCTCCTGAAACCACGGGTGCAGAGTGAGAGTGCAACGTACTGTGCGAAGCGGTCGTCGCAGCTGCAATTAATCCGTTGGGCGACAGGTTGGTTTCCGGCGGGCGGGGTGGGGCGAAACAGACGGCAGCGCGCGTCCCACCGGTTTTCGTTTGGTTTGGTTTGGTGTTGCGCCGGATAAGACGGCCCTGGGCCAAGCCGCAACGTAAACGTAAACGTAACGCACGCGTGCGACTGCTGCGTGCTCATCCATCTAGTACTCGACTCCTATCTGCTGGATGGGTTGCTAGCTCGATCGTACTGTGGCACACAGGGAGGGAGTGTACGGGCAGCGCGAGAAACGACGGGCTATCCTGTCGGCCGCATGCGCCAATCCCGACCCAACCAAGATTCCCTTCCTTCTCCTCCTCTCGTCTCGTCGCTGTATTCCAGTAACTTCTCAGATGACAGCCCCGCGAATATAGTACACGGAGTCTATTTGATTTGGAAGAAAAACAATTAAATTTTAAAAGATTTTAGGGCCTGTTCACTTTGATGCTATTTTAAACCTTACCAAATTTTGGTAAATTTACTAAAAAAAGTGGCTATATTTAGTTTGCTACCAAATTTTGGTAACTATATAAGAAATCATGCCAAAATTTTAGTAACTTTACCAAAATTTGGTAAGGTTTTTTTTTTGACATCAAAGTGAACATGCCCTTAATTAAAAAATTTCAATGAATGACTTTGAATCAAAAGATTGATCATATCCAATCATTTGAAATTCCTATGGAACGAACAATCCTATGGAGATTTTGGAGGGAACTAACGTAATGTTTGGACCATTTAATCCATGTACTAAAAAATTTAGTCCCCTACCGTTTGGATCTAGGGACTAAAGGCATGTGGACCGAGGGAGAGAAGAGAGAGACTGCCACTTTAGTCACTATAATACCTCCAAGAGGGACTAATTGATTTTAGTTTCAATATGCACTTTTAGTCTCTTTAAATCACCCTTGTTTTAATTCTTATGGACTAAAATGGAGGGATTAATGGATTAGTCTCATGAACAAAAAGGACCTTAGCAAGAGCTCAAAGGTCTTGAAAAATTTCCTTCGAGTCTATCTCTCATCCGATTCTTGAGTTTTTTTTACAATCCAATCAAACGACCGTTCCTGTGTGTTTTGCAATCCTATGTTTTACACTTCCATTCCTATTAAAATCCTGTGTTTTTCCTATTTCTTCGTTTTTCATTCCTACGATTCAAAGGGGCCGTTTTGGCTCTCTGATTAGTACTCCATTTCATATTATAAGTTGTTTGATTTTTTTTCAAACTTTCCAAAGTTTTTTTTTAAAATATAGTAGAATTTTTAACGGCAAAACAAACATATTATCAAAATATATTCAATGTTAAATTTAATTAAACTAATTTAATACTTTAGATGCTGCTAAAGTTTTCAATAAACTTGGTCAAACTCAACAAAGTTTGATAAAAAAAATAAAAACAATTTATAATATGATGAAATGAAGGAAGTAGTATATCTGAGCCCGGTAGTTGTCCATATATTGGCCAAAAATGTTATTCTCCTTTTATCAAGGATTTGTCTTGTATATATGAGTATTAAACTAGATATTATGAGGATTCAACAGAGTATCAAAGGATGTGCATGCTTCTTCTGATTTCTGAAAGCTTTGACCTCGGTGCTCTGGACTCAGAAGCTGCAGCGCTCTATATATTTTTCAGTCATGTTTTATTATGCACATCATTTCCAGCTAATTTCTTTTTTCAGTAAATGCTCTCTTCTGTATAAGAGTACAGCTCGATTACTTTCACAGTCTTCTCTATCATATCTAATAATAAAAACAGGAAAGAAGAGTAAAAGACAGGCACGAGTTGCTTTCTGACTCGGATTGGTTTTGTTTATTTCGAAAAGATCCAAGATATGCTGCATCAGCGAACTCGAATATTGGCCGACGTCGTCTCAAGGAAAAGAAAACGCTTATTACTACGAGTTAACAGTAAAAAGCCGCACTTCAGATCATCAACTGAATAAAATTACAGTCGCTGTCTCTGACTGGATATCTTTGTTATTACTTGCTTACAAATATTCTATACACAACAACGCCACGAGCAGATGAACTGCACGTCTGCATCAGCAAATAGGATAATTATGCAGAATGCTTTAAGGAAGAAAAACACTGAGCTTTACGATTGATTATATTGCGGTATGGCCCACTAAAGTGCAAAAGTTGGCATTGATATTTACGATGTCCCGTCAAATGAAACAACCTTTATTCATTCAGAGCACCCAAAACACAAGTTGGACATCGACATGTCACACAAGTTGATCAAAACGAAGTAAAAATGCTTTGATAAACCAAGGGCTATCAGAGGCTAAAGCGAAATCGTCAAATCATTTTATACAAGGGCTGCACAGCAGCCAGAAACTAGAGCTAAAGCTCATTTCCATGTTTCAGCCACGAGCCTCACGATTTATTGTGGAGTTAGTTTAGAGAGTACAAAGAGCCAAAGCCATTGGAGGGGGAAAATTTGTCAAATACACCTGTTGCGCCATCGAAATTGCCTGAGGTCTTTCGCTAGTTCTTGCCCATCGCCGCTCTGTCCTGCTGCCTGAGCCTCTGGCCTTCACCGGAAAGATACTTCTGGAACTTCTCCTGCCAGAATACAAGAAATGGTTATACATCCAATTAACTGTAAACAAGCTCACAAGTACTGTACAGCATAGCTGTGAACATCCAAACTAAACAAAAACAGACTGAAAAGAAAAACAAGGAACTTAGATCAGGCACGCTTGGATTTCTTGTGAACAAAAGTGCAGTCACACTTGGATCAGTTCTGGAAGGCAGCCTAAGAACAGGTGGCTGTAGGCAACTTGGCATTAATAGGTTGATCACCAAGGGAAACTGACCAAGTTCTGGAACATATTGACGGACTTTGGATATTGATAACAAGACTAATTCAAGCTGGACGATAAGAAAAAAAGTGTTCCCAACTAATAACTGAGCCTCATGACTACAAACATATAAATGTCAAAAGTAGGAGCCAAACTGCACGAGAAGAACTATCCATCAACTGAAACCTCACAAGTATAAACATATAATGTCAAAAGTAGGAGTCGAAAGCTAAACAGTTTACAAGAACAGATAGAATAGTCAATGCACAAGTAAAGTCCCATACTCCTATTGCACCAAAATAGAACTGCACCAAATTAAAGATGACTAAAATATATGTTCCATTTTACCTCAATAGTGACAACCTCTACAATTTAGGGATTAAAATCTTATTCTAGTAAGCAATTCAATACTACTGATTATTGTTACTTAGAATCAGAATCAGAAACCAATAGACACCGAAAGATATTTATTAAATATGGATATAGTTCCAACTCATTCCAATGGAAATGGGTGGTATACCAGAACCCTTGCAGCCTCAAGGAACCAAAATGGAGAAATTTAACAAAAGCAGTTCTGTAATGAGAACTTGAAAAGACACGGTTTAACTTAGTTGACTAGCTCTGAGAAACAGTAGCCTGGTAGCCTATACACGGAAGATAGCATGACTTCAGCAGTTCAGATGCCTGAAGGAAATCGCCAGAACAAATAACAATTTCCAGCCATAATCTGCACATTTCATGGTTATAAGTCTATCATTGTATGGAGATGCTTATTATATTACTTGTCCAGTGGCGCCCACAACACAGTGGTTTCAAGGAATACCAACAATCTCCTCGAATTCGTCTCACGGATGCTTGAGATGAGCTTCAAGTTTATCATCATCAAAGATAAGATATTTGGCTCATATTATTGCTCAACTCCCAACAGGCCCCAAATTAGCGTGTTAATATGTCAGAAAGCATGACAAAGCTGACAACCCCCCTCAACCCATCCCGAGCTCATAACAATAACATAGCTTTTGTGTTTGTTGATCCATCCATTCTTGCATAATCAATAGATCACTGTGCTCAAAGGTAGATTATTTTGTAGCATTAATGCATTGTAACTGATAACTCCATTCCAACATGAGCTCCATGATTTTTTACAAGCCATGCAAATAGATTAATATTAGACTCAAAACATAAACAATAATTTTTCTGTTCTTACAAGGTGAACAAATCAAGCCTTTTCTCAACTGGAAAGAAAGATATAATGAAGACCTTGCAGGCTTAATAAACTGAATGGGTGAGTGGAGTGTGTAATCTGCCGAAATTGCATGTGATTGACTACTTGTGAACCACAATCATCTAACCCAGAAATCCAACTGAGTCTATTGGTCCCAGGCTAATTCATCAAAAAATTAGAGGGCTGCAGGCATATAATGAACAACACCTGAGGATTAATTGAATGACATAAACGAACAACTAAGCACTGACACATCTAATAACTGTTCATGGTTCTTTTCTGATTCTAGATTTTCGTTTGCACGCTTCTCAAGCTCTTAAACGGCCGATATAAATGATAAATCTATAAATTGTACAGCACAATCTAGCTTTGCATTGTAAGTTTCCTAAAGAAATAAAAATTCACGAGCTAAGAGCACTAGAGATGACAACGAAGTAACAGATGCACCAAGGATAACAGCTATTACTACTATTATTCTAAAACTAATACACTCTTCCTGCAAGCATTGAAACGAACAATTTGGTGTGCAAATCAGAAGGCACAAGATACTCAACGCAAGTCGAATTCGAGCATTCCAGGAGCCAAGATACTCTAATCACCCACATGATTATTCCTAACTACTACTACCACTATATCGGACTTAAAATCATCAACTAATGAACTGAACAGGGGGCAAAAAAAAAAAAAAAACAAAAACAAACTGCCCCAAACCTAGAGTTCTCAACGGGCGCGGCATTCCACGCTGAAGGCGCCGGATCCAGGCTGTTACAAGAACAAATCTAGGAAGGGGAAACGAAGGGAGCAAGCAAGCTACCACACGTGAAGGGGCAAGGAACGCATGGGGAGGGGAGGGGGGGCATGGCGGGTAAACCTTGGCGTTGAAGAGGAAGACCCCGGCGAGGCCGGCGGTGGCGGCGCCGCCCCAGATGAGGATGGTGGAGGAGAGCAGCGACCACTTGCGGTAGATCATCTTCACTTTGCTCCTTCCCTTCCGGCGCCGGTCGATGAGGAGAGGACAGGGCAGACGGCGTTGGGGGAGGAGAACGGGACGACGTGTCAGGTGGTGGAGGTGGTGGTGGACAAATGGGCCGGGCCCAACCTTGCCGGCCCAGGGGCGGTGGGACCATCCTATAGCGGGCTTAATATGAGTAGGCTTTGATCAATAGTTTTAGGAATAAGTTCATCTGAGATCCCTTAGACTCGTCAACGAATCCGATTTTCGTCCTTTAACTAGAAAACCATATGCAACAGGTCCCTCAACTGTTAAAACCGGTGCAAAATAAGTCCCAATGTGGTTTGGGCGGTGGTTTCAACCGACGTGATGCCTATGTGACTACTTTAACTATGAAAAACGTAGCATTGATGTGACACATGAAGCAAAATTTAACAATATTAAAGATAAGGTAAAATATGTGAGCCCACATGTCAGTTAAATAATAAAATTTAAAAATAGTGGGACACTTCATCCACCTCTGTCCTCTCTTTCTCTTTATCCTATTCCTCCCCTCCTCCTTCCCAAAAGTGATGGAGGAGGCCGTTGAAGCCACAGCCGGACCCAGCCATGGCATCTCAGTTCGCATCCGGCACGCACCACGGAAGCGGTGCATGGGGAGTGGCGCCTTGGCTATGGCTGCTTGTGATGTGGCGATGGTGTTGATGGGAAGAAGGGGAAGGGGAAGGCTCACTGATACGTGGGTTCTACTATTTTTTATATTATTATTTGAATTTTTTTAGTTTCCTTCTTACCCAACATGGAAATTTGTATATAAGTTTCAAGTTTTTTATGGTACATTTATTTTTTAGGATAAATATTTTTTACGGTGTATAAGAGAGAATATGCTTACACAAAAGATAATAGCAAAAAATATCTTATGTATCGTATGAAATATGATTTACATTAAAAACAATAACATAAAAAAGTATTTTATATAGCATGTAACGGATAAGTCATATTTATAAAACTAGAAATGCAAAAAAAAACTTGAAATTTATACACAAACATTCATACTGTGTAAGGAGACCACATGAAATTTTTTATATTTTTTTAAACTTCTAATGATATAAATCAATTGTTAACTTTGTATATCCATAAGAGTATTTTTAAAAAGAATACCCAAACCAATAATATATTGTAGAATAATTGATAAAATTATCGGTATATTATAGATAGACATAATATAAATGGTAAATTAAAAACTCAACAATGAGTGATATAGAATATATTCTTCCCATTATTTTTCACCTAATGCCTAGGAGGTCGTCCTACAGCTGCAGGTCGTCTAGGTCTCCCAACATTTTTTATTGATAGGCTTAACATGGTGTCACACATATTAAAATACCAAATTAGTATAATCTGCAAACCATGCACACATACGACCTGCTCCACTTGGAACAAATTTGTGATACTCCGTGAGATGGAGAGATTACGAAGGGACTGCCAGCCTGCCCACTAGCGCGACCACCCAAGCTCACCGACAAAAACTTCATCAAATTTCTATGCTGTCGAACGAATTGATGATAAAATTTATATAGCAAATACTAGTTGTAATAGTAAAGTTTGTTTAGGCTCAAAAGTCTTTTTGCTCTGCCCCACTGGAGAGGAGAATTTTCAGAATATGCTACCGAATACACACTGTTTTCAGGATAAACCACTTAATTCGGACTACTTTCAGAACATGCCATTTGGACGCGAATTTTCTTCGTTCCGTGACACTCCTGTTCTTCCACCATCATTTCGTGCCAGCGCCAGCAATTCCGTTGTCGACGGCTGCTCGGGCGCGGTGGCGGACAAGATCGACAGCCGCTACGCGGGAGGAGGAGGAGGAGGAGGAAGAGGTGGGACCTGGCGGCCGGGGATGTCAACGGAGAGACGGCGGAGGTGGTGGAGCACGCAGCCCTCGGAGAAGTCCCCGAGCGGCGCGTCGGCGCCCAGGGGAACGTGGCGCATGTGAATGACGCGGTAGGCGACGAGGGACATGGCACCGTAGAGCGCCACCAGGGCGAGCAACACGAGTGCGACCTCCGCGGCGCCTCTTCCTCCACCGCGGGTCAACGCCGCCGTGGCGCGGGGTCCACCATCGTTGGCGGCGTGGATGGATCGGCCGGTCGGTCTGGCCGCCGAGGTCCTCCACGTGCCGCTCCCCGCATGCGCATCTGGAGCTCGCAGGCATGGGGGAGGAGGAGCTCGCCGTCGTGCGTGAAGAAGCTCGCCGGTGTGGGGGAGGAGGAGCTCGCCGGCAGGGGAACAGGAGTTCGCTGGCGATGCCCACGCTTGCAAATGGCGCGAGAGAAGAGGAACTGATGCCGCGCGGCTTCGGGAGACGGAGTGTAACGGACGGAAGAAAATTCGCGTCCAAATAGCATGTTCTAAAAGTAGTACGAATTGAATGGCCTATTGTAAAAATGGTGCATATCCGGAGAGAGCGAGGACTGCCTTGCTCGTACTAGTGGACATCCAACTCTGCTGTGCTGATTTCTCTCTGTATGCGTCTTGCTCTGATCTTTCCCGCTTAACTTAAACGACTAAATCTTTAGGTGTGATTCGATCGGCCGGGCATCCAGCTCAATCTCACGGTAACCCTTTTTCAAGTCGTAGGTATTCGTGCTCACTGTCGATCGGGCGGTGATCAGATCCGTTTCTGATTCTATTTTCCCTTTAATCGGCAAGAAGTCTATATTAGAAGACCGGGTCCATTTTAGAGCAGGTACAATAGTAATAAGATATAAGCCGGTTACAAACATATTTTAAAAAGATAAATAAGAAGAGAGAATGGCAGCATGCTACAGATTTGTAGCCAGTTACAGCACGGACTCCAAGACGCAGTGTGTGTATGACAGGTGGGACCAGGTATTAATAGTGTAGTATGTAACTATTATATGAATGAGCTATTAGATTAGCTATAGATAAATTAGAGCTAGTAGTTGGCTATACTATTAAACTTGCTCTAGCCCCAGCTTGGTCAATTTATTTGGACATGCATCTCACGGAGTATCACAAATTTGTTCCAACTGGAGCAGGTCGTATGTGTGCATGGTTTGCATCTCACGGAGTACTAATTTGAAACTTGATATGTGTGACACCAGTTGGCATGTTTTGCAGGAGACCATGTGACACCATGTTCGCATGTTTAGCAGGAGACCATGTGACACCAGACATAGCAGGACGACCTCCTAGGCATTAGGAGAAAAATAATGGCGAGAATCTATTATACTCCCTCTATCCCATAATATAAAAGATTTAGATGAGATATGACGTATCTTACTACTACGAATCTGGATATGCTCCTGTTATATTATTTTTCGTAATACTAATACTTCACATCCCACCAAAATCCCTTATATTATAGAAAGTAGGGAGTCAATTTGTCACTAAGTTTATTCGAGTATAATAATTTGCCACTTACATTGTTTTTTCTATAATATACCAGTGACTTATATCAATTATTCTACAATATGTTATTGGATTAGATATCCTTTTAAAAATACCTAAAATACCCTTATGGACATATAAGGTTAACACTTGATTTATTATCTCATTATTAGAAGTTCAAAAATATAAAAAGCTTCATATTTTTTTAAAACTTCTAATGAGGTAGATCAATTGTTAACCTAGTATGTCTCTAAGGGTATTTGTTTTTTTTTAAAAAAATGAAGGCCAAGCCCAATACCATAATAGAACAATTGATAAAATCAACAGTATATTATAGAAAGAGACAAGATCAATGGCAAATTGTTAAACTATGACAAACTCAGTGACATAGAGTAGATTCTCTCAACATATTACTCATCGTACTAATGTTAAGTTCTCCCTTCATTCTAAAATAAGTTAACCTACTATATGATATGATATGATATATCCTCGGAGTACGAATTTAAAATGACATATGTTTAGATTTGTAAAACTAGAATACGTCACATCTCGTACTATATTAATATTTACTTATTTTGAGACAAAAAAGTAGTCGTAAACACTACTAAGAACATAATTAGTAGCCTAGCCAGTAAAAATTATCACATCATCTATAACTAATATAGTAGCCAACTCATATAATAGTTACCTGCACATATATTTAAATCATTAATATCTTGGTCCAACTCATTTTGGCCGAGTTTAGTTCCAAAATTTTTCTTCAAACTTCCAACTTTTCCATCAATCAAAACTTTCCTACACACAAACTTCCAACTTTTCTGTCACATCGTTCCAATTTTAACCAAACTTTCAATTTTGGTGTGAACTAAACACATCCTTTCTCGTGAAGCTCCAAAGAAACAGAAACAATGATGTAGTTGGCTATAGATCTATAGACCGCCTTTTCGCCTGTCTGTTTTATAACTCACCATTATAAATGGAGTAAATTTCAGAAAACTGCAACTTACTCCCTCCGTCCAAAAAAAGACAAACCCTGGTTTCTGTGTCCAACGTTTGACCATCCGTCTTATTTGAAAAAAATATGAAAAAAATTAAAAAGATAAGTCACGCATAAAGTATTAATCATGTTTTATCATCTAACAACAACGAAAATACTAATTATAAAAAAATTTCATATAAGACAGACAGTCAAACGTTGGCACGAGAACCCATGGTTTGCCTTTTTTTTGGGACGGAGGGAGTAAGTGACAAATGTATCAGTTTGCTGCAACTTTAGCGACATGTTGCAGCAAACTGAAATATGTCACTAATGTTGTAGCAAACTGATAGTTTTGTCACTAAAGTTATAGTTTTCTGAAATTTAAAACTGGAGGGATATATATATATATATATATATATATATATATATATATATATATATATATATATATATATAATATATATATATACACCGTTGCGTAGCCTCAGCTCCCAAGCGCTCGCTATAAGTGCATGCCATTAGAGGCTTATTTGGTGCGCCAACGGCTGTATTCCTCTTCTTGCTCCTGAGAAATTAAGCTGCTACTATACAGCGAGAGTCTGATATTTCAAGGAGTAAATTAAAGCAAGCGAGATGGCGGAGACGGCGCTGAGCATGGCGAGGTCCATGCTGGGGGGCGCCATCAGCGCGGCTTCGGCGGCCGCCGGCGAAGAGATGAGCTTGCTCATGGGTGTGCAGAAGGAGATATGGTGAGTGCGTGTGTACTGTGTCCCCATTTGATTAGTACTGGTTTCTTACTTCCTTCTGTTTAATTAGTTCCCTTAAAGAAAGAGGCGTTTCAAAGAAAGCTAATTGCATGGTTATTCTCGAACAGCGATATTTCGTTCTTGCTGACCATGCAGTGACGGAGCTGCTTTTCGAGTCTGGGATAAACTTAAATTTATTACAGTTTGCTACAAGATTTTTAATTTTAATTAATTCTTTTTTTTTAAAAAAAAATAAATCAATCATGTATTTGACGGTGAGCCTAGGCGATGGCTCTGCCCCTTTTACATGTGAATTTGGACATGTATAAAGTACAGATATTGATCCATTTATTGATCTATTTAAAACCTAACGCATCATATAATGTGAAAATGCATGGGGAAAGTATAATATTTCATTTATCACTGTGATCAAATCCATCTCTCCGCAAAAAAAAAAGATAATTAATTCATCAGATTTCATCCGTGAGCAATCCATTTAGATCTCATTCTACTTTATTTGTTATAATTAAAGAGATGTGATATGAGTCCACATGGTAAGGGTATCAATGGGAAATATACTCCCTGATGTACATGGCATGTTTTGTCATCTCCGTTGTCATTGCTCCATGATTTGAGAAAATTCGTTTGAAGTTTGTACTCTTAAAATTTCAAACATCATCTTTTTGAGATATTTTTACATGCATATATAGGACCTAGGCATGTAGAGGTAGAAAAATACGCTGAGTCACAATACCTTTAATAATTCTTCTAATCTGAATTAATAAAACAAGAATTTAGACTTCCAGAGCAAAATCAGTTATTCGGAATTCCATATACTCAAGAGTGCTAAATTTTGTTTTACCACTGTTTTTTTTTTTGGCAGGTTCATGAATGATGAGCTAAAAACAATGCAAGCGTTCCTAATAGCTGCTGAAACAATGAAGAAGAAGGACCTGCTGTTGAAGGTGTGGGCTGAGCAAGTAAGGAGCTTGTCCTACGACATTGAAGATTGTCTTGAAGAGTTTATGGTCCATGTCGGAAACCAAAGCCTCTTGCAGCAATTGACAAATCTCAAAGATCGCCACCGAATAGCTGTCAAGATTCGCAACCTCAAATCAAGACTTGAAGAAGTGAGCAGCAGAAACACACGTTACAACTCGATCAAGATGGAGGCGAACAACACCTTCGATGAGATCGAGTCCATGGAGGATGTTCGGAATCATTCTCGTAGCAACATCGACGAAGCAAAGCTTGTAGGCTTTGACACCCCCAAAAAGGAGTTACTTGACAAGATAAACATGGATGCCAATGATGATGACCACTGTCGGGTGCTTTGTGTGGTTGGCATGGGAGGATTGGGTAAGACTACTCTGGTAAGGAAGATCTTTGAAAGTAAGGAAGACATCATAAATAATTTTCCACATCGTGCTTGGATCGTTGTGTCACAGTCATTTTCGATGATAGAGATGCTCAAAGATATGATTAGCCAACTTCTAGGTCATGAATCATTGAAAAGATTTGAAGGGAAGCCGATCCGAGCACACGACCTTGGTACGCACCTACGAGATGGACTGAAAGAATTGAGGTACTTTGTTGTTTTTGATGACTTGTGGAACACAGATCACTGGGAATGGATTAGGGAATTTGCTTTGCCTAGTAAAAACAACAAAAGGAGTCGGGTGATTGTAACAACCAGATTAGATGGAGTAGCTAATGCATGCACCACTGAACCATTTGTCTACCGCCTTAAGCTCCTAGAGACGGAATGTGCCATAGATTTGCTACTAAGGAAGATGGGGGAAAGTAAAGAAGATATGAAGAATGATAACAACCTGAAGAGCATAGTTACACAATTAGTAAAAAAGTGTGGTTGTTTACCACTAGCCATAGTAACGATAGGAGCAATGTTTGCTAATAAACCTTCGTCGAAGTGGGAAGAAATGTGCAGACAACTTCCTTCAGAGCTTGAGAACAACCCAAGCCCTGGAGTCGAAGCAATAAGGAGGGTGGTGACCCTAAGCTATGGCCATTTGCCATCTCATCTTAAACCATGCTATCTATATCTAAGCATTTTTCCTGAGGATATTGAAATTAAAAGGAGGCATTTGGTAAACAGATGGGTAGCGGAGGGGTTGGTTAGAGCTAGAGTTGGAATGACCATTAGTGATGTCGGAGAAAGCTACTTTGATGAGCTAATTAGCCGAAGTATGATTCAACCATCAAGGGTGAATATGGAAGGACATGTTAAGAGCTGCCGGGTCCATGATATAATGCGTGATATTATAGTCTCAATTTCTAAAGAGGAGAATTTTGTTTACTCAACAGGAGATAATGTATCTACAGTAATAGTGGAGAAGTTCCGTCATCTGTCATGCCATGGCGGCAACTACCCAATAGTTGGAATGGATTTCAGTCGTGTCCGATCGTTAACTGTATTTGGTGAGTTTGATCAGAGACCCATGTTGGTGGGCTCTTCAATTTGTTCAGCTCAATTCACGATGCTAAGAGTCTTGGATCTAGAGAATGCAGTATTTTCAGTGACACAAAAAGACATAAACAAAATTGGGTTGTTGCGGCACTTGAGATATTTGAATACGCATACTAGAAGACGGTCCACTATTTATGCACTTCCAAGCTCTATCGGGAAATTACAGAACTTACAAGTTTTGGACATAAGAGAGAGTGAAATTTCTACACTACCAACTGATATCAGTAAGCTCCTTATGCTTCGTATCCTCCGTTGTAGCAAGGGACCGTGGTACTTCTACTTCTATTTTGATCCAGATGAACCAATAAAATGCTTGAAGCATACGTTGCGCATGCCCTTGATGTTGACACCATTAGTTGGTTCTGCAGCACGCAATTATACTATTGCTGAGCTACACAGGGCCTACTCTAGCCATTGGTCAGAGACACCAGGCGTGAGGGTTCCAACAGGAATCAGCAAACTAAAGGAGTTGCAGGTCTTAGAGGTTGTAGACCTTAAACTAACTAAAAGCAAAGCAATTGAAGAGCTGGGTGAACTTCGCTGGCTACAAAAATTACGGGTGTCAACAAAGGGGGCCCAGGACAAGAAGCGCAAGACACTTTGTGAAGCCATCGAGAAGCTATCATCCCTCCAATCTCTCTGTGTTTATGAGGGTTACTACTTCATAACTGGGACACTTGAGTGGCTGGGTCCTTGCAATTTCTCCCCTCCTCCCCTGCTGAGAAAGCTAGAGTTGCATGGACGTATTCGCGTGATGCCCGACTCTTTTAGGAACCTTAAGCAGCTGCGGAAGATTTTTTTGCGGCTAAGCGAACTAGATGGTAGAGCCATAGAGATACTTGGAACACTACCCAACCTCATGCTCCTGAATCTCGATGGCAGAGCATATGTTGGGAATGAATTAGCATTCAAAAAGCACGAGTTCCCAAATCTCAAGGAGCTTCGTATCAGTATGCTGTCCGAACTAAGAGGGATAAGATTTGAGAAGGACGCCTTGCCCCACATGGAAAGAATGGAAATCGAATGTTGCCAGTTGAGATCAGGGATTGTTGGCATCAAGCACCTCGAACAGCTCAACGAGATTTCACTTGGGTGTGATGTGGCGGGGCTTGATCTGCTGGAACAGGAAGTAAAGGCGCACCCCAAGACACCCGCATTGCGGCTGCTTCAAGACCGAAGCAAAATCGACTTGGGGCTCCCTGTAGTCCTGACGAAAGACGAAGGCTCCAATGTTGAAGAGGAAGCAAAGGAATCCGTCCATGACGATGCCGGGGAGAGCTCGCAAGTGATCTCATCACCGTGATGGCATGGGAACCGGCAAGGAGGTCAGTCCTTAATTTGGGGGCAGCGCGTTCGATTTACCTACTCTATTCTTGTGCAATATATCTATCAACTGATGAGCTCTTCTAATTTTCTGTCCATTGTTTTACCCAGCAGCTAGCGAAGATGATATGATTGACGTACGCTACTTCTTCTTCACCTGGAATACCACCACTGCCCATGTTGGTTGGTTGCTCTATATCAACTTCCTTCCTCCGGCTGTGCGCCTCCTGCTCTGTGCTAGTTTGGATGTACTGCTCGAGTGAATCTCACTCAGTGTTTTTATTATTTGGCACCATCTCATTTGTTTCTTGCTATCAACTGTGAATTCCTAAGAGCAGCTTAGACCGTTGCATTTTGTGGTTAGCATGATAAGTTTTAATTATACTATCAGTAGAGACCATCATAAAATTTTATTTTTGTATTGCTCGACTAGATATAGGTATTTTCAGTTGTTCAAAAAATTATAGTTCACCTACAAATGTCAGGACACTAGACATATCTCAGATTCGTCGTGGATGCATCACACCACCTACCAGGGGTTCAAATCCCGGTGTCCATCTATTTAGAATTTTAGATGTTTATGAGTTTAATTTTATTTGATGTACATGTAAATGACACTTTCTATATAAGCTGAATGATTTCTTGGACTCAACACTGTCAATTGGTCTCTGTTATCTTGAATTTTTCTTTTTCTAATTTGAAGCTGCCTTTTGCTGGTGAAACTTAACACTGTCGATTGGACTCACTATGCAGACTGACTTGCAGGCCACATTTGTTAGTCTCAAAATCTGCCGGATCCCTTTGTGAGCCAGGAAAGATTTCTGCCAATAGGTCAGTTTTGCACAGTAATACGGTACTATTTTATGACTTCAACAACTGTGGATCGATGTTATAATTGCTTTTCTTTTTCATGTTGTGAACTGAGGTGTACTCTTCTTGTATTGGTGCATAAGTTGCTTGTAGCTTGGATCAACTGTAGCTGCTGCAAGGCATTTTTGTCGCCTGTATATAAGATGCCATATTTATGCTTGATTATCAAATGTTGCAGTAGAAAGTAGAATGCAAAACTTTTGTTGAGTTTATTCTCCATGATTACCATTTCACTTTCCTTTCTGTAAAAAAGAAGATTAGCAAGGACTGGTGAACATACCAGTGAGAGATCAGACTTTGATCGCTTTGGTTGTAGTTCACATGCTAGAAATTTGAAACTTTGGACACTTATTTTTTTTGAAAGGACACTTATTTCATCTTGTGACCACATGATTTTGGCCCCCTGTTTATCTGAAAGATAATTCATTTGCTGATACTGCTGTTTTCTGGTTGTTTCACTACTTGTGTGTTGTTTTAATTAATTTTCTCTTACAGGGAACAGAGTTTGACATCTCATTTGGATGAAGTAAACACATGCTTTGTGAGGATTCTGCCGGAGAGTTTAACACTGAAGATCCGAATTCAAGTTGCCTTGCTGCATTTGTTCATCCACTGCCTACCTACATATGAAAGTTGGATGCTTAACTGGGCCTGAAACTCTATGCTTGGTAGGTTATTACACTATAACCCTTGCAATATTTTAGACAGATTGGGTTGGGGAATCTCAACACTAACTCTACAAATTTTTGCCAGGTTCAGGCAGAATAAAGCCAACATCGCGGGCTATAATCCAACAACAACCAATGTTCAGCATCCATAGCCACGAATACATAGGGAAAAATCATGCTGAGGGCATCTACTGAGTGAAAGGGCCCTGATTCAGATTGGAGGACCATTCACCAATAAGGGAACAACACCATGGACATAAAAATTCAGCTTGATGAGCAGTCTTGGTCAGTTCATTAGTTACTTAATTACCTGCTGCATTGTTTCGTGTTCCTTGTTACCCGCAACCATTTCCAAAATCCAAATCGAGGTGTTTAAGTTTGCATTGAATATGTGTACGTAATCGGTTACAGTTTAGAATTTGGAGTTGTACTAGGTATAGGAATAGACTAAGAGTCGGACTCTATTCTAAGATCTCTCTTAAATAGAGGGGCAGACTTGTGGTAACCGCATGGCGACCGGTCGTGAGTCATTGTAACTCTGATACGCTATAATATGCTGAATCGGGGAGGAGCGCCCATAATCAGTGCCCCAGGGATGTAGGCTTCGGCTGAACCTCGTTAACAAATATCGTGCCTTGGTATCATCATCATGTTTGGATCTTCTATGGCGTTTCTTCTGTCTTTAGCTACCGATGTCGATTTCGGGGCTGGTTTTATAACACGAGAAACATTAGTTGATTATTACCTGCTGCACTGTTCATAGTCGCCTCCTGATCAGTGACTGTCTTCATAACTGAAGACTTGAGGTTGCTGATGCTACTAAGCTACTCTGCTTGCTTGCTGCTATTGATACGTTTTTCTTTACAGTATTTTGTGTTAAGATTGTGTGTGCGTCATTGGCATTTTGGTCTCTTCCATCTATTGTACAAAACATATATGCTCTCTTCGGGCCTAAGTCAATTGATCAAGTGTTCAATCCCTATTTCTCTCCTCTCTCAAATTAACATTTCGTTTGTACAGAGTTTGGCATTTGAACTGGATGAAACTCAGCTTCTACGACTGCAGCTCACTGCAGCTCTGCCTTTCACAAGTAATAACATGTGCAGATGATGCTACTATGAGTTACAGAAGTAGGGCACTTCACCTCTCTATTTGTCAAAACTATTAGCCAAATATTGCAACTCACATATTGGCGTGTGACCCTGTAATTGAGAGAGGTAGAATGATATTTATGATGTCCCGTCAACTGAAACAACCTTTTATTGAGTACCCACAAACAAGTTGGACATCGACATGTCACACAAGTTGATAAAAACAAGTAAAAAGCTTTGACAAACATGGCTATCAGCGGCTAAAACGATATCGTCAACCATTTTATACAGATGATTAACAACAGCCAGAAACTAGAGAAGAAGAGATAAGAGTTCCTTCCAGGCATCACAATTTATTGTGGAGATAGTTTGAGTGAGCCAACGCCACTGGGGTTCTCTCTAGGAGGAAATTTGTTCTAGTGCATTATCTTAGGTCTTCAGCTAGTTCTTGCCCATTGCTGCTCTGTCCTGTTGCCTAAGCCTCTCACCTTCACGGCAAAGATAGTTCTGGAATTTCTCCTGCCAGAATGCAAGAAATGGTTATACCTCCAATTAAGAGTAAACAAACTTACACAAGTATTGCATAGCTGTTAGCATACAAACTGAAAAAAAAGAGACTAAAAAAAAATACACGCAGCTTGGATCAAGCACACTTGGGTTCTTGTAACAAAAATGCAGTCACAATTGGATCAGTTATAGATGGCACCCCAAGAACCGGTGGCTATAGGCAACTTGGCATTAACTGAAGGAAACAAGTGTTCCCAACCATTAATTGAGCCCGCACATCTACAAACATACTAATGCCAAAAGTAGGAGCAAAGCTGCACGATAATAAACAAGTGCCTCGGACCATCAACTGAGCCCTCTCCCAAGTACAAACATATATGTCAAAAGTAGGAGCTGACAGCTAACCAATTTACAAAAACAAGATCATATTCAATGCACAAGTATGAGTCCTATATCTTATGACACCAAAATAGAGCTACAAGTTAAAGATGACCATGATACATGTGCCATTTTACATTTACAGTGATGACCTCTAAATACTTGAGTCAGAATCATCAACCAAATAGACATCATAACATATTTCACTGAAAAGGCATAATATAACAGAAACTTTGCAGCCTCAAGCAACTAAAGTGGAGAAATCTAGCAAGTTGAGAAAAGGCAGGATTTAGTTTAGTTGACTAGCTCTGAGAAACAGTCGCCAGGTAACTTATACACTGAAGACAACATGCCTTCAGAAGTTCAGATGCCTCAAGGAAATTAACAGAACGAATAACAAGTTCCAGTCATAATCTGCGCATTTCAAGCATAGCACTTTATGGAGATGCTTATTGCAAGTATTGCTTCTATTAACCAGTTTCTGAACAAATACTTCTGACAATACAATACCCAGTATTTCATATCCAACGGGCCCACAAAGCAGCAGTTTGAAGGAATACCAACAATCTCCTCATATTCGTCTCTTGGATGCTTGTGATGAGCTTCAAGGTTATCATCTCATCCAAGATATGATATTTGATCTGTACCATTGCTCAACTCCTAAAACTATTTACACACTGCCCCAAATCAGCGTGTTGCATGTCAGCAAGCATGAAAACCGCCCTAACCCCATCCCAAGATTAAATTACATAGCTTCCTTTTCTGATGATCCATCCATTCTTCTAAAGTCAATAGATCAGTGTGTTCAAAAGTAGATTGTTTTGTATCACTACTTCACTAGTGCATTATAACTCCAATCAAACAGAAGTTCCACGATTCTACATTCCATGGCTCCACATGAATAGTTTCAGCCTTTTCTCCACTGGAAAGAAAGATATAACAAAGATTGTGCAGGCTTAAAAAAATGAATAGGGGAGTGGAGCATCTAATCTGCAAATTAAATGAATACGATTGACTAATTGTGAACCATAGACATCTGACCCCAGAAATCCAATTTGAATCTATTAATCCCAGTCTAATTCATCAAAAAAGTACAGTGCTATTGGCATATAACGAACAACACCTGATGACCCAAACGACATAAATGAACTACTAAGCACTGACATCTAATAACCTTTCATGGTTTCTTAGTATCCAAATACTCTGGTTTACAGTGTAACTGTCCCATAAAAATAAATGAAAGGTTATATACGAGGACTACATGGCAACATCTAAGTCACTAATTCTCCTGCTATCTTTCGACTAACAAAAAGTCATCATTCAGGTAACAATTTGTACAGAAATCGACAAGTTTTGTATAGCACAATCTAGTTCCATATGCAATTCTGAAAGATCATTTAGATGTGCTACTACTCTGCTGTGTCCACAACAAAATTCTGTCCAAACCAAAAGGTGCAAATGAGCGCAACAATGTCCCAAATCACATATTCACAACAGTTGAGCATTCCAAAAGTTCAGGTACTTCAACTATCCACACGATAATCCTTAAACTATACCTGCCTCAAAATCAGTAATTGTTGGCCCGTGCCAACCCCATAAATCAGAAACTTCTATGTCTGGTGTCCTTGACATTAGTGAACAGAACATAAAAATGCTCTACTAGCAATAGCATTCAACAACACATCTTAATAAAATCTTACCACAACAAACCTGCCCCCAAAGCTGGATTTCTTACTACTTAACGACAAACATTACTATCCCCAAAACCTAGGGTTCTTAATTAACATCGAATCCGCCGGATCCACGTCTACAGCAACAAATCCAGCACGGGAAAGCGCACCGAGCAAGGCACAACGCACGATCGACGGAGACGCAACATGGGAAAGGGAGGGACTAGGGGGGGTTCGGCAAAGTAGGGGAGGGGGGGAGGCATGGCAGGGTACCTTGCCGCCGAAGAGGAAGATCCCGGCGAGGCCGGCGGTGGCGACGCCGCCCCAGATGACGACGGTGGAGGAGAGCAGCGACCAGTTGCGGTAGATCATCGTCGCCGGCGGTCGTTTGCTCCGGGCGCCGCCGATCGGTCGATGGGAGATTGGAGACGACGAAGAGGGGAAAGAGGAATCGGACCAAAGGTAGGAGGAGGAACAAAACCTAAGGCCCACCTATAGCCAGTGGAGGCGGTGGCAATGGAGCGGGTTGGGCTTGGGCCTGGGCATGGGCCCCCGATAAGAAAACGGGGAGCCCAATCCCTGGCCCAACCTAGCGGGGTCCCAAGGAAGAAAGAGGCGAGGGGAAGGGATGAATGAATCTCCACTTAAATGTAGGTTTGCCGGGTGTGTAGCATATGTCAAGCACTCAAAGCACTAAGTCAGAAGACAGTACTGTAGAGGACCTATTTTTGAAGAGAGTGGTGATGTTGACGGCGCCACTAACGGCGTGCGGCGGAGGCCGAACTAGGAGCCTGTTTGGTTGGTGCCCTGAGCACCATGACTGAAATTTTTGCATGCCTGACAGGCTTCTGAGAAGTTATTGAATGTTACCTGGCCAGGCGTCCTGAACTTTTGCTTGTTTGGTTTGCCGCCGCTGCCTGAGAAGGGAAAAAGTGATTTGGGTCTGATAATTCACTAGTAAGTCAAGTGCTAAACGAGAAGACGCAAATTTCGGCGAGATTGCTTGACAGTTCCAACTGAAATCGTAGTTTTCCAATAGCAATTAATCACATACATAAAAAAAAGGGAAACCAAAGGAGTACAAGGATTAAAAATATCCCCAAATCAAGCAGCAGTCGGCAAGCTTCAATCGGCAACAACGACAGGAGCGAAAAGAATCACAGCATTGGCTGAAGCTTCGCGCCAAGATGTTGCAACAACGACGGGATCCTAAGAATCGACAGCCGCCGCGAAAGACGACGGGATAAATCTGGTGTCAGCGCGTCGCACGCCGGCGACGGCAGCAGGGGCTTTCGCGCAAACGACGGCGACGGTGGCATGGACTTCACTCGGCGGCGATAGCTACGGCGGCGGAGGCAGCCAGGCAAGGGCTTCACGAAGTGGCGGCATCAGAGCTTCACGGGAGGGCAGCTTCGTTCTGCTGGCTGCCGAAACAGATTATGATGGTAATCTTCCGTCCTCGCTGCGCCTGAGGCTCAGGCCACCGACTTTGGTGGCCTGACTCAGGCTAATCACGCGTCTCCGTGTTTCAGGCCAGGCGGGAGTAAAAGAGTGTCAGGCTAGCAACCAAACAGAGCCTAGAACGAGTCAGGCTAGTCTCAGGTCAGGTAATTTTTTCTCAGGGTAGCAACCAAATAGGCCCTAGGTCATTGAGGATTATCATTGCAGATAGTATAACAATATTTCTCAAAATAAGCAAATTTTGTAGTGGCATATATCCAATTAATCCTTATCTAGTGTATACTTACATTGTTTACACCACTTGTACACATTTGTTTTTTAAGTTTACTTTTAAAAACATTTAATTTGTCCTTGTAATTAAATTGCTAATCCATATCCATCAAATAGTTTGATGAATATAATTTGTTTCGAACGCTCTTGGGATAGGATTATGAATATTAGACTGGGCCACTAAATGGGATTTTTTTTTCTTAAGAGCTACTCCCTCCTTCCCAAATTGATCATCATGTAATAGAAACCAAAATTTCTTAAATTGATCATGATATAACTGTATAGACACGAATTTCATCGAAATACAAGTAATGCGGTATGGGAGAATATGTGCATGCTAGAGTGTAATTGGCATGGAGTTTTAATCGATGTATGCATTGTGGGAGAATGTGTGCATGATATCTTAATTGATGTGATTTAAATTGTCCTTGGTCTTGGTGTATAAACTTATATGATGATCAATTTGAGAAGGATGGAGTACTAGGAGCTACCTCTCCTTTCGTTTTCCTATTTCACATTACTGTGGATCCTTGTGGGTGGAATTGCTCCTCCACCCTCGACCTGCTAGCCATGCGGGTTGAAAAACTCACATATGGTCGGGTCCTCTACTCTCAACAAATAAATTGATATCCCTATACAGTTGCAAAAATGTTATTAACCGTTGGAAGCACACACTCGGCCCACACCCATGCACATAAAACTTTCAACTCAAAATTTATATTTTGAATGCTCTACCTAAATTTCAAAACTTTCAACTCCGTTTTTAAAATTTTCAACTCAAATATGAAAATTGTAACTTACTTTTGAAACTTTCAGCTCAAAATTTAAAACATTTAACTCGACTATTTATATTTTTATGATAGAAATTTACAAACAACACTTAGTGCTAACCGTAGGGAAAAGAGTGTGTGTTTTGGGAATGCACGTGCACTAATTAACAATCCTCATATAGGCCGTTGTGAAACTGGCCCAATGCATACAAAGGCACATGTGAAGGACAACTAAAAGTTGGTTATTATTGGGTTTTAACACCCTAAACATGAAATTTAGCAAAAAACCGAACGACTAAATATAAACCAAAGATACTAAAACTGTCGACGAGTGATACTCGTAGACCGGATGATTAAGGTATTGGGGTACGTTGGAACGAGGATCTACGTAATACGACATCAAGAAAACAGAAGACAAGGATTATACTGGTTTAGGCCTCTTATCAGGTAATAGCCTTAGTCCAGTTTATATAAGATTGATAATGAAAAACCACATAGTACAATGGAAGTAAACGAACTCGATGATACCGATAAGATAGTAGTCGAAGCATTTGACGAGATCTCTCGGCGACTTGGCTCCGCATTCTCCGGCTTTGCAAACTGTGGTGGGTGTGTTGGCGATGAGATTCGATGCCTTTCACCCCTCTTCCGGGGGTTCCTTTTATACCGTGGATCATCTTGATCTCCAAGTAAAACTCGGAGACATCGGACCCCGTACGATATAATAGAAACTATATCCTCTCCGAGTAGGACTTTGGAAATCACTTGACTCATGGAGATATTTTTCATAGTTTGTAACAAATCCCTATAACGCATACGAAAACAACCGTGTACGTGAAGATATACCATACTCGTATATTCCATAAGTCATAGGATAGGAGGTATGCTTTATCCGTAACCATGACTAAAACATTTTTGGGAAAACCAGAAATTAAAGTTAAGAGCAAAAAAAAAAAGGTATTTCAGTTCAGCTCATTTCAGTCTTTAGTCTATCCTGTAGCGGTCACTCTTACACCCCAAGTATGTCCATTTAATGCACTTAATAAGTATAAAAAAATTCAGACATAAATTTGCAAAGCTTACAAAAAACATTCGAAACTACATCTATGTGTGGATATATATATATATATATATATATATAGGACGGCTCTTCTGTACACCCAAGTGTATGTACTCCATTTTATTAATAGATGATCCATTAGCATTTAAATTAGCCATAAAAAAGATAAAAAATATTAGTTTCGAAATCACTGCATGCATGTGACATAGCTACACACCAGATTTGATGCAGATAAGAAGAGTGTTGGCATGCATTTGCTTTCAAATTTGAACGCACCTGGATATCCCCATTTTCTAATTAGCAACAGTATATACTGTTTTTAAGGCCGCAGTATATATACTATTTCTAGTGATGAGCAGTACATAGATAGGAGTACCAGCTTATATTTTTGTTGTAGCAGTGTATACTTCTTTTTGTTAGCAGCAGTATATACTTACTTCAGAATTAATGAGTATATACTGATTATTTCTCTTTATTGGTACGTGCAGTATATACTGCTGGAACGACCGAATGAGTAAATACTGATTTTTCTCGGAATGAGTATATACTGATTTTTCTCGGAATGAGTATGTACTGATTTTTTTTTGAATGATACTGATTTTTTTTTTGGAATGAGTATATACTACTTTTTACATAGTAGTAGTATCAGCGATTAAAAAGAACAGTATATACCAGTCAATATATAAGGGATGTAAAAAAACAGTATATAAAAAAAAAACAGACATACTGCTTTAGAAGAACATGCAGTATGTAATCATACTGATGACAAGAACTTGATGTAACCATTGAGTACTCGGTCAAAGTAAGAAGCTGTCACGCCCCGAACTAGTCCCGACTGGAACTAGCCCGTGACGCTCCAAATTAACCTGTTAAGCGATACCACTCCCAGGAAACAGTGCTGGTATCACAGGAAGACAGAATATCACAGCAACAGAGGTCTCTTTATTATAGAGTAGGAGTACAGTCATGTTGGGCTGCGGACAGACCCCGAGCTCACAACTGCATTACAAAAGGAAAGCGGAAGCCAGGACTAGGACCAAACATCACAGGCGCGACTTGGGAACTAGGCCGAAACCCTAAAACTCATCGTAGCCGGCTTGCTCCTGGAAGAACTCCTCGTCAGCAGGATCCGCTTTATCTTCTTCAGCAACTGAGGGGGGGGGGAATATTTATATAGAGCAAGGGTGAGTACGGGAGTACTCAGCAAGCCATGGGAATCAAGTGTTTAATGCAGGCTTCAAAGAAAGGCTGATGTTTTTGCAATTGATTTTATTTGAACTCTTTTCTAAAAACAACTAAGTGAGTGCTTCTCAAACGACTCGGATGAGACAGTGCGTCTCGTCCGGTCGGAGTTTGTGCAATCTATCAGTCTTTAGGATTGAAACAAGGTTGGCACCCGGCCAACAGCTTTTCAAACGGCCACCCGGGCCAACAACTTTTCAAACGGCCACCCGGGCCTAGCTGATCCCATCAGCTGCAGATTTTTCAAACATCGAACCCCTTTTCACAACAGCAATTTCACAAGCAGTAGTCAACAAAACTACGCTAGGAATCACCTCACATCCGCCCATGACCGTGGGCATGGCTGTTCGAACAGTTTGTTAACCTCTGCAGAGGGGGTACACTTTACCCACACGACATTACTAACCCGGATCACTCAGCCCGTGGGGATCAGCCACGTCGGGAGATCTCCAAGCTTTCATGACAAGGCATTTCCAAAGCCGACACAGGTTTACCATATGCCGACGAGAGGGGTCCCAGACCAACAACAGGTTAGGTCCCAGACCATACTGTGCCAGGAAGCCTAGGGGTCCTCCCCGACACCACCCCGGCGAATCCACATGTCTCTCGGCATCAAGGCTCCCCTGATAAGCTAGTTACTCAGCCAGGGGTGTCCCATTCCACCCATGTGGTCGTACTTGTCTTATGTTTGGATGAAATTCCAAGGAATCGGTCCTTAAGTGCGAGAACGGGAAACCGTACACCCGGTACGTTCCCCGGTCCGCGGTTTTGGAAATTCATTTAGTTCGCAAGCACCGACCCAGGTGTCGGGTTTTCCAAGT